TTATAAATAGACAGTGATCTCCATTAGCACACTGTTATTAATTCTTTTACCAATCAATTTCTTATTCTAACAGTATCACTTTATTTATCCTATTTTATCATTTCTTATAACATCTTAATACCCCTTTTATATTGGTCATTTGTTTGTTATTTAATTCTTAGAAGTTCTCTTTTCTTACCATTGTATTTCAACATATATATTCTTACTCTCTTTCAAGAGTTATCATGACAATGAAATATCAACTTTACCAAACTACTATTTTTTCACATCCATCTGTTTGCTTCGTGAAATTCAGATATATTACATTATCTCTTCTTCGAATAATTGTTTCATATAACTTATTCTGTGTTTATTATTCATAATAATATTATAACCTTTGGATAAACGTATCTTCTCACCACTGATACATCATCACATTTCCATACTTTTTTACTAATCTTTGTAAAATATCACGCCTTCATTATACCTTATATTCTATGTTACTTCTATTGTTATATATTAGAATGAAATTTCCACAATAAAAAAGTAGTTATTATAGAATACCACTATTATATTTGTCAGCTGTCTTATATCTTAATGTTTTTCAATACAGTATAAGTATAATACTTAAGAATGCACGAAACCAACTCTGCTCGATAAAAATAGCACACAATATTTCAAATAGTTCATGTGGTACGTACTTGTGAATATTTCAACTAGTTCTATTACAATATGGTCATCTAGTACAACTTTGCTTGAACCAGTAAGAACCCTATATAGTGTCCATCAAATGGAATATGTAATTAGGAACATCACATTAGTTACTTCTTGTAAATTTGTTATGCAACATCACAAAAATACAGTCTCTAGAAATAATATTTATATGACTTAACCTAACTACAATAAAATATATGTATTAAATATTGTTGCTTGTAATTGTTCAAATTGTATGCACATTAGTCATTACTCCGGGTTGTTCTTCAATCCTTGGGTGATTGATATTCTAATATACTTTTAAATTGGCAATGTCATTCTTAGAATGTTGTGTTTAGTGTTCTTATATACTCGTTCTTTCTAGTGTACAGTAAATAAACAGAAAATACTTTCAAAAGGCTAGTGGGAAAGTATAGAGTGAACCACACTGGAGAAATCTAGCGGATACAACATGAAATATATTCTAATCGTAGCATTCATTGTTTAAACTAGCTACTTAACACTCACAAAGGAATATACTGGTCAAAGCACAGTTACGTGCTTTGTATTTTTTAAAATTTTTAAATATTTTTTCTCGATGTCATCACAGAATTTTTTTGCTGCAGCAGTTTTTCCATCAACGATGAGATGAAAAGTAGATTAAGAGAAGAAAAGGAGAAGAGAGTATTTGTAGTAATTATCTCTAAATAGTGATGTTGGAACTTTCATTAAATAGAAAACCGGATTTCAATATGCAGTGGTGTATTTTATTTCTAACATGGATTGGTATATATTCATAGTGTGATAATATATGTTGTGTTTTTAAAATATCAATATACCTTCTTAGATATTATCATAGTTCAACTATTAAATAAAGTACATTAGCATTTCAAGTTCTCTGGATAGAAGTTTATCTAAAGTGTTCTTTTCTATGCTAGTTCATTAAACTAAACTCTAATTATATTAATACATATAAATTATTTATTAATGTTCAGTTAACTTACTATGGTTTTGTTATTTCATTATTTGTCATCGAACATTAACAATTTTTATGTTTTACTGTTACTCTTACTATGTTGCCAAAAGAAGATGTTCGTTTGTTGAGAATGAGTATCTGATGTGATTGAATATATAATAAACATTCTCAGTATTATAATTAGATATATATAGTATGTAAAGTTTTATTTAAGTTCTTCGGTTTCCTTCTCTATATATAATATACAGATGATGATATATAAAAGAGGAATAAGAGAAGAAACATGATGTGAAAAAGAATATTGGCTGCATTTACTAAAATTTAATTGATCTATCTATTTATATTAGAACATTTGATTTCAACATACTACTTATAGATCAATTAACTTTAGTTCTATACGCTCGTTCTGTAGGGTAAAACTCACTTTCTTTCATTATTTCATTCGGAGTTCCTGGAGCTATCCTATTTTTGTTAAGGTATACAATTAGGTTTGGAATTTTTTTTTCTAAGACCTTGGTCATATTCATTTTAATGGATAACTCCTTCACATATTTCATTTTTAGACCGAGACTATCGTGTTAAATAATTTCTTGAGTACTATCATTAACAAATTTGGTTTCAAACTATAATTGGAGTTGGAAGATATATTCACAGGTAATTGCGTTTAATAAGGATCTTATAGAGAAAGAAAGATTCCAAAAAGCGTACAATGACGAATTAACGCAGTTGCTAAGGATGAATACTTGATCAGAAGAAACGATAAGTGCTGCTGAGGTTGATAAGTCCAAAATTATTAACTCTATGTTTATTTTTAACGTCAAGCGAGATGGTCGCCACAAATGTAGGTTAGTTGCTAGGGGAGACCAACAAAAAGCTTCGACTTACCAACCAGATTTGATGTCAAGCACAGTTCATCATTACGCTCTAATGTCCTGTTTATCAATAGCTTTACAAAACAACTATGATATTATACAATTAGATATATCATCTGCTTACTTGTATGCTCCATTAGAAGAAGAACTATACATTCGTTCTCTACCCCATTTAGGATTACGAAATACAGTGCATAGAGTAAAGAAGTCACTTTACGGTTTGAAACAGTCTGGTGCAAACTGGTATAAGAAGATAACCAATTTTATTATTAATAGTTGCCATATGAATTTTGTACCAGGATGGCCTTGTGTATTTTATCAAAGAATCAATCATTCAATCGTGATAGTATGTCTTTTTGTTGATGACATGGTATTACCAACTAACAATCGCCAATTAATATATGGATCTACGCTAATAATTTTCTTTGTTGATTAGTTGACTTACCATATGGTGGGTAGCAGTGACATAGTTTAGGAAATATATTTTTGTTGTCTTTCTGTGTTTAGAAATACATGCCTCTGCTCTTTTATCTCGTTCTCATTTCTGTCTATTTTTAGTAGAATTTGTACCATTCAAAGTCCTATGGTCAATATAGAATTTAACAGCAGAGATAGGTACAAGTTGGGATGAAAAATCAGCGGGTGTTGAGGGGGGGAGAAGATTCATTTGTGGTTGGGTTGAATGAGACGACAGTATCAGTAATAGGAACGGTCGATGGTGGGATTGATGAATCAACGGGAGTTAAAGATAGTTGATTCACATCATTTATGTCTGTTGGTCTAATTGTATCTTCTGCGTTAGTGGTTTTTATATGTAGGTCAGCTTCAACATCATGTTATGTAAGAAATGTCTCAAAATTTAAGTGGACTTATTTATTAAAACGGAAAGATGATGCAACGATCCTATATGTCCTCAAGTCCTTTATTGCGACTATTGAGCGACAATTCAAAACCCCCATATTAAAATTCCAGTTTGACCGGGGAACAGAGTACACTAACTCTGCAGTGAAAACTTTTCTTTCTGAAAACAGTATTCAAATTGTGTATATCGATGCAGGTGATTCCCAAGCTCACAATGTTGCGGAATGATTAAATTTAACATTATTAAATGATTGTCGTACTATTATGAATAGCGCAAAACTCCCACACCACCTATGGTATTACGCTGTGCAATATGCAACTATAATCCGTAATTCCATATATAACAGTTCTATGAGGGATTCACCTTAGTCTAAAGTCGGTTTACTAGGACTTGATACCAAGTCACTGCTACCATTCGGTCAACCGGTCATCATTAACCTCAATAAAACTGCCTCCAAATTACATGTCAGAGGTGAAAAAGGTTTTGCTCTAATACCAGATGCTGAATCTTATGGCTATTTATTTTACCTCCTAACTAAACGTAGGGTGGTATCTTTTTCCAATTTTGTCCCAATTAAAAATGGTATAGAGGTTGACACAAATGAAGAGTACACTGATTCTATTTTCGATGATCTCATCACATCATTTATATCTACTACTGGTGACAAAACTGTAGATGTTCTCACTGACAATCATGGTTCTTTAGTTTTACCTACTACTACTTTCTCTCCATCGTTATCTATTTCCAATGAAGCTCCATTATCTACTGATACTCTACTACTACAAAATGGTGCTGAAGCAGACTTAAATATACCAACCACTGATGCATCCACAGACACTCGCGCTGATGCGGAAGATACTATTAGACAAATAGACATAAATGATATGAATCAGCTACCCTTAACTCCTGTTAATTCATCAATTCCACTAACTACCGTTCCTGGCAATACTGATTCAGCATTCCTGCTACAATACTATGTTGTGTATATAATTGGTTAATTTTTTTTTGGGAGAGATAGATATGACAATCAAAGATTTCCAGCTATCAAAAAATCTTAAAATATACCTAGGATAGAAGGTCACTTCAGTTAATATATACAATTTTAATTGAAAAAAAGAATTTGCATTAGTTATATCATTAATAGAAGGTCAAATCCAGAAGTTCACAAAATAAAAAAAATTCTAAAAAACTTTTATTATCCTCTAGAAACTGTCTGCTACCTGGGTTTTGTAGCAAAATGTCAATTGTGAGCCTTTTATATGTCATTGGCAGTTAAAAGGACTCGACAAAAGACATTTCTTTATCATTAATTGTGTATTTTCTAAAATTGGCCAAGAATCTTTCATCACTTGTAGGTGGTGCATTTTTTATAAAAAAAATTTTTCACCACACAAATTTGTCTTCCATGTGCACAATTTCAAAATAAATAAATAAATAAAGTGTTAAAAAACTAAAGTTAAGCACTGTCAAACAGTATAACAGTAATAGTAATGCTTAAAGCAACAACAGCATAAACCTTCTTCACAGGAATACTTACGAAAAGTTACATTGGAAAGCATCATATAAGCTTATAGTTTTTTTTCTAAAATTATACTGTTATTATATCTCCTATTAAACCATGTCCACCATAGACACAAATAGCACTGCATTAGAATTCTATAGAAAGGCATTGAATTTTAATGTTATAGGAAGATATGATCCTAAAATTAAACAATTGTTATTTCATACACCACATGCTTCCATCTACAAATGGGATTTCCACAAAGATGAATGGAATAAATTAGACTACCAAGGTGTATTGGCCATATATTTAAGAGATATTGGTGATGGGACTAACATTCTACCTAGTTATGAAGATAATGATAATCAGCTTTTACAAGAAAATGTTGCAAATATTAATAATAACACAATAAATTTAAATCAGAAAACTATTTTAAAGAATGCAAATAAAAATGGTTGTTATAGTACACAACAAAACAGTAGTGGTTCAGTATTACAAGGAAAAGATATATATAACTACGGACTAATAGTGTTAAATAGGATCAATCCTGATAATTTTTCAATGGGAATTGTACCCAATAGCGTTATAAATAAGCGAAAAATATTTGATCCAGTTGAAGATGCAAAGAATCCATTAGAACTTATAGGTGTTGAAGTCAAAGATGATTTAGTTATCATTAAGAATTTAAAGCATGAAGTATATGGAATATGGATACACACTGTCGCAGATAGACAGAATATTTATGAATTAATTAAATATTTATTGGAGAACGAACCAAAGGATTCGTTTGCTTAAATAAAAAAATAAAAAAAAAAAGTGTGTGTCTGTGTGTCTGTGTGTGTGATTGAACTAACCCTAGAACAATAGTTATTTGTTGGAAATTTTTGAAACGATTACAAAATGCGTGAAAACCATATTATAGTATATCTATATACAAATATGTATAATGCAATAATTTATAATTATTCTGATACGTTTTTTTATATAGGTGTGCCAATAGTGGATGCCGGTTGACTTTTTGGACTGGCAGCCGTGATATTGTTACTGTCTGCTGCTACTTGCTTTTTTTTACTAACTCTTTTACGTTTGGGTGTCTGTTGAGCTCCATCAGTATCCTTTTTTGTTTTTTTGGTTCTCTTTGCTTTTGGTTTTTCAGTTGCACCACTTGCACCATGTTTAATACCTTTTCCAGTGGTTTTCTTTTCCTTAGTTTGAATTGGCTGTTGTTGCTGCTGTTGTTGTTGCTGAAATTTTTGAAATTGCTTTTGTTGTTGTAGTAATTGAGCCTGCGGTGTCATAGGAACTGTCATAGATATTTTTGTCATAAATGGAGTTCCTAGGACTAAATAATCCGGTAGTCCATTAGCATTATTATCATTATTGCTTAATACCATTTGTTGTTTCCTCTTTTCCACATTGATTTTCCATTGTTCAATAAATTTCAATCTGCTGAAGCGAGTATTTTCATTATTAGACTTTTCACTTGAGGATGTTGCAGTAGACTTTGTTTTAGATAAAACAAGTGCTGTTGTAAGATTCGTGAGATTTGCACTGTTTGCAGTTGTCGTTAATCCAGAAGATTTAAATCCACCAGAGGATGATCCCGGTATAGAATTCAATGATATTGAAGAATTTCTACTAGTCTCTAATCCATTATTATTATTACTGGTAATATTACTATTTTGTTTTTTGGAGACTTCTGCCAATGAAGTAGCCAGTGTTGACTTTGTTATTGTAGAGGTTCTCTCGCTCATTATTAGCATTAATTGTTCATAGTTAGATATACTTTGGGGCGTTTCTTCATGTTCTGGTATGTGTCCAACTTTACCCTTTGTTCCATCCTCTGTAGATTCCTTTTTATGAACAAATTCCATAGCCTTCGTGTTTTCATTGAATTTTGGTTCACAAAATTCATCTTCATCAATTTTTTCTCGGTGTTCGAAAGGATTTAAATCCACATCTAATTTGATATTTCTTTTAGTTAAAGAAAGGATCTCTGATTCAAACTGTTGATATATACTATCTGAAAATCTAGCTTGGTCAGCATATGTCATCATGTCGTAGTAATTAGTCAGATCATTAGGTCTCAGTAAAGTTCTGTATACCCTAGGTCGTCTAAATTTTCTTATTTGTTTATTTAGTGCTTGTTGATTTTGTCCTTGTGTATTTGAAACATCTCCTTGTATATTATTGGGTAATAAATTATTCATAGAGTCTTTGTTCACAGGTCTACTAATGGTAACTTCTACTGTATTTGTATGATCATAAACTTGTAAAATTAAATTACTTTCATAAAATTGGATATTGCTATCTCTTAGCACTTCCATTATCGCTTCTGGAATACGTCCCCTGGCCACATATTCAAGAAATTCTTTTAGAGTTTGATCGTCCTTTTCTAGGATAAGGCCATCATTATGAACAGTACTGGTTCTCTGATTATTATTATTCTTGTTATTAACATTCGGACTATTTATTTGATTACTATCGACCTGTTGTTGTTGTTGAAATCTTGAATTTGATGGGGCACATATTTTGAATATATCCTCGTAGATATGGAGCTCAAAACTTGGTCTATATTGTTCATATTTCTGCAAAATTAAATCTGTTTCTTCTACAAAATTATAAATACGCTTTGGTTTTTTGTTTAAAGTCATTAATAATTGAAAGAATTGGTTTTCAAAATTTTGCATAGCTTGTTGTTGTTGTAACGCTCTCTGTTGCAGTAACAATTTTTGTCGTTGTTGAATTTCAGCAGGAGACAGACTTTTATTCGTTACCGTATTGACATCCATGTTGTTTGTATTATTGATAGAATTTGTGGTGGCATTCGTATTATTATTATTATTATTATTGGTATGGATATTCTTTGCCATATTACTATTTTTAGGACTGCTATTAGATGTATTTTGATTGTTTATCATTATGGGCGACATGGTAGGTCTGTTATTAGTATCAGCATTATTATTATTATTGGGTACTTTTTGAGGAACGTTAACAGCACCCCCTTGAATCCCAATGTTTACATAACTTGAACCAACAACATTAACTGGAATTCCAACATCACCTTTCCCACTACTCATTTTCTTATTAAGTTATTTGATTAATGTTATATATATATATATGGTTAATAATATTAATATGGGAATATATTCTTAAGCACTGATTAACTTAAAAATAAAGAAAAGGAAAGGAAAAAAAATGGAATTATTACAAAGAAAGGCCTTTTTAACAAAATTGTGGATATCTCTAAATGGATGTTATTACCATATCATACAGTGATATCTCTTATAACTTGTGTATTATACATAGATATGTCTTGAAATATTGTAAGACTCTTTCATTTGAGTTTCGATGAAGGAAAAGATCAAAAAGACATCACTTGGGACGAAGACGTTATCATAACATTTTAATGACGATGACTATTATTTAAAGTCACTTATGAGTGATGAAGCCCAGAAAGCGGGTGAACAAAGCAAAGAGATATGTTAGCTTGAAGAAAGTAGTGACAATTATACATTTAATGTGTGCAGGTGATGGGATAAATTAGAGTGTGTTTTTTTTAATGGGATAAGAACGTTACAGTATGTTTTCTTAATGATTTATAGTAACAAGATACGTAGAGAGGGAAAACAATGAAAAGATTTCTTGTGGATGATTAGCCATAACAAAATGTGGAATAATAAAGAAGTTTTATTACGAGCATCTTCAGATATGCATTTAATTTAGCTAAAATAGCATATTGAATATTTATCATTCAAGTTTATAATCTCTAAGGAAAGGGGTATAAATCAATGTCATCAAACAAAACCGACATGATTTAAAAGTCATATAAGCTTAGAAGATGAAAAACAACGATTAGTTTGTATTTGTTTTCCTTTTACTGTATGTTGGTATTTCAAATGAATATCTTTCCAGTTGGCTATGAATTATATACTATTTATCTCAAATTCAAATTTAAACTATCCTAGTATAAAATAATTGAAAAAAAAATTAAATATATATATATGTAAAGGAGATTGTATAGAACAAATATTTAACCTTACTTACCTAATTCATTATGCTCAAATATTTCAAATAATCTTATATATATCTATGGTAAAAAAAGAGAAATAAAAGCAGGTCTAGGCTTATCTTTATGAAAGAAAAAACGTTGTATGTTATTTCCAGTTTTGTTCCTCGTCATTCAGCTTTGTTAAATATTGAACTCTCTGTATCTTCTAGATAAAATTGGTTTAATTGTTACTTTTTTTATGTCTACATAATATCAGCAAAAAAAATGATGATTATTTGTAATGAGAAATTTTTTATGACATGGCAAGAAAATTCTACTGTTTTCATGTCTGAGTACCTGTAGATAGATCTAATATTATTTATTTAAGATCATCTCTTGTATTTATTAATAAATACCTTCGAAAAGTATGTTAATTTTAATCCCTTTATATAAATAAAGATCCTAATAGTATGAGAAAATGATTTGACAGTTCATTGTAATATGTACTCTTAGTTTAACATCCTAGGTTAAGGCGCTATTTCAAGTTACATGCTAAAATGGGTATATTGATATTATGTACATTATATTCACAAATTAATTATGTAAATCTTGTTTTTATCATTAATATTAATTTATTTCTCAATTAGAACCTGACAGGTACATAATAAGAATGATTATGCTTACAATTGCCTCTGTCATAAATGCTTAATAATCAGAGGTTTCTTAAATAAGTTTCTCGGTAATATGTAAGTAGTGTTGAGCTGGCAATTTTTCAAATACATTTAAAGCTTATGATTTAAGTTTTTGTTGTTCTGAGTTCCTAATTTCATCATTCAACGTTAACTATATGGTATATACGTGAGGATCTCTGAATATGACTTTCTCATGCATAATTTTTGTTTTTTCAGAATTTAGATGTTCCTTATAAAAAGTTACATTTGTTCCTTTAACAAAATGAAATTACTTGAAGTTATAGAAAAGTTAAAATGGAAATTATCATAATTCGTTTAGATAATTATATTAGGTAATTTCTATACAATAGTTGATAGAAATAGGATTTTTTTTAGAATAAAATATACAAACTAAACAAATATTTACAGATTTCACTCAATAATATACTGGATAAGTGTTGACAATGAGCGTCTTTATTCATTGGGTATATAGGAAAAATTCTCAATATTATATTAAATAAATTTAGTATACAAAATTATAATAAAGTTCTTCACTTTCTTTCTCTATATACAACATAAAAATAATAATATACAAAGATTGTAAATAAGATAAAAATAATGTATGACGAAATCCTTGGCTTTATATATGTTAACATTCAGCCATTTTCCTCTACGAACAGTAAGATATTCAATAAACAAACTCAATAACTTTTGATGACCTCTCAACAATTATTACTCAATAATTTATCGTTTAGTGTCTGCTAAAATCTTATTGTTCTATCTATTTCATTATAGAACATTTTATTTCAACAATAAGTATCAATTACATATGATTAAACTTCTATACGCCTACTTAGTTGATTTTCAGGTGTTCATGGATGAAAATCCGCTCATTATATCAATATATTTATATATAATTAAGAATTTTCATATATCATATTTCTTAGTTTATTTACATTTTTTATATATATTATCATTTCTATCTTGTGTATAAAGAGAAAGAACAAAGAACTTCACTTCAATTTTTAATATTATTAACTATAATCGGGAATGTGTCCAACTTACCAAATACTTACAAATGCTAATTCTCAACAAAAAAGGAAAAAAAAAAGATATCGTAACTTCATTCTATTTTAAAATAATAACAGCAATAATAATTATACTAAAAAGAAAAGAAAAAGTTGGATACGTTGCTTTAAATGCTATATCTACTAATAAAACTCATTTCTATTTTCTACTATTTGATCTCTAGCATACTGGGATCCACCTTTAGTCTCCTTTGCCTCCTCTGTGTCTTCCTCTACATCGCCAGGATCTTCTCTATCCTTAGGTACATGATTTAATTGTACACTTGGTGCATATTTAGTATGCTCTAAGTTTTTGAAGATTGACGTTAGAATATGATCTAGATATTCAGGACTATTGACATTAAACATGTTTGACGGTCTAACGTCTAGTTTATAATCCGGTCCATAATATTCATAATAATCGTTATATGGCAATTCAGAATCCAAAATGACATTATTTAGCAGACCTGTTTCGAAACACCATGTTCTTGCCACATTTCTCATTGTGTAACCACCACCACCTACCACCATCATTGGAATGTTGAAGGATTTAACAAAATTGACACAGTTGGCATGTCCTTGCATCGATAAATTGAAACAACCTAGTCTGTCACCAGACAAAGAATCACCACCACATTGTAGGACAACAGCGGAAGGTTGGTACCATTCCATAATTTTGCTTACTACAGGCTCGAACACTGATTTATAAGTTGCATCATCGATCCCATCTCTCAAAGGTACATTCACGGCATAATATTTCCCTGAACCTACACCTATATCTCTTAATTCACCCGTCCCAGGGAAAAATTCACCATACTTATGGAATGAACAGGTCATGACTCTATCTGTTGTGTAGAACGCCTCTTCTACACCGTCACCATGATGTACGTCGATGTCTATATAAAGGACTCTTGGGTGGTATCTTAAGAGTTCTATGATACCAAGCACAATGTCATTTAGATAGCAGAACCCAGAAGCTTCAGATTTTTTAGCATGGTGCAAGCCACCGGCATAATTGATGGCGATATCACACTTGCCTCTATTTAGTCTAGCAGCACTCTCCATTGAACCACCACCGGATATGCTACAATATTCATATAAACCATCAAACACTGGACAATCATCACCAACATTAAACTTGACACTCTCCTTTTTAAACATTTCTAAATTATCAGGAGTGATACGGGACAAGAAATCTATGTATTCGTCTGTGTGAAACTGGCACATTTCTTGTTTTGTGGCGGGTTTGGCTCTATAGATCTCCATTTTCTTATATAGACCGTAGTTCATGATTAGAGAGTGAGCCATTCTTATTCTGTGTGGTTTCATTGGGTGGCCTGCCCCATATGCATAATTGCCTACATCTGCATCATAAAAATATGCTACCCGTTTTTTTTCGTTTGGTTTCACAGTGATTGGATCAAATGGTTTAGCTTCATATACCATGGTGATAAAATGTGATAGATTCGAGAATTATATAAAGAGAGAAAAGGAGAAGGGAACACCTTAGTTTATGTGCCTTTATATCTGATCTATGTTATAAGAAAGAAGAAGAAGGGAAGTGTTCTCTTTTACACAAACAGTTGTATGTATTTCTCTCTTTCTTTCTCTATATCTATCTGTTTCTCTCTTTTTAATAAACTGACAGATGTTCTGCAATAAAAAATTAAGAAAAAACAAAAAACAAAAACAAAAACAAAAACAAAAAACAAAAACCAAAAAACAAAAAACAAATTCCGCTGTTGCAAGAAGTGGCGGAAAATAGGCGGAATTTCTCAACAGGTTTTACATCAACCCTAACAATTAGGGATAATCAAAATGAGGGTTGAAACAATCATTCCGTCTTTTCCCCTTTTCCCACCACTAAAAAGATTAGGGTTAAACAAAAATAAAACAAAATAGTGTGTGATGCTTTAGTATAGAAGAAAATCTGGAGAACTATAAAACATTACGACTAAACAAAAGACAGTCTGGAAAGAAACTCAGCAATTATAACAGCACTAGTTAACTACAATGTTTATGATTAACGATCAGTACTAAAGAAAAAAAAACAAAATAAGGGAGGGGGTTATTTTATTGGTGTCAGTGTTACAAAATGCTGCTATTTTTTTTATTTTTATTTTTTTTTTTCTTTTTGAATTGTTTCTTCTGAAAAATATTCAAAGTTGACAGAAAGAAAGAAAGAAAGAAAGAACCCAAAAAGAAGAAATGCCCTCTAAAGAAAGAGGAAGTAAAGCACACCTATACAGACAAGAAACTACTTTGAAAATCTGTCTGACAACTATTTGTCTATCATTCCATGCGTATTGTGTTTACCTACTCTTAGTGTGCTTTCTTCTACACTCTTTTTTTGTCTAGTGGTGGTTGTTCTATAGCAATAAAAAGAGTTATACAAGAAAAAGAAAAAGAATACCTTCCCCCTTCCCAATCAGCTTTTATATAAGATAGAAAAAAAAAGAAGAAAAAGTATGTCGGTTTCATTAGACTCGAGTTCAGTTACTGTAAATGATCCAAATACATACAAATTGGTCTTACCTGGTGATAAATTGGATTTAAATCCGGAGGTGCCCATTACTCTGGGTCCGGGTGTATACTGCGACCCTAAGACTCAGGATATCATCCCTGTAAATGCAGGATTAGAAAACGTGCAATTGAATTCAAGAGGGAACAACCAACTAGTATATATAGACTATGATTCAAGGAGATACATCTGTGCAGTAGGGGACTTCGTCATTGGAACAATCGTTAGTGCATTTTCAGATTCTTATAAAGTGGCTCTATCAAACTTCTCCCAAACAGTCTCACTCTCCTACATGTCTTTCCCCAATGCTACTAAGAAAAATAGACCCACTTTGAAGATTGGTGATCTGGTATATGCAAGAGTGCTAACAGCTGCAAAGGAACTAGAGGCAGAGATCGAGTGCATGGACTCTTCTACTGGTCAAGATTCAGGGTTCGGTCTCTTGGAAGATGGTGTCTGTGTAGATGTGCCTCTGTCCTTCTGCAGAAAACTTCTGTTCGATGATCAATTCCCTCTGCTACGGATGCTATCCAAGTTTTGCAAGTTCGAGGTTGCTGTTGGTGTCAATGGTAAAGTTTGGGTGAAATGTGACGACATAAAAAATACCTTGGCTTGTTATAGATCCATCTTACAATGTTCAAAGAGTTCAATCAATCAATATAGTCAGATCATAAAAAATCAATTCAAAATATTATCAAATACAGTAGATGAATAAGAAATACACACACCCACTTTTAGTTTCCCCCGATCTATCTATATACATTTATGTTTGTTTTATTATTCTTCGTATAGTAGTGAGCTAAATAATCTTTTCTATTTTATTGTACTTTTTTTTTCTTTTTTTTTTTTCTTTTTTTTTTCACATAAGTTGCTCTGTGAAGCAAAATGAAGAGTTTCACTGTTTCGATGAGCTCTAAAATATCTTCAAAAGATACAAATAAGTTATATGGTTCACGTATGTTTACATATTTATACATGGCTATTCTATTACTAAATAGAAAGAAATAATCTAATGCTATAATAATAACAATAATACATTCATTAGAAGTATCAAATAAGTAAAAATAGAAAAGATTTGCTTTCATTCCCAGCTAGTATATCAATTATGGACCCACTGATTAACCCTTTATTAACTGTTGATAAACAGACAAGAAGGGAGAAGTATCCAGATTTAGCTGTCCAGAGTACAAACAACTCCTCAATTGTATCTAAAAGATCTGTTGAATCAATATATTACCCTAAATTTGACAATATCAATAGAAATAAATACACTGGCGAACTATTGGAATATCTCAAGTTTTTTGTCCCCAAGTTTGTTAACAGATCCCCGTGTATTAACAGAGGTTATTGGTTACGGCTACATGCAATTAGATCAAGATTGGATTCTATATTGTCTGACCAAGACTCAAAACTAGTCATAATCAATCTAGGCTGTGGATTTGATCCTTTACCATTCCAACTACTAGATTCACAGAATAAATCAAGTAGTAAATATCAGGATAGATGTATATTTTTAGATATAGATTACTCAGATCTCTTGATGAAAAAGATTCAAATAATATCAAACAATGCTCTGTTATCTGATATCGTTGGTACAAATATGGAATCTTCAGACAGTAACAACAACAACAACAACAATAACAGTAATAGTCACAATGATAAGCCGGATCGATTTACTTCTTCTAATTACTTCATTAGACCTTGTGACTTGAATGATACCAAATCGTTCTGTAAGTTATTGCTGCAATCAAAAGATGATTTACCCTTTCTATATGACAATAATAACACTAAGATCTTCATTGCAGAAGTGTCTTTGGCTTATATGAAACCGGAATTATCAGACGAAATCATTAGAATAACATCGCAATTACCACAATCACACTTTATTATTTTGGAACAATTGATCCCTAAAGGTCCTTATGAACCCTTTGCAAAACAAATGTTGAAGCATTTTACAAGCAATAATTCTCCATTACTATCCGTAACCAAATATCAAACTTTACAATCTCAGATAGATAGGTTTAAAAAATTGGGTTATGTGAAGAGTAATGCCGGTGACATGTTTCAATTATGGCACAAGTTGCCTTCTGAGATAAAAGATACTATTGAAAGTATTCAACCATTCGATGAGTTGGAAGAATTTCACTTATTCTGTCACCATTATATATTAGTTCACTCAGCAAATGATCCAAATTTCACCTTTCGCGATCCTTATTTATTTGATAACAATGAATGTATACGCAGGACACATAGGGATCAGAATAATGAAAAAATACCTCTATTCAATACACCTATAACTGATTACAGACCAGCCTATAATATATCAATAAAAAATAGCATAATTAAGAGGACATTTGGAGCGTCTACCTCTTTAGATGAGAACAGAATATTATATTTTGGTGGTTGTACACCATATAGAGTTAATGAATTATTATTAATAAACCTAAATAACAATGAACTCACCGCTATCGAAAATTCAACAAAGGAGAATGTTCCTTCACCAAGAACTTGTCATACCTTTGTTAAATTACAGAATCAGTCAAATACGTTTCTTTTAATAGGAGGAAGAAATGCACCGCATAAACCATATAAAGATGTTTGGTTGTATGATTTTGAGAATAGTAAGTGGGAACAACGTATGGATTTACCAGAACCAAGGTTTAGACATTGTAGCGTGGCTTTACCAACAGGAGAAGTAATTGTATTTGGCGGTCAGAAATTAAAAGATACAGATTCGTCTTTGTTACTATATGATCCTTTACCAAATAAATGGACTGTCCTGGACAATATAAGTGATCCAATACCAAACTTGATATCCTCATCAATGGATTTTAGAAAAGGCACGAACAAACTAGTAATTGCAGGTGGATATGATCCAAAGACAGATAATATGTCCGATAATATATATATCTATGATGTACAGTTAACCGACAAATCCAACAGATGTAATCTTACCCAAGTTAAAGTAATCTCTCACCCTTTTTTCCAAAGATATGGATCTAAATTGAAATTTATTGACGACTCCAAGATTGTTCTTGTTGGAGGTACGTCTTCATCAGATTTGTTTGATGCTTCATCGTACATCATAGTGGTTGATATTGACACAGAAAAAGTTTATAGTATAAGCATCCCATCAAAGATATGGCAAGAGACTCCCCTGATGTTTGTTGGCTTTGAACTTGTTTGGGAACAAGAGAGTCGAAAATTGACCATAATAGGCGGCGGGGCTACCTGTTACGGTTTTGGGATGGTGAGTAACAGTACTTTGACAATCCAACTGTGAACATGTTAATACAGCATCAGTATAGTCTTATATACTGTAGATATCTGCATAGATCCATTCTTTAAAATGTATCTTTTATTCCCCTTCCAGTTCCTCTTATCCTTTTTTTTTTTTTTTTTTTTTTATGTGTTGAGTCTTATGAATTTTATAATAATTAATCTTGTTATATTTTACTTTTATTTTATTTTTCTAGGTTGTTTTTTTTTTTTTTTTTCTTTTTTATCTTTTATGTTTATTTTTATTTTCTCTTTTTAAGAAGAAGGTGAATCACTAAAAATGAGTCTTAAGAGTTATTTTATAGGGCTAAGAGTGGGACACACACCCTTGGAATGGAGTAAGACGTTGGAAAACTTTGGTTTGGAACAGGTTAGAGAACTTGCATGGATTAATTATGGTGAATTTCAACTTAAGTCAAGTGGGAGCCACTTTCCGTAAAAGAGATAAAGACCCTTTGAGTAATGGCCCAGAAAATGAAGTGGAAGAAGATGTTGATGCCTCTGAGTTTGAAGACGACGAAGTTATACCTAAGAAGGTGAAAAATAGAAGACCCCGGGAAGATGCTTTTACACAACAAAGACTGGCTTCTATCAACCCCGTGCTGACTCCAAAAACTGTGTTGCCTCTATATTTGATTGTGGCAGCTGTGTTCGTTATAGTCGGTGGTTGTCTGCTATCTGTTGCATCACATACTGATGAGCTAGTAATATATTACCAAGACTGTGTTACTGCAGCACCTACTGATTCCTTTGGAGACATGCCGGAGAGTCATTACAAATATGATTTCCATAAGAATAAAACTTATAATGTAGCACCACAATGGAGATTTGTAGATGATAAGTCTGATGACTCCAGTGAACGTGGTACATGCGAAATAAGATTCCATGTGCCCGAAGATATTAAGAAAACTGTCTATATTAATTATATTCTTGAAAATTTTTCACAAAACCATAGACGTTACGTGTTATCCTTTAGCGAGGATCAAATAGTTGGCAAAGCTGCTTCATATTCCAGTATCCATGATACGGCAGGCATTAATTGTAAACCTTTAGCTCGTCACAGTAATGGGAAATTGTACTATCCGTGTGGATTGATAGCTAATGCGATGTTTAACGATACTTTCCCCATGCAGTTGACTAATGTGACGGATACCTCCAAGAACTATTCCTTAACAAACAAGGGTATTAATTGGTCCTCTGACAAGAAAAGATTCAAGAAAACGCGCTACAATTATAGCCAGATTGCACCACCGCCATATTGGGAGAAGCGTTTTCCAAACGGGTATAATGAAACCAATATCCCTGATATCCATGAATGGGAGGAATTCCAAAACTGGATGAGACCATCAGCATTTGACAAATCAGCAAAGCTGATCCGTAAAAACAGCAATGATACGTTACCTGCGGGTGAATATCAAATCGATATTGGTTTACATTGGCCTGTCACTGAATTCAATGGTAAGAAAGGGATATACATTACACATGGATCAAGCATTGGTGGCAAGAACACGTTTTTGGGTATAGTTTATTTGATAGGTGGGTGTATATGTGTGGCAATGGCGTTGGTGCTATTAGCATCCTGGTTCATGAGTGGTAGAAAAGTGGCTGATCCAAACAGTCTTTCATGGAATCAACGTTAAGTCCATTCTTTTTTTGTTTCCATACATACACACACACACACACATATATATATATATGCACATAAATACATACATACATATATTTGTATACTATTTATTGGAGGCTGTGCTATTATTTGAATAGGTGTCTTGATACGAATCAAGCAATTGAGGTGATGAGGCCATATTAATACAAATATCATTATGACTGTTGTTTGTTTTTTCTGTTTTTTTTTTTTTTAACTTTTTTTGGTGTGGGAATCCAGAAAATTCCAGTAAACTCACACATCCAAGAGGTTACCCTCCAGCTCGCTATATGAGTCACTTAACGGTCATTTTCCTGTTGTTCATTGTTTCTGTTCTATTGTTCTTGCGCGAAAAAGAAAAAAAAAGTGAGAGAAAAACTTTTTGTCTCACTTTTTTTTCCCAAAGAGCAAAAAAAACAAAGACAGGAAACAATAAGCCGAGACTTCTTGTGTTGATATAAAAAGTGACTGTTAAGTGCAAGCAACTGCGACGGGCGTCGTTAGCCCCTTCCTTTAAGTCTCTTTCTTTCTTGATGTCTCCTTTTTTTTTTTTTTTCGTTTTTGTTGTTTTGGTTCCTTGGCATCGAGAAATGTTTTTACAAGTCATCGATCTGGATTAATCCCTATAAGAGAGCTCTCAAGTGTCTGCATCTCTATCGCATCTCATTAAATAGTATTACTAGATTATCTCTTTTTCCTCCTGTTGCATCATGTTCAAGAGATCTTTCTCCAAATCTGCCCTAATTAGAAACTCCATTCTAAAGGATGTCCTTAAGGACGCCCAATTCCAAGTCACAACTTATGCTAGACCAAACGACTTATGTCTCACAAGAGGTCTGAACGCAAAGTTGTACGACGACGTAAACGGTAAAGAGTTTATCGATTTCACCTCAGGTATAGCCGTCACTTCCTTGGGCCATTCTAATCCTCAAATCGCACAGATTCTCTATCAACAGGCCAACAAGTTGGTCCATTCCTCCAATCTATACTATTCTGCCGAGTGTTTGCAACTAAGTGAGAAGATTGTCGAGCTCACCAAGCAATTTGGGGGCCAGCATGACGCTTCAAAAGTGTTCTTATGTAATTCTGGTACCGAGGCCAACGAGGCAGCTTTGAAATTTGCCAAGAAACACGGTATCTCTAAAAACCCAAAGAAACAAGGTATTGTGGCATTCCAAAACTCTTTCCATGGCCGTACCATGGGCGCCTTATCTGTCACATGGAACGCTAAATACAGAACACCATTTGGCGACCTAATACCAAACGTTTCCTTCTTAAGCTTAAATGATCAATTGACAAAGCTTCAGGACTTTATCAAAAATGGTAGGGACTCAATTGCCGGGCTTATCATCGAACCCGTTCAAGGTGAAGGTGGTGTCTTGCCTGTCCCCGTGGACACCTTGGTTGGCTTGAAGCAAATCTGCGCAGAGAATGACGTCATCGTGATCCATGACGAGATCCAATGCGGTATGGGTAGGTCTGGGAAATTATGGGCTCACAGCTATTTGCCAAAGGAGGCACATCCAGACATTTTCACAATCGCCAAAGCACTTGGCAATGGGTTCCCAATCGCTGCCACGGTGGTCAATGAAAAAGTTAACAGCAGTTTACAAGTCGGTGACCATGGCACCACTTACGGTGGTAATCCATTAGGTTGTGCAGTCAGCAAATATGTCCTTGATACTATTGCAAACCAATCTTTTCTGGAACAAGTTAATCAAAAGAGTCAACTTTTCTTTGACCGTTTGGAAAAGATCAAAAATAGATTCCCAGAACATATCAAAGAAATTAGAGGTAAAGGTTTGATGATCGGTGCTGATTTCAATGAGTCCCCAGCTGCTGTGGTCGCTAAGGCAAGGGAATTGGGTCTCTTGATCATCACTGCTGGTAAGACTACTGTTAGATTTGTTCCTGCTTTGACAATTGAAAATGAAAATATTGAAAAGGGTTTAGACATCTTTGAAAAAGCTGTTGAAGCTGTATACGCCAAGAAATAGGTAGAAAGAATAAAAAGAAAAAAATTAAAAAAAAAAAGAAAGAGCAAAACAAAACATGGAAATGTGATGATTATCATTTAATTTAATGAGATAGAATGTATATGTTCTGATCCTTTTTTTTTATCTTTTTTTTATATACTATCCATTTTTATATTTCAATGTTTATATAGAAAAAATGAAAAATAAATAAATAAATTAATAAAACCTCCATTTTATGACGTATGAGTTATTTGTGATTTCAGGTGGTTTTGTTTCCCGTGTACAGAAGGATAGTCATCTCTATGAATTTTGTTGTAGTTTTGTAAAATCTCGTTTCTAGACTATCTTCAATACCATTTTCAAATATTTCCATTCAAAAAAAAAAAACTATAAATAAAAAAAATAAAAATAACAAAAGAAATATGATATAAAATAAACGCAAACATTGTACAATATAATGTACTATTATATATACTTTTCTTTAGTTATATAAAATTTTAAATTAATATTAAACAACAAAAAAAAACAATGTGAAAAGTAAATTAACAATATTTCTACTTTGTAATGATTGAAGATAATTTATGTGGATAATATATAAACATAAACGTAAGATTTGGGGAATATTTATCGGTTACAGTTGTTGCTTATTTTATTTTTTGTTTCGTCTATTGGAGGCGAACAAATGTAACTAATTATACTGTACCGATTCGAGTGCATAGATAGGAGGTAATATAAAAAAAAAAGAAAAAAATAATAACAATAACATATACTTCAAATGGTTGTTATACAGAACTACTTCTCTTAATATTCAATCTACAATACAATGGAAGGTTGAGCAAATCTATCATTTGCGCTAGAATGTGGGTAAAATTCAAGTAAACCATCGTCTTCGATCTTTAAGACTTGCTTGAATCTGGCACCGATTTTGGCTAATGGTTCCTTGTCGCTAGACTTGGTCCATAAGGCAAACTTGTTACCACCTTTTCTAATACTTAAGACAACACCGTTGATTTGGGAATCTTCTTCATCAATAGTTTCACCAATGACAGCCAATAAAGTTCTTAACCATAATTCGTCAATTTCAGTACCCTTGGCTTTGATTTGATAGGACCACTTACCACCTTTAGAGTTGGATTCGTCTTCCCATTCTGGTCTAATGTCGTTACGGAAAACATGATAGTCAGACTTCAATGGTAATTCATGTGGTTCTGGAATGTTTTGGAAAATGGCCCAGAACTCTTCAACAGTTTGGAAAGTAGTCACTGGTCTTAAAAGATCAGACCAAGATTCAGACTTGTCCACAGCTGGCTTAGTGTACCATAAAGTCCATTTGGTATTCAAAGGATGTTTGACTTCGAATTCGGTGGCATCAGATAAGACTGTCTTTGGTTCTTCACCAACGGAAACGTTTTCTAATTTCTGAGCAACTTCTTCAACAGACATGGCGTTCTCTACTTCAGCTTCTGGTCTCTGACAGAAAACAGAAAAACACAAAAAAAAGATTCACAAGAGTTTAATAGACATAGTGACTAGAATAGACATTCTACTAATTACTACTAACAACTGTTAATATTAATCTAATCAAACTCATCAACCAATTCTATTTTCTATATTATCTTTTCTTCTCTTGTTAAATTTTTTTTTTTTCAAAGCTTTCAACCAATAGTTTTATCACATGGTACGAAATAAAAGTGCGGGTCACAAAAGCTGGTGTCACAAATGTCCTAAAAGGGTAAAATAATAGGAGTATAAAGATAAAAATAAAAATAAAAATCTGAAGCAATAATAATTTGTGACATGTGCCAGGCGATTGAGAGGAAAGAATATTAATTTTATGTATATACCAAATCTCTATATATATCTGATTTTTATGCATTATTTTGATCTCATAGATTTAATTCGATGTTACAACCTGCTGGACATGTATCCATGTTCTCATCCAAAAACCATTCTTGGAAGCATTCAAAATGTCCTTCATGACCACATGATAGTAGAGCTATAGATAGTTTTTTCATAGGTTTTTCACAATACACACAAAGACTATTTGGTTTCTTACAATTGTCACAGTACCAATATCCAAATCTTGTCATTGGGTCAATGTCAATACCTATTTTATCATCATTATCACCATCATTGCTGTTATCATCCATGGCAATCTCTCTCTCCTTTCTGATATTTTGGTTGTTTCTCTCTATCGTGAATCTTTCTTTTGAATATTCATTTATTAAAAGTTTATGGCATTTGTCACAGTATATTTGTATAGACGAAGAATGCCCAAAACTACCCCCTATTATATCATCCCAGGGACATGCCTTTAATAATGCAGTAGCTATTTCAAATGTTTCAAACCTGTGCAAAATAGTTACAAACTCTACTAAACTGTTTTTTACTACCTCTTCAGGGAGAATGTCGTAAATAGTATGAAACAATAATAAAATGTTCATTCCAAGTAGAGTATTCCCAGATTCTATGGCTTGCTGGTATAATTGTTTAATTATTGTAGCTGTATCCCATGGTGGCATACAAACATCTCCACCTTTTTCGTGACTGAACATATCCCTGTCATATAAACAATGTTCATCAGACGATGATCCTATACTACCATTTTCCAAAAACTTGTCTAATAACACCTGATTCTCCACTTCATGTGCTGAACCCATATGTGATAAAATTTTACTCGTAAATGGATCATGCAAATAACCGGATGTAACACTGTGAAATGAAGAAAGTTTACTCTGTGGACTACTATTAATCACTGAAGGTGCATAACGATTTGACATAGTTTCATCTACCAATCCAACTAAATGTCTTCTGTCATTCATGAATGTGTCTATAAATGATAATCTTCCTTGTCTTCTCTTTAATATAGGCATTCCCTTTCCATTGTAAATATCACCTGCACTTTGTGATATCAAAGATTTATCATTTTTTACCTCCAGATTATTAACTAAACTTTTCTCATCATTACTATTTATCTTTTGTGTTTGATTTGTTTCTTGAGATAGCATATTAGTATCATTCTTACTGGCTTGAAGTTGCTTTTGTAAAGTAGACACAGGCTTTCTCTTCAGTTCTTTACTATCGTCATGAAGTGCTTGCGGTTGTTCCTCAACTAAAGAAAGAGAATCCCGTCCAACACTGGCTATCTTGGAACTATAGGGGCTATCATCTGAAAAGGGAGACTGGATATATCCACTATCAATAAGTGATTCCTTCGAGGAATTTTCACTTTGCTCCTCTATAATAATGTTATTTTCATCCAATACATCCATCTTTTTTAAATCCCAAAATAAAGTATCTCTTATGACAATCCACGCTTTAAAAGTTGATATATCTCCAATATCTGAATAAACATTAGCATTGTGATTAACTGCTGCTATTAATTTTAATAGTATTTGTATCTTTTCTTTTCTATTGATATGTGGTTTTTGTAATGCTTTTGACAACATACTAGTTTTTGTGTCCTTTTTCTTTGAATATAATTTTGTTGGAACATGAGAGACTAATTCAGAATCGTTACCACTGCTCATGATTGATTCATTTTTACTTCTTAAATGATCTGAAATATCAGTTCCTGTTTTCTTACTTTCAATCCCAAATTGACTATCAAATAGAGAAGAACGTCGTTCATCATTATTTTTATTTACCAATGCAGTCCATGTAGCGTTTTCTGTAAATCCAAATTTCTTCATCAAATCCTCCTTTTTTCTTTCATCTTCTGTTTTAGTTGAATCACCGTCAGTGGAAAGCTCGTTTCTCATATTCTTCTTCTCATTTTCAAGTAAAAAATTTAATTTTCTGACTAAGTATTTAAATGTTTCAACCGGCATTTCCTTAAAAATATTAGTTTTTGTTTCAACCAGTTCTTTTTGCATTCTAGACAATTGCTTTTGTCTCATTTCATTAAAAATGTAAGGTAAATCCAGTGTAATAACATATGGAGATTTTTCACTAATTTCTTGTTTTGAGGGGCCAGATTTCAAGGAAAAATTTGTATTGGAATTATATGATTTTGTAGACAGTAAACTTTTAGAACTATAGGTTGCTTTCAATTTTGGTGGTATTTTATCACTAGTCGTAATTGAGTTATTCATTTCAAGTGTATTGATTATTCCAGAAGACGAGACTACAGACGATGGATTGGGTGAAATTTCCTTTCTAGAAGGACGTTCCCACTTCAATGGCGAGACAACTTTATGAGCTTCTTGATTACTCTTATAAGATCCAACTTCTTGATCAATGTATGTAAATCCATATCCTTCAATATCCCTCCATGCAGTACATATTTTAGGAAGAGTTTCTAAAACTGTAGGTTCCTTAGACAAATCCCAACCATTTACATAATTGTTCCTGTCTATGTCAAACAAAATATTCGAGTCCCACCATACTAACCCAACAGCAGAAGCAGATGTCTGTAGAATATGTTTAGGGATATACCTTCTAGCCAACGAATGAATGGATACTTGTGCTTCGTCACCCATGCAAGATATCGCTAACATTGAATTATAAACATTTTTATCATAATATGGACGGAATTTTAACTTTGTGATAGGGGAACCTATGTTAATTGTAGTCTCGGGGTATATTACCGCTAAATTGGAGGCTGTGTTATTATTTGAATAGGTGTTTTGATATGAATTAGGCAATTGAGGTGATGAGACCATATTAATACCATTATCATTACTGTTGTTATTGTCATTAGGCTTTTTATCCCCAAGATACCAAAGAGAACATTTCCCATCTCTGCCACCAGATACGATATAATCTTGATGGGGATGCCAGTTTATACAAAGACCTGGACCTGTATGAGCATTTATTTTTTTTTCAGGCTGTGTAGGCTGACGCAAATCAAACGTCAAGATAGCACCTGAATCATGAATCGAAGCAAATTTGTATCCACCATGACTTTTCATTTCTCGAGTCAATTTATCGTCATATGAGGCGAAATTGTACCCAGGCATCCATTTTGTATCTCTAATAGATCCAAATGTGCTGGTAATGTTGATGTCACAACCACTCGATCGTTTTTGGGCACTATTAGATCTTAGATCCCATATTTTAAGACAGCCATCTTGCCCTCCACTTAAAATTAGATGTGGGCGAATCATGTTAAAATCAAATCCATTAATTGATCTAGTATGTTCAGCAAACGATTTTACTATAGCCGATTCGTAGCTTTGTCTCTTAGAGATATCATATACAGATATAATGGTGGAATTACTACATATGGCCACATGATTTGTATATTGTTGGAATCCTGTTTTAACATCTGCAATGGTACTAAATTTAATGGGTCTTGATCTTTTGGATTGCAAACTGTTACATTGAGAATTGTAAGAACTGATAATATCATGTGTACAAATAAGAGAACGATCTTGCGTGGAAAACTTGTAATAACCTAGATGTGATTTTCCAGCACATACAATCGCACACGCCTGTGGATCATGAATAGCATCTATACTAGCTAATTCCTTCTTAACCTTAACTTTATATAGAAGACCAGAAGAACTGCTAGTACTGGAACTTTTGTAACAATTGCTTTCAATAGGCTCCAAAGAATTAGACCTCCATTTCTTAGTTCGTGAACTATCAAAAGCATTATCGTTTTGAATATTGCCATCTCCACTTAGATGGATAAGCCCCTCGTGTGAAAAATAGCTCCCTATATGGGACGATCTCATCATCAATTTTGGCCTATTTTGGACGCTAAAATAAAAGGATCCTAACCCAGGAGTCCCTACCAAACCAGCAGAGTTCGATGAAATCTTGTTACCTGAGTAGTGAGAGAAATTATATTTGTTGCCTGTATCTAACCTATTCGAGGGTAACACACTCTTTGTACCATGTTTCGATATCGAGTCTACAGCCATTTATAATATAATAATATGCGTATATATCTGCTTATTTGAGTTAAGAAACAAAATGCAAAACAACTTCACTCAAAAGTGGTCCAACTCTACTGTTTATATAGCCAACATATAAACATGGTTTTTTTCTAATAATAGGTATCAATAGACATATACAACAGTAAACACATCTACACAGCAAGAGAAAGAGAGAATTATACAGATTTTCCACGATAATTCACTACCCTTCTTTCTTCCTCGCTATATTATCTCTGTTTCTTTGATGTAGAAAATTTCACAAAGTTCAGTTTAAAGTGGATGCAGAAAGACTGCAACAATTCTTAAGAGATGATGAGGAATTGGAAGTCGCAGAAGAAAAAAGCAATGGAAGAGAAAAAGCAAATATCTATATGTCATGAAATAGAAGCTGGAAATATCAGTGTGGACAGATATCTCTGTAGTTAAATAAATATAGTGTTATAATCGTGATGGCCGGCTCAAAACATATTGAATTATCCAACTTGGATGTTTTAACGACAAATAAATCTCTGGAAGACCTGCATGATCCATTAGAACAGGGTATAAATCAGGATACTGATCCTTTGATAAGCGGAAATAAAATAGTTAAAGATAATGATAATGACACCGTTACTGGGAAGATACTTGTTAATTCTGAAGAAAATGAAATTGAAAATGAACAAGAGGAATTTGTAGAAGTATGGAAAAGTGTCCAGTGGAAGGGAAATCAAATTCAAGTGTATCCACTAGATTATCAACAATACAGTATAGTGAAGTGGCAAGTCATAGCGTGTTTAATTATGTTCATAGTCTTTGGGTTCAATGACCAAAGTATGGGTGCTTTGATCCCCACGTTGGTAGAAGAATATAACATATCGCAAGTTAAAGCGTCTAATATCTTTTTAATTCAATTGATAGGTTACACATCAGCATCGTTGTTAAATGAAAGGATCCATTCAAAGTTTGGTATGAGAGGAGGGATGCTTATTGCTGCTTCTATCTGTATTATATTCTTCGTTATTCTTTCATTAAAACCATCTAGTTTTATTATCTATGCATTTTCTGTGTTTCCATTGGGTTTAGCCATTGGGATCTTAGATGCTTCGGGAAATGTTTTGATTGGTAATTTATTGGTCCATAAAAATGAAATTATGGGTATTATGCATGCTATCTATGGTGCAGCCGCAACCTGTACACCTCCTATAGTAACCCACTTCGATAAATGGGGACATTGGTCCTTTTTTTTCCTTATTCCATTGGCTCTTTCCATCATTGGAATGATTATTATCATTCCATCTTTCAAATATGAGACTGCCTTAAAATATGATTACATATGTAATACTGAAGACAATCAATCTGAGAATATTGATCCTAACAGCAACAATAAAAATAATGAAAAGGAATCGTTCTTTCAATTATTTCAAACGCCTGCAATTTGTTTATATTCCATCTTCCTGTTTGCATATTTAGGTGCAGAAATTAACACAGGTGCATGGTTCTTTACATATTTACTACAGACAAAATCAGAAGACAGAATCAAGATGGCATATATCTCTTCCTCATTTTGGATAGGTCTTACAAGTGGCAGACTAGTGCTAGGGTTTGTTACAAAAAGAGCTTTTGTTAATGAATATAGAGGTGCACGTACATACTCATTGTTAACTCTAATATTTTATACCTTGTTTGTGTTTGTTGGGCTGATCGACAGCACGTCAAACTTATATTTTGGAGTCATGTTTATTATCATGTTTGCATGTGGGTTCTTTATTGGCCCACTGTTCCCATCTGGGAGTATTGTAGCATTACGAGTGTTGCCTGCAAGATTGCATGTCAGTGGAATAGGTATTGCTGTGGCATTAGGTGGTTGTGGTGGTGCAGCACTGCCTTATCTATGTGGGATACTACTTCATATAATGGGAATCCAGTACTTCCCTTTCTTATCTACAATTTTAGTCGCATCCTTCACCGTTGTATGGTTCCTTTATCCAAGATATATAAAAGATCATCCAGAATACTTGTAAACAACGGTAATAAGAGTGTTATAACAATACTTACAATAACAGTTTACTAAGTTTATTTTCTTCTCCCCTTTTAGCTACCTCATTCAATCTCTCTACATACATTTTCTATAGAATATATACAATCTTTATTAATGAAAAAAAAAAAAAAAAAAAACAAATTTCAGATTTTGAAGTAAAGTGAAATTACTAAATTTTAATAGTGTAGTAAAGAACCATGCCCCAAGAGATGGTTAATTTGTTATGAATTGTATTTACATGATCCTTAAATACTAGCATAATTGTTTATATAAGTTTTTAACAACAAAGTGTCACAGCTAATGGATACTTTTACTGCTAATAATAATGCCAGTCAGGGACCAGATGGGTCATCTACTCTGAAAAAATACATTTCTCATAGAAGAACAGTGGATGCGACTTCACCATTCAATAGACTATATTATCTAAAGAGACATGGGTTATCTATACCGACTATCCAACCGGAGACATCATATACAGTGGATATCTTAGCACCTGATCAATATAAAGGAAATGATCGAATCATTAATTTAACAAGCAAATTCACTCATTTAAGTTCAAACAAAGTCAAGCATGTGATTCCTGCAATTCGTTGGACTCCTGAGGGTAGGAGACTGATAGTGGCCACATACAATGGGGAATTTAGTCTTTGGAGTGGAACTTCATTCAATTTCGAAAGTTTAATGCAGGCACATGATTCTGCAGTCACTGCTATGGAATATTCGCATGCTGGTGATTGGTTAGTTAGTGGTGACTCAGATGGTACCATAAAGATATGGCAGCCGAATTTTAATATGGTTAAAGAATTGGACTCTGCACACACAGAATGTATACGTGACATATCCTTTAGTAATAATGATTCTAAATTTGTCACTTGTTCAGATGACAACATATTAAAGATATGGAATTTTAGTAACGGTAAAGAAGAGACTATTTTGAAAGGCCATCATTGGGATGTGAAGAGTTGTGATTGGCATCCACATATGGGACTGATTGTATCAGGATCGAAGGATAATCTGGTGAAACTGTGGGATCCAAGATCTGGGAACTGTGTCTCCACACTATTAAAATTCAAACATACAGTGTTAAAAGTACGGTTCCAGCCAACTAATGGTAATTTATTAGTAGGGATTTCCAAGGATAAATTTTGTAGAATTTTTGATATTCGATATAACATGAAGGAATTGATGACTGTCAGGGATGAAATAGATAACATGACCCTGCTATGGCATCCAATTAATGAATCTGTTTTTACTGTGGGGAGTTATGATGGATCTATCAAACACTTTGATATTTTACAAGATATGGAAAAACCATTACATGTTATTCCATATGCCCATGAAAAATGTGTTACATCTTTATCTTATAATGCGGCAGGAAACATTCTGGCAAGCGCAAGTAAAGATAGAACTATTAGGTTTTGGACAAGAGCAAGGCCAGTAGACCCTAATGCCTATGACGACCCAACTTATAATAATCATAAGATTAATGGTTGGTATTTTGGTATCAATAATAATATTAACGCAGTAAGAGAAAAATCAGAGTTTAGGGCAGCTCCACCTGCATCAAATAGTGGTACACAAGATAGTGTCAGTTCATCTACATTACATAATGAAGTGCGGTCATCTAATGAAGAAAAGACTGTCAATGGTTTACCAGGTTTGAGTCTATCTTCGGGTGCCGGTGTATTGCCTGGGTTAGGTTAAATATGCATGTATATATATATATATAGAAGAGGAAAATCATACAACTATGAATAAATGCTAGCAAAATTATTATATTTATTTTCTCTTACGTGGATTTCTCTCATTTTATGTATGCAATATTAATATATAATATTTAGGAATTCGATTTTTGTTCTTAGAATACAGATCAACTTATATTCTTTACTTTTTATATTCTTGAATTCTTTGCGCATTTTTAAAAAAGAACAGACATATTGGTGTCATAAGTAACTTTGTCGCATATTAAGTTTGTATATTTCTATAGCAAATTATCCACTGTGATTTGTGAATAATAGAATTAGTGAAGCACTGGTTTTTAAATTGAATGATTATCGGTCCTTGAATGTGATCTAACCAGTTGATTCAATCATTAACTAAAGAGAGGCAATTATTTTCAATAGAACAAAAGGGAGAAGAGGAAGAAGAAAATGACACTCTTCAATTTAATCTCTTATAACATTACCCCAGAAAATTCTCTCTTTCTTATTATTTCTTTACAAAAAAAAATGTTTTTGGTTATAGATTATGTTAAGGTTAAGGATTCTTGAATTTGTTTCAATTTTTGTTTCACTTGTTCACATGTAGCTTCGATGTTTTTGATTTCTTCCTTTTTATATTCCAGCTGCTCCTCTAAGAGCATAATTAACGATTCTCTCGATTGATGGGGCCTGTATTCATTTAATAAATGGTGTATATTAATTAGAATGGTCCTAATATGTTCTACTTTTGGTTCGTACAAGGGTGGATTTATACTTAGGATTCCAATAAGTTCTAAATAATTTAATAATAAAGACTTTAGCAATCGTCTTAATTCTTGTATCTTATATTGATAATTAGTGACTTCTCCATCTTTGGCACCTATATACAATTGGGTAATCCCCATGGTCTCCAAATCGAGTAATTGATCTTTAATCTGCCAAACACTGCCAAAGGCTCTATAATGTTGGGATTTGGGCATCTTTGGGGGGATTAAAAACTCCAATTCATTAGTAATCGGAGGCTCATCTTCGGTGGTTTCAACAGGTGTGGGTCTCTGTTTCATGTACTCTGGTAATCTTTTAACATTTTCATCGGTGAAAAACTTTATATAAGGTGGAGGAGAAGGGTATAAGGAACTTATTTTATTAGAATCGTTCGATGCCATCTTTAGGCCTGTTCTTGCAGTTAATGGTGTTTTCTTAATTGTATTAAATGAGAAATAGAGTAAAGTGAAATAGAAAAGCCAAAATTAATATTATACCATACAATTGTATATATCGACAGGAATCATAACACTTGTTGGTTTTTTACTCAATGTCTTTTCTTTCTCTTCCTGCAGAATAAGCACTACCCCAGCTAATGCTTTGATAATTAAATGTTTCTCTTTTAATTCTTCTATAAACATTTTTACAGTGAACTAACAAATTTTTTTGTTTTTATTTTTTATTTTATTCTCAACTTCTTGGTTTAAATCCCCGAAATTTTAATATATCCGTTTTACGTCCGCAATGATACTGTTTCGTGTGAAACGATACAATATTTTTTCTTTATATATCGTTTATCACGAATTTCAGTAATGACATCTTTTTTTTTCTTTTCTTTTTTTTTTTTTTTATTGGCGTTCAGATTTTTTCCCCATAAAGATTGTGTTAAAAGAATTTGCTTTGATGGGTTTAATTCAATAGTGGACACATACCATATATACATGTAACAACAGGTAATGAACGGTTGACTCATGTTGTGTTAGGTAGCTGGAATTGTTGAAGTGGAAATGGTTTAAGATATTCTGTTGAAAGGTTACTTTGTACACAGAACCACTACTATCGATTTGGTATCACTTTTAATTATTTTTTTTTGCTTTTTCTTTTATACTATTTTTTTTATTTCTGGGGTTGGATCAGATAAGAAAGTGGAAGATACATAAAGGATACACATAAAAAACCTACTGTAAATAAGTTATTAAATATGAGTGATGGAGATAAGATGGATATTGACGTGGAGAATGTTCCACAGCAGTCAACTGAGACTCAATCTAAGCAAGAAAAGAAAAAAAAATTTGAGATCAAAAAATGGACTGCTGTAGCATTCTGGTCCTGGGATATTGCAGTTGACAATTGTGCTATTTGTAGAAATCATATTATGGAGCCATGTATTGAATGTCAACCGATGGCTATATCAGACACTGACACAGAGTGTGTGGCTGCATGGGGGACGTGTGGGCATGCCTTTCATTTACATTGTATAAGTAAATGGATAAAGACAAGAGAAGCTTGTCCATTAGATAACCAACGTTGGCAATTGGCAAAATGTGGTAAATAGATCTATCTATTTATCTTGAACCTTCAAAAATCAGTTTAAAAAAAAACTTTGCAAATTTCTTCTTTTCTTTCTCTTATTTTTTTCTTTCTCTTCCGCATTATTGGCATGGATAATTTGATATATATATATATAAATGAGTTATGTACATTATTAACATTCTGAAACAAATTAAGATAATTATTTTCTACACATTTTATTTCAAAATCACTTAGAATTACCATCTTGAAGATATATGTATATGTGTGTATATCTATGTATGTATTACTTTGATTATATTTGTTTTCTGATTTCAAGTAATCTTTCCCATCCATCAGAACCTTCCCAGGTATTTTTACCTTTACTCATCAAACTCTTAATCGTTGATCTAGCTTTGTACTTCCAGTCCTTACAAACAAGGCTTCCTGGTCCATATTTACCTTCCATCTCACCCAGTGATTCATATGCAGCAACTAAATCTTCACAAGCAACTACAGTTTCATTCCATATTTTTTCGTTAATTTCAAGGTCTGGGTTATGTGAAACAGCTCTATACGCCTTTTCCTGACAATCCAATGAGGCCCAGGGTCTCTTTCTCCAAAGCTCTACCCTAGCAACCAGTCTCCATGCTCTACCACTTGTTGTCACAACAGACGGGATTGTAATACATACAAATTCGATACAGGATCTTTGGAAATAACTTAAATTGGATTCTTCAGGATCATAATTGCTAGAGACTAAAATTTCAACAAGTTTTTCTACAACTGGAAGATCAATTGACCCCTCACCGCTTTTATCTCTTTTAATTTGAACTAACTGTTTACATGCTAATAATACATCATTCCATTCATGTAGTTTTGCTGTTACAATCATATAATTTTCCCAGATTCTCCAGTTTTTCTGAGAGTCGGAGGCTGATGCCCTCTTCAAACAGCTGAAGGCCTCTTTTAATTTACCTTGATGCACATATGCAGCACTTAAATTCGACCATGACATTGCGTGGCTATCATCTAGTGCAACACATCGTGAAAATGCTTCGGCTGCCACTTCCATCCTTTCACATTCCAAGGCCACACAACCATAGAAATACCATGTGTTGAAATTTAAAGAATATTGTCTTAAAGAATCATTTAAATGCTTCAGCACAATGTCATAATCTCTCGTCAAACCAGAATCTTTTGGTGGATTGTAATAATATTTGGCTAAAGAATTTTTAGCATTGACATATCTACCAATGTCCCAACTCTTTTCCCAAAGCGTTGAATCTTGTCTTAAATCACCAAGGATAGATAAAGCTCTGGCATCTCGAGTATTACTCTTTATTCTATCAGATAATATCCTTTCAGCCTCAGCTTCTTGTCCCACGGCAGCATAACATAATGCAGTCTCACAATACATGTGCAATCTTTCATAAATTTCCACTGCAGACTTCAATATACCCATAGACATATATTTTTCAGCTAACGACGCATCTAATTCCCAACGTGGAATAAATGGTAATTGATGAATATATTTCAATCTTGGTAATGGAGAATTACTCTCTTTATCTTTGGCCTCAGGGATTAGCCTTGTTTGGATTTTAAGACCCAATTCTTCCACCAAAGATTGCATTTGCAGAAGACCCCTTTCCACTGTTTTAGCTTTATTTGTTTCCAAGATGGACCTCTCCCAAAGAGCACGAGAAAAGATGGTCCAATTATTTGCACCTTCTTGATAAATAATTCTTGTTAATAATGAGGCCAACTCTTCTTCTACTAAAGCATCTCTAGCAGGCGTAGTCTTTTTTATCGTGTATAATCTCAACAATAATTGTAGTGTATCGTAATTGGACAAATGTGGTTGATTATTTGGATCCAACTCTTGTAGTTGAGTGGGTATATATTCTTGACGTAACGCGATAGGTAATAATTTATCATTTTCAATACCAGAGTTTTCATCCAATTTTTGTCTTTTAATGATTTGTTCGTCTAATGGTTCCGAACCGATCGAATCAAAATGTGGTTTCTCCAGCAATAGATCAGAATTTAGTTCAAAACTTTCTGGTGTTATAGTTGACTGATCATTTGTGTCAAAATAGGAGTCTTCGCTAGATTTAGCTAAGATAATTAAACCAGCATGAGTCACCTGCTGGAATTTAGTTCTTTTTGCACGAGCACCAGTTAAAACAAATTGGAAATTAGTTAACTTTTGTACTTTGGTTAAAGTTGGCAGACAGAGATGTTCGGTGTTGATGGTCAAAGAGCATTTAATGTTTTCCAGATAGAATATTGTATAAAGTTGTCTTTTGAAGGATTCACTTACATTCTGAGGTAAACTTTTGGTGATTGCATGAACTAAATCGATTGAACTTAGGATTTTAGAGGCAACAGCTGGGTGGTTACCTGACGGTTCAGGAATGATAGAAAGGTGAGTCAGCAAGGCTCTAGCTCTCCACCAATGTGCAATAGCTAACAGACTTGGGGTCTCTGTTGAGGATACATTAGGTAAAGTGATCTCAGTATCGACATTGTTACCAAATAAAGTTGGCTCCTTTGTGATATGTTCCAATAATAGTAAGGATAAAACCAAAAACCCTGGGTTATCTACTAGTCCATATGCAGGTTGACCAAGTATAGTTAAACAATGAACCAGTTGGGTATTAACAGTTTTGGCATCGAATTGTTCATTGGTAACAAACAATTTGGATATAAAGGAATCATCTAAAGGAGCAGATGGCCCTGTATAATTGTTCTGTATAAAAGTTTGTAACAAAGCGATGGCAAAGAGTAAAGGTAAATCAAGACTGCGGTCATTGGAGGGGAAAATATCTATTAAATGGTTACGTATAGTATCTGAGATTTGTTTTATATCATCGCCACATGAACTTAAATCTATTTTGGTGTCAGGGGAATTGATTTTGGTATCAACAATATGGTTTATCACTTTGTATGATTCACCGTTCAATATATATGAACTCAACTCAGCATTTTGAGGGATTTCTCCAGTGTTACTAATATCATTTAGAATGTTGGGGTTAGAAGCCAATAAAAGATGGCAATGCAATAGAATATCCATCAGATTTGTTGTTATAGTCAATGGTTTTGGACAAGGGAACTATTAATGCAGGGTCGCTGTTGTTGTTGTTGTTTGATCTCCTTTTTTTAATTACTTAAGAAATTCCATGGAAACTGGTTGTAACGCTATTGGTTAAGAAGACAAAACTACAGACATACTTCCAAAAACCAACAAAATACCATCACCAATTTACTATCGTCTCTAATTCTTCACCATACTGTATGTCATCTCATCTTACCTCATCTCATTTCATCTCCAATTGAAAATTGAAATTGTAAATGAAAAAAAATTTTTTTTTTCTTTGGGTGGAAAATCTCGGGAGACACGTGATGGAAAAGAGTAAGAAATCGACGCGTCGCAGTTTGTAATGCAGAGCCAACTGCTTGAGATTGCAGATTTTATCCAATACCACAATGGTTGTCTACAGAATTCTGCATGAACATTTAGAAGAGGGGAAGGTGTTTCTACGTATAAGCTAGAAAGCTGTGATTTATGCTCTAAGATAGCTATCTAAGTAGATTCAACGGAAAAAGAAGCGTGAAGAAGAAGAAGAAGTCGAAGTAATAATAATTTAATAGGGAAAAAGAAAAGATAATATCCATTATGTCAACTTATCAACCATACACAGAATATTCCGTCGCCCATGGAGGTGGGTTTGAAACCAATCATGAATCAAGAACCAATAGTTCTGATTCCTCTACTACAAAGATGTCCACTTGTATTCCTGTGACCATTAAGCAAATTTTGGAGTCCACTCAAGAGATTCAAGACGGTCCCTTTGTTTCGCATGGCCAAGAACTGGTATATGTCTCCTTTGTTGGTGTCATTAGAAATATCACGGACCATACATCTAACATTGTAGTCACCGTAGAGGACGGTACTGGTCAGCTGGAAGTTAGAAAATGGAGTGATAATGTAAATGATATCAATGCAGCTTCAGACAGTCTGGATACTAACAGCAATAATGGCAACAACCAAGGTAGTTCGCAGATTGCTCAGCAGTACAAAATTGGTACATATGTAAAGGTACATGGTGCTTTAAAAGATTTTGGTGGGAAGAAAAATATTCAATACAGTGTGATCACTAACATAAATTCTTTCAATGAAGTATTGACACACCATCTGGAAGCAATCAAATGGCATGCTATCGCCATTGGCAAATTGCCTAATCCAAGTAATCAAGATCCAAATAATAATGGTCAATCTTTGTTTGTTAAAGATGCAGACTCATCTCATAACATAAATAACATCAACGGCAATAATAATAATAGTAGTACTGCTAATGCAGCTAAGGCTATTTTAGATTTCTGTAGGAAGGAATGTGCAGGTAAAGATGCTAATCAATTTGCTGTTCCAATCCAACTGATGGTTCAAAGTTTGAATCTAGATGAAAGTGTGGTAAGAGAGTGTTGTACTACGCTAACAGAACAAGGGTTTATATATCCTACATTTGATGATGATAACTATTTTGCCTTATAAAGTATGCGTGTGTGTATGTATGTGTTTTGTTGTGTACGTCTGTCTGTATATCCCTAAATCTTTTACATGTTTTATGAATGTGTCACAATTATTTTTTGTCTCTTTATAATTTCTGTAGCTAAATAAAAAAAAACTCAAAATAAAATAAAGTGAAATTTGTGACACTTTAATTTCAACAAGTGTCAGTATATACATTCATACAGATATATTAATCTATAAGAAGGAATAAAATACACTAACAAGTTATGAAAACATTTTCCATTTCAACTATAGTCTTATTCTTTAATATTTTTGCAAAGATTTTAGCTGAACTTTCCCCTTTGAATCCAATAGAAATTAGAGGAAAACATTTTGTTGATTCTCAAAGTAAAACCCGGTTCTTAATCAAAGGATTGGCATATCAACCTGGTGGTGCATCTGATGTTAACCAGGAATTTGATCCATTATCTGATCCTGCAGTTTGTTCCAGAGACATACCTTTATTTCAAAAATTGGGAATTAATACACTTAGGGTCTATTCAGTGAATCCAGATTTGGACCATAATTATTGTATGAGTCTGCTGGCTATGGCAGGAATCTATCTGATTCTTGATGTCAATTCACCATTACCGAACCAACACCTTAACCGCTATGAACCATGGAAAAGTTATAACTTGGATTATTTAGAACATGTTTTCAAAGTAGTTAAACAATTTTCCAATTATTCGAATACTTTATCATTTTTTATTGGTAACGAAGTAATCAACGACTTTAAATCATCACAAGTGTCTCCTAAATTCTTAAGACAAACCATTGGAGATGTCAAGCAGTTTATGGCATTACATTGTGCCAGACAAGTACCTATTGGTTATTCGGCAGCAGATGATTTGAAATATAGAATATCATTATCTGATTATTTATCTTGTTTTAATTCAAGTAAACCTGAACAAACAGTTGATTTTTATGGTGTTAATTCCTATCAATGGTGTGGATTACAAACCCTACAGAGTTCAGGGTATGATTTATTGATTAACGCATACAAAGATTATCAAATACCGGTGATATTATCTGAATTTGGTTGTAATAAAGTGTTACCAAGAAAATTCAACGAGATTGAAGGTATTTTCAGTAAAGAAATGCTAGATGTGTTCTCCGGTGGTTTGGCATATGAATATTCGCAAGAGACAAATAATTATGGGCTTGTGGAAATATTAGAAGAAAATAATGGTATAAGATTATTATCTGATTTCCATGAGTTAAAGAAAAGTTATAACTCAACAATTATACCTGAGTTCACCACAGATAAGTTGAACAATGATCCAAAATTAGATAAAACTTGTCAAAGACATTATCCAAATTTAAATATTAATATAGATGTTAATGAGACATTATCTGAAAAATTAATTGAAAATGGCGTTAATGTTGCAGTAGGAAAGTATGTGCAAATAAATCCAAAAGATACGTTAAAGGAGGAAAAATCCTCAATTATATATGACATGGATGGTACTGCATGGAAGGAACAACCCTCTGACTTAAAAATTGTTAAAGATATATTTTCCACACAAACTAAAGAGTCTAATGATAAAAGTAATGACAAGAGTAGCACTTCTAAAAAGACAAAAAATTCATCATCCCGCGTGATAGATTTGAATTTTATAGTCTTAAAAACTGTTCTTTCATTACTGTTATTATTAATGTTTATTTTTTCTTTGTAATTAAACCAACGTGTGATAAATTCACACTTAGTTCATTTTCTGCTTTTGTTTTCTTTCTATAATTTAGTCAAGTAGTCATGCATGTATGATTCTTTTCCCCCTATGTATATATATATAAGTATATTTACGAAACATCAAAGGATATAATTATTCACAACAATATCTTACATATGTTGCAATATATAAGCTGGGTTACACATTCATTTGTTCTCTCTATCAGTTATTGTTTTGGTGACTTCATTGATCCTCACGAAAAAGTTGCAAGATTAGTTTATTTAAATTAATTTAATAGAAAATTTCAAACCAACAAATTTGACCCCCTCCCTCTCTTAAGACATATACAAACGACTCAAGTCGTAAAAAGAAACTGTAGGATATTAAGCATTCATAGAGTTCTTGGTTGAAAGTAATTACTTAAGAAGTGGTGCGTGTTTGTATTACTATAGTGGAAATCAAACAAGAAACGATAATAGTTTAAAATTTTGATAGCAAAAATTTTAGTTCCTATTTTACTAGATTGCTAAACTGAAATATAATTCGGAGTAAACAAACATATAGTTATACAAGATTGCTTTATAAATAATGGATTCGCATCAAAGTTCTAGTAGATTGTTCCGTATCCCATTTAAAGTCCCAAGTTTCCATGGTATTCGTACAATTGGTGTTTACCTATCAGGTTTGTTCTTTGCCCTTGGATTTTGGGTCTTTTTAGACTGTGCCCTTTATTCAAAACATGCCAATGCCTCAGATGTTCACGTTACATTTATTGATTGGATACCTTTCCTATGTTCTACATTAGGGATGATTATAGTCAGTTCTATTGAGAAGTCGAGGTTACTAAATTTGGATGGTGGTAGTGGATTTATAGGTGGTGCTGACATAGAGCAAGCTACTGCATGGCAGGCACGTACTATCTTATTCTGTGGTTTTGCTCTGTTAGCTGGTGGGCTTTCTGGCTCTGTAGTGGTTTTAATTATTAAATTTTTGCTTAAGGATTATACTACATATCCAACAGTGGGGATGGGGATTAATAATGTTTTAGGTAATTTATTTATCTTGATAAGTTGCATTATTCTATGGATTGCACAGAATGTGGAAGATGAATATTCATATTCTTTAACTATTTGATGAGAGTGGTTGGGTGGGTATATACATTTCTATATGGGTAAAAAAGATTGTTAATGTTAAATTCTGATAATTTATATAAATTCAATTGAATAATAATAATATTTGTTATTATTATTAGACAATGATAATGCATAAATCTATATTTTAAGTAGTAGTAGAAAGATACAATAAACATTGTTATAATTCTTAATGATATAATTAGTAATTAATTATAAATATTAAATAAAAACAAACGACATAAGAAGCAAAAAAAAGGAACAAAGGGTTAAAGAACATAGCAAAACATCAATAAGATCATAACATTAAAGGTTGATGGAAGGAAGTATGGATATTTAATGAAATATTTGAATTGAGAAACATTTATTAAGAATTAAGATAAAACAAAAAAGATAAAAAAGACAAAAAAGATACATTATATTATCTATATATTAATCCTTTGTTGTTATTGTCATTATTATTATTGTTGTTATTGTTGTTATTGTTATACTGGTTATTCTGAATTTTCTTTTTTCACCTTTGGTTTTATTAAATCAGCAAATTCACCTAAGATATGCAATTCGAAATCACTAAAATTGAATAAATCTGGTAGTTTAACAGGTTCGGAATGATCTCTTGGGAAGAAATAATCTTCCAACCTTAATTCATTGAAAAATGGATGTGCCATGATTCTTCTTGGTGATAATCTTGATTGTGGGTCATATACAAGAACTTTTGTCAATAGATCTATACCTTCAGGACCTGAATGACCAAAATACTTTTCGAATCTTTCTCTTGAAGTGCCCGTAAATAGAGGCTTCGAATACAACGGACCGTCATAGCTTGGGTTTGAAAAGAAAATGAATTTTTTGTCGGGAGGTCCTAACAATTTGGCGATTTCACGTAATTGTAATAGAGGTTCTTTACCTTGAAACACGGCTTGCCCCAACAACATTTCCCCCATGACACACCCGAGCCCCCATATGTCGACTTGAGTAGTATAACTTGTGCAACCAAGGATCAATTCAGGGGCTCTATAGAATCTTGAACAGATGTAACTGATTGAAGGTTGAGTTGGTTCCAATTTCTTTGCAGACCCAAAATCACAAAGTTTCAAGACACCAGTCTTTGGATCGACCAGTATATTGGATGGTTTAATATCTCTATGACATACGCCGAAGGAATGTAAATAGAGCATAGCTCTGGCAATCTGATATGTATACAATTTGACATGTTTCAGAGGCAACTCCATATTATTCTGTGCGTATCGACTAATTTCGATTTGTAATGTTGTTGGCAAACACTCCATGGCTAAATATTGGTACAATTTGTTATCTATATGAGAAACGTGTGTGAAGAAGTATTCCAATCTGACCACATTAGGATGGTTTGTGACTCTTAGAATGTCTAATTCTCTAGATTTATATTCTGTTTGTGCAGGAACTTTCTTAATGGCGAACGGGCCATACCAATTTTCCTTATTTGGAGTCATATAAGCTTGTACTACAGTGCCGAATGCACCACGGCCGATTTTTCTATACTCCTTGATAAGCATTCTTCTAACTGTGTTTGATCTGTTTGAAGTGACATCATCTGCAATAAATTCGAAAGTATCATTTGGCAAGGAGCTATTGTTATAAGTATGGTGGTGGTTGTTATTAATATTGAAACTAGTATTCAGTGGGACTTCTAAATCGGAATAATCTTTAGTAACAGTACTGGTAGTATTGTCCATTTCAAATAATTATAATCAAATAAGATAAAAGAAGAGGGAAGAAAATAAATAAATAAATAAATAAATAGACAAACAAACTTTGTTCAAATAAGATAGGAGGAGACTTAAAGGTGGGATATAGTTAATAATTGATATATTCTAATACCAATAATAATAATAATAATAATAATAATAATAATAATAATAATAATAATAATAATAAATATGTTTATGTATATTTATATTTATATTATTATTAGATAGATATTGCAGGTTGAGTTTATGGACCCTTTATTCTATCTGTTTTCGGATAGTCTTTAAATAAACAGGGGAGACAGAGAGAAAGGAGGTTGAGAAAGGGAACACACTGTGTGGAAAAGAGATCTAATTGTGAAAAATGGAAAAGGGCAGTTATAGATTGGAAATGGGAGTTTAATTGAGGTTGAGACGTTAAGAACAGCAACTATGTTCTTAAAAGAAAGAAAGAAAGAAAAAAAAACAGACACTTGTTTCAACATTAACAGATTCAGATTGTCTTGAAGTACAACCAAATCCTTATGGTCCCAAAAAAAATAAAAAATAAAAAACAAAAAAACAAAAAACAAAAAAGAGTATGTTTTTAAAAATCATCTTGCACGGCAGAAAGAGTATCGTTTTGCACGAAGTCATTTTTTTCTGCGAACAAAAGTGTTATATGTAAAAGTAAGATAATATAATAAGATTGTAATATTTTCAATGGAATATATGATTATAGCTATATATAAAAGCTTCTATATATAATATATCTATGTGTATGTATAGGTGTATAAGTGTATTATTTGAATTCAAAAATAATTATTTATACAATGATCTTATAAGACATATTGAAAGAATATATAATATTGTTGTTGTTTGTTTGTTTTTCAGTTGGAGAAAACAGAAAGAAAGAAAGAAAGAAAGAAAGAGAATCAAAGGATATAGAGCCACAATGTTAGATTATAGGTTATGCAGAAGATTCAATGAAGACTTTACCACTTTCGATGTTCTTCTTTAATTTAGTTAGACATAATGGTAATAATTCATTAGTTTCATGAGCGTTTAAATTGTTTAATAAGTTGTAGTTTACAGAATTAGTACCTTGCAAGTTGATAGACATTGGGATGGCAAAGAAGGCAGTATTTTCAATGCGGTTCAGCAATTTCTCTGCTCCCTGAGTGATTGGTCTCTCTTGGAAATCGCGTAACGTGGCAAAATTGATTGAATCGATTTCATGAGCGTTGCCGAGTATTAAATTAACAAAGTCTTGAACACATTTAAATGCAGCATGAGCCATGGACAATGTGGCTGATCCCTTGCCGTTCTTAGCCTTGACAACCTCGTCACCACCATACTGGACTCTATAGATCAAGTGCTGTAGGACTTCATTTGGTAGGACATGCGACCAGTTGTTTTGGGAGAACAGAGGAAGGATAGTTTCACCGGAATGCCCACCGATGACGGGGACGAATGGCATGTTTGAACTGATTTGACCAGTGGCTGTCTCGTATTCGCTCTTTAAGAACGTAGAGGCACGAACGATATCCAATTTAGTGATTCCAAAGATTCTTCTTTCGATACCTGTGTCTGTTTTGCCATTTAGCAGTTGTTTGAATCTGTAATGCATGACTGGGACCAACGAGTTGACTGGATTTGAAATGACAAGTACGAAGACTTTGGAGAGGTCGCAGTGTTGGTAGATGGAGTCGGTTAGACCCTTGATGATGCCTGCATTGATGTTGAACAAGTCGTCTCTTGTCATGCCCGGTTTTCTTGGCATCCCAGCGGGGATCACTACAATGTTAGCGTCTTGTAGACACCTGTCGATGGAGTGTCCTGCATACCAGGACATGTTTATTGGGGTATCGATGTGAGAGAGATCAGTGGCCACACCGTTGATAACTTCTTCGTTGATGTCGTATAGAGACAAGTTTATACTCTTGTTTGTATGGGATGGCAACAAATAGTGGATCTGGGTCTTCAACAGTAAAGAAAGGGATTGACCAATACCACCTGCGGCACCTAAGACACAAATTTTGATTTGTTCAGAAGGGTTGGAGTTGTCAGTAATTTGGTGTGGCATATTCTTATTTTTTTCTTTTCTTTTCTTTTCTTTTCTTTTCTTTTCTTTCAGTAGAGTAAGTATATATATATATAGTGGGATATGTATACTTTTATATGAATCGGAGAGTAATCTATCACTAGGGTCTGTTCCAGTTTTTGTTTCGATTTCTCTATTTTGGTTCACACTATTTCTTTCTAACAAGGATACAGGAAGAGGAAGAGAAAGAGAAAGAGAAGGATTGGAGGTGTGGAAGGGACAACAGGAATGACCCAGAAAGTTTATCATTTCTTTTAATAAATGGCTTTATATATATCAAAAAATACTACTATTATATCACTTGTTTCTCGATCCATTCGAATATGTGAGAAAAAAAAGCAGAAGAATGTTAAAAGAGAAAGGTTTGGTGCTTGTTCAATGAAGAAACGGAAAATGAGCCATTCCCCATTTGTTCTATTATTTCAGTGTGTATTATTCTGTTGATACTAATAGTAGTAATACTGTTCTCTTATTGTTTGTATGTTTGTTTTAACTCACAGTAGTGCGCAGACAAACGGCGAGCCGCTCGATGTGTCATCGTTTCTTTTTCTTTCTCTTTTTCTTCTTTCTTGATGCTTATGCCTATTGTATTTTGCGGGTGTGTGTTTGGGGGGGGCGGAATTGCCATTATGCGCAAAAACAGAATAAGAGAATTGGAAGCAAATCAACGACTCGCCCCTATTTATCCAATCTTCCCTCCCCCTCCCCTGCCGGTTCAACGGAGAAGAAAAACAAAAAAAATAAAAAAAAAAAAAAGGGAAAAACACAAGAAGAAAGAAGAAGAAATCTCGGGATCCTCCGAATAAAACCACCTCATCACTGCTGTCGTTACCACAACCAAAGGGAACTCTCCAGGGTTAGGGTTTGTTTTTTTGTTTTTGGTTAGGTTTTGTTTTCTGCTCGGTTCGGCCCGCCCCGAGAAAGGAAGAAAAAGAGAAAGAAGATAGAGGGGGAGAGGGTAACAGATACTGTTGCTGTTATCTTTTTTTTTTTTGGTTTTACATGTGTGGATGTGTGGGTTTTTGTTTTGTCAAAATCGATGAGATTGAAAAAAGAAACCCTGCATTGCAATGATTGACTATTGTAACTATCAGTTAAAGAGTACCATTACCAACTACTACGAATTACTGTGCATGTATGAAATTATCACTAGTATCACTCTATGGGTTAACAAATAATAAAACAGTAAAAAAATTAGTAACAGATTGTCAAAACTGGTAGCTATTATCGTCTTCAGTTTAAATTTCTATGACTGATAAACATATTGAAAATACGAAGAATAACAAGACTGCCCGTCTTCAATGTAAGTTTTTCATCCAAAAGAAGAATAGGCAATGTGGCATGACTAGACGGGCTGATGAAGACTACTGTTCCGAGCATTCGATACTCAATAAAAGACTGGCCAACAAATTGGTCCATAACAGCCCTAATGATCATGCCACCGATTTACAAAGAATACCCTGTCCACTGGATCAGAAACACACAATAAAGAAGTCTCAATTGAAAAAACATCTCACCAAATGCAATAAGTTTAAACTGAAACACTCAAACGATTCAAACACGTTTTATAAACTGGATCTCAACACCGCACAATCCACCCCATCGTTGCCTAAACCATCTCTTTCTCCAGATACTTTGAATAAAACTGTGGACTTGTTGTACCAGTTCTTCAAATCGGGTGAAATCAATGAGTTATCCACCACTGTGAAGTTCAATAAGTTTATGACCGAGACAAGGGTAAACACTCTTTCTAATCAGAAACATGCTATCCAACAAAGTTCTTTGATACAGAATCTCCTGGAATACAGGTACAAAGATAAACTTGAAACAGATATCAGCACAACTACACTAGAGAGAAACTTGAATGTATTGGAGTTTGGATGTGGTAAAGCAGAGTTTTCAAGGTATTTCAATCAGGTGATCAGAGATGCCTCCGCAGATGTCTCCAGATTGTCTCCATATTTCCCACGTTTCCGAATAAATAATTTCCTCTTTATCGATAGAGGGTCAAATAGGTTGAAATTTGATAGTAAAATCCTATCAGATTCCAATGGTTCAAACCCGCCTTTTATCAAAAGATTGAAAATCGATATTAAAGACCTGTATGTCGACGACATATTATCAAGGGACCCCTTTTCTTCAAATAAAAACATCCTCATTTCTAAACATCTATGTGGTGTCGCAACAGATCTGACTTTGCGTTGTATCGCTAATAACCCACTGTTACTCGACTCACTGGATTCCATCTGTATTGCTATGTGTTGCAGACATATATGTGATCCAGACCAATACATTAATCCACGCTTCTGCACCGATCTTTTGAAAAAATTCGGAAGTACTTTGACCTATCATGAATTCTTTCTGACCTTGACTAAATTATGTTCCTGGGCAACAAATGGAAAACGACCCGGTGTTCAAGATTGTGATTTGGTGGAACTGACAGAAAATAGGTTTGTTACTGTTAAAGAAAGAGAGACAATCGGCTTGATGGCAAGAAGAGTTATTGATGAAGGTAGGTTACAATGGGTTAAACAAAAGTTCCCACATTCAAAGACAGATTTAATAAAATACGTATCTAAGGATATCTCTTTAGAAAATGTTGCATTACTTTTATCAAAATAATAACATATATATGTATGTATATGTATGTATGTGTGTGTGTGTGTGTGTGTGTGTGTAAGTTTGTAGGGTTATAGGGTTGTAGGGTTGTAGAATTAGTGATCTTATTTTTTTTTTGTTCTTCCAATAATCATTTAGTGAAATGTGTGAAATAACGATCTCTGAAGTTAGTTTGAGACCTCTTTATCCCATGATTTTCTGGCCCATTATATTTGTCGCCTCGATTGATATAAACTAATAATCTGCGTGACCATTTGTTGAATTCTTGGACACAGTTATATTTCAATTCCAGATTTTTGTGTAATGGTATGATTGTTTCCACATTCTCATCGTTGGCTGTTGGCATCCAAAAGGCCAAACGTCCACCAATTGGCAATCTTTCACTGGCAAATTTCAATAAATCATCTAAAAGAGAATCCAAAGAATATGGTTTCTTAGTAGGTATATAATCCTTTCTTAAATATGCCTTTTCACCATCAATAACCACATTTTCTTTCCCCTCGAACCTTTCTGGATCCTTAGCACCTAAAACTTTAATACTTTCACGGATCCCATATGGCGGGTCGCACAGAATCGTATCAATTGGAAGATTCGATCTTAGTGAGTTATGTGTGAAATCCATAGTCATCACATCTAAGAAATGAGACTCAGTCTTATAATATCTGAAGTTATCGACCATATTATGTTCACTACCTTTACCTGTGCCCCTGATCATTCTACCGTCTATATCTGTCCCCAGCACAAAGGCATCAAAATGCGCACCAGCCACTAAAAATGAGCCTGTGCCTGCAAATGGGTCGTACATGATAGTTCCCGGTTTGACTTGTGCTATGTTACAACTTATCAGTGACAATTCACTTTCAAAACTGGTCGTTCCCTTGTATGGTCTTTTCTTTAAATCGTAAAGATCCATGCTGGAACGGTCACTTCTTTGTATCAACCGACCAAAATAAATTCCATCTGTTTGGTTACTTGAAGTCTGAGGATCAATCATGCTGTAGGTTTCAATAATAGTAAAGATCTCTTGCGGATCTTTTAGTTTTATCTCACCTTGAAAATCTAAATATTTGAATTGATTGATTGTGTCGATCTTTTCAGGCAAGGATTTTTTATGGTTTCCACCAAAACTTTCAAAATCAAATTTGAATGACTTAAACTTGTTCGAATCCCTTCTTTGTACAAAATTCGGTTCGTTTTGTATATTTTGATGTAAAGTTGGATAATTTTGACCATACCCCCAATATTCATAGATAGCTTTACAAAGGATGCTTCTTTGTATCAGTTGTTTAGCTTGTTCTTCATTGTCTAAATCAACGATAAGAAATGGGGAATGCTCATTATAAGAGTCTAAGTTGATCTTAATGTTGAATAAGTCTGCCAATGATTCCAGTTCCGCACGACGGAAATTTAAATGCATCTGGACCATATAAAGTAAATATTTAGTCATCTTTATCCTTCTGGAAAAATCTGGTTAATATGTTGATCTGTTTTGTGTTATTGTTGATGTTCGGGATCACCATATATACATAAATATGTACCTATGTTGATCGGTTCATTGTTTATAGAGCACGTATTTTTATCGATGACATTGAAATAAGGTGTTTTTTTTTTTTTGGGTTTTCCAGTAGATTCTTTCGAGGACATTTCGCAGATTTTTTTTTTTAATGTTTTTTTTTTTCATTGTTACATTTTCAAATCTATTGAGGGAAAGAAAAACAATACTAACAGCCATATTAACACGTGGGAGTATGAGGAATAAAAGACGAAGGGAGAGGTGAAGCTAGAAGCAATCGATAAATGTTCATGAAACTTAAACAGATTGTATATATATGTATGGAAAGTAAAAAAAAAAATAAAATAAAAAAGCAAAAAAGAATAACCTAATGAAACCAATAGGGAGTTTATGGCAGTTGATATAGTCCGTGTTAAGCATGTTATGAAACTTCTGGTACAATGTAATAGGAAATATATTATTCATTCCGAATGTGCAGATAGACAAGCCTTTGTTATTTTCTGTACTATGATAGATAGCATATCTCGATGCTATCAATTGTGATAATCTTTTGTAGCACTAATCTTTTGATAACTGGTGAGTCATAGCAAAACTAATTATACTAAATAACTCAGATAGATTATAAGATATGAATAGAATTCATCTTGTCATTATGTCCGAGTTTGGATTTTTCTTGGCGCTACCACGTGTTTATTATCTTATTTTACGGTTTCCCTTGTTAGTTGCTTTTTTTTTTCTTTTCTTTTTGTTTTTGTTTTTGATTTTTTTTTCTTTTCTTTTTTTTTTCAGTTGTCTCTGGCCCTTTGACGGTTAATAGCGGCAATTCGTGGAAAGAAAAAAAAAACTGAGAGAACGAGGTTGTCGCTGTAGTCTTTTTGGGAAAAAGTATAAAAGGCAACAGGTTTTTGTGCAGGGACGGAAAGAGGCGTCTAATTCGTGCTCCGCTCTTACCCTAGGTGTTCACTTGAAAAACAGACAAAGATATAGCAAGCTAGATTCTAGACAAATAAATATATTTTTTACTAACTACTGTCTCTTCGCATATTTCACTCAATTGATAAGAGAAGACACTCAATACATTGGACAGTTGTATATATTTATTCGATTGTTGTCTTTTTTTTTTTAAGATTTTAGTGTTAATTCTTTTTTCTTTCATTTGACTACCCTATTTTGTCATATTTATAATTATAAATTATAAGATCATCTATAAATATATAAATACGCATTTGTTATTTACTGTTATTTTATTTTTAGAAATCTTTTCGGTGCTCGTAATCAAGATTAGATAAGAGAAAAAAAAAACACGCATAGATTACTTATTAGCTATTGTCGTTATTTATATATATATTTGACCTTTTCATATATTACTAATAACTCATTTTTTTTTCATTTCTCGTTGTATTTCAAAGTTAACGAGTTATTATTTATCTGTATTACTTCTAGTATTTTAGAAGAAAAAAAACGAATTCTCTAGCATTTATCACTGTGTTTATTTTAGTTTAGTTTATTTTACATTATACAGATACATATTCATTCGCATATTTATTTATTAAATATAAATTTATAATAAGGAAGAAGCAAAACAATCACAAACAAGCAAACGGACGCTCTTATATGACTATAAAAATGAGTTCTGATGAAGAAGATTTTAATGACATTTATGGCGATGATGAACCATCTGCCACTGTTGAAGAGAATAAGGCTGTAGAAGCTGCTACTGAACTAGTTAAAGAAAATGATCAAGATAATTTAGCTGCTTCCATTGATGCTTCTTCAGAAAACGATAATAACAATAATAATGCCACTGAAGAGGTTAGTAACAGTAATAACAACGATAACAACGTATCTTCATTAGATCAATTAGCTGCATTGCAAGCTTTATCTTCTAACTTGAATCAAATTAATAATAATTCTGACAATGCAAATAAGGACATGTCAAGTAATTCCAATGATTCTACTGTAAATTCTGAAAATAAAACAGCTTTGCCTTGGGAACAACTACAACAAACTATGTCCCAATTCAACCCTCAACAACCGCAACAACAAACAGTAGAAAACAACAATGAAGCACAAAAGCGTGTAAAGGCTGATATCTCTAAAGATAATTGTAAAATGTTCATTGGTGGGTTGAATTGGGAGACCACAGAAGAAGGTTTAAGAAATTACTTCAATAAGTATGGTCATGTTATAGATTTAAAGATCATGAAGGATCCAAACACGGGTAGATCGAGAGGTTTTGGGTTCTTAACTTTCGAATCTCCATCCTCCGTTGATGAAGTCGTTAAAACACAACATATTTTAGATGGTAAAGTTATTGATCCAAAGAGGTCAATTCCAAGAGAAGAACAAGATAAGACTGGTAAAATCTTTGTTGGTGGTATTGGTGCTGATGTAAGACCAAAGGAGTTTGAAGAATTTTTCGCAAAATATGGTACTATTATTGATGCACAATTGATGTTAGATAAAGATACAGGTAGATCAAGAGGTTTTGGGTTTGTCACATATGATTCTCCAGAAGCTGTAGATAGAGTCTGTGAAAATAAATACATTGAATTTAAAGGTAAACAAATTGAGATTAAAAGGGCCGAACCAAGACATCTACAGAAGGGTCAATACGGTGGTGCTAATCCTAACAATCGTAATTCTAACAACTACAATTCACATTCTATGAATATGGGCACAGGTGCCAATAGTGTAGCGATGAATACTGCTGCTGCTGCCGCTGCGATGTACCAAAACCCAATGGTGGCTGGTTTCAATCCAATGATGGCCGGCTTTAATCCACAAGCTATGCAAGACTACTATCAAAAGATGCAAGAGTATTATCAACAGATGCAACAACAAACAGGTATTGATTATACACAAATGTACCAACAACAAATGCAACAGATGGCAATGATGATGCCAGGCTTCGTAATGCCACCTCAACAACCACAAACAGGATCACAATCACCACAAAGTTCATCCATGACTGTAGACAACAACGGATCTAATTCTGTTGACGTTCAGACAATCGGCGAGAACAGTGATACAAAGAATAATAATGCCACAAATGATGATAACGGAAATGTAAATAACAACAGTAGCAGTAGTAGTAGCAATAATATGGATAGGGATAATAAGAGTTCCAATGATTCTAGATCCAATACACCAGATGTAAATATTCCAAGAGGTCCAAAGGATCCTTCCTCTATTCCATCTCATGGTGGCTATCCACATCGTGAACGCGGAGACCGTGGGGACCGTAGGGGACGTCGTATAGATCGTGGCGGTTACCGTGGTGGCTCTGGCAACAATTACCGTGGTGGTCGTAGTGGATATAACAGACGTAATAATAACGGATATCATCCATACAACAGATGAAAGATCAACTGATACCATATAATAAGTACGGTTTATAAATACGGATACAAATAAACATTTACTTTTAATGCATTCTTTTAAATTAATTTAATAATTTTTTTTATTTTCTACACCCTCAGTGGCCATTGAAAAACTTTTTTATTTATAGAATGGTATAAGGGATGCCTCTTATAGGTAGACAAGTTTTCTAATGGATACTTTAATGTTTTTTTATACTTTTTACTATATTTTATTTTTCTTTTATAAGTATATAAATGTATGTATATAAGATATATATGAATAATTCTAATTAAGAATTAAAATCAATGAAAAACAATAATATGAATTAATGTGCTTATATATGTGGATTAACCTATATATATTTGAAACATTAGCAGAGTGGTGGTGAAGAATTTGTACAAATCACACATCACTTCCGTGTGTGATACCTAACTCTACGATAGCATAACAATTTAATAATGATAAAAATAACCAAACGATAATCGCTATAATTGCAGTTATCCAATTATTAGCCATACTGACCGTTTCAACGTTCCTGGTTTCATCAGAATCCTCAGAGTTTGGTTCGATAGACTCTAAGTCTTGCTTTAAATCAGTATTATCTTCATTACTAATACTATTACTTACATCTGTTTCAACTTTTTTATCTATCCGTGTGATCTCCGTTGTCATTATCCTTTTAGAACATGTAAAATATATCAATGGAGCCACTAAAAATGGTAACACTATTGACAGTACCACCTGGGAAGCATTTAATGCTTTATTTAGCGCAGTTTTGCCCAAACATATAGAGATTACTAGGCAAGGTATTACAGAAATGCATCTAGATACCAATCTCCGTTGCCATGGTAATAATTTCCAATTAACATGTCCCTCACAGACGATTTGCCCCGCCATGGTACAAACAATTCCTGCAGATTGGCCACTTAACAATAAAGCTAGCATGAAAATTGTGCCTGCTGTTGGTGCCAAATTACGTGATAACAAATCGTGAATGCCATATAAATCAGCATCACTGGCATTTGGTGTATTGAATAGAGTGGCTCCAGATATGACTAAGATTGCACAATTGACAAAAAGTGCTACAGTGAATAATGTTAAAGTTAATTCAACCATAGAATACTTCATACAATATTTAATTGAATCCATAGTTGGTCTATAATTGAAATATCTTTCCTCCATGACGATTTCCTTATTTTTAATATCTGTTTCATCATCTCTTAACACTGAATAGTTTTTATGATTGATGTCATATTCTAATAATCTTGGTTGAACTAGAGCTGAGCCCAAAAATAGAGAATGTGGCATCACGGTAGCACCAAGGATAGAAATGGCATCATACATCCCATTATTTTGAAACATTTGTTTTGACGGTATAAACCCTCTAAATACATGAGCTACAGATGTGTTTTTTGGAATATATGCTAATTCAATGGCAAAACATATAAATACACCAAAAACCAGGACAGCCACAGCATACTCAAACATCTTAACCATTCTCATAGACGAAGATCCGGGTCTGTAACCGATCATTACAGTTAATACATCAACACAGGTGATAGCAACACCTGCAGGAAGTGGGACTTTAATAAGAATATTTAGAGCAATGGCAGTACCAATAACTTCTGCTATATCCGTAGATATGATGGCAGCTTCAGCAAAAAAATATATTATCCAATTCATCCATTTAGGTAAATAAGCTCTACAACATCTAGATAAGTCTTTTCCGGTGATAGAGCCTAATTTAATACAGAGACATTGTAAGAATATGGCGATAAAATTGGATAAAAGGACGATACAAAGCAAAGAGAATTCATGAGCAGCACCTGAACTTACTGCCGTAGAATAATTACCGGGATCAATATATGCAACAGAAACCATGATACCAGGACCCACAAATTTTAAGTATTTGAATAAAATGGCCTTAGCATTGGACCATACTGTATTATTTGTCTCGTTCAAGGACACTGACTTTTCTGTAGAAGGAAGGGATGATACAGAATTACAGGTAGTAATAGGCACATCATCAGTGATTTTAATGTTTACCTTGTCAGTGGAACTATCTCCAATATCAAAAGGTTCAATACTGGTTGAACCTTGCTGTATAATATAATTTGGTTCCTTACTACGAGACGGATTAATAGTCATGCTTCAGGTAATAACAAAAAAAGCAAAACAATGAAGGAACAAAACTGGGTTGCTTTGTCTCTTGGAAAATATTATATTGCAGAGCCAGCTTATGATTCAAAGCTAGCTAAATACACAAGAAAGTATGAGAGTTCTGAATGCAATTTGTCTATATGTTTTTTATAAAAATTCTTCAATGACTTATAAACATCAAAATTATGTCAACCTTGTTAAGACTCTCGGGAAATATGTGGGATTTTGTAAAATTCCGCTGCATTTTTCTGCTGCTTTCAAGTAAAACAGAGTTAAAGCCGAAAGAATGTATAAGGTAAAATGAAGATATGTAAACTAACAAAGAGATGGGAAATAGCCATTGTATCCTTGTATTTTAAGTAAAAACTATAACACTTTTAGTAATGAAGGATATTGCATCCATTTATAAACCTCAATCTTAAATAGGAGTCATATTTGCATCTTTAAATAGCCTTCAGCAGCCGCAGATAAAGTGTAATTTGTGGATGTACACAGTTTAGGGATACTTCGTAGATCTTTAACATTGTTTTTTGTCAAAAGACTATCATATTAAAGAAGTAGAGAACTTCAGAGGCAAGTACCAAGTGCTCTAATTTTTTTGGATTATAGTATTAATGTGAAATAGTGAGATTGTAAAGATTTGGTATTTTCGAACTTTCTATGCGTAGTTTCTTATCATTTGATTTAGAATGCGATAAGAATATGACTTGACATATATACATGATTTTGACATAGAGGGGAAATGTAGAGTTGAAACAGATTGAGTATTACTTAGTAATTATAATTATTACTTTAAACTAGTAGAGTTAAACGTTCATTTTTGTTTGTATGTATTATTATGAATTACTTCTATAAATTTAATGTTTTATAACAATAAATTACAATTCAGAGTTCTCTGGCCTAATTTCATCTCTTATATCGAAAGTATACAGACGAATAATATCAATTATCCAAAATACAAACATTATAAATTACATTCTATATAAAATAAAATAATAATTTAATGTATTATTATTGTTATTAATTGTTATCAGCTATTATTCGTCTCGCATAGTATTAGCTACTACCTTCAACAAGCAATAGTAATATGATTAAACCTGATATTACCCACAACCATCAAAAGACTTCTTGAACAAGATCTGATATAATTATCACTTTTTAGAAATCCTTCAATTAGGCTTATTACACTGAATTTATGGTCAAACCAAAGAGAAAGGCTAATACTTAACTGTAACTTGTTGGGACTAATACAGTAGTTACAATACTTCATTATCATGTGTCTAATCTCGGTACTATGAATATAATTATATACATATATTAAAATAGTCTTATGTAGCATTTCAGTTGTAGTGTATCATAGTTATCTACTATTTTTTCTGTCACACCCAAGATCGCTGTTTTAGTAATTCAATGTAATAAACAGCTCTTCCCCTCTGAATTAACACTACCTTCCACCAATTGCTTAAAGATGACCTTGGCTATTTTTGGCCTCAAATAATCACTAATAACAACAAAAATAAAAGCAATACAGGGGTCCAAAAACTATTCTAATAATCTTATCAGACATTTCAAAAGATGCTGAAAATACTATCAAAACCCCACAAGAACTTATATATATATATATATTATATCTACTATACAAAAGAGAACAAACTCATGCTAAATAAATGTAATTATGATGTAGTATTATTTATTTCAATCTAAATATACAATAAAAATAAAGAACTACGTTATTATACGATGATAATTAAAACAGTAACAAAGGTAATACGAAAGAAGAAAAATTAATTAACAAATTAATAAATTCTTCACCTAACTTACACCTTGAAACCCTTAGATCTACGTCTACCTCTACTTCTTTCGAACTTACCGTTGGTAGATAAAATTCTTGGGGCCTTACCCTTGTGTGGACCCATACCGAAGTGTCTAACAGCTTCTCTGGAGTTTCTTGGACCTCTCAAGATCAAGGTGTTTTGACCCTTTGGAGCTCTAACAGCCAATTGATCTAAAGTGATACATTCACCACCAGCCTTAACAATTCTAGCACGAGCACCAGCAGTGAATCTCAAAGCAGCAACAGTGGTCTTTGGGAAGTCAAAGATTCTGGCGTCGTCAGTGACAGTACCAACAACAACAACAGTCTTGTTAGCAGCACCTTCTTGTTTCAAACCTCTAGCGATTCTAGAAACGGAAACTGGTGGTCTGTTGATCTTGGATAAGAATAAAGATCTTAAGACGACCTTGTTGAATGGGGCATCAGTACGACCTATTGAAAAAACATAAAACCAAAATTATAATAAACGTAAATGATTATCATAAAACATTATAATATATTATTGTTAGTATACAAAAATTCAGGGATGAAAAACAATTTCTCGATGCTTACCGACACTAATGTATCATATGGTAAACAACGAAAGGATTCTGCTCATCTAACTAATAAAAATATCAATATATTATTATTCTTGTTATACCGCACAACCTAAACAAAAAAGAAGATTTTAATCATCCAGACATAACTATGTTATCCAAAATCAAGAAAATCATCTTTTTTTTCCTTTAAAAATTTGATTGCACTCGCAGAACTGTCCCTTAATTACATGTACAAACATATAAACAAGGAGACATCTATCATAAATAAAAAACTATTAATATTAGTATAGCATTTATTGAAGAATCCCTTTTTTTCTCTATTGACATATTCCATTTATGAAATATTCTTTGAGTAAAAAAATATAATGTAATTTCACATACGAGCTAAGAAAGAGTATAACTTAACTAATTGCTTTAAGTAGATGTTGTCGGACTTTGGAGCAGTTCTGTGACCAGATCTCTTGTGTTGTTTGGTGGTGTGATCGATACCCATTTTTAACGACTTCTAGATTGACGGCTTCTTGTGTATTGTCAACCCAACAAGCAAAGAATAAGGAACTAATCGACAATAAATAGTACGAACTAAATCCATTGAAATATACCCTAAATCACACTCAAGAGTTTAATGTATAATAATAGTCCTTTGCGACTCAACTGCGAGTATGTTTTTCTTTTTTCCTGAATTTTCAAAACTCAGAAAAGAAAAAGATCAAAAATTGCGTGGGTTGAAGGAAAAAAGTTGAAAAATCAAAAAAAAAATAAAAAAAGATAAAAAATATATACTACCTAAATAGGAAATTACACAATTTTAATGACATTTAGGTCCTTCTTGTTGAATTTCCGTTGAAAAAGAAAAAACAGTCCTGAGATTTCTGTGTGGCGTTTTCTGTACCACCTCTCCCTTAAAGTTTAAGGGGTAAGTTTTAAAACACTGACATATATAAAGGAGAGACAGAATCCAGTTTTTGTTTTCCTTGATGCAGATACCTGTTTTACTTAGTACACTTCTTCGTTTTGAAAGTCGACCCTATGCCCTCCGTAAGCACATTAGTTTCTGTAGTGCTCCTTGTTCTGCCGTTTTTCTTTCCAAGCGCTCATTACTTCATACTAACCAAGCGATATAAGTGGTCGGTGTGCGTTCATTATGCGATAGAGTTTTGTTTTAATGTCTGATTTGTGGTTTATTTCTGAATTCTTTTCTTTTTTGTGGGAGAGTTTTTAGTCGGTATGCCTAGTCCGGTACGCTGGCTAGGAGAGCCCGACACTGCTTCATATTGATTTGCATATACATGATCAAGTAAAATAGATGTCTATAGCAAACAACGATTCTATTAACGTCATCTTTATTAATGTTATACTTTTTTATTTCTACATTTATATAACACTTTTTCTTTGTTACAAATATGAAGCGTGCAGTAATGCATTTTCTCTTCCTGGGACTTTCAAAAAGATGTATTTGAAAACATAGTTTGGATATTTTTAGGACCTTATCTTACACATCGTTCATACCATACTACCTTTGGTACTTTTAAGAAATAAAATAAATATGTATTATAATTCTCTTTGCTTCCAACTGTTCTTTGTTGAGTTTGTTATATTTTTTTAACTCTTTTCGTACTTTCTACTAATTCACTACACTCCAACTTTCTTTTTACTAATATGTTCTATGCAATTATTGTGGTTTTTATGTCTTTGTGGATTAATGTTTTCTAGTCAAGACTTATATATTCCAATCAGTGTTCCAATGGTAATTTTAATTAGTAATCTGTGGATGTCCTTATTTTTAGATAATAAAGAAAATTTTTTTGTAATTGTTGCATTGAGCTGTTTCCTTACTGTGGTAATAGTACCGTTTGTAAACAGAATGATATATTGTGGTTTATTCTTAAAGTATATGTGGATCATGATAAAAAATAATAAGTCTTGCTTGTGGTTTCAATATTGTTTCATCCTATTTCTAAAAGAATATTTTTGTTGCCGAAATTCCTTATACCTGTGCAATTATCTTGTTACTTGAGGTTGTGAAGAATCTTCCAATTATTGTGGTATTAGAAAAGTAAGGTCTAAAGTTGAAAGTAAAATAAATAATACTAGATATTATTTAAGTGAGTAAAATTACAACAGCATATAGCATTTATATATAAGTATATTCCTTTAGTTCTCTATTGGTTTATAGTTATTTAGCCATTATATCTACGTTATACAGATTATTAGTAATAAAATAAATTTGAAAGTCCCAAAATAATAAAGACAAAAAAAGCCTCTTTATTCTTTTTAACTTTCGTTGAACCAACGAAGCAAAAGGATAATACAGAGTAGAGGGGAGGCTATCCAATCTATACGCTTGTAATTAATAAATGTATTAACTTACGAATATATTTGGCTTTAAAACTTAGCAAGTTTCATTCCCACGCAAAAATACCTAGTAAGAGAGAAACATAACGTTCCAGCTAGCATGATCATAGACACATATATAATAAAGTTGTCATACCCAACTTTAGACCCATTTCCAATAATAGCACCACCGATTGGAATGGCAGGGATGATTAAAAATGCCTGCAAACAATATGCAGTAGCGTACCTTTTACCAAAATCATCTGTCCTTGAAATTTGTCCAATACAGACTGGTGTCATCGACAAAACAGATCCACTAAAAAACCCATAGAGACAAATATAGATCCACAACGCTATCACGTGCTTACCAAAGGGTAACCAAATGACCAGGTTCAAAATAAAACACACGAAATTTGTAGTAATCATGATGTTGAACCGTCCCATCCATTTATCTGCCACGTAACCCGGAATATACCTACCCAGGATCCCTACTATATTACTCGCCATAATGATATTATACGATGTGGTTACCGAGTTGCCCATCTCTAGAGAATACGAGGCGATAAAAGTCAAACTTGTTGTCAAAGAAATTTCCACTAATGACATACCGAAGGCAGTGAATAAGAACTTTGGTTCAGCAAAATATCTGATATTGAAGGAAGAATTAAAATACCATTTAATTGTGTCCCAGATAGAATCCAACGAGTTAACAATTGGCTTCTGTCTCTCCCTACAAAGAACCACAGAGAACAATAAACAAGCTAAACAAATGAATGCCAAGATTCTAATGGCCCACTGGAACCCAACTTGAGTGTACAGTTTTCTTAACATAGGAGGCATAAAGATCCCACCCACAGAACCACCAGCTGTGGCGACACTTGTAGCCATTGCTCTTTTTCTATTAAACCAAGTGGCTATGACACTGACCAAAGGAGTCATTAGAATACCAGTGCCCAACCCAGTTAGTACAGAGAAAGCTAGAATAAATTGCCAAAGAGCTTTACAATCCGCCAATGCAAATATCCCACCTACATATAATATAGTACCTATCATCAACAGGCGTTTACTGCCGTTTCTATCGAAGTAACCACCAGCAAGGATACAAGAAAAAAACCCAATAGATAGATAGATAGAAAAGATCCATGAGACAGTAGAAGATCCCACTGAAGCCAATTGGTTTTTGGATATATAGGATTCAATGGCACCGATTGAATTAATTAGACCAAAGACGGGGATCAGCCCCATAAAGGAGCCAAACACAACTGAATATGCTTTCAAGCCGCCTTCTGGAAATTCTTTATCTTCATCAAACAAAAGTGAGGCATTATCATAGTTATGACCATCAGAAAACAAATCAGGGTGAGTATCAATGATTTTTAAAGTTTCTTTATGGACAATAGTAGATTCACTACTCTTGGTTAATATAGTTGCATCATCACCTACCTGTGTCAAGACAAACCCAGAACTTGGGCCTTCTTGGAATGTTCTAGTATTTTGAAAATTAGGATGATAATGATGATTAAAATCAGTCCCTTTTGATTCTGTATCACCATTTTGTTTGTCAGAGATTACATCTTGTGAATCCTCTTGACGTTTGTGTTTATTGAATATCTGCTTAGAGAACCTACCAGTAGTAGAGAATAATAACATATTGCAGAACCTCCTTTTATCTCTTCTTTTCCTTTTATTATTTCTCTATTTGGTTACTAGGAAACCAAACCCTTCCGGTTGTACTATTTTGACAAGACGACTATAACATACAAAAATTAGCTACTAAGTATATCCAAACGCAACAACATGACTCTGAAATACACACGAGTATATACACACACATGTATGTGTATATATATGTAGCGTAATATGTGACTAATAAACAGTACAAGATTGCTTACAGGTATACTCATCAGCAAAAATAACATGTTTTATTATGTTTTTAAAGTTACATTACATGTATGGAAACAAGGCGCAGTCTTTTCTATTGAAAATAGCAAGATCAGATCAGGTGAACCAAAAAAAGAAACGAGATAGACCTAAGATCATTTCCCAAATGACTCAATCCTTTGTCTTGACTGCGACAAGATCAACTGAATCGGCTGATAGAGGGCATTTGTTTTTTCTTTTTTCTTTTTACATTATGAGACGGGTGTATGGATGTTTTGTATAGTCCTAAGACTTCACAAAGTAGGGCTAGTTCTTCTGTGATTAAAACCATATAAGTATATACATATATATATATATTCATTGTTACTATTGCAGTCACTATCCATATTTGTGTATACCATACACATGATATGAACATACACAAGCTACATATACATATGAAGAATCTTTTCTTGGCAGAGAGATTACATTGTTTTATAATACAGGAGTTTTTGTAAGTTATTTTCCAACCATAATTAGAGTTGGTGTATATGCGTGTGTGTTTATGTTTGTGAGGATAATTGTTATATATATATATCTCAACTCCGGGTTCTACCTCCGACGTTTGTTTTCCGCAGTTCTCATTGTTTCTCCTGGTAATTGCAGATGATTGATCTATGGATCTTGTTGCTGATTTTGTGTCCTTATTTGTCCTTTCCGTGGAACTAAAATCACAACTTCCGAACACCACAAAGAGAAGAGGTTAGTATACTTTTTAAGGGAATATAAAGTAAAACAGAGTAGATCTTGGTAATCAGTGACCAATACATACTGTTCGTCATCGGCATACGATCTAAGGTTATGTGAATATAAACAAATGGGTAGAAGGTAATTCTGAATATAAAATCAATTCACCCTTTCCTTTTAAGCAATTCTTCATTTTTTTTCTTTTTAGTTTTTCTATTTCAGGAGGTGCCTTCTTCTATTTATATATATATTTTATTGTTTGTTAAATGTTTACCTAGCTATCAAACCTTTATATAGACACAAATTTGGAGGTGTCACATCATTAAGGATTGACTAACCATTACAATTCACAATTTCAAAAGCAAGAACAAGGAAGATAGAGATAGGGAGAAATAATCAAAAAAGCGGTGGAGACTTAAGGATTTTTATTTATACACCATACACTCTATTATATTTTAATAGAAGTTTTATTTTACTGTTTCATCTGCACCGTTTTTGGCCGAAAAAAAGAAAGAAATATGTTCGATACTGATGAAGAGAATGGGAATTATGAAGATTTTATGATCTCTGATGATGAAAGTTTGCAAATGGAATTTGAAAGTGATGTAGAAGAGCATGAAAAACAACAAGAAGGGGGTAGTCGTGATAGTGTCACTCCTAATGAAAACGATGCAGCCATAACAAAAATGGTTTCTGAAGGCGAAAAATTAATGAATATCGGTAAATGGGATGATGCAAGGCTTCAGTTTCTTAGGATACTTAATATAATATATCCAAACACCTCTGGTTTACCACCATCAGATATCTTTCCAATATGGGTGAAAATTATGAATTGCTGGACTAGAATCCTTTATTATAATAACTGCAATAATCTATTGAATCTAAATGATTTGTTTGGCCAATGTAGTCAATTTTGTGATTACCTTTTGCAAGAAAACGATAACAGTCATATATGTTTATCCCAATTGCAATATTTAGTTGTTGATTTTTTCCCTGATTTGAGTAATCGCTATATCTTTGAAATAAATGAAATTGACGATTGTGAGAACAGGCAAATATTAGATAAGGTCAATATACAATTAAATCTCTATATAATCTTTAAAACTTTGAGAACTATTGACCATCAAATTGCCGACTTCCTTGAACTTCAATCTATCATTTTATCACAATGGAAGAGATTACTCTCTATCCCAACTATGGACCCCAGAAATAATAACGATCTTCCTTCCTCTCTATCAATTGATTATGATTCATTCAATACGATAATCACTAACCTATTAAATATATTTAATAAGGACGACTGTTCTGCAATCATTGCTAATAAAAGCCCATTTGAACAAAGGATACTTACCAAAAGATTTGAAGTGACATTTCAGATTTTTATCTTATTATATCTGTTTAACAACAATCGAATTATGAGACATGATACAGTAATGATATTGAAACTGGATCAAATCTTGGAACTTTTCCAAGAGTGTAGCCGTGGTCTGTTGACTATCTCACAGGATTCTCGATTAATGTTCTTATATCATTTCAGTTGTTCTATCCAATTGTTAATAGACATATCGGTCGATATGAACCCATATAAGACTGTTTCTTCATGTAGAGACCATTTTTTATCTAGTTTGCAACATTTAGAGATATTAGGATCATATAGTCAATGGATTGAAAACGGATATTGCCAATACTTATTAAGTGGGTTTATCTTGACCAGTATATTTATTATATTACAGGACAAGTATTATAACAACTCACAATCGCGAGAAGATAGATTTTTGGACCCATTTGAATATGAACAGATTAAAATTATTCGTAAAAACTTACAATATAGACACATTATCAAAATGTTACAACAATTCTATACAAAGCTAGTGAAAATGACTAATTTAGAGGAAACGTACTATGAGATCCAAGAAATTTTAAGAAACTTGAATATCAACGAAGCTGTAAATAAATACGAGGCTCTGCTTGAAGAAATGTTTAATATCGTTATTAAATTAAAACTGTTGTACAAGATAGTGCCTTTGTATGAAAGAATTAGCATTATAGATTTACAAAAGTTATTAACGTATGATCCGATAAATCATCAATTGAATAAAGATGATATCATTAAACTATTGATGAAATTTAAATTGTATGATGAGCCAGAGAGAGGAGAAGGAAGGAGAAGAAGAAGAATATCATTTTCTATCGATTTCGTTGAAGATCATGTATTATTTGACGATGATTTATCATCCACTAGAAATGTTTTCGTTGACAATGATGTAGAAACATGTGAAAGAAACCGAGATATAGAAATATTTTTCAAGTCTATTAATGAGCCAGCCAATGATAATGATATTAGTAATAATGTGGTTACAAAGAGATATAGTGGAAAAGAAGATAATATATCATACAATTTACAGGTAAATTCTAATGGGAAGACTCGAAAAGTGGAGGGCTTGGCACAATTCCAATTGCAAGCAGCGTTATTGATATCTGAATCACTTTCTACAATGACTACGGCAGTATCTTCCTCCTCTTCCTCCCCCACCTCATCATCTAATATGGTATAAGGGGTGGGTTTGCTGAAAACAGAAAAAGAACAAGAGAAGAAACGAAAAAAAAAAAAGAACTATTGCTTTGACACTTCATATGTTGAATTCATTTCCCAATTGGCTATTATTTTCTTCTTTTTCTTTTTCTTTTTGTTCTCATCTACAAATTGTGCAAAGCTTACATCATCGTAGTATTGTCCTAGAAGATCTGACAATAGAAAACTCCACTTTTTTCTGTTAGTCCGAAAAAAAATTGTTATATGCATATTACTCTATTGTTTTTTTGCAGTGTTTTCTTTTGTTTTTTATCTAACTTTTCTCCTTGAAAAAAAAGAAAAAATTTTCCAAGAAAACAATACCAGAAAGAAAATGGCTTGGGCTCCAAAATTTCGGTAAACAAAATAGAAAACAAAAAAGATATTATTTTTGTTTATTTTTATTTTTATTTTTTTTTTTTTTCAACTCCTTCAATTGTCCAGATTCTGATGTTTTTTTCTTTTTTTGTAATCTTAGAAGATGCTACAATAGACAAAGAAACATAGTGGTGGGGGTGGGGGGAGGGACAAATAACCAAACAAGATCAAGACATGACTAAGCGCACTAGGACTAAACTACAATAGAGAAGTATGTGTAATATGTGCCAACAATTTTTTGGTTTGTCGTTGTCATTGTTGTTGTTTTAACCACACGATTTAGTTCCTGTTTGAAATGGCAAATATCTGACCAATTATTTTATTTTTATTTTTATTTTTATTGTTTGCTATGTTTCCCCCTTTTGCTTATGGCATGCATTGGGAAGGGCCAGATTACTTTATGCTATTCTGTCACTATACCATCAAAGAAAGAAAAAAAAAAGACCGATTGTTTATATTTCAATTTTTCGGAGATTTTGCTTAGATAGATGGTTTTTTTTGTTTGGTCTTATTTCCAGCTGTCGTCGTGTTTCTTAGGATTCTTTACTTTGTCCGATTTTGGTACAGTTCTGTTTATTTATGCAATATGGATCTGTTTTTTGTGTACTATTTGGAAAAAACGTGTTGCACCAATTAATGCAAGATCCATTGTATATCTTTTCCTTTTTGTTTTCCTGTTGTTAGAAATCTTGGCCAGGGTGTTGTGTATTGTTTACTTTCCCATTTTGTTTATTATTAGAAATAACATCACAGATTAGAAAAGTTTGATTAGCAAAAAAAAAAAAAAACAAAAAGAAAGTATTCGTTTCTCCTCTTCTCTTTCCTGGAGGGGTAAGAAGTAAAGAAAAAAGAAAGAAAGAAAAAAAAATTATTGTGTGCTAGATTATTTTACTATTCTCTTATGGGCTATTGATTACTTGAGCACCTCTGACTTTGATACATACACATTTTGGCATCGATATTATATTTATTTTCTAAGGAATTTATACTCCGTCATACAAATAGAGAACCTGATATAAAATAACAAGAATCATCGTAGAAATTGTGACATACACCTTCTCTTCGCTCTCTTTTCTGAAGCTGACGACTATTTATCTGTTTAATTTACTTCTTTTCTCCAACTTGTTTCCATCAACCTTTCTTTCATCTCTACTTCTTTTATTTATCCAAAGTTATCATCAATAACAAATAAATAAATAAATAAACAAAAGAACAAGAAAAATCTGAACAAACATAATAACATCTCATCAAGATTAGATTGAGTCTTTATTATTTTGTTATCCAGTCTTCATAAATTCAATGGCCTTATTTATACTCTAAATGCTTTTATTTTTTTGGCTTTTATAGATTTTTTTTGTGTCTTAAATGAGTACTACTAATATAAAACATAATCAAGATTCCTTAAAAATGGCAACCGTCGATCATTTTCACAACAATATTCACAGTATTCCAGATTCTTCTGTACCTGTTCCGTATGACTATCATACCCACAATCATCATCAAAATAGCTATGGTGACAACTACTTGTTATTCAATCCCGATGATAACGATTCTTTATTGGGGCAGGAGCGATTGTCTGCTTTGGGGAAAAGACTGATGCATTATGAGACTATGTTTCATAATCTAAACAATAAAATGGACCAAAGCTTTAAAAAATACGACACAATAATACAATCGCAGCAAAAACAAATCATCGAGCTGAGTTCCACCCTCTCAATTCTTTTAAATGATCAAATAAAGGGCGCTGGTCCTTTAAAAGAAAAATTATCAAGTACTAGCACCACTGGCATTTCCTCTCAGATAGCATATCTTGATAATACACCTCAATATCATCATCATAATCACCATAATAATCCTCAACAGTATCAACAGACAGAAGTGTCTAGTATGATAAACAATACTCATATTTTATTTAACGCACACAGCACAGAAGATCTTTTGCAAGAGATTTTAAGCAATGAAACTTCTAGTATTTCTACTCCAATCACTGTCACTGGAACAAATCCAATAGGGGCCCAGATCGATTTTCAGAGTCAAAATGTTCCAATAGATATGAATGCATCTTTTGCTAAAGAGGCCTACGATCCTTTAAATGGTTCGATTGAAAAGTATCCTAATACTGCCAGTCATTCAAAAGATCTTCCGAAGCCTCATAGCAACAACAATAATACTGATTCCATTGTCTTGGATAGACCTTTGGGGCGCAATACTGGCGTTCAAGTCAACAGTATTCCAGCTTCAATGACCCACAATGAAAAAAGGATAAGAAAAATTAGGTATCAAGCAAACGAATCTCTGAAAGAATTAAAACCAATCCATCAGTTTAAATTTATTAGATCCCCTCATTCGGTGAAGGAAATATGGCAAGAGTATGCTGAGGGTGTCAAAGGACAGCCATCGGTGAAAGAAATGGACTCACGTTATCATTCTGCCTGGAGAAAGGACCCTGCTGTTAGTAAAAGGTATTCTAGACGTAGAGTCCTATGTAAAGCTATAGAAAATGGATTAACCAAGGGCTATGATTTAGAGACCGTTATTGAACTTTTAGAAAATCATAGAATAATGGATCAAGGAAGAGGTACAAAACAGCCACTAGGGTGGCTTTGTCAACCATCAAACATTCCAGAAACTTTCAAATAAATTGTCTTATTATTTTAATTTTTCACTACTATATTCAAGTAAGATTTGTGATTATACCAGTTTAGTAACTTAATATGGTTTACAATGATTGTGTATAGTATGTTCTGTACGAGACAATATGTATGTATATAAATATAAAAATATGAACGCATTCTACCACGTATACTTTATGACAATATATATATATATATATATTCTCTAATTTTATATTGTGGGTTGACAGATATTGGTATCATAAAAAGTTTAAGTTCCTTTTATAAGCTTTTCCCATCTTCAGAATATTTACTTATTGAGTTTTTTTTTTCCGACTTTTTTCCATGAATGTGAAAAGTTTAAGAAGATTTACAAACCATATAATTCAGTTAGACATAATGATATGAGCACTAGGGTCAGGTAATAAGGCACACATTAGGAATGACAGAAGAATCAACTCTTTGAAAAATATAATAATATCAGTACAAATAAAATTGTTGATTTTAATAAAAAAGAAGTAATTTGAAAATTATATAAACATATATGTCCAAGACATCTCATATAGAAACAAACTCAATAGTAAATAATCCCATTTTAATTGAAGAAGGAGAACTAAAAGAAAAAGAAGAGATAGATAGGGAGAAAGAGAAAGATAATAATGATGGCAAGGGGAATAATAGCTTTCTTGATCAAGATAATTTTATTCTCATAGAGGACGATAACGAGGAAGGGTTTGATGACTATGACGGGCACTTTGATAACCCTACAGAAACAGAATCTAAGGAATCTAGTGAGGTACCAAATTTATCATTACCCAAGCATAATTCATTAGAAGAAAATGATGATTTTATTGCATTTTCTAATAGTTCATTGTCTAGCGATAGCGATGAATTGCAGGATTCAAAATTAGAAAATAGACTGGAAGAATCTCAACTAGAAAAGGGCAAGATTGAAACAGCTATTACTTCATCAGATTATCCATGGACGATTAATCATGATCATTCTAAGGAGACAGAAATTGCTGATTGGTTAACATTGGAAATACACGATTTTGTTAAATATATTTCACCAAGCAAAGAAGAGATTAAAGCTAGAAACATCACTATAAGTAAATTACGTCAAGCTGTCAAATCTCTTTGGCCTGATGCAGATTTACATGTTTTTGGATCATATGCCACCGATCTTTATTTACCTGGTTCAGATATCGATTGTGTAGTTAACAGTGAAGGTGGTGATAAACAGACTAGAACATGCCTTTATAAATTGGCCCAACATCTTAAAAATGAGCATATAGCTACCGAGATTGAAGTGATAGTAAAGACTAGAGTTCCCATTATTAAATTTGTGGAACCAGAAACTCAAATTCATATCGATGTGTCCTTTGAGAGGACCAATGGTCTTGAGGCTGCTAAATTAATTAGAGAATGGTTAGAAGAGACACCAGGATTGCGAGAATTGGTTCTTATCATTAAACAGTTTTTACATTCAAGAAGATTGAATAATGTCCATACCGGTGGGTTAGGTGGATTTTCTATCATTTGTCTAGTGTATTCATTTTTACATCTACACCCACGTATCCTTACAGGTGAAATTGATCCTTTAGAGAACCTAGGAGTATTATTAATAGATTTCTTCGAATTATATGGTAAAAATTTTGGTTACGACGATGTTGCTATTAGTTTATTGGGTGGGAAGCCAGCCTATTTTTCCAAATTAGATTGGAAAGAATTATATCCAATTAGAAATTCGTTTTCTTTAGCTATTCAGGATCCAGATGATAAGACTAACAACATCAGTCGTGGTTCATTTAATATTCGAGACATTAAGAAGGCCTTTGCTGGTGCATTTGACTTGTTAACAAACAGATGTTTTGAATTAGATTCCATACCATTTAGCAAAAGGAAGGGACAAAGCATTTTAGGAAATGTTATAAAATACAAAGGAAAGCAAAGAGATTTTAAAGACGAAAGAAATTTGGTTCTTAATAAAGCCATTGTGGAGAATGAAAACTACCATCAAAAGAAGAGAAGTCGGATTGTGCATGATATGGGAGACAATGAATTAAATAGTTATGAAAATGAGTCAAAAGAAAGCTCACCAGATCCTCCATTGAAAAAGAGAAAGAAAGATAAGTCAAATTCAGATAAAAAGAAAGACAAGAAGAAATCGAAGGTGGAGAAAATAAAAAAGAAAAAGAATAAAGTCAAGGATACTAAAGAAACTGAACTTACAACCTTTATTGCTGCAAAAGATGAAGACGAAGATGATTACAATCCACTATCTGTTTAACACAAATGAATACAGCATTAAAAAAAAGAAAAAGAATAAAGGAAAATTAACGATATTTTGATAATGAATAGACATATCTAAATTGTAACATTTATATATATATATATACATAAAATAATGTAACGATAGCCTAATTATTTAAGGTTAACTTTCCTATATTTTTTTTTATCACTTTTGTATTTTTTGTTCCTTAGTCTTTTCTCATGACTTCGCTTTTTAATTCTAGCCCATTTTAGTTTAGTTTCTGGATCAGTATCGTTTGAGAAATAACAGCAACTTTTAATTTCGGTGATCAATTTGTCGACAACCATATTTTTATTTTGAAGTCTGGATCTGGTCTCATCACATTGAACCACTACAGAATCAGAGTTTGGGTAATAATATCTAAATTTTTTGTGTAACATGTCAGGATTACAATCGAAAAGTTGTGATCTAATTTCCTCAGGAATCAGGCTACATTGAGAAGCATTATATAAAGTAAGAGTGCACTTAGTGTTTAATTTATTTACATTCTGTCCACCTGGTCCGCTAGACCTGTCATATCTGAAGGTGAATATATTTTGGGGTAGAGTGTCTGTATTTAAATTTTTTAGCCATTCCTTGGCGGTTTCTACTGAATAGAATCTGAGTTTCAAATTTAGTCTGATCATAGTTAGTAATTTAGGTCAATACTAGTAAAATATAAAAAAAAAATGAAAGAGAATTTTCTTTTTTCTTAAATAGAATAAAATGAGATACACAGAAGATAGTATCCATGTGAATTAGGGACTCAAGCTAGTATATTATTAAAGAGATTAGGATAGAGCTGGGACAGCCTCTTTAATCTCGATGCCATCGGAACACTTATAGTCTTTTTGAGAGTTTTTTTCATGAACCCCATACAATTGCTTCCCTTTAAAGTGCCTACATTTTTTGTTCGATGGCCGGAGAAATTTCGCAGACCTATTTTCTCAAACACCTCGTATAGCAAATAAACGTAGTAAAAGAACGACACAAGTGGAAGTGGAATTGGAAAATAAACAAAGCAAACAGACAGAGAGGGAAGAGATCAACAGAAACAAACTATTAATACAGGTTTTAAAAAAAAAGAAAAGAAAATAGAAGAGAAGCTAAGACATATTATTATAAACAATTTCAGTGGCCCTTATTCAAATTGTCTTTTTGCGTTAGTGTGCCTGTATATGGGGAAGAGCGTATATTCAACTATAGAGAGGTGTGATATTCGGAAGAAGAGCATTTGTTAATAATGGGACACAATGATTTTTTATCTAATGCTGTGCCAGTGAAAGTGAATACATTAAATTTTATTCCACCAAAACAAAGGGAGTTGAAGAAATCACCATCGATGCCCAGTTTTTATAAATTTGAAAATTATACAAAGCATCGCTCTGCATCCATTAATCGAAGTTCAATCCAATTACATGACACAAATACCCCATCAAGAATTCCTGAACTACTGCAGGAACCACCTGTGGATACAGTGTCAGTTGAAGATAGTTTTGTTGATTTATATATAGATAGAAATGAGGAAAGTCCTGTAAGGTCTGTTTTTAATAGGGCAAGTTCTTTTCAATCAACTACTTTGAAAAGAAGATCTGATATTACTGATCCCCAACATTTTGACAGATATGGGTTTAAGAAAAGGACACAATTTATAACTGAGGAAGAATATGATCGTTGGTGGTCTGAATATTCTCAATATTGTATTAGAAGGAAACATAAATGGAGAAATTTCTTATTGAAAAGCGGTCTTTCCTTAAAAAATGATCTACCAGAGAAATTCCCCCCACAGAGTGAAAAATTGAAAAGATATGTAAGGAAGGGTATACCAGCAGAATGGAGAGGTAATGCATGGTGGTATTTTGCCAGAGGTGACGAAATGTTAAACAAAAATAAAGGTTTGTATTCAAAATTGTTAAAGAAAGTGGAGGAAAATAAAAATAATAAGAATATAATTCAAGATTTAGATGTTATTGAAAGGGATTTAAACAGAACTTTCCCAGACAATATTCATTTCCATAGAGAGTCATTCCAAAAAGAGGAACCATTTATGATACAAGCTTTACGACGAGTTTTACTTGCATTTTCAATATATGATACAGAGATTGGCTATTGTCAGTCGATGAATTTTCTAGCTGCATTATTATTACTGTTTTTAAGTGAGGAGAAAGCATTTTGGATGCTTGTTATAATTACTAAAAAATATTTACCTGGTGTGCATTCAGTGAACTTAGAAGGAGTGAATGTGGATCAAGGGGTGTTGATTCTATGTATCAAGGAATATTTACCCGAATTATGGTCAAAGATGGAGGCATCAATGCTAAACACTACTGGACAAAAGAGCATCAGTCAATTTGAAATTTTGAATAAGTTGCCACCAATGACTTTATCTACAGCAAGCTGGTTCATGAGCTGCTTTGTTGGAGTGGTGCCTATTGAGACAACACTTCGGATATGGGATTGTTTATTTTATGAGAAATCACATTTTTTGTTTAAAGTTTCCTTAGCCATATTAAAATTAAGTGAAGAAGAGTTATTAGAAAGAAAACTATCTATATCACAGAGCATTTTAGCTACATTTAGTAACGAATCATTGGAACACATTAACAGTCATGGGAGTGGTGGCAGTGCCAATCATCGATCCAGACCAAGAGTAGAAGATATGACTCAGGATGATTATGATATGCTATTTTTTCAAGTAATTCAAACATTTCCAAAGAAATTATTAAATCCAAATGATATATTTGAAAAGGTCATATTTAAGAAAAAAATGACATTAAATAAATTGGATCAAGAGGAAATTGACAAAGTCAGAAAATATGTGTCATCACAAAGAGATAAGTGGGCTAGGTTTAACAAAGTGTTAAACAAGGACAGTAGCAATAATGGTAATAATGATCCTGGTAATAAGATGCTGTACAAAAATTTAGATGATACATCGTCGATACAAGAAGGAACCGATAATATAAGTTTGAGCAATGAAGAAGTTATGGATACACTTCTCTCAGAGGTATCAGGTTTTAAAAGAATTAGTCTTTCTGGAGTAAATTGGAATAATAGCATAAAGATAAGAGTAAAAAACATTAGACAGAAAAAATAAACAAGTATTATACTATTACTTTATATATATATGTGTGTATGTATGTAATTATGGATTTATGGATAGATATTTTAGCACGGTCGTGATAGAAGTAGTTACTCCTGAGTCAAATCCCATCCTCTTTTCAATCTTTCGTATACACTAGTTGCTTCTTGTTTAGTTGAGTAAGTATCAATTAATACCTGTTCAATGACATCCCAAGGAACGGCAGTTTTTTGTTGAGTGGAGCTAGGTAATATTTGATCAATTGAGGGGTCCTCTGGATCTTGCTCTTCCTTCTTATCTGGGATCAAAGGTTTAGATATCATGACATTAACAATGACATTGTCTTGTTCTTTAATAGGTAGATCCACCAAAAGGGTGGAATCATGCAACACTTTCCCTTTAATCAGTAATTTCAACTGATTTAATTGTTTGATAGTAGATTCATGTTGCTGGATAAATTCTTTCACCTGAAGAACGGTCTGATTCACATTAAAATCATGTTCAATTGAGAATTTTGGTTGTCTTACACTTTTCAAAGTTAGTTTAACTGTGGCTGGTTGGTTACCGTCTGAAATACTGTCGGTTGCTGTATCATTACCAAGCCTTTTCTGAGGATTATACTTATATTTCAATGGTGGTAATGCAACACCTAAAGTCTTGACATCTTTTAAAGGTCTTTGGTAAGAGGAAGAAAGTTGAGGGGGGTTGATGGTGGCTAGAACCAAAAATTTATTAACAAAATCACAATCAGACATTGTCAAATGTATACCTGTATAACTAGTTGGTTGTTTAGAAGAGTATCAACACTTTACCTGTTGGATTATTTATTTGTGTATGGGCATGTGTTTTCTTCTTTGTAACATTAAGAAGAAGATTTATTCCTTTTTTTTTTTTTATTTATGTTTTATGAAAAAAAAAAAATAGAAAAAGAAAAAGAAAGAAAGAAACTGATGATCTGCGAAACTTTTCTTTGTAAAGTGAAGTGACACAAAAGTTGTAGAAACTGGTAAACTTTTGTAAGGGTGTTCTTCTTTTTTTTTTTCTCTCTTTTGTTTTTTGGAATCATTTGTGTATGGCATTGGAAGAGACTCTTTTTTAGGATAGTGAACGGTGAGCAAGAGTGTTCAATGGAGGAACATTCAGCAAACGATAACATAACATTTGAGACGCCTGGAACTACGAGCTCAATAATAAAGACGGTTTCGAACGGATGTGACCTAGAATTGAATGGAGAAAATAAATGGAATATCCAATTACCTTCAATAATTTCTAATCAACAAAACGAAAAAAATATAAATCATACATTGTTTGGTATTAGTGGGCAAGATGAATGCATGAAAAATCAAAATAATAATAGTACGAGTAATAATAATAATAATAATAATAATAATATTCTATTCTTTAATTATCATGAGTTTCAGGAGACATATTACTTTGAAGTAGATTCTTTAGAAGAAGGACCAAAGGAACATGACACAGGACATTCCATAGTGATTACTCACTTTCCTAACATATATGTGTCGCCAGACTCAACAGAATGGAGGAAAACAAGAATAGTAAGAATACCTCGTTCGTATGACCAGCGAGTAACGTATCCATGCTTTAGTGAATATTTACCTGGCCATGAACCAGCAGCTATTATTGTAAGCGATAAAAATGCTAGGGATAAGTTTATATGTCAGGGGAAGAGTCCTCGAGATGGACAATGGTATGGATACGGTTCGATATCGCCGTTGTCTATATATTTCACACAGGATAAATTTCAAGAGATAATCAAAAAGATCAATAGCTTAATTGAAGAAGACTTCCAATTAGGCGGATGGATCAATATATTTGATCTAGTGATGGAATATTTCACTTTTGGGTTATTTAATTTTTCAAAGATCATCAATTGCCAGCTTCGGAACCAAGGGACAAAAGTGGACCAATATATTACAGAATTGAATAGCACAGATGAGTTCATACGACATGGGATCCAGATCATTCCATTGGCACGGTCAGCATATTTGTCTTTGGATTTTCAAATACCTTCTCCAACACCTACCTAAGAGAAGAAAGGAAAGGAAAAAAAAAAAGAATAAAAAGAGAAATTTTGTGAAGCTTGAAGTGTTTAATCATTTCTTCGACTTCAACTCTGCAACACCCGCAATGGCAGATGTTTTATCTGAGTATATAGATGTATTTGATGTAAATAACGATAAAGCAATGTTTTATACAAACAACGGACACGAATTGTGAGGGAACTTTTTCGTGACGGAATGGCGGGAAATGTGCGGAATTTGTGTTTCTTTTTTTTGGTTTGTTTTTTCTTGTTTTCTGTTCAATCAAGGAATTTCCTCTTTGGGAAATCCACGAAAATTTCGTAAAGATGAAGGATCACTATTTCAGGGTGTGTGGGTGTTTAATATACACGAAAAGAAGATTTGTTTTTTTTTTTTTGTTTCTTTTCTGCTCTCCCCTAAATTTTTTTTTTTTTTGAGGAATGTAAAACAACAAAAAAAAAAGAAACAAAACATAGCAAATCGATCATTTCGTAACTTTGGCAATTCGTGCTGAATAAAACAGAGACGTAAAGTGAAGTAAAAAGAAGAAAAAACAAAACGAAATCGAGAAATTAAGAAGTCTATTTCTTCGAGAAAACAAGAACCTCGCACTTCTCTTGTTTAAAGAGGTAATAAAGATCACGAAAAGACCAGAATTTGGTGCAATGTCCATGAAGCCAATATCAAAGTCATAAGACAACCATCCTTGAACTATATTTCATTCCTCATATCTATATTCATGCTCATATATATAGATGACTACATGTCAACTTGAACATGAAGTCATTGATCTATACCCAGGTCTTGTTTTTTGACTGGATTATAAATATGACATCAGTGTGTCTATCTTTCATGAGAATCCCCCAATCAAAAGCCAAACACCATAGACAATACAAATAGTTCTGACAGTAAAAATCATTAACACCTAACATGAAGTATTACAGTAAGTCCTTAGACATTTTGATGAAATCACCAGTCACGGATGAAATGATCCAATATTTGACAAAAGTGACATTAAAGGTCTTACCAAATAACAAGTACAACAATACCGTCTCACAACACCACTACCCATCTCCACCAAGTAGTCCCAATGAACTTAAAACTTTCCAACAACAACAAAGGTTACCATCTCTTAGAACCTTCATCACTCGCTTAGTTAGATACACTAATGTTTACACACAGACACTATTGACTACAGCCTGCTACTTAAACAAATTGAAACGCATCTTGCCTCGTGATGCAAAGGGTTTGCCATCCACGGTTCATAGACTATTTTTGGCTTGTTTGATACTGAGTGCCAAATTCCACAATGATTCTTCACCACTAAATAAGCACTGGGCAAAATACACTGACGGTTTATTTTCATGTGATGATATCAATTTGATGGAAAGACAACTGCTAAATCTATTGAACTGGGATTTGCGTGTCACTGAAGATGATTTGATTCTTGATTTGCAATTTTTATTAGAACCTATCAGAGAACATATCATGAAAACAGAGATTCAAATCAAAAAGAGAACGCAAAGACAAGCATTACAACAACAACAACAACAACATAAAGTATACCAAGCTACTCGTGTTCCTATAAGTACAACACCTGTACATTACAACAATATCTCTATATATAGTAGTAATAACAAGCTACACGAAAGGGATTGTTCAATAGCATCTAATATGAGTTCTGCGACATTAGTAAGTAGCAGCAGATCCAGCAGCAGGTGTGGGTCTGAAATTGATTTGAATAAAAGGATAATAACGCCAATTCCATGCAAACTAGTTCCAGATAATAATATGACATATTCTACTAGCACACCATACATACAGCACCTATAAGGTCTTTTAATAAGAAAAATATTTAACGGTTTAATGATAAATTTCTATAATTTTTTTAAGGATACCCAATATATATATACATGCGAATATTTGTTTTTAATTTTTATTTTTTTTTTAATAAAGCCATATATAAAAGATATTAACCCACTAATATATATTCCAATGATCATATATTGTGACATTGTCTATTTATTGATTTTAGTGACCGTTTGATTGATTTATTTTGTTAGAACCCTTACAGTAAGATTTGAAAATCCTAACAAAAAAACAAAATATGTAATACTAACCCTAATGGAAATAGTGTATTTTTTTATTTTTCCTGGAAAAATAGACAGTGTTGTAAAACAATAGTTTTATTTCGAGAGTGCAAAGTTTTTCCGAAACTGCTCCCTATAAATTTTCTGTTTCATTGTTTTTTTTTATTGTCTCCTCTTTTTTTCCATTTATCCAAATTTAGCAGCAGTTTATAAGACCGACAAGATATCTAAAAAGAAAAATAATTTCCTTTTACAGAATAAACCGGGCATTGTCGAAGAGTATCGATATTGTTTTTTATTGTTTTTTGTTTTGTTTTGTTTTTGTTTTTTGATTACACAATTAAGCAAAAGAAATTGGTAGAATCTTTAGGAACAGAAACAATATACGCTGTCCAAATTTGGGAGATATTTGTTTTCTCTTGTATGAGTATATTCCCTTTTTGAGGGCATGTCTTCTATTCAATGAAACACCAAGGAGTGTTTTTGCAAACATTTCAAATCTCTTATGAATCTTTTTTTTTTCTTTTTCTTTTTTTTTTTTTTTTTCACTAATAAGGCATCTATATTCATTCTTTGAGCTTCTATGTATGGCTGTGCTTGTATTTTCTATCTATCCATCTTCCTCCTCCTCCCTCTTCCTCCCATGATAATGGTATTTGTTAGTTTTTGTTTATTTTTTCATAACTATCATCGATAAATCCCTAAAAAAAATATTATTGTTAACGAGAGATATCTCTCTTTTGACTCTCCAAATTATAGATAAATAAATATACATACATACATATATATATATGTATATATATAGGGTTACTTGACATTTCTCTAATTGTTTTCTCAAAAGTTACCTTTATTTTTTCTTAGGAATTTTATCTTGTTTCCTTTCTCACTTATAGACATATTTCTTTCCACCTCCGAATTCATTTATTGACCCTATATTAATTGACATTCGCAAGTTTACAATTATAATATCGAAAACAAACAAAAAAAAACACCATATAATATTATATAATATAATAAGAAAAAATGTCTGAAGAACAAAAGCAAGACACTCCAGTTGCCCCAGTTGAAGAAATTGCTCCTGTTGAAGAAACTACCCCAGCTGTTGAGGAACCAAAACAGGAGGAAGAAGAAGCTGCTGAACCTCCAGTTGTTGAAAATAAGGAAGAAGAAACCACTCAAGCCCCAACTGTCGACAAGAAAGAAGAAGAAACTGCTCAATCTTCAGTTACTGAAAAGAAGGAAGAGGAAAAGAAAAACAAGGTTAAAACCTTTTTTAAGAAAATCTTTTCTGTATTTAACGTTTAATTTTTGAAGTAGTATTTCTTACCTCCTCTATCAATCACAGAAATAGAAAAAATTACATAGTATGCATTTATACACCTTTTCAAATCATTCACATCTCTAGTAATAATTAATAATTAATATACTGCCTTATGTAAAAAAATAATATTTGATTGTTTAGTATAATTTTTTTAAATCTTTTTATTCTTTTATTTATTTGAATAGTCTTTTTTGATTTTTTTTTCTTTTCTATATTTATAATCTTTGTTTATTTAAATATTTAGATTTCTTTCTATAATAAAATATAGTTTACATATATTTATACAGAAAAAAAAAGAATCATTCACTTTTTTTTTATTATCGTTAGAGCGTATATATCTTCATGGTTGGTCTTCATTTATTATATAATATCTGTTTAAGTCATTAATTGTTAGTGTCATTTTAAATTTAAGTCATATAAAAAGTATATCTATTTTCCGATAATATACGTTTTGTATCCTTAGCCTTTAAAACCCTACCAAAATAAAAACACCATTTCTAAACGCTGAATTTTTCAATCTGATTCTTGTGAAGAAAAGTTTTCTTACACTGGGACTTGATCAGGCACAGTTCCAGAAAGCTAACAATTCTAGTACTATCACACCTTGCGGTGCTACAGAAGGTTCATTATATGGGGATAGCAAAAACATGAGCGGTACGAGAATCGAACCCGTGTCTCCACCTTGGAAGGGTGGAATGATAACCACTACACTAACCGCCCAACTTGCCGTTTGTTGTGAAATAGAATAATTATTATCATCAAGATTACATGAGATCTGAATGAATCTAGAACTATTTACTGTTTTAATAAGCCATACATGTGCTACAACATTAGATGCTGCATAATAAAAAGATTAGTTCCACTAAGACTACATAAGATTTTGGCAAATCTAGAATTTACCTATTGTTTTAATAAGTCCCACGTGTATTACTAATTACCATAATTAGAGAATTAGGGTGCAGTTACTAATTCACTAATATACCTGAATCAGTTTAATAAATTTTAGGGTTTGAATCAGTAAAGTCATTAATGTACAAATCTGGATAATTGATCAAGCTCCAGAAAACATATAAAAAGACAACATTTTCTGGAGATAAAAGATCATCTTCCATAACCTTTTCTTGTAAATAATTTACATATTATATATAAAAATAAATAGAACAACAAGCAAGTAACAAGAAGTAACTTTGAATAAATATATTAGCACGATAAAAGCCGCTCAGTATATAAGACCGTTTTAGTAATTATATTATCGATTATAGTTGATTACTGTCTCGATTATTTGAATAACTATTAATATTATTTGCACTTCCCTGGAATACACAGAGAATCTCACCATCTCATATTACAACATTGTTTGTTGTAGACCAACCTTGATATTATGATTAAATGGAAAAAAAAGGATTAGGGTTGAAAAATATTGTTAGGGTTTTTATGATGGTTGTCAAGAAAACGTTCTAGTTTGGATTTAAAGGACTCAGGATTTGTTGATAAATCCCATGTGATTGTTGAATACTAAGTAACAAAATGAAACATTAATGAGTTAATTAATGAGAGATGTGTTTACGGTGACAATCGTTACAGAACTTCAAATAAGAAACTATCAACCCATGATTCATATATAAAGGACCATCATCTTGATATCTAAATTTGTATGTTTGGTTGATTTATAATTATATGTAACATATTGTATAATACGAAAAAGAACAAGCAATAATCCTTTAATTCTCTTATATATAAAACGTCCTTATATATTTGTTATTGCCTTAACTATTCGTCCAATAGTCCTATTATAAGAATTGGTCCTAAGTCCAAATTATAACATCGTTCTTATAGTATGATATGGTTAAAGTTTTTGTGTTATTTGGAAAGCATAAGAAATATCAAACGGATAATCTATTAATAATCGAAGACAATAATTGATACTGTTGAAAAATGAGAGTTTATTACTATCATTTCCATACAAATTATTTTTAATTAGTTTTTCTGTATATTATGTGATGTACGAATGTATAATAATATATGGGAAACCATTTTATTTTTCACCAACAGTATTTTTCAAAGATTTGAAAAGGAATGAAAAACTTAAAAGAAGCCCTGAAGTAAATACAAGAATCTATACTATATACACTATATAATAAGTATATACACGTATTTAGTACATAATACAACAAGCATCTATAATTTAATGATGTTTACCATTACCATGGACGCTGAAGGCTCCAAATTCCAACTGTTGAGAATGAGCGCCTTTATTCATTGGATATATAGTAAACATTCTCAATATTATATTAAACAGATTTAGTATACAAAATTATAATAAAGTTCTTCGCTTTCTTTCTCTATATACAACACAGAAATAATTATATACAAAGATTGTAAATAAGATAAAAATAATGTACGATGAAATCCTTGGCTTTATTCTTCAGAAACTGTTGTCCTTTTATATCTTTTCGTTTCTTTATCTTCATTTTTAGGTCTTGATGTATAATTTTATCTTTGGGATAAGTATTTCAGTCTCATCTATTTATTAATTAGTATGTACACTTCCGGTATTAAACGTTTCCAGTTTGCAAATGTCTATTGGTTCGACCCAGTTTTTTTATTTGAAGTATTTGTGGATATTTATATGATAAATCCAATAAGAAGGTTATTTGAAAAAATTAAAGTTTTTAAGTTTAATTATATATACTTTCATCAAAATACTGTTTTTTTTTAATTGAATTTTTGTTTTTTTAACTCCTTTGAGAAGATTTTTTTGTGTTTTATGTGTTAAGTAATATAAAGTGTTTCCAAACCGTCTAAGTTTTATGAGAATCTTTCCATAGATAATAAACAAAAATACTTATATATATGGTAAATGTATAGAAATGTTATTCAAATAAGCTTCTCTATGCTTTGTTAAATAAAAATTTGAATCTATGCTTGTGAGGGGTAAACAGATGTTGACTATCGACTTTAAACTGTTTGCCAATTATATTTTCAAAAATTGCGTATATGGTTGAACAGGATTTTTTTTTGCAAATTCTCTCTTACTCTTAGGTAAACATTACTGGATGTCTGTGGCTTTAACCAGTGAACACATTAGACATTGTAGTTTAAATATAGGGAGTTGTAGCTGTAGTGTTATGCTGAAATAATATGTAGACTGAAAATGACTAGAAAAGCTGGTTTCGCAAATCTGCCTGTAAATGCTTTGCGGAAAGTAACCAATTCCGTAATAATTCCGATTAGTGTGTATTCTTTTATATTTATTATTTTAAATTTTTTCTTTTTATTTTCTCCTTTTCCTTCCCCTTTTTTTCGAGCCGAGTCTTTTTTTTTTTTTGTTTTTTTTGTTCTTTTGTTCGGAAGGAAAACGAAAAGTTCTCAGATCTTAAAATGTCACAAGGTGTCAAAATTAACCGGTTCATAAGTATATAAAGATTTATAGAAAATGCGTTTCATTTTTAAGGAGCAATAAGAGGTAACAAAACACCATTGAATTGTTTTGGTCGTTTTTATTCGTTTAATGCACTTTAAAGAAGTATCATTTTAAATAACTATATAAAGTGGAATAATTTACCATAGAATTTTTTTTCCCGTTTACTATTTATTTTTAGTTAGTGTTCAATTCAGATGGATCGTAATACTCCTGATTCTAGAAAAAAAATTACTGCCACCAAGAATCACAAAGTGACATATAATAAACACATATCATTTGATGATCTTTTGCCTGGTTTTTTGGACGAAGAAATACGATTAATTAAAAACAGTGATAGACACATTGGATTTAATAATAAATATGTTCATGTTCCACCACAGTATAATCCATTATATGGACAAAGAAGGCCTAATTTATTAGATACAAAATCTCAAAAAACAATTGAACGATCCAAATCTCCTAATAGTTTTAATCAAAGAAGTAGAAGTGAAACTTCATTGAGTGAAAAGGATAGATATTTAACTAAGAGATTACCACCATCACCTAGAATGTCAATATTGAAAAAAGACTCTAGCAAGCGTATTGAGGAAGAAAATATTGCAGATGTTGATATTGCTTGTATGGATACAAATGCAGAAGAAATTATGGATCATACTACTAAGCAAAACACGCAGTTGAATTCTGGGTCAAAGAATGAATATACACAATCTCTGTTCTCCAACTTGAATGAAGTAGAAGATAGAGTCAGTAAACAAAAAAAATCACTAAAGAATAATAGTAAAAGCTTACCAGATAATGATGGACCAAGAAGAAAATCTTTTGCTGGCATGACAGATGAAGAATTGGCCAAATTAGAAACATTTTATACTACAAGGGGTAGATCAACTGAAGCAAATATTTCAAATTATGACTTTTCACAAAGACAAACAATATTTTCTCTAAAACCAGAAATATATAATAATAATAACAAAAAATGGCGACAAGATACGAAATTGGAACAAGCTAATAAAGAAATAGCAGAAACTCTGGCTGTCACTTATCCATCTAGGCCGGTAGTGGATCATAGAGCAATATCTGTGACTATTGAAAATAACAAATTTAAATCATATGTTATGGGCCTTAAAAGTAAGTTGCCAATAAAAGAAGATGAAAAGGATTTAGGATCATCATTAAGAGTCATCAACTGTTATATTTCTGGAAAGCGTTATACCTGGTCTTCTGTGGATTGGTATGTAGAAAACTTGGCTAAAGATGGTGATCATTTGGTGATTGTTACTACTATACCGAATTTTGAGAGTAAAATTGATAATCTTTTGTATACTGAAAGGAGAAAAAGGAGTAAAAAAGAAACAATCAGAGCTATTATGGGTGATAAAATATCATCATCAACATCCTCACAATTATTACCAAAACTTACAGAATCGAAGAGTCAAACAGAAGCTGCACAAAATTCCAGAATTATTCATAGCAGTAATAAGAATAAAGACTTACCATTATCTAAAGCAATTAGACTAGAAGCAGTTTATAAAGAAGCTAAAGATGCTACAATATCTATCCTGGAGTATTATGCAGGAAGGTTACAAAATAAACTTGTTAAAATTACTGTTGAATTGGTTAAAACAGATTCAATAAAGGATGCAATTACAAAGACAGCAGTTTTATATAGGCCATGTGCACAAATTGTAAGTACAGTGTCAACTAACATTCAAATTAAATTTAGAAATGGTAATATTAAACTACCATATTTCATGATGAAATATTATCCAATGCCCGTATTTATTGTCCCTTTTGAATTTATTCATCCAAAGAAACTGACAGAAGAATGTAAAAGTTTCACAAGAAGTGTAAATAAAAAGAATAGATTGGAGTGGCTGGATAATACGATAAAATACACATTACAAAATCCATATAAAATTAAAGATTCACTAGCAAATACAAATGAGTATGAATCTGTGAAGCATGTACTCCATTCAGATTATGAATCAGATGATGAGTCTGTAACCTCCATTGACAACTATTTCCCTATAGATCCACAAGTACAAAAAAATATCGCTCTGTTTGAAGAATTAGGATATGTGGTACCAAAATCCTCAAGAGATATATTGCTGGAACAAAGCAATGATGTTACCTACGATAAAGATGGTAAAAGAATAACACCATGTACTTCAAGATCATCAAGACGTAGTTCTAGAGTTCAATTGGTTGGTTCAGCCAATAATCTATATAAAGTGAAATCTTTAATTATAGATGATACTAAAAGCAATCATACAGTTGATTCTGATTTATTCTCTAATAAAACTGCATTATCATCTATAAAAAAAACCAAATCTTTGTCTCTTAATCATAAACCTTATGCAGGATCAGTGATTTCATCTTCATTATCTAATAACAATAGTAAAGATCAAACATCAAAAAAATTACCAACAAAGGGTACTAAAAAGACCGATCCAAATAAGAATATTGTTAGTGGAAGTAAGGGCAAATTAAAGACAAAGAAGAAATCTGGGTTTGGATCAATAATTGGAAAGCTGTTTAAATAAGAAAAGTAGCAAGATAGAAATATTATATTTCCATATGCCAAGTATCCCTAGAAAATACGTACTTTTATATTTGTTTAAGGGTAGAAAAAAATGCTTTTTTTTATGAATGCAATAAACGGCGCAACTCAATTTATTAGAGATTAATTAGAAGGGAGATTTGTAGAAAAATAAGAACCATCCATATCAAATGTGACTATTTATAGATAAATATAGGCTTTGCTGGATAAAAATTATTTTAATTAAATAAATGTTTCTTGTTTGTTGCTATTTTCTTTAAACATTTCTTTATTTATTAGAGTTTTTTACAATGTGTGATACTTGAAGGACAATAATGTTACTATATAGAAAAAGAGAGAAAGAGGAATAAATTCGGAATGAAGTTAGACTCAAGTGTATACACACAAGTTCAAAGGATGGTAAGGATGCCCCATTTTAAATATCTATTACTAGGCCTGACTTGTTCAGCCATTGTTCCTACCCTGTATTCAAAACATTGCTATCTTCCACACTACACTTCTAAAGTATTAGATAAAGAACGCGAATTGTTGCCGGATAAAGAACAAGATGTATCCCAACTTACAAATCAAAATAACTTCGAAGCAATGGATGAAGAGAATATTTACAGATTAATCTCATCGATCATGTGAATAGGTGTTCATCGATATGTATATATGTATCTATCTAAATTAATTTATGTCAACTAACCTGTATGGAATATTTTTCTATTGTTTTCTGTAGGGTTTGATAGTCTTTTTTGTTTCAGTTTTTTTGTCTTGCTTTTTTTTAAAAATTGAGAATAACCCTAGAATGTTTAGAAAAAACTTTAGTAATTTCTACGAGCAACCCTATACCTAATGATACAGTGAGAGAAATTGTGTCATGACAAAACAAGAAAAAATTAGCTAAATGAAAAACGCCAAATCAAATTGATCCAAAAAATAAGGAGGAAGAGAAAAAAATATTAAACTAAAACAAAGCAGGCATTTTAAACAAAGAATCGAGATGACTAAAAGTGACTGATGTACTTAGAAGCAAGTCCTTAGTATAATCTAGAGTTGAAATCAGTGTCAATTATTTTGTGATTTGGTCTTGTGGAGAAAAGGAGGGAAAAATAGAAGAAATAGAAAGAGGGATACATTATATACTTAATTTCTTTTTGGACTAGAATAGTTGTTCGTTGAAGGATAAAATACAGAAGAAAATATGAGCAAGAATTTTTATCGTGAGCCAAATAACTCTAATAACAATGAAATTAAAGATTCTAATGGGAATCCTTTAGACCCAGCGACTTCCAAATTAATTCAAGATCAACCAAAGGGATTGGTCAACTTCATCTCTAAACAGCGTCAATCAGTCTTATCAATAGTAAATGCAGGAGAAAATAAATTGAAGGACATTACTGAACAGTACCAAAAAAAAGAACAAGAATTAAACCATGATGTATCTAAGCTAGTCACGGATCCAAGGGAAAAGCTTTTACCTGGGACAATTTACACTGTAGTGAGTATTATGGCAGGTTCTATCTTGACTCGTAAAAGGACTTTATTAAGTAGGATATTGGTACCTACAATCCTTGGGTTAACATGTTTCAATTATAATTTACCAAATACAATGAGCAATTTAAAGTTCCGTATCTATCAATGGCAATCAAAGAAATTTCCTGTTTGGACGAAGAAACAAGATGAAATGTTAATGGAATTAAATGAAGGGTTACAAGATGTTAAAGAATTTAAATCTAAAGTCTCTAACTGGTGGAATAGTAGTAAATAATAGTTTAGCCAAACAAATACAAAATATACAATGAATGGATGATACCAGAGAGTGATGTTGTAAATATAGGTGTATACATTTAACGTATATAATTCGTTTGTCAATATATATATGTATATATTTTGTTGTTGTTCTATATATATCACACCGTCGTTTAAAAATAGTAATAAAGAGTATTCAAAAAGCTCTCTGCAATAAGTTATAAAGAAGTCTGTAGAGTTGAGGAAAAAATGAACCTGGCAAAGAATTCTAATAAGACATTCATATTTTTTAATGTACATATTATTTTATATATATCTATATAGAATGAATAAATTAAAAAAGGCGTTACTTTATAAGAATTAGTCATTACATGGAAACAGAGTAATAATAAAAAAATAGAAAGGAGGGGAAGAGATCAATAAAAAGAAGTCTTTCTGTTTGTTCACTGAATAAAAATTTTGTTTTACTTTATTTTATTTTTCAGTTCAGTTCAGTTCTTCTTTAAACCAACTTCAACAGTACTCATCTTTGGACCAAATGGTTCATAGTGGATCATATCATCCTTGTGTTCTAATACTTGTAAGTATTTAATCATAGACTCCATGAAGTGTAAAGAACCACAGATGTAGACATCTGCATGAGATGGAACATTTTCCTTCAAGAAATTATCATCAATACGCTTGCTGACATTAGTGTGGATGATGTATCTCTTGACATTCTTAGCCCTGGCCAATAATTCAGTGACGTGCTTGGTAAAGGCTTCCTTAGCTTCAGTACGAGAGGATTGGATCCAAACAATTGGTCTTTCTGGGTTGTTATTGACTTGGTACTCTAACATAGATAGTAATGGGGTGACACCAACACCAGAAGCTAATAAGACTAATGGAATTTCGTTTTGTTCAACCAAATCTTCATTTAGTGCAAAATCACCAGCTGGAGCACTTAATTTGATGGTGTCACCAACGTGAACCTCATTGTGTAAGAATTCAGAGACCAAACCAGCTGGATTGTTTGGACTAGTCTCTAAACGAACAGCAAACTTCAAGCCCTTAGAAGTGTCAATGGAGGAAATAGAGTAGTGACGTAAAGCATCATTTTGGTTGTTATCTCTAGTTGGATGGGTGTTGACGGTGATGTATTGACCAGGGACAACCTTTGGTAGAACTAAATCACTGTCTGGTTTAACAGTGAATTGGTAAACGTCTTCAGCAACTTTTTCCTTTTCGACAACGGTGAATGGTTTCCAACCTGGCCAAGCAGCGGCATCGTACATTTCCTTTTCAACAGAAATGAAAACGTCAGCGATCTCACCGTAAGCTTCACCCCAAGCTTTAATAATTTCTGGGGTAGCAGCATCGCCAAGAACTTCGGAAATGGCTTTTAATAGGTAGTGGCCAACAATTGGGTAGTGTTCTGGCATAATTTGTAAAGCACGGTGTTTGTGACCAATTTGTTTGACATGTGGCAACAAGACAGATAAGTCATCGATATGCTTGGCAGCAGCTAAGACAGTAGTAGCTAAAGCGGTTTGCTGGGCACCCTTCTTTTGATTTGTCCTGTTGAAGATGTTCAACAATTCAGGATGACCAGCAAACATCATTTTGTAGAATGTAGAGGTTATTTCAGTACCGTGTTCTTCTAAGACCGGGACGGTAGCTTTAACAATTTCCTTAGAAGCAGCAGATAACATTTTGTCTTTGTTTTTTTCTTTTTGTTTTTTAGGGTGAGGTAGAGGGTGGAAATACAGATGTATATATGTATTTAAGTTTGGGTTATCGATTGATTGACTTTATAAAGGTAATAGCGGATGGGTCTCTCTATTTCTTTATGGTTATTCTTGCGGTTTGTGTATACTTTTACAACAATCAAACGTATTTGAAAAACCAGTTTGAGGAGCCAAGAGTTTGTCATGGTTCTAAATGATGACTACCTCCTTATATATATAGAGAGAGAGAAAAAAACCTCTGTGTATGTGCATGTTAACGTATACTGTTCAAATTAATTGATCATAAAGATGATTAAACTTCACTTGAATCCGTTAAATCCATTGACCTCATCTCGAGCAGAAAATAAAAAGAAAATAGGGGAAAATAGAAAAAACAATAAACCATAGATCTTAGGTACTAAGTTGCAGTGGTTAGTGGTGATGGCGGCCGTTGATTCAAAGGATTTGTTAACGGTGGCAATAGAATTCTATACGTAACGAAATAACAATAGAAGCAGGCAACGCTAACGAACCAGGGGGGGCGGGTCGTCCAACTCCATGGCGAAACTTCACTGGTACAGAATAAAAGTTCCTGGTGATTTTTAATGGTGTCTAGTAATAAGTAACACTAGGCCTTTTGCAGAAGATCTCAAAAAAAAAATGATAGTCTGCTAGATTCTTGCCATGGAAAGAGACAATAGCAGACAATAAAAGAGGAAGACAATAATTACTAATTATTGTTTCTGTCGTTTCTGCATCGCACTATTTTTGTCGTTCTCTCGATTTGTCGTTCTTCACGTTGTGCTGTGTTCTCTTCTAGTCAAAAAAAAAAATAAAAAACGAAAAAGAAGCTGATTTCTCGGAGCTCGAGGAGAGAGAGACAATTTCAATCTCGAGGTGGTAGATAATCGTCCCGAACAATGGAGTACAGAACTTGTTTGTGTTTTTGTTTTTTTGCTGTTGATGTGGCTTTTCTCGAGAACAGAAGAACAAACGGCGGTAGCACATTCTTTCCTCTTTTCTTTCTCTGCCCTCCCCCAAAAAAAAATTAGATTTTCCCATTCGGATTTAGCGTTTGTAAGAGTAGAAAGCACGCAATAGAAAAACAGAGGAAAGGGAGGGAGGGAAAAATGGAAAGGAAAGTAAATGATAATGTTTTTCTTTTTTTTTTTTCACAGTGGCAGCAAAAAAGAGTAGGGTTTTTTATTTCAATTCATTTGGCAGCCTTATTTTTTTTTAGACCCTTTCGTTTTTCCCTGTTTCTTTATGGATGGTTTTTCTGAAACCCTATATTTGTTTAAGTCGCTAAGAGAAAAATTGAAGCTTTTCATCTCTATAAACCCTTACCTAAACATTGTGGATGGTCAGAAAAATGCTTTTTGTTTCTTTTTTTTTTCTCCTATCTTTTTTTTTTTTATTTTTTAATTAATAAGCTATTATAAACATATATCTATTTATAGTCTATGATGACATGCAGATAATCTCCCCCTTTTGTTTTATTCATTATGCAGTATGGTTGATTTGTATTTACTATACGACACATCAAGGCCAAAAATACATTGTACACACCAATTCCATTCCACTATGAATATACCTTTCGTATCTTTATCGTTCTTTAACAAGATTTTTTTGAATTGTTTCACTTGTGATTGTTGATCAGTGATAAGAATGTATTGAGGAATTTCATTAGTTGTCTCGTTATTCCCTCCATCTGTTTTATTATCTGCTAAATGATTCTCATTCTTCACTATATCGCTTATACTAAATTTCTTTTTCAATACATTTATGTTCTTAATACCATGACTCTTTAATATCGTTGTTAGAGTCTCAGTACCGCCCTGCATGTTAGACGACATATTGACGTTTATAATATTTCCTCTTGAAAACACTTTATTTGGTAATTTCGTCCTCTGTAAAATATCTGTATCCATCTCTGGGATACAATATGTCTTTAGGTCTAAACGCAATGATTTCTCGCTCAAATCTTGGCCGTTTTTTACTATGGCTAATATATCCGTTATGAATTCTGGTATCAATGCATATTCTAGTGGTTCAAAACTTAAACTCAACAAAAATTTGAATGTTCGAAGTCTTCTTGGTGCAATTACACCATTCAACAACTTAATATTCGAGTCATCGATTTTGTCGAAGATCTCAATCCCGATCAATTTCAATATCTCTTTATCTAGATTTGTTAATCCATCAAGACATTGGGTGGTCACACAATGTATGTTATATAAAGGTCCAATTTCTTTCATTCCATCCCTAAATAATGTATCCCTAGCCTTGTCTTCTATCTTCTGTCTCTTGTTTGTTCTTTTCACTATGTATTTTCTAGCAGCCTTTTCTTCCTCTTCCTCGTCTTCTTTTCTGGCCAATCTATTTGAAGACTTGCTATCATGTATTTTTGCGGATTCAGTATTGAATTTGGTTGTATCGAAAGTGGCACGTTCTTCTTGATCTTGGATTCTAGCAGTAGTTGCATGTCCCTTCACTTCAGGTTCCTCAATTATCATAGAGGGACTGCTCGTTATAACTACATCCTCATTAACATTTTCATCGACATTTAAAGATAGATTTTCATCATCTTCACAAGATGGTATATATTGGTCAAATGGTTGTCTTGAATAAGATTCAAAAGTCACATCTAACCATGATGGAGTCACCATATGTATATTATTTTTTATACCAAACCTATATTTGGGACCCCTTGAAATCCCCACAATCAAAAGATCTGTAGTTAGATCAAGGTTTGGCATCACAACACCACCAAGCATTTCAATCTTATCAATGATTTCAAATCTTTGTAACCCAAAGAATTGTGTATAGGAAATCCTCATGCCACTACATAGTTTTTTTTGTGTCTGATTGGGGATCCTATAAATCATCTTACTGTGGCCATCCTTATCTATAAAAATATCCATCCCTTGTTGTAATATACATTGGAAGATCCAATTTAAATTCACCTTCAAAATATCATGGTGCGTGTGGATACTATTGAACAATGGATTTCCATAGAATTCACCCAAATATATTAACTTTTTCTTACTTCTGTTAGCCATTGGTATCTTTTCTGCCTCTGTATCTTCATACAAGAGTATCGCACCGCCAAAACTTTTAATCATAGTGGATAAATGGTTAATTAGTGGCATCTCCATTTGGAGATCCATTAAAAATTCGTACCCATCAAACATCGATTTATGAAATATTGGATTGTAATCTTTCGATTCTTCGTTGCTATTAACACTTTTGATTATTGTATTACCGTATTCACTGTTAAAATACTTGTCAAATAGCCATACTTCGTCGACTATATGAATTTCTTCTTCAATCTCGTTATAAGGGTGACGATTCAGAATGGGTAACAGCTGTTTAAGTGGATCATTCTCCATGGTATTATTATTTTTCAGTACCAAATGAGTCACAGTCTGTTTAGACAAAATACGAGTCACATCTCCACCTAGAAGTAATATCAGATTGCGAAGGAACTTATATTCTTGCTCATTGAAGGAGTATCTAGATATGTAAAACCTGTGATTTTTTAAAATATTAGAAAAATATTGGAATGGTTCAATAGGAACTATTTTCTCCCTTTTGATGCATTCGAGGACCCAATCTATATTCACCACAGGAATAGATAATTTAAAACATGACAGGGCGATATCGTTAGATGGGATAGAATTAGTGACAACAAAATGAACTGTGGGCCTTTTTGATGTGCTATATAGTTGTAATTTAAATGTATCAGGATATGTTAGTTGCAAGTTGGAACATCCATTTGATTTTAACAAACTAGATATTTTTTCTTCAGTGGAGTCATCATGATTCTTTAAGATAACAAATTTCAAATTCTCAAACACATGCACCATTAAATATTTTATTGTAAGAGGATGAGCATCTGGATATGTCTAAAAGTGTTTATATATATGTATGTATGTATATACGTATGTATATGTATATGTGGATATATACTGTTATTTACCCATTATTAAAATGGCATGTAACAGTAGTGCTTAGATATATAGATAGAGGTAATCTTTTCATTTAATAGTTATTAAAATCCGAAGGCGGAATAACATAAATTCCCTTTTTTCCGCCAGCTGTTTCAACAGAGAGAGTATATACGACTGTTATAACAATATTGATGGTTTATATACAAGAAGAACAGACAAACGCGACATGTGAGTTGTCTAGCTAGTGTATGAGGTATTTAACAGCCAACTGAATTAAAAAAAACCGAGAAGAAATGCAAAAATATTATCGTATTAGAACTAGAGGTATGTCACCTTATAGAATGATGTTGAGGACGAAAGAAAATAGTTGATTTTGAAGAGGTATAACAAAAAGATGCAGTCGTTATCACTTTATTGTTTAAGAAAGAAGAAGCTTGTTGTATAACAAAAGATACTAATAAGCCATCGACTAGAATATATAGGGGATCAGTGTTTGAATGAACTATCTGGTTCAAAAGATAATGATAATGTCTATTTTATTTTATTTTTGGGACCTATCTTCTTTTTAGGTTTGGATTGTTGTGTTTTTTATTTTTAACATAACTGAAGGAAATATACTAGGGTTATCATTTCTAAATGAATATTTTTCAATAAATATGATAGGGTCTCCACTAAAAATTAAAAAATTACACTGCCGTTTTTCGATTCTGATGGCCCTGTAGACTGAACCCTACCCCGCTCGGTGAATGTGTGGGGTGTGGGTGTATCGCAGTGATTGTAGGTTGTGCCACGTGTACCCCTTTTCCTGCTTTAATATGGAATGAATCAATAAGGAAAAGGAATTTATTCAAATGGCTTCTCCTTCCTTTAAGTGGATCTTTGGCTCGATGAATCGGTCAAGCTAAGTCAGAGTATTCAGTTAGTGTGCAATGTTTAAGGTACTGCACTTTTCATTTGTTTTTGAATTGCACTCTGTTGGTTTCATTGTTGTTAAACCGTTTATTAGTTAGTTATTTGAAGACTTGCTAAAAAGTGTCTGTTTAACAGAACTACATTTTTTGTACCAGCTATTTTTATTTATTTTTTTTTTTTTGCAAGAATCAATATTATAAATATTATAATCATTTAATTATTCTATTGATGTCTTAAACTAAATTAAAAGACTAAAACTGATAAAAATAAAATAAAATAAAATAAAAGAAAGAAACTAAGAATATTATAAGAGGGACAAAGACTAGGAGAAGAATATTTCTTTGTTTGTTTATTTTAGGATAATGAAGTTTGGTAAATATTTAGAAGGTAGAGAATTGGAACTACCTGAATATACCGGCTATTTTATGGATTATAAGGCTTTGAAAAAATTGATTAAACAATTGAGTTTGCCTAATGGTGATGTCTCCTTAAACACTGGTGATGTTAACAGTATAAACTTCCATTCAAATGATAATCCATTCCAGGATCCAAACAGTTACAAAAGGTTACAAAATAATAAAGCTTCTTTTTTTTTTAAATTGGAAAGAGAATTAGAGAAAGTGAATTCATTTTATTTACAGAAGGAATCAGATTTAAAGATTAAATTCAACATCCTTTATTCAAAATATGTAAATTATAGGTCGAATGGGAGGCTCAATTCCAGAAATAGTTTGACTTTCAAATCTATCTATGGTAGGTTTATTAAATTCCAAAAAGATCTTATAGCTTTTGAACAATATGTGGAATTAAACAAAACTGGGTTTTCGAAGGCTCTAAAAAAATGGGATAAACGGTCTCATTCACAAGACAAAGATTTCTATCTAGCCACCGTGGTATCTGTTCAACCGGTTTTCACTAGAATAGATATTTCTAAATTAAATGATGAAACATTAAATATTCTAATGGAATTGAATGATTTACAAAATAATAACACAACAAATGATGATAATTCAACAAATTTGGAAAATAAAAGAACCACTCTAGCAAATGGCACTCCAAGCACAGTGATTAGTACTAGGACACCACTTGTAGATTCCTTTAAATATGATTTGAGTCCCATGAATCTCACAACTCCATCCGAAGCCTTCGTTACAACGCCAAACGTTTTGAACAATTATATAGATTTTGATTCAGAGATTGAAGAATGGTATTTGGAACTAATAAATATATCAAAATTAAAGGATGATGATAGAAGGAAAGAAAATTTGGCAACTTTTTATAGTAATAAAATTGCACCCTTTTTCAATAATGTCAATGATTTGTCACAAGATTCAAAATATTCATATAACCAACCAATTGTTGATTTGTTATCAAAGCTATTTCTTTTATTGGTTGGTTCAAAGATGAAAGACTCTGATCTTGAAATATTTTACAGTACAATTAAAAGCATGATCGACTTAGGTTATTTAGAAGAGGATGATCAGACATATTCTAAGAAAAATATACTACATCAGGCTACACACTGTTCTAGTGATAGTAGAGATTTCGTTATTAGAGAAGTGTTGAAAACACTTTCACAGGAGACATTAAAAATTTTGGTAAATGCAGTCGAAATTCATAAAAGAACACCCCTTCATTTTGCGGCAGAATTAGGAAAATTAAATTGTGTTCAACTGTTGTTAAGTGTTAGAGGGATTGATCATACCATTAATTCAATTGATGATGATTATGATTCGCCTTTGGTCCTTGCAATTAAGAATAATCATATTGATATCATATATGAATTATTGAAAAATCATGTAGTATTGAAATCATTGATCAGTCCTGAAAATTTTCAGTTTTCACCTTTACTCGTAGCCTGCAAGTATAATAATTTTAAAGCTACACAAATTATTTTAGATATTTTTAAAGCAAATGGAATAGATATTAATACGGTGGTCAATACAGAGGGATTAGGCCCCTTGCATGTTACAAGTAGATTGGCTGAGGATACCACAGATTTACTTAAACTTTTAATTAATCATGCTGTGAACCCGAATGGAATAGATGATTTTAACAAGTTTAGTCCGATTTTCTATGCTATAAAGGCTTGTAATGTTAAAGCTGTTAAAGTATTGTTACATAATGGCGCTGATATTGAGATTACAGATGAACATGGAAGAGATCCAATGTTTTATGTTCTTTGGGAGAGCGATGTAGAGGTTCTTAATGAATTTTTACCGTATATGCAGAAAAAATGCTTCAAGAAGAAGAACGAATTTAATGTAGTAGACACTACTTTAAAGACGTTGCAAGTTCCTTTATTAGTTGATAGTTTCTCATTGTCAGGAGATGAATTGAATGATTCAGACCATAGTTTGAATGATATCCCAGATTTTGCATTGCCGCCTCCGATAATCCCATTAAAAAAGTATGGTCATAATTATTTAATACAGAAGATATCTGTTAAATTAATCTTTGAAAGAAATGGGAAATGCATTCACTTGAATTCTGCAGATGAGACTATCGTTGTTCCTGATGCAGGAAGAATGACGGTGATTTCAAACTATCCAGATAATTTACCAAGGAACATTATTCTTCATGATAGTATGGGGGGTAATGGAAGCAATTACCTTGGTAAATGTGAAGAAGAGAATATATTCGAAGGCTCTAATGAAGTAATATTTCAAGTTGATACTTTAAAAGATTTAGTAGTTGATTTTGAGATTTATCCAGAATTTGGTACCCGATTGATTGCAAAAACTACATGTATGCCATTTTTATTTGAAAAATTTAACAAAAATCAACAAGATGAGATTTTTTTACCTTTGTTTGATTCAAAATTGAACAACATTGGTAACTTTAAGTTTAGATATCAGATTATTTTTCCTTATAGTGGTAGGCCTTTGCAGATTGATAAATACGAGCCATACTGGAAATCTACATCTAATAATGGTAATAGTGGGTGTGGTAATAGTGGTAGTAGCATTATTACTAATAACCTAGATACTGTAATTTCAAACGATCTGACATCTTTTACTCTTGGGAATCCGTTGTTAAAAAATGCTACTGCTGCTAATAATAATAGTAATAATAGTGTTATTAATACACAAGTGCCGCATTATATTACATCCTCATCTATCTATGGTTCATTTACCAAGATCAAAATACATTGTTTAGAAGATGGTACATTAGTCACATCACCAAATTGTTTTATTGAATTTAATGGGGTCAAGTTTTTATTGTCAAGTTTGAATAAAACACAATTAAACGTCTTATTATCAAAGGATAATCTATCCGATATTAAAGCTGAAGATATAGAGACCGAGACTAAGTTATTAGATGTTGTTAATACAAGAACTTTACTGTTTAAAGATTTACTACAATTGATTCCATACAATTTACAGTTAGTTATTCAAGTGTGTTATCCTACAGATAATGAAAGAGAATTGGTTGTGAAGGATGTTTCAAGTGAGACAGGTTTAAACAAATATATTGATAGAATTCTGTTTACTGTGTTTGAACATGAAAGAATGTTGAGACATACATTTGGTATATTAAGGTCTATAATTTTCAGTTCCTGCAATTGGAAAGTTTGCTCTATCTTGAATTGGAAGCAACCTAATTTCCCAGTGTTATTAGAGATGAATTCATTAATATTGAATGATAAGTACAAAGACAGTAGGTTTATTTTAGATACACCACATAGACTAAAAAGTATGATAGAACAAGGAGAGGGAGAAGAAAAGGGAGTCGATATGATAGATAAGAAGATTCATATTAGAGAGATGGTGGAATTTGCAGTAAATAACAATTTATTTGGGGTGATTATACCACATGTTCTGTTGGAGATCTGTGAAAAGATGGGAACCACTATTAAGAATCAAGAATTGTTATTGATTGGTTCTATGTATGGGAATAAAGATATTAGTATGGATTATACTGATGCAGACAGGAAGGTAAATGGTATTCTAGTGGATTCTAAACTTGTGATTAACAGAGATAAATTATGAACATATATATATACATATTATTATTATGTATTCATATATTTTTGATAAAATAATCTTTTACCTGATCATTCAATACAACATCAATAGGTTTCTTCCCCAAATTATCTTCTAGATCGATTGAAGCATGATATTTAGTCACTAAAAGAGCAGCTACATCACCGTGACCTTCAGCTAAGGCATGGAATAAAGGAGTCCAACCATTAGTATCTTTCCAATCTATAGGAGACCCCTGTGTACATAGAAGGTCTACTAATCTCATAGATCCAATAGATGCAGCTCTGTGTAATGGAATTTGTTTTTTATTGTCTTTGATTTGCAAATTGGCACCATTTTCCATTAAGAAATCCACAATGAGGTAGTGTTGTTTAGTGACGGCTAAATGTAGTGGAGTAGTCCCCTGGCCAGTCTGTAAGTTGATATCTGGCTTGATGTCTCTATTGTACAACATTTCGACGATATTATAATTGCCTACAGAACAAGCAATATGAAACGGGGTCCAGCCAGATTCATCAGTTAAATCGTCAATATCTGTGGATTTCATGTGTGATAAAAGGTATTGGATGATTTCTTCATTCTGGAAAGATACAGCCCAATGCAACGGTGTTCTGTTGTCATTATCCTTCTGTCTAAGCAATCGTCTAATGCTATCTGATTCACTAACCAAGTGTTTTACTTTATCTAACTGATTATTCATACAAGCTTCATGTAAAGGGAAATCGGACATGATGACAAAACTTCAAAGTGAGTAACCAAATAAATATATGTATATGTATATGTATATATGTGGGTGTGTGCGTGTGTGTGTGAGGAGGCGGGGAGTGGTGGGAGTTGTAGCTGTGTTTGATTTAGAGTTGTTATGATTCAATAAAGTTGAACAGACCGAGTAGTAGTGTGAATTGAAATGGGGGTTGTTGCAGCATCCATGGTAGCAGTTGTATCTATAATAGTGGGGCTCGACTAGTAGATCAACGTCTTTTCTTGAAGAAAAGTGTCACAGTCTTCTTCTCATTTGGCATGCTTTCATTTCCTTAAGATGGTTTTTGCCATACTTTTAGGGGTATGCAAAGAGTGCGGAATTTTTGCATCCGGTATGTGCGGAAGTTGGGGTCTGTGCATTTCCAAATTCCTTGTTTCCGAGAGATTGCATGCGATTTCGGTATTCCGTGGAAATCCGCTCAGTTTTCAAAAGCTGCGGTATCCTCCAAATAAAAAATATACAGATATTAATTATATATATATATATATATGTAAACATTTACAAATTATATAACTGGTCGTTTTTAAAGTAATATATAGATTACTCTCCGCTATTATGGATATTCAAGTTCTTATTCAGGGTGGGTTATTCGTTAAAAACGCAAAAGAACGGGTTTGGACGGATTGCACAGCCTGATTTTTTTACCATTGTAGGTTCAGGCGACCTAAGTTCCGTGATATATCCGCATACGGCATTTGTGGTTTTCCCTTTTACCGTTCCCCTTTTTTTATTTCTTTATGTTCCCCTTCAACACAAAAAAAAATTGCAAAACGCAGAGGAAAAAAATAAAATAAAATGAAATAAAGCAAGTGGGATGAAGAAGAAGGAAAGGGAGTAGTCAGATGCGTAACTGAAACTATACTTACATTTGGTCTGTACTCTAGCGTTCACTATTGCCTCACTTTAAAAAGGAAGAAAGAGAAAAGGAGAATAGAAAGTGGGCGTAATAAAAATTTACATATCATTTAAAATATTCTAATTATCATTATCATTATTATTATAATTATTATTAATTGTTTCTTTTTTTTTTTTTGCAATGAATGGTCCTAACGATTTTCAAAGATATGCCAAAGCTTTTCAACAACAAGTCTCAAGGGTACAGAGAACTGGTGGCCGTGGCAGAGGTGGTAACCCACTGGGTGGTATGTTTGCGGGTCTCGGAGGGTTGATTTTGTTGGGTGGTACTGCATTACTGGCCAATTCCGCACTGTTCAATGTGGATGGTGGTCACAGAGCTATTGTGTATTCTAGAATAGGCGGGATCTCCCCGAAGATATATAACGAGGGGACCCATTTTGTGGTGCCATGGTTAGAGACCCCGATTATCTATGATGTTAGAGCGAAACCACGTAATGTTGCATCTTTGACTGGCACAAAAGATTTGCAGATGGTCAACATCACTTGTAGAGTGTTGTCAAGACCAGACGTGAGCCAGTTGCCTATCATATATAGAACTTTGGGACAGGACTACGATGAAAGAGTGTTGCCTTCTATAGTCAACGAGGTGTTGAAATCTGTGGTAGCACAGTTTAATGCATCGCAATTGATTACGCAGAGAGAGAAAGTTTCAAAATTGATTCGAGAAAATTTGGTTCGTCGGGCAAGCAAATTTAGTATTCTTTTGGATGACGTATCCATCACCTATATGACATTTTCACCAGAATTTACTAATGCTGTGGAGGCCAAGCAAATCGCTCAACAAGACGCGCAAAGAGCAGCTTTCATTGTAGATAAAGCAAGACAGGAGAAACAGGGGATGGTTGTTAAGGCACAGGGTGAAGCCAAATCCGCGGAGTTGATTGGTGAAGCTATTAAAAAATCAAGAGATTACGTTGAATTGAAGAGACTAGATACTGCAAAAGAGATTGCTAATATCCTGGCGAAATCGCCAAATAAAGTCATATTGGATAATGAATTGTTGTTGTTGAATACTACTGTTGATTCCAGAATAAACGAAAAGAAGAAATAGAGAAGTATTCAATGGGATACTAGTCTTATCTATCTGCCTCTCTCTCTCTTTTTCTCTTCCTCTCTTCTTCTTTTTCTTTACTTCATCTATTTGAACAAATGAATAAAAGTATAGATATGTATCTTTACTATTACGTATTACTTACTAATAATATAAACTTGTGAATATATTATCTCCTAAAAAATATTCATTAACTATTTTTGTTGATGAAAGAAGAGCAATTTGAGAGTGTGTGGATGTTGTGTCCAGAAATGGCGACGTCGGACTTTTTTTGAAAGGCCTGGCTGCTCTGTTTTTTTTTTCTTTTTATATCCGTTGAAAACCCGCGGAATTGAAAACCGCTTTAATTTATCATTTGAAACGAAACCCGCTGTTTCCGCGCTTTTCATTCTCAAAAAAAAAAATTTTTTTCTTTCTTTTTATTTTTTTTTTTCTTTTGTTTTTGTTTTCTGCTCGATCGATCGATCGAAATTCTCGAGAAAAATGGAAGTTATATTGTCAATTCTTTGAATAATAAATGAATGAACTGAATAAATAAGTGTACAAGGAGTGGAGGTTAATATCAGTTGTATCGAAGATGGGGAAATTATTAAATAAGTAAAATAAAATAAAACAAAATAAAATAAAATAAGGAAATTAGTAGACAATAGTAGTAAGGAAGAAAGGGGGGGGAAAAAATACACATATCTATACATATATCTATATATACTATTGGAAATATTTTCAAAAGTGTATTTGCTTCCTGCTAATCATTGATTTATTTAGGTTAAAGGATTCTTATCCTTTTTCTTTTTCTTTTTCTTTTTTTTGTGATTTGTTAGTTTGTTTTTACGTCTTAGAAGATGCAAAGTTTTAAGAAGAAATTTAAGGAATGGGTTTATTCTTTTAGTACAGAGGACCACTATGCCGAGTATGATCCAAATAATATTCCAAATTTTAATATGGGATTCCGTTCCAGATCACATCTGGGCAAAGGAAATGGTAATCCATCCAGTTTGCATTTAACAGGCGATGAAGAAATGAATATTGGTTTGGATCCAGTAGATACAATCGATTTTGATGATCTGGACAATATCAATAACACGAATAGCATCATGTCTGGTGGACAAGAAGGTGTCTCAGAGGTCCTATTGGCATGGAGACACATCGATTCCTGGACTGAGGAGCACAACCCAGATTTAAATGCCACCCTGGGTGATCCCGTCACTAATAATGATATAAACCAGGCTGAAGAAGATCTCGAAATCTCTTTACCACCTTCTGTAAAAGTGTCCCTGCGTATACATGACGGTCAAGAGGATTTAGAGTCCATGACTGGTACCTCCGGTTTGATATATGGGTTACAATTAATGACTCTGGATCAAATTGTGGCCATGACTCAAGCCTGGAGAAATGTTGCATCAAATTTGAAAAGACATCAGAATTATAATAATAATAACAATAATAATATTATTATTAATAATAGTCAATCAACATCTTTAAGGGTTTCTATGGACAATAGCACGGATTCTGTAAATATAAACATTGCCACTAATAGTAGTTCGAACGATTTTATCTCAAATTCAAATTCAATGTCTACTGAGACACAGAGAAATCAATTCAAATTACCATTTATTCCACAACAAAAATCCATCCCACCAGACTCTGTTCAACCTGTATATGCACATGCCCAATGGATCCCCATGGTTACGGATCATGCAGGAAATCATATTGGTGTAGATTTGGCACCTGGTCCACAAGGTATTTGTGGTCAAGTTATTATTTTCGGAAGAGACTTCGACAGTAAATACGTCGTGGCTAAAAACTGGGGGGAATTCCTATTGTCCTTTGCGAATGACTTAGAGGAAGGTAATTGGTGGCTTGTGGAAGAGAGTGATGATTATTTAGCTGGGGATGGAGAATTAGTCTTTAGAGATAAACAAAATGGTGGTCCAATACAAGATTACTTAGAAGTCTTAAAGAAGAGGGTCATTTTGAAATATAAACAGAGTTTAACTCATGATCCTGCTACCACTGTCATCAATACTACTACTGCCAATGCTATGGCTGGTGCTACACCTTCTATACAACAAAATAACAATCCACAGCTGTTGCAAACTGTTGCCCCTGAACCAATTGGTATTCAACCGACAAAATCATCGTTTGTTCAAAAGAATATTAATACATCAAAGGAATCATTAAAAGTAGACGATGAAGGTGATGTGGAAGCCATAATAACAGAGGATGAAGATGAAGAGCAAAACAAGACACAAGACAGTGGTAATATAGATGATGACACACTAGCGCAACCAAAAGAGGACTTTGAAGATAACAATGACAGAGATAGCGAAGTAAATAATGATATTAAAGAAACCGTTAAAATAGGGAACAATCAAGATGAAGCTATTCAAGAAACAGCAAAGGATAATTTAAAAGATGAATCAAAGGATGAGTCTAAAGATGAGTTAAAAGATGAATCAAAAGATGAACTAAAGGATGAGCCAAAGGATCAACCAAAAGATGAATTGAAGGATGAATCGAAGGATGAACCAAAAGATGCATTAATGGATGAATCTAAGGAAGATAACTCAGTTGAAGATGAAGGAGCCAGTAAAGAGGAAGCGGAAGAAGAAGGCCAAAATGATGAAAAGTTAGATTCTATCGATAAGGAAAAGAATGAAGAGGATCAAGATAAAAAAATTGAAGATGTTACAAATGAATTTGAGAATGTTGCATTGTAATTAAAGTCTAATGTTATGAATAATATTGTCATCTCCATATAACCATTTTATAATTTTTTTTTTCTTTTGCTTAACATTTGTTTGTTCTAAAAATGTTGATAAAAAGTTATTATATAGGATTGTTTTTATTTCTAATTATTAAGTTATGTAAATGTAATCGTTTTAGTTTTGAGGTTAAACTTTAAACTCAATTATATGCTGGTTTACTGTTTTTTTTCTTCCTTATATGAAGCTGTGTGTACAGTGTTGCTAAAACCTGAGGACATCATAAATATATAAAATAATAGTAATAAGTAAGTAAGGTGTCTGTTAATGCTATTTACTTTTTTGGATTTTATATGGTAATAATTATACACGATTGAAAGAGAAACTTTGGAGATGTATAATTATTATATTATGGAAAAAAAAATTTCTATTCATAGTTCATGCTTTAAGAGTATTGGTTCATTATTAAAGTGTAGCTGTCACTAATATAATGCATCATTCAATAGTACCTGTTGATACATCCTTGATGATTTTTCCTGTTTTTTTTTTCAAAATTTATGTTTCTTTATAATAATTTGATTTTAGTAATCAAGTTGTATATCAATTACCAACTTCATTCAGTACACAATATTTTCTACCCCCCCTCCACAAACGTTCAAAATATGCGCATACAATTAAAACTGAAGCTAATATAACATCAATTATAATAAATGATTCTTTCATACTATAATTAATTTCATAATTATATTATAACTTTATTTAATTAGAGATTACTTGAGCATACATTACACACCACAAATCTATCTATCTATATATATATATGAACTTTAATTTTCTTAACCATTTCATAGTCCTTATCATCCTATTCATTAGTTTTGCACGAATATTTTATAATTCAGCTACCAAATAATTCTTTGTAAAAAGGGTTCATCCACCCATGTAAAAGTATATTTAATAAAAATAATCAACATAACAATGTTGATTAACATAAACCACAGGAATTCCCATATCAATCTTCCGGTAGAACTAATTACAATTGGTGATTCATTCGAGTTTATTGAAGGTTTCAAATCTTGGAAGATAGGTTCAGCATTACACGTAATAAAAATTCTCCAAAAGAAATAAGGTAAAATATAATACCTTGGTTCGAATAAAGGTGATGGAATAATTGTTAAAAAAGTACATAACAGAAGCGCGGTCCATGATATGTGAGTTAATTGTACGGGTAGATGAATTGTTTCCTTTATTGGTATAGGTATTATTGCATGGAATGTCAATTCATTGGGTCTCATTAACTCCATATAAACGAAAGTAGAAAAATGATATATTGGAGCCATAAGACCATATTTGATAAGTTTACGAGAATTACCAATTAGCCTTCTAAACAAATAAAATGTATAGTGTCTATTGTCTGATAGAAGGAATGGATGGACTTTAGTGAAATATCTAATAATTAACGTGATCCCCACGATTTCCCAAAATGTTTTAACAGGTCTTAATTGACATCTCAACTTATAAGATCTGAGGAAATTTTTAGAACACCAGATGGGCACACTAAACAATAATAGAAAAAATGTCATATAAAAAAATTGAACTCCATGGATGGACAATGAATGATTAGATTTATCACCTAAAGTAATGGATCTATTCCAAATCAAATAGATGAAAAACAAAAAAAAATTAATGAAGTAAGGAAGTACCAAAGATTTAAATTCTTCAATTGAAAATATAAATAACTTCAAATAATTGTTTAGAGTCTGATCAGTAAATTGTTTAGCTATCATCGCTCTTCTTTCAATAGCAAGGATCATTATAAATCCAGACCATATAATGTTGGTTTGTCTAAACAGACAACTTATGGTAGCACATAGAGCACTGGCCCAAAGACTCTTAGCATTACCAAAAGGCAATGCTAATACTAAAGATAGCGATTCTAGAATGAAAATAGTGGACCAAATATCTGTATAATATATATAATAGTAAGTTACCATTAATGGGAAACAGGTTAATGTCACTGGCCAAAACCCGATGGCATTAAAGAGAAATAATGGTCGCAATACGACCAAAGGTAAAACGAAAATACCACCTATCAGATTAACTAATCTCAATATTGTCAGAGTACTCCATGATTTAAATATTGGTTTAATCGTGCTATGGAAAACCCAACCAAGGACATATAATCCTGGTGGTGTAGTAATCTTTGAATCCCATTGCCTCCAATTACCATTCAAATATGTAATAGTCTGATTTATATGAAATTTTTCGTCAATAAATTGGTATGGCACAACATTTCTGGTTATATAAATAAATGTTACAATAAAATAAATAAGTATCAATGGATAAAGACCAATATTAATGTAAAAACCTGTGATTACTTCATTTTTGATATTCCTTACGATTCCTGGTGCAATAACTTGAGCATTTAACGATTCTTTTGGATTTTCTGACAATTCATCTCTTTTATCATTCTCTTTGCTATCAATAGAAGTCATTATTGATCTTTTATCAGTTTAAAGTATAGCTGCCTTCAGTGTATAATTATAGAACCAGAAAATCAATTAGTGAAAAAAAAAGGTAAAAGGCAGAAAAAAAATACAGTAATAGTGATATAGTTGGATATACAGTTCAAATAGGCTTTCTTTGATCTTCTATTTCCTATTCACAAGTCTTAACTGTTCTGACTATGCATAATCGTCTGCGTTCTTTCTAATTTCGTTTATTCATTGAACTTCTGTTGCAGCTCGAGGCCTTTTATAAATATATTTTATAAAAATATTGAAGATTTCAAAATAATTGGAAAATCAATGAAATAATAAAGTGGAGAAGATGATTGAAAAAAAAAAAATAAGAAGAGCTGACGTATAAACTAATTTAACATATTTAGAATATATATATATATGTTAGTGTATGTAAGAATGTATATAAAGATGTACAAAGGATCATATGTGTATACGTATTGATTGAGACTGTTTGACTGTTTTCTCACCAGGATTATTAGGGTCTGAATTTACAACAAAATTCTCACATTTACCTTAGATGGTTTGTTCTACCATTGTGAGTTCTTCTACGAGGATAGTTAATACCTTCAAGATGTTCAATTAATGAGGAACCATAGATTCCATTTTCTTGCAAATCTTTTATTAGGATATCCTCTTTACTTTCCCATAATTCATAAAATCTAATAGTCTCGTCAGTAGTAGCAATACAAATAGATGAACCATCTGGTGAAATACAACTACTTAATGCCCTTAAGGGATGTGGTATTTGGACCTGTACAATGGGTTCTAACGTTGGATACGTATATAAAGTCAATAGTAAAGGTTTATTTAAATTTCCAAATCCAAATGTAGCAACAATTTGTTTATAATGTTGCGACCATATTAAGGAAGTAATCTGATTATCTGTCTTTATTTGATTGATAAGTGTCCCTGTCTCTGTATGCCAAAATTTAATAACTTTGTCTTTAGTACCACCCCCTGTTGCTAATAAGGATTTAGACCATGGACAAAAAGAAACTGCTTTTATTGCTGCATTATGAAAAAAAGTATATTTTAGAACAGGGCTTTTCATATGGTTTGTAATATCCCATAGTGAACATGAATTATCATTCCCACCTACAGCTATCTGTTGATCATCAAAATTCAGTGACATCCCACAAACCTGTTGCAATTGCGCTTTAAATCGAGATATCAACTTAATTCTAGACGAAACAGGCTCATTAATTATATGAACCAAATTTATATATCCATTTTCTTCACCAAAAATAAACCCTTCTTGAAAAGGAGTGCACTTCCTATTATTATTACTATTAATATTACTACAACTACCACTACCACTATTGTTTCTTTTCTTATTTTTGTTGAGCCATTCAACACAAGTTATGCTCTTCATTGATTTAGAGTGAAACCGACCAATGATTTCATTACTTTGATTGTCGTCATTTAGATAATTAGTTGAAATATCTGGCGAAATAGCAGTATCTGACGAAGAATACGAAGAAGGGGAAGGAGAAGGGGAAGAAGAAGAGGAAGAAAGGGACCCAGAGTTGAGATTTCTTTGATCAAATAAATATATCCAACCACGCTTAGTACCAACAATAAATTTATCTGATCCCTTTGGTGCAAATGAGACACATGTAACCCAATCATTTCTTTTATTCAAAAAATCATGTTTCAAAACCTGTTGTGCACCTTTATCACTGGACCATATATAAACAGAACAACCTAAACCGACCAAGATGTTTGAACTTGTATGAGACCAAGAGATTAAATTGGAATAGAAATCGTTTCTTAGACATGGTGCATCTAGTACTCTATATGGGATATGAGATTTCAATTGATTTCTTTTATTTGGTCTTCTATTAAATAACAGTGGTGTATCTTCTTGTGGGATATGATTACTCTTAATTTTTTTCTTTCTTGGAGACAGTTTATTCTCGTTTCTATATTTCAAGACTCTTGTATCCCAATGACTAAAACCAAGACTCTTAGCAATATGATTCTTGTAATATAGATTAGAGGATGAAATTTGTGCTGTTATTTTGCTTGATTCATTCGAATATGGAGAACCATCAGAGACAGTTGTATTGTTATCGTTATTGTCAATGGTATTTGTGTTATCACTATCGATCATTCCAATGGAATTATAATGATTTATTGAATTGTTGAAGAGGATATCAGGTGAAGAAAATCTGTCGGGGGAAAAATTTGTTGATATTATTGATGTTTGTTCGGAATCGACAGAGATGGGGTTCTGCCCTTTGCTTTTGCTATTTTTTGTCAAAAGCTGATTTTTGTAATTATAAACCTCTTTTGATGTTGCCTGTGGGATAAATCTATCCATTAGAGAAATATTTAATTGGAATTGCAAATAACTAATAATATCAATAAAAGATTAATAATATAGAATTTTTATCTATCTATCTATTTATTTATTTATTTATTTATTTCTTTTTTTTTTTTTTTTTTTTAAAAAAAAATCAATAAAGATCAATGCCAATTCGTTTTCGTGACGACTAAAAATCTTTTACTGTTATAAATATAGTAGTAACTTCTTGTAAAATCTAAATATATATGTATAATATTGTTAACGTTATTTTTTTCCCCTTTTTGATTGATGCAATAAAAGAAGGTTAGAAAGATGCGATGAAAGTTGAATATTTTATGAAAGTACAAAATATATTTAGGTGGTTCTTAGTAATAAACAAAATAATAGGAAATAATACTAGCTGACTATATAACGTAGATATGTTCCACTGTTTTATTTTGATTTATTTTGATTTATTTGTTGTTATTGCTTTTAACCGCTGAAAATATTACCAGCTGAAAAAGGAAAGGAAAAAAAAGAGGAAAAAGGAAAAAAAAACAAATAAAGTTGCCATACTTACCTCTAACAAAAATATATATATATATATATATATATATATAAATGTATATAAATGTATATAAATGTATATAAATATATATATAAATATGTACATTTTAATTTTTAGTTGAAAAATTCTGTAATTAAGCAATAGCGGATTTGTAATATGAGTAGGGCACGAAGACCAAAAAAAAAAGGAAAAATATCAGGAAAAAGGAAGAAATATTATGTACGCCCTAATATATAAAGGGAAAAACAATTTTTAAAACCAGTACGGACCTAACACAAGTCTGGCAAACAGTGGAAAAAAAAACCTAAAGGATTGATTTTATTTTAACCCTCGTTTCTTTCTCCCCCCCCATCCCTTTTCCTTCTCTCTTTCCCTCAACATTTGCAGATCGAGTGGATCCTATATTTTGTAAACAGTTAACAAATAACTGTACTTAACCACAGAGGATTATATGAAGTGGTAGAAATACAGGAACATTCAGAAAAAATACAACGATGAAGCAAGTGATACTCGAAGAATATATACATACATACACATAGAGATAAATAAATAAATAGATAGATAAATAGATAAATAAATATTTATGTATACAACACATAGATGCTAATGTCGAACCCATATGACGATGTATCTACGAATAATGATGACAGTTGTTTCTGCTGTTGTCATAGTAAAGGGGTCAGTATTTACGATTCCTATCCGATACAAATGAGGTTGAATTTGACTTTTAATGATGCTGGGGTAGGCAAATGTGTTCTTCTGAATAGGACAAATTATACTGCAATAGTTAGAAATAATAGTAGAAGCAGCAACACCAGCACCAGCAGTTATGGTAGTGCTGATGGTTGTAGAAAGAAGAATAGAAACAGGGGTAATGACAAGATAGACCCGTATTCCCCCGACTTACTGAATCAAGTCTTTATATGGGATGATTTATTGAAAAAATCTATCTTTAAATTGACTTTCTTATATCCAGTAGACAAAGTTTTTTTGACTAGATTATATTTAGTGATTCTATCTCATAAAGAAATCCAGATTTTTACTTTCACTAATCCACCAAGAAGATTATTCGATTCACATATTTTGAAAACTGATAACAGCCACACCACTGAGAACATCGACTTTAGATTACTTAAATCAATCGGACTCCTTGCATATGAATCAGTTAATAAGTCAGGACAAGTCTACATATCCCGTTTAGATTATGACAGTATGATCTGTAATAGTAGTAGTAGTGGCATCAGCAGCAGCAGCAAAGATAGTAGTGACTATATTCCAACAAATATTATAAAAGCACATAAAAATCCTATCCAACTGATAAAATTGAGTCCACATGGGAAATATGTGGCTACTTGTTCCACAAGGGGCACCATAGTGCGCGTATTCAGTACAATCAATGGATTGCTAATAAATGAGTACCGCCGAGGTTTAGATTCTACAACTATATATAATATGAAATTTAGTCAGGATGATAGGTTTTTGTGTGTGATATCGAGCAAACAAACGTTACACGTCTTCCAAATAGAAGATGGAGTAGGTGGTGGAGGAAATAACAAAGATATCAAACATAATCATTTTAAAAGATCTGTTTGTTCAATAAAGCTTTTCAACCCATTGATAAGAGATAGTAAAGAATCATTTAGATCTAATGATATGTGTGAAATCATTTGGAATGAGTATGGGGAACATGAGAATGGGAAGCGGAGAGACAAAGTCAAATATGGGATAATATTAGTTTGGTATAAATATAGAATATGGATACGATACATTATAACTTACAATGAGATATCAACTAAACAATTTGAGATAGTTAAGGAATCATGGAGACAATTATAAAGTCTCAATAAGAAGTTTCTTTCCATTTTGAAGGATAGTTCCATGTAAATTTGATTTAAATTTATTCCTTTCAAAAGAGTTTTCAAAGGATAAGTAATGAAGAGTGGTGCCACTATTTTCTCCATTTAGATCATTGTACAGGATCAAACAATTTTTAATCTTGTAATACCAGAACATATCTTTAACCTTCATAGAGGTCTCGTTTAAGTAACCAGTTGGATAATTCCATAACAATAAAGAGTTGTCCAAGATTGGTTGTAATTGAATATTGTGTATGTCTATGATATCATTGACAGAAGAGATATCTTTACTGGTTAACTTACGAATGTCTTCACAATTATTATTACCACAATAATAATAATAACAACAATAATAATAATCGTGCAAAGTATTAAAGAAACTAATATAATAATCTAAGAAGGACTGCAACGCAGTCTCGGGTTTCAATTTCAAACGGACCTCATCATTTGTTAATATTATATTGGTGCCACTCTTATTAGTGTGGATATTGTTAGATAATATAAAAGAATTCATAAAATTTCTATCTTTGAATAATATATAATAAGTATCTTTAAAAGTCAGGTATTTAGTATCTCTCTTCGGAATCAAACAAAGCTGCTTATTCAATGAGATTGAAGAGGTTTCAATATCATATTCGAATGAATTACCAATTAAGTCCCCAGCAGTTTTAAAATCTGGATTATAACTGGAGAAAGATAATAATTGACCATTGAAATCCAGTAACTTTTTGCTTAGGCGATAATTGGTCTTCTTGGAAGAGCCTACAATCTTAGAATCCCTAACAACATTTGTTATTAATTTTTCTACCAAAAAATTTCTGGACATTTATAATACGAACGAATACCCTTATTAAATGAGCAATTTTACGTCTTAAAAAGATAAAACAAATTAAAAACAAGAATACGAATAAACCAATCTAGCCTGGACAGCTAGATATAATCACCAGACCGCAACTTAAACATACTGGATAAGTAAACACAGTACTGGTCATTGCCCCTTCCTACACTCCCATTAGAAGTAAAATAAAAATTTAAATAATAAAAATAAAAAAAAAACCAGGTAAACCCTCTCTATTCTGGCTACAACCCTAACAGAAACCCTGGTTAAACTTGTCACATGACTTCCACGTGATCCACACATTCTCTTTTCTTTTCTTTTTTTTCTTTTCTTTTTATTTTCTTTTATTTTTAAAAAATTTCCTTACTCAAAGACACTGGAAAAACATATATAAACAACACAAGAATTACAAAAATATACGGAAGGCAAAAAAAAAGAGGAATTCCCACAGCTTATTTTTTGCACTGGCTTGCCAGTTTTCTTTTGGGGAGTAGATGGAGAGACCAGTATGGGCGGTGGACCCTGAGATCAATGATTGTGTTCTTTAGCAGAAAGCAAAAGAAAAAGAACACTACCTTTTTCAGAATATAGTCTTTGCCTTTTACCAAGACTATCCATTCATTGTCTCGATAACACTGTATACATGCTTTTGTGTACAGAGTAAAGGAGTCCATTTTTCGTCCTATCATTTTTTGGAAAACCATTTTTTTTTATGTATATATTTTCCTATCTTTTTTTTCTTTTTTATAATAAAGTATTTAAGCCTGATGGGGTATAGTTGTGAGGTCACAACTAGACTTTATTATATTTAAAGGAAATAGACAACATGTTATATATATGTATGTATATATATATTCAATCCTATAGAGAAATGGGTGCTTTATAACTTAATGCGCATCTTTAACTTTGTCTGCCCTACCTTCTGCCAGGCGTCTATAGAGCACTGTTGGGTTCTTTTTGTACAAAGGGAAAGGAACTCTTTTCAATTTTCTTGTTGAGGCAAAACTTTCCTGTAGCCCTTTTTTTCTGTGTTGGAATATATGGCCGGAGAAAAGCGGAGATAGCAGAGAAGAGCAAAAAAAAAAACAAAAAAAAATTTATCCCCCGTTGCTTCCGCCAAAGCCGCTGGAGCGGATTTTGCGTTTCAAGACGGCTTTTCTAGACTCCTTTCCGCCTAAATCCCGTCGTATTTCCCTCTTTTCTCCCGCTCTATCACTAATTTTCTCCTCTTCCCCCTTTTCAAATGAAAAAAACCCAGGGCTAAGAAAATAAAATAAATAAAAAAAAGATAAAGCTGTAGAGTTGAAGATTAGAGGATTAGAGACAAAGTGAAAGTTGAAAGCGAAAGAAAGAAAGTAGAAAGTCTACTGAAATCGTATTATTTTTCTTTTCTTCTTTATTTATTTACTTATTTTATTTTATTTTATTTTATTTTGTTTTGTTTTGTTTTGTTTTGTTTTGTTTTGTTTTATGTTTCTATAAGATAGGTAAAAACATATATACACATACATGTACATATTTTTGACGTGTCTCTTTCCCCATTGTTGAATCTAACTATCATTCCAAACCTCACGCAAAGAACCCTCTCTTTCCCACCAACATTTATCAATGTTGAAACAATTATTTAGAACGTATATCACAAGACCAAAACTGGTCGCACCATCCACCATATCGCCCTCAATAAGCCCTGATTTGCTAAAATCAACCTCTAATTCCATAGCGTCCAAACAGAACAATGTGTCCCAAAGATTATCCAACAAATGGTTGCCCCACAGGACAGGTGTCATTGGTAAAAAATTAGGCATGTCTCCCTTCTTCGACCTTGAGACAGGCCACAGGATAGCATGCACCGTTGTAGAATTGAATAACGTGGAAGTCCTTTTGCATAGAACCCCCGAGGTTAATGGGTATTGGGCTTTACAAGTCGGGTATGGTAACTTAGATAACCCGTTGAGAGAGACGCGACAAATGCTGGGACATTTCGCTAAAATCGGTGTCAATCCAAAGGAAAAAGTCTGTGAGTTCCAGTTCGCTGACTCAAATGGACTACTGCCTGTGGGGACTCTTTTGAAACCCTCCTTTTTCAAATTAAACCAATTTGTGGATTGTCAATCTGTCTCCAAGGGTAAAGGTTTTGCTGGTGTTATGAAACGTCACAATTTTAAAGGCCAACCTGCATCACACGGTAACTCTTTGACCCATAGACATGGTGGATCATACGGTCAGCATCAAGATCCAGGTAGGATCTTGCCTGGTAAGAAAATGCCCGGTAGAATGGGTGGTCACAATGTCACTCTGCAGAACCTACAAGTTATGAAAATCGATGACGTTAATAGTGTATTGTGGATTAAAGGTGCTATCCCTGGTCCAAAGGGTTCCTTTGTTAAAATACAGGATTCCTTTAAACGACCACCAACCTTATAACCATTATTTCTACTCATTCTCTTTCTCCCTCCCCTACACACACATATATATATATATATAGCGTTGCCTCTACAATGATACTTGTACATAATATAAAGTCTCAAAAAAAAGTTTTTTTTTTTACTATTATATATATATCTATATATTATATATATATATATATATCAATATACTTTTTTTTCTTTTTACCTGATTTTTCAACTATAATAGTTTTTAATCATCTATTTCAGATGGTTTCAATAACCCACCAACTTTGGCTGCTTGTTCTTTTTGAATCCTATTCTGTTCGTTTAATTCATTTTCTCTTTCCTCTGCAAACAAATAATCTGTTGGATCACCACCATATTCTTTAATTTGTACCAAGAAATCTCTTAATATACCACTGAACTTTATCGAATCCCTATATTGTTTAGTCAATGCATTTAAGAAATTAGTGATCTGTTCTGCTGTCAAATGTGGGAACGCATTGGCTAACATATTCGATAGATATTGATTCAAGAAAATTTGGTTCGATGTACCCTCTGGTGCATCACCGTTTTTATAAACTGGTACTTGGATCTTATTATCGTATATCAATGAAATTAATCTCATCAATAATAATGATTGTTTAGAGAACCCAGATTTATGATCACTATCGGTTAAAACATAGAACGTTTCACTTATAAATAAGAAATAGTAGTTTTGATAGAAATTGTTGGCAAATTGCACACTTGTTTCATCCCCACTGTTATTCATCATCTCAATGTTTTTAATTAATTGTAATGCAATTGAAAGACCATTGACCTCAATATCTCTATTATTATGTTTAAAGGCCCAACAGATAGAATCAATAAACAATTTGAATGCTGCAGGTGGTAACTCCAGAAATGATCTAAATGATTTTTCATTAATCACCTTTAGCAATTTATAAAACTCAACTCTATGTTCTGGATATTCTGTGAAATCGTTGGTTATCATATTTAACGTGCATTCGAAGACACTTTGTAAGATTAATATGACACCCTGTGGAATCATATGACCAACTTTACTAACTACAGTAGTCATACAATTTAACACTTCTGCATCTCTTGCATCTGGGACATTGTTCATATAATCTTCTAACACTGCATTTAACAAAGGTTCCACTAACACTTTAACTATATCATCTAAATTCTTAGCATTGTTAATATAAATTTCAATTAATTTTAGCACTTCTTTTTTAATCGTTCTTAGACCACGTACTTTTGGAGTTTTTGTAGCAATTAATCCTTCTGTGGCTACTTGATTTGAAATCATTGAGGACACCGCACGATACAATTGTAACATATTATAATAGATATGACCTAATTGGGAATAAAAATCTGCACCCATCGATGTACAGACAGCAACATTAGTTTTTATGATGTTGGCAATAATTTTAACAGTCTCTGAATCTAACAATAACGATGGATTGGCGGTAGATTGTTCTACAATAGCATCCCATGCCATATTGGGTAATTGCATCAAATCACCCAACAATCTAATTTTTTCAGCTTGGTTTCTCTCCTCAGATATGATTATACCACATGCTCTATAGAAAGTATGGACTTGTTGTGGTTGTAAATCACTTGTAGTCTTCTGAATATCTTTGATAATGGTTTGAATGAATGGTTCGGATTCACGTGGTTGTTGGATAACAAAGTGGTACTTACATTTTTGAACAATCTTTATAAAAGTATCACATGCCATATCTTGGACACCCTCATGGGTTTCATGCATAAATTCAAATAGTTTTAACACAACAGTTCTCAAAAAATTCCAATGTGCTCTTAGGAATCTTGGATATTGACCCACAACATACATAATATCTGATGCCACCACAGCTTTATTATCTTTGCCCCTTTTCTTTTCAGTCAAGGCCAAAAGATCCTTAATCACAGTAACCACGAATCTTTTTTCAGTGTCCTCACTCATAGTACCTGAGATAGACCCAATGGCCCATGACAGGGTATTAATGTTATGCCAGGACCATTCAGAACCATCGATCTGCCTAGCTAATTTGTTAATCATGATTTGTTCAGTATCAACAACATTCAAATGGGTCAAATAGACTAGCACCTCTCTTTCAGATTTATATAATTGGATTGTATCTGATTCCTTAACAAACTCTCTAACAATCTCACCTTCATCGTTCTCCACAACAAGGACTTCTTCTGGTCTAACCATATTTTCAATAATAACCCATCTTAATTGAGAACAAATATTCTCATATATATGTTTCTTTAATGGGAATCGTTTCATGTACTCTGGGTTCAAAGCACCCGACCCAGTTGATACGGATTGGTTACCTACAGTTAATTGCATCAATGGATTCATTTCATTGACAGGAATCTTTTGAACCTCTTGAAATAAGGAGGAAACGAGGTTATTCCAATAATCCAAAGTGGTTTTGAACAGTTCTCTTTCATCAATCTTTGACAATTGAATTAAGTATTGGTGGGCATTGATCAGCAAATCTCTTAAATTTTCATCACTTTCCAATAAGGATCTATGGTTAGTCAGATATGTAGTCAAAAACATTGCAAAATCTTGTAAGAAGGATTGATCATTACCATTAGCCGAATTGTAAGTAGCTTTCAAGTCTGCATCTATAGGGATGACATTAGTAGAGATCTGTTGTAAAGCGTTTTGGAAATATAGAACAGTTTGAGTGACAATTGAAGGATTGTTGAGTGGTAATTCTAAGTTAGACACTTCTGTTAAACACTTCAAAGTCACGGATCTTGTATTTGAAGAAGAAAGGAACTTGGTACTTAATAGTTGTAATATATTAGTCTCATAAATGTAACGGTATGGGATCCAATGTAGATATCTAAGTAACGACTCCAAAGTGGCCACAATTAAGGTAGAGGATGAATTTGCTTGTTCCAAAACTTGGTAACATAGTTTAAAAATCTGTTCAAATTCTTTAGACATGGATTTTTTCAAATGTAAAGCTTTTGCTTGAGTCATTTGTTCAGCAGAAAAATCAAAGACCTCTTCAGACAACAATTTTAAAATAACCATGTTATTTTCGCATACGTTTAAGGATGAGGTGGAAGACCCGATCAATTCAGGAATAAACTCAGGCCAATTCTGTGGCCATTCCTGCTTAAGGATCTGAACCAAAGTTAAATCCGATTTATTAATTAAATTCTTAGAATTTTCGAAAAGTGCATTATCTTGGCACATTGAAATAATCATACCGACAACAAAGTTTCTGATACCTATTCTTTGTTCATTTGGTAATAGTTTCCATTTCGTAGTGATTAATTTATCAAGGATAGATAGACCGATAAATTTGGTCTGAGGATTTTTAGAAAATTGTAGGATTTGATCCGCACGCTGCCAAGCATCCGGATGCTCCTGAAATTTGGTCAAAATAGTTTGAGCTTCCTTTTGTTGAGCACCTGAACTAGTGTAAAAAGTGCTCACAACCTGATCTAATAAATTGATATCTAAATCTTTAGAGAAATCAAGAATACCTTCCATCTATGTGAGTCTAATCTATAATCAATATTTATATTTGTATTTGTATTTGTGTTTGTATTTATATTAATATTATTATTTATTATCTTATCTTATCTTACAGTAATGGTATAGTATACGGTTAAACGGTATGGGATATATAAAAAAATGGAAAAATGCAAAATTAAAGTTGGCAGAAGAGACTACAAGAATCAACTTACAATAGTAGCACAAATACCACATGATATAAATGGTGATCCCATCAACAAATTAGAACTTCTTGCCCCTCTGTCCTTTTTTTTTCTTACCTCTGCAATTTTTCGATCTGCAAACGCAGGAAAAGAAAATTTTTAAAAACAAAACTAATAGAGAAAAAAACAAATCCGTACACCAATTTTCTTTCGTGGACCAGATTAATTGTATATGGTAGCGCAATAACAAAATAAATGTTTAGGTTTCTAGATGTGACTTATGGGTTTTTTCCGCAAAGATTCCGCCATCGCAAAATCTGTTGGCAAGTGAAAAATTTTTGTTATTGGGAAATATAGAATATACTTATATTGCTATAACGAATGTGTTATAATTTATGTTAAGTGCTCTCAATTACAACTTGTTTAACATGAGATCACGCCATTTCTTTCACTGTCATGAATGTACACGTCTACCAGTCAACAGTCGTATTGAATCTATCCCGTTGAAAAATAAACCAATTTATTTGTTCATTTACTGACTTATTTATTTATTTTTTTAACCCATCTCATCTCATTGCATATCGTTTTCTCTATTCCACTCCTGCACCCCCGTCTACACATGTCTGAATTACATCATTTATTAACATTTCCTAAAAGACCAATCAATGAAAAAAGTTATGTTGTTCCATTAACTGAATTTCTAAAGGCAGGCATCCCTGCCACTTACACATTAGAACAAATAATAGCCTTTGAAAAGAGCAACTCGAACAACAATACCAATGAGAAGGAAGAATCTGATGAAAAGGAAAAGAATGAAGAAATAGAAAATGATGACGATAATAATTCCAATACCACTCCATTGCATATCTTAGCTAGATCGTTGCCTAAAGATTTAACATCAGAAGAAACCGACATCGTGTTGAAATTAATGAACGTGCTGTTTGAATATGGTGCAGGTTGGAATTTCTTAGACTATGAAAATAAAACTGTAGGCGACCTTTTATTATTGAACGGTCAGTCTAAGGATGGCCCCTTATATCAACGTCTTGTGGAGGCAGGTGTCGGTGCAGAATTGCTTCTACGTAAGATTGACGATAATAATATACAGTTTTTAGATGATTATGATATTGAAAAGGAAGAAGGACACTGCCTAGTTGATCACGCAGAAGAAATTGCTAATGATAATACTAGTGACAACTCCAATGAAAATACTGATAATGACGCTACTGCCGGTGATCAAATGACTTATTTAAACACCGAATTGGAATATACAAAAGATTCCCTTGTTACAAAGAATAACAGAGATGGTGTCATGATGGAATGGGAGGATCAAATCATGAAATTAGCTGCTGACACTTTGTTCTCATCTCCTGCTTTAGAGGCTAACAACGATGCCATTGTCTTAAATATTGGGTTTGGTATGGGGATAATAGACACATACATTCAAACTAAAGCACCCAAATTACATTATATATGTGAGGCTCATCCTGATGTATTGGCAAAGATGAGAAAAGATGGTTGGTATGATAAACCAAATGTGGTCATTTTAGAAGGTAGATGGCAAGACACTTTAAATAGACTGTTGGACCAAGGTGATGTCTTCTTTGATGGTATATACTATGACACTTTTAGTGAACATTATCAGGATATGTTGGATCTATATGATGTCATTGTGGGGTTAATCAAGCCTGAGGGGATATTCTCTTTTTTCAATGGACTTGGTGCCGATAGAGAAATATGCTATGATGTTTATAAAAAAATTGTTGAGATAGATGTTGCTACTTATGGAATGAAATGTGAATTCACCACTGTTGATATCACAAAAATTTTACCAAATTGGCAAAATGTTAAAAGATCTTACTATAATTGTAATTATTACTATCATCCATGTATATCATTTATATAATATCTATGCTCTCTTTCACCCTCTTCCAATGCATACAATTTTCTATATATTTTAAAGTATATTTCAAAATTATTATTATTGTTATCACTGTTTCAAATATATATAGAATTGTCCATACATTTTTATTTTCTATATTGGCCTAATTGTTTGTATACATTTGTCTAATTTCAAGTAAACAAACTAATTGAGTTAAAAATAGTTGCGTACAATATATAACCTTCCTTAAATGGCAATCAAACGAGTATCAATATTTGTATCAGGGATAGGGTTGTTGTTACTACTCTCTTTTAAATCATCATTAATATTTTCTGGATTTTTGTTATTCCCAACTGACGAATCTTTACTATTATCACTTATTACAGTATCCTTACTTAATTTAACATTATTTGAAACAGATTCACTAGACTCAGTTATAATACTAGAATCATCAGATCCCTTTATCTCTTGGGTAATTTTTTCAATCTTTCTTTTTTTCCGTTTAGGTTCAACCTCGACTTTAGCTTCTTCAATTAATGAAGCTTCAATTTTATGAGCCAAATCTAATCTATTCAAATTGATAGCAAGCATATTCAATATATCATTATCTGTTATTGTAGCCTTATCCCTTTTTTCAGAATAATTTGGTTTCTGAGCCAAAAATTCGGTAAAACCTGCTTCTTCACATTTCTTCTTGAATGTTGAATCAACCCATTCTAATTTCTCCTTAGTATTTTCAATACCAAATGCCTTTGTGGCACGTTTCCTTAACCTTGCACGTAAATCGTTTATCTTGTTTTGAATGCCATTGGCGTCTCTCCATCTTCTCTTTCTCTCTTTACTTATATCCTTCCTTAAAAGCTCAAATTCTTCATTAGATAAAAATTCTTTCAATTTTTTTTGTAAAATATTCTTTTTCCCAGATATGTTGGAAAAATCAGGTATGTTAAAGTTATATTTCACCTGGAATGTATCTTTTCTTTCTTTGACTTTAGGTGGTTTTATTTTCCTATCAATTGGATTCTTTAGTAACCTTTCAGCAGGTGACATTTTTACTTGAGATGGTGGTACCAATCCGTCAAGGTTTAAAACACTGTTTGGACCTGTTCTTCGTTGTCTCTTTTCTTCTGTTATGAAATCTTGTTGGATTTTAGGAAGCAAATCGGTCAAAGTGGAGGTTATAATACTTGTAATACCAATAGGTAATGCCTCTCCATCCTCTTCATTAGAGTTCTGAAGCTGTTGAACAACCAATGACTGAACCATGGATTCAACTTTAATTGGTGCATTTGGTGCGATAGTTTCATTCGATGTGCTAGGAATATCAATTGGGATTTTTTTCAAACCTGATTCGTTTTCTTGTTTGATTTTAATAATATCCTTTTCTTCTTCTTTATTTTTATGAATTTCATCTATTCCATTTGTTTCTATATCAAAAACCTTTTTTGGAACAATTTTTTCAATATGTTCTATTCCTTCTTTCTCGTCATTATCTTGTGATGAAATTAATTTTGTCATTTCTTGTTGAGATCCTGTATCTTTTTCAGTTTCAATATGTATATTATCAGAAGTTTCATCATTATATTTTGAATCCTTCTTAATAGTAGACTTTTCAATGGTATCCTCATTAGTCTCAGAGTTAACATTTTTTGTAATAGGATGAACTGAAGTTTCAGAGCTATAGTTTATTAAGGTTGTATTAACGTTATTTGTATCTGACTTATCTATATTATTAGCAGTTGACTTTTTATCATTCAGATCGTTTGTGTCCAATAAAGAATTTTTGTCCATTATCACATTAAGTTCCCCATTTTTAGTTTCTTTTTTAACAAGCAAAGAATTATTCTTATCATTTGGTAACACTTCTGCACTACAATGCTGTTCAGCTGTTAAATCATTAATTTTATCTAAAGTAATAGATTGCATTGATCGTTCTTTTAGAGTGTTGTTGTCCACCTTCTTGCTAATAATTGATCCATTATGTTTATTGTCATTTTTATCAGATATTTTTTCATCAGTATTAGTTTCTGCATCTGTTGTATTATAACTGCTGTCTGAATTCTCCAAAATAGATGATTTAGGAAGTAGTGGAGTTTTACAATCATTGATATTCTTAGTAATTTCATTAGATACTTTATCCAAAGTAGTTACTGTTCCAAGATCAGTGACAGAAGATTCTAAAGAAATTTTATCGATATTTGTTTGGATTGGTTTAGTGACATTCAAATCTATTATTGTATTCTTCTCTACCATATCATCTACCTTATTTAAATCACTAGTAGTCTCTCCTATTGTCTTAATATTTTTTATAGGTTTAGCAAAAATAGTTGCCTCGCTAAAATTATTATTATCTGTATTACTTTTATGATCGGGTATTACTATAACTTCAGGGGTCGACTTTTCATCTCTTTTAATTTTTTTTGTCAAAGGAACTAATGGTATTACATTCAATACATTCTTCTTGTTTGTATCTGGATTTTGTACATCTGTAGAATCTAAAGGTCTTTTGTTACGATTAACCGTATTTAGTAATGGTATCATATTAAGATTGTTTGATTTTATGGTAGAAAGTGCAGTTTTATTAACAGCATCTTCGAGCTTTACTTTTGTCAATGATTGTCGTAATTGACGGTTTCTAGCATTTGTTATTACTTGAGCAATAGATTTTTTGGTATGATTAATAATAGTTAAAAGATGTCTGGTAGCTTCTTCTGGTGATGCACCATTGGCTATTCTTTTTTTAGCAGCAGTTTTCAAAGTGTTTATAATCGGATTTAAAATAGTTGGAATCAATTTTTTAGTAACAGCAATAAATGCAGAAGTATCTTGTATGCCAGATGTCTTTTTCTTGTTATGCTTTTTACTGGCGATGCTTCTTCTTGCTACAGGTAATGCAATTGGTGGACACAGTGGTAACATCCACGGTGGATGAAACAAAAACCGTTCCTTATGTACAATAGTTTTAGCTGATGAGTCAAATTTATATATTATTCTATTCTCTAATGCCATGACAATTTCATTAATGGGATAACCAAGAGTACCACTATCCGAAAACAAGTAGTCAAGATAAGACTCTGGAAGATGGATTTTTAATAAAGTTTCCTTAATATCTTGTAAATTTTTTTTATCCAAAACAACATTCAGTCTAATAAAATTGAACAATGGTGCCTTGGTTATTGCTGCAACACCATTCTTACTAGATTTAAGAACCTTTATTTTAGGCTCAACTTCATCAAGAGATTCATTATCTAATTGAGCTCTTAGTTTCATTTCTTCTGGAGTCCATCTTCTATATGGCTTCTTTGGAACACCCTTCTTTGTTAACCTTAAATCAGGTGGATATGGAGGTCCCCTAGCTACTATTTCTGCTAACTCTTTTTGTTCTGCATCGAATTTTGCTTGATCTAGTTCCTTTTGGGCTTTCTTTGCAATCCTTATTTTTTCTTTTTCTTCCTTCAATTTTAAGCGAAGTTCTTTATTCTTCTGTCGACGACGTTTTCTAGCTTCATTTGCAGCTGCGGCTGCAATAAGACTAAATTTCTTCCTAAATACTTCTTCGGGTGATTGTGACTTCATTACCAAACCATTTTTCAATTTAGCAAATCTTTTTTCAATCTCGACATTACGTATGATAATTTCTCTGTTTTTATTGTCAACCCTTCCTTTGGCCTGTGCATTTAATTTTCTCATAGAATTGGTTATATCACTCATAGAATTATTAGCAAGTTTCTTTTGGAAATTATCAATTATAATCGTTTCAAATTTTTTACGTTCTGTTGGTTCAGAGGTTTTCTTTTTTGAACTTTTAGGTTTTCCCTTAGGCTCTTTTGGTTTTTTTACTTTAATTGTTTCTAACTTAGTCGCCTTTTCAGATTTCTTTGTCTTAGCTATTTTTTTTGGTTTTGTCTTTTTTTGCTTTCTTTCACTAATGCTTAGTTCATTATTCGAGCTTGGTTCCTCTTCCTCAGATTTCTTGGATGTTTCATGTTCCTTTTTATCTTTCACTTCTATTAGTTTTTCTGAATCTTGTAACTCTATAGACTTGGGAGATTCTATTTGTATCTCTTGTAATCTTTCCTCTAACCTTGGTTCTTCTTCCTTCTCCTCACTTTCTCTATGTTTAGTTTGAAAGGCAAGCGACATTGCATTTTGCATAATTTGATTCAAATCAAATGGTTCGTCATCATCATTATCTTTTTCTTCTTCTTTATTATCATGTACAGGTTGTATAGCCTTAGTAATAGGAGATAGGTGGTCTATTTTTGTTTGAGTTATCTTTTTTTTATCTTTTGAAGTCCTATTTTCCGAAGTATCCTTTCGTATAGATTTAGAGGAAGAATCTACAGAATGTTTGGATGATTTTTTCTCTCGTTCTTCTCCCTTTCTCTTTGTTTTTGCTTTTGTCTTTGCTTTTTCTTTTTCTTCAATAGGTTCTGCTAAAGATGTTTCAACAACTTGGTTAACAATTTCAGCCAAGACTTTTGAAAATTCGTCATCTTGGAAATCGCTACTCTCTGTTAGCACATTTTGAAGCTCTTTACTTGCAGTCACAGATTTATCTGTCTTCTTTTTCTTTTTCTTTTTTGTCGTAGTAGTGGTGGTCTTCTTTGGTTGGGGGTAAAAAGACGATATGGGTATTTCATAATCTAAATCTTTGTTTGTTTCTGTAGTAGTAGCAGTTTTTGAAGTAGTCGAAACTTTAGACTTGGTAGGCTTTTTGGTAGTCGATTTTGATTTGCTCTTAGATGATGTTTTTTTTGACGTGGTAGATGCTTTCTTAGTCTTTGTGGTAGACACTGAACTGGTTTCGGATGCCATTAACTCCTTCTCAAAAGCTTTTAATGTGGCTTCTACTAAGGCTTGTGTTTCAAAATCATTGGTATCATTATTAACCTCTTGTTTATTAATTTCATTAAAATCATTAGTGGTGTTATTAAGAATATTGAGGTCATTATTACTTTCTAATAAAGTATCACTTTCCATAATACCTCTGATAACATCATCAATCTGTATTAAATGGTCATTATTGACAACTTCATTATTCTGGATATTTTTCTTACTTTCATTCTTTGTGAGTCTTGATTTCTCCTTTTCTTTACTTTTCTTTTTACTCTTTGGTTTTTTCTTTTCTTCTTGTTCACTAGATTCTGCAACGGTTTTTTTACTACTACTACTATTGTGAGATGTTTGTTTTTGTTTATCCTTATCTTTCTTTTTCTTTTTCGAGGTTTTTTTAGTTGGTTTATCCAGAATTTCCACTTGTTTTATACCCTCAAATGTATTATTATTGTCTCTATTATTCTCTATATTATTATTAGGTACATCCTCGTCTATTGTATTATTGCTTATTACCTGAAGTGTTTCTAAGATGGCCCTTCTTAAATTTTCATCATCTTGATCCAATGCATCATCATCAAATTGTGTATCTCCTACATTCTGTTCAATTTTATTATAATTTTCAGCGTGAGCATCACCCTGCTCTTGACCTGGTTCTTCTTCGTATAAACCTCGTTGCAGAAGATGGGCCCATTCATTCTGTTGTTCTTCGTCAATATGAGGCTCGGTGATGACATTTCCTGTCTCATGGTCCTGTTCATTTGTATTGGAATTGGTAGTTGGTTTTATAAGATCTATTGCATTATTTACAACAGAGGTAAAATCAGATGCATTTGGTCCAAAACCTCCTTCATCTATGTCATCATCCATTATATCGGGCAAATCCATATCATGAACATCATGGTTTATGTCAATATCCATATTTGATTCATTAGGATTCTGCTCACTCTCTTTTGTCATATTGTCCGAATCACCAATGGCTGCAGCTGCATCCATGTCATGTTGTTCGTGTGCCTCATTATGGGAAGTTAAAAGATTTCCTATAAGTTCATTAAAATTTAATTCTTCATTGTCCTGATTCTCACTCATTATTCCATCCAATATTATCTGTGCCTATACTATATGTGTATGTGAATGTGTATGTGTATGTGTGTAAATATATAAATGTATATTCTGCCTACCAAAAAAAGGGCACCTTCACAGACATCTGATTAGTTTCTCTAATAAATTTTGGAAAGTAATAAGAATAATCAACTAACCTTTAATCACTCCAAAATTAATAAGCAACTACTACTTACACTAATACTACTATCAGCTATTATAGTAACAATAGTGGTGTTGGTAGTAGTAGTAGTAGTAATAGTAATAATAATAATAATAATACCACCTCTTACATCTAATATTTAATCAATTTCAATGAGCATCAAATAGAAAAAATAAAATAAAATAAAAAAAAAAGCAATTCAATTCTGTACATCCATACACCCGAAAATAATCATATTCAACGAATTTACAAGAAATCATCTCCTACGAAAGTTTAAAATGTTATATTTTATGATAAAAACGCAGTCAAGAAACAGAGTCCAAAACCCAGACACTTGTTATTTGGACAATAAAAATGTTAAGAAAACAAATTTTTTTCTGTTCTGTCTCTTTTTTTTTTTTTTTTTTTTTCTTTTTCTCTTGAAAGATTTTGATCATTATAAAGGTTAGTTTCTGTATATTGTGTGTGACAGACTATATTTCTCTTCACTACAAATGGTTATATGTTTGCATTGGACCTCTAGCTAGATAACACTTCTCGAGGAACTAAAGGGGACAAACATTTTTCATTTGTAAACAATGTTCAAATTAGAATATGAGAATGATCAGGGAGAAGATGATGAACCATATTATTATAATAAAGATAATTGGCGATTGTCGAATTTAAGTACAACACCAACCTACCAAAAAGGGTCTGTTTTGCATACTACCTCGAGATATTATAATGGAACATACGAGTTCCAGTTAGATTTAAACAAAGACAAGAAACACAACAACAATAATGATAGCACCACTGATAGTAGTAGTATTAATAGCACTAGCAATGGCGGTCCATTTATCTGCCACTATTGTGATGCAAAATTTAGGATTCGTGGCTACTTAACTCGTCATATTAAGAAGCATGCTATTGAAAAGGCTTATAGATGTCCCTTCTATAAAGAGGATTCACCAAAGGAATTAAGATGTCATAATTCAGGCGGTTTTAGTCGTAGGGACACATATAAGACTCATTTGAAGACAAGGCATCTGTTATATCCAAATGGTGTTAAGCCAAATGAAAGAAATAGATCTCACGGGCATTGTGCACAATGTGGTGAATATTGTGCATCCGCTAAGAATTGGGTTGAATCACACATTGAGACTGGTCAATGTAAAGGTTTACCACAAAATTATTTGAGAGTGGTGAGACATGAAAGATCCAAGAATGGGAAATTGAAAATGATCAAAACTTCAAATGGGCATTCTAGGTTTATTACTACTGCACAAAGTCTGGTGGATCCAAATATCTTATCAAATAAGGAAGCTTTGGAAGCTATGGCTATTGTTGCACATAAGGCAAATAAAGATAATATTCTATCAAAGTACGGTAATGATAAAATTATTATGGATGTTAAGGATTTTAGTAGTGACAGTGAAGACGAACAAATAGCTTTTTCTCAGTTTGAAACCACAAAATCCACTGATAATATTAATAATGATATCCGAATAATAGACGATAAGAAAAATGATAACTTTAATACTACATTATCCGATCCGTTTTTTTCTACATTCATACCAAATAAAAATTCCACGTCGAGTGATAAATCTAATCCAATAGACAAATTGTTGGAACCATTCGATGAGATACATAAGCAGATCCCTTTAGATATGTCGATTTTTGAGTTTGATCATTTCACTAATGTTGCTAAAACAAAAGCAGCAACAATGACAGCTACTACTACTACTACCACCGCTACTACTAATACTGATAACTATATTGACAACACATCAACGTACCTTATATCTAAATTATCCAACGGATCGCAGTCTAGTCAGTCCAATACACCTTCACCAATGACTATTTTGCAACAAGATCTATTGTTAGGTGGTATAACTGATGGAAATAGTATTAATGATACAGAAAACATATATTCTTTGTTGCAAAATTAAACAAAACTTATAAACTAACTTATTGGTTTTCTATTATATAGATGCTTATATATTATATAAAAACCCTGTACTTTCTTCAAGATCCCAGTAAGCGATCTTATACACATTAACTAAAATAAAATAAAAGCAAGAAGGAGAAAAAGAAGAAAAGAAGAGGACTCATACAACCTTGGATCTTTTGAATAGACTGATTTTATTTTACACAAGCATCATCATTGTTCATGTTATTGAAAGATATAAGAATATTCAACATTAGATTGAGCACTACAGTGCTGTATTTTAGATTGACCACCTTTTGTAAACGCAAGGAATCGTATATTAGGGTATAGCTTTGCATAAATTTGCTTGGTTATTTTCCTTACGTACTATATATGTATGTGTGTGTATGAGTAATAAAAATTAGTATATTACATTAATATTTTATTTTCCAACATACATCTTACTTAATAACCAATAAAAATGTAAATAATAGTTTGTATACGAATCTGGTAAAGATCTTGTTAAAAATTGTAACTAAATAGGGATGGTATAGAAAATCTTTGTTAAAGGTATAGAACTAGAAGAACTATCAAAATTAGAATATTATTTTTTGAAATTTTTACAATATCGGATTCTTCTATTAATTTCTTTCTAGTATTTTTATAGAATTTGTGGAGTCATTGTTACCTAACAAGTTTGGCAGTCCTTGATCGTTCAACTGTTTTTACCTGTTTGTGAATTACCTTAAATAGATAAGCAATGATACATATTAAGATTTGGGGTAAGAAAAAATAAGAGACTGACGTATTGAAGAAAACTAATCAATACAAATTTAAAAGTGCTACTTGTTGAAAAGTATTAATACATTAAACCATTTTATCATTAGATGTAAAATAGGGGAGTCGTGATTCTCTGTGAAAACGAGATACAGACCTTTAACATTACCATAATATTATTAAAAAGAAAATAGAGTAAAGAATTTAGCTTTTGAATAACATATGAAGCTACATTATCGTGTATATTTGAAGTATAAATATATAGATTATCTTTTTTAATGGCTATAATAAGTAGGAGTTTTGTCTTAGGTCTTTCTATCCGCAATTTATACTTCGTGAAAATAAAATTGGCACTATTAAACCAATTTGAAGGTGAAATTGGTACTGAATTAAAAGGTATATTTGAAACATAAGTTATTTTATGTAATAATATTGCTACAAATACTATTTGAATCACTACTATCAAAACTGACTTTATATTTGCCAAACTGTTCATTTGCAATAGCACATAATCCAAACAAGTAATTATTATTAGTTGACAATATGTGTTTATTCTTTCTATTAAATATTGAGGCATCAAGATTGAGATTTTGTCGATTTTTTTTCAATTATGAATAGAATAGCCTTCTCTCCAGAAGTAGCATCCAAGACTTTGCAGCTTTTTCTTAGATTTAACCTTTTATTAAGTAGTTATCATAAGTCTAGTGGAGCGTTATAGACCATCTTCAACCAAATTGACTACTCTTTATAAACACACTGAATTATATTATTCAATAAAAATTCATATAATATTACATTTAGTCCGAAAGAAAAATCACTATTAATAAGGCAGCTAGTTTGTTCTTATTCATACTGTTATCAAAATCATTTTGTTGAGAAATTTTCTGGCACGTAAGAAGTACACTTGTGAACCTATTCGATTTGTTTTTCAATCTCCTTCTTTTACACAATTTTGGATTAACAGTTGGATTTGGTAAAATTTCTGACTCTCATATCCTAAGATCTGTTCTTGATATACTTCAATATACTTCTTGTGTAGAGTGATTGATTATTGTTATATAAAAACTTAATTATTGTTTTTTTTAATTTGGTCATTAACAGAATGAATAACTATCAAATAGATTCTCAGGTCTAGTACACCTTTAATACACAAAATTACACTAACAGATTTATTAATTCTTGTTCTTAATCCAATAAAATCATGACTTTATAAATATTTTTTTTCTATCTTGTTTTTATAATAAGAATAAATATGATAATACTCTGAAACTAAGTATTAAAGTTACTAGTATCAGCTAATACAGTAGGAATAGCATTACCACCATATCTTATAAGGATTAAAACCTGTGGTTGCAAAGTTCAGATATAGCGAATACTAGATTGGATAGGCATATATATGCAAAATATTTATGAAAAATAAAGATTATAATCCATAATACCATATTCTTCCGTTTATCATTGAATGTATTTGTACTTTGTAACCATAGTTCCAACTATCTTACTTGTATTTACTTTCTTACTGTACCTTTTATCTCCCTGTTGATTATATGTTTTTATCTATGAAGATTTTCTCAGCCCTTGTGTTTATAAAAATAGAAAAATTGAAAGAAAGTGTCATTTTATGGCATACCAAACTTAAATCAAACAAGATCACCGCGATAAATATGTTTGCAGCCTTAATTGTTAAGTATTGAACTTTACAAGAAGGAAAAGAAACTTCTATTTACTGTTTAGTTGTTATTACGGGTGTTACCTTATCTCATCTTACTAAATTAACAGCTATAATAATTTAAGCTGAAATAGTATACTTTATAGGGTGTTATTCGTTTAATGCTAGAATCAAAGGTGTTTTCACATAACAAATCATTAAATTGTTTTTAAATAGCAAAAAAGAGTGGAAAACAGGTTTCCATGAGTTTAAGTTCTTTATTGTTTAACAACAAAAGCCAGGCTACTGAATCAGATGATCATTATGTTGAAAATCGTGTTATCCCATCAAATGTTAATATTTTTAATATGACAAGTAATTTAGTTTTAGATCCACAAAAATTGATTAATTGGACATCTTTCAACAGAATCTATTCCATAATAAGCGCATATGGTGGACCCTCCTGTATATTACCTACAAATTCATATTTTGTGTTGGGTACAATTAAAGGTGCCCTATTAATTTTCAATTATAAAGAATTTTTGCAGGTCATATTATTACCTCAAACTAAAAAAGAAATTTCACCATCTTTACAACAACAAAATTCTTTAATGAATAGGTTTGTCACTTCGTTGCATTCAAAAGTGGTTGATATTGTCATGTCATATGATGGTACACATTTAGCTGCAAGTTACGAGTCTGGAGATGTATACCTTTGGAATTTAAATTATTCTGCAGATATATATAGCAGTGAACTACATTCTGAATCAACTTTTTCTAATAATGATATTGTAGATGGATTTCAAAGAATTATTAAACCTATTCCTGCCATATTACATATTACGGAACATCAAGGAAAAGAAATCACAGGGATCGATTTCATGCCAAATAGACATACTGGTTTAATCGTTAGTGATACCCATGGGAATGTTCTCTATCATAATGGACATAGAACTGGGTTTTGGAATATGACATATAGTGTTCAAAGAATTTTACATGTGGCACCAAATGAAATTATTTTAAATACATATTTGAAAGGTGATAAATTAGCAATTTTGACCAATAGAAATTTTGGGATTATATCTACACAGAAAAACCATGGTTTTGGAAAAATGGGTTTTAAAGATACAGTTGAATTAGCTCCTATTTCACGCGATATTGTTCTTCAAAATTCTTTGTCTTGGACCGACAATAATCTTGCATACTCTATTAAAAATCGAGTAACAGTATATTCTGAGATTGAAAAATTAAACAAGACTCATAAATTTGTTTGGGACTGCAAAGAACTTATTCTTTCAATTCAATGGATGGCACAAAATTTATTAGGTGTTTTAACTGTGTCTCACCAACTGTTAATTATTAATCCATTTGAAAATTTCAATATTGTAATGAATATAGATCTCCTGACACATGATTTACTAATTCCACCAAATAAACATTTTAAATGGTACAGAAATAAATTATTTCTACTCACTAATTATTCATTCAAGATAGGTAAATTTGTTTCTTGGTCCAGTCTACTTTTGAAAAAGGTACAGAGTGGTGACTACATAGGTTCGTTATCTTTATTAAATCAATTTGTTAGTGAAAAATTTCCTATTCCAACTTTCTTGAACTTATCTACTAACTATGAAGTTAGAAAAACTCAATTAAAGGATCCTTTTAATAATTTAGTATTTGCTGCATTAAAATTTCTCCTGAATAATAATAAAGTAGATTCTATTAAGAGTCTTATATCTATGGCTATTCAGTTACAAATAAAATGGTTCCCTAGAGAAAGTCAGAAAGTAACATCTCAGTTTTTAGATATAACATGGGAAACAATACTTCAACAACCACAAGATATAATAGATCACTTTCAAGAGGTATTTCTAATTACAATACATGAACTAATTAATGGCAACGTCATTAGAAGTCTATCACCAACTCTGTTTCAGGCTATTTTACAGAAATATCCAACATCGATACAAACATTTCTGTTTATGTTAGACAAATCAAGCTGGGATTGTGATCTTTTGATTCGTCTCTGTCAAGAACAACATAATTTAGATATGTTGTTGTATATTTGGAATGTATCTTTTAATGATTATATGTCCCCATTTATTGAGCTTTTGAAATGGATTAGGGATGGGAATTTGGTACACAGTACTGTTTTGGGTGATGTAGAGATGAATTCTGAGGAGAACCTTAATCCTTGTATAATATTTGACTATATTGAAAGTTGTTACAAGGGATTACAATATCCAACCTCATTTGTTGTAGAAGATAAGATACAGATCTATCAGAATCAACAACATATGACTTATGTTCTTTTTAATGGGGTAGATATTGCATGGCCTTTTAACAGTGAGGAAAAATTGAAAACAATCAGGTATAATAGCATTGGAAATGACGATGAACCATCATTTCCATATTTCAAGCTTTTGATGAGATATGATTCTAAAAGGTTCTATGAAATGCTAACAAAAATATTAAAAGACCCATTTTTTAGTGGGTTAAACAATGAGAAAAAGTTAGATAATTATGTGGATAATAATAATTTTTCTGGCCAATTCATTTTGAAGATTACAAAGCAAAGTGTATTAGATATTTTGCTTAATGTATTAGAAGAAGAGAAAATATCATTAAATGAATATTCAAAGTATTATACAGTGTCATTTATTATTTATTATTTAAATCAATATTTCCAAAATTTACATATTAATAACACAGAATTAGATGCAATTATGAATATAGTTTCTAGTTTTCCTGATACATTAGGTTTGGACCAAGAATCAATTGAATATTTAATAATAGACATGATAAAAATATACATACCAACTGATTCATATCATTTGATAACACAGTGGAAAGCTAGAAATTTTCAAAAAGTACTATATTTTTTTTATAAGAGAAGTCATAAATACCTTGAAATCATAAAAATGGTGTTAGATAAAGAAAATAAAAATTTCTCAGAAGATATTGATCTATCTCTTGTTATTGAGGATGCATGTTGTGATACGGAAAAGAAGACTGCTGATTTTATTAGTATGAAAGCATTGATCAAAGAGAATTTCAAGTCAATACTTGAGATGACAACAACAGAAAATATTGTTAATATTATACAAAAAATTGATCCAACACTGCATTTGTTGATTAAGTACATATCAGTTCCGGATACATTGAAATTGGATTATCTTGAATATTATTTTATAAATGTTAGGGATATGAAATACCAAAATACAGAATTGAAAAGGTATTATATTAATTTGTCATGTCAACTTAGGAAAGGTCAATGTCTGACTAACTGGGTAAGAGATAAGGGATTAATACTGTTGGGTGACAATGAATTACTAGAAGAACTTCAGAAAGTCAACAACTATGATGCCATTTGCGCAATCTACCGTCACATGGGGAAATTTTCTGAAGAATTTTTGTGTATTGTTAAATGTGTCAACAAGCTTTTTCAAGAAAGGGGTGATGTGAATATTGATTCCTTGAATAATTATGTTTCTTCTGGTATTGAATCCATTTTGTCAATGAAAGGTGACAGAGTAAAATATTGGATCACATTAGTATCTACTATTATGAAAGAATTCAGTCGAAACAGGGAAAAAATTAGTAGAAATCCAGAATGTAATAAAACATTAAATAAATTATTTTTTCAGATGATAGCTATTGAAGGAAAAATCGACAACAATTTATATGAGATTATGACAGGTATACTTAATGACTGTGGTATCATAATGACAAAAACAAATGATGTAGAAAAATTATTTGTTCAGATTTTTACATCATATAGGCTTGAAGAAGCTATTTCAAAGACATTATTAAAAATTATTCAAGAATCATTCTTTGGAATGGTCAATAATTATCAGAAGAAATTAAAAGAAGGATGGGCGATACATAATTCGGAGTGCGAAATATGTGGTAAGGCATTATGGGGTGTTGGATTAGATCCTGATATATTTCTTCAATGGGAATTCAGGCAGAAAATGCAAAAATCAATAGAGAATCGATCTTTAAATGATATAATGGTTGTTTTTAAGTGTTGTCATGGATTCCATAAAAAGTGTTTGAACAATTTAGGACAAAAAGATGATGATTATAAATGCCTTTTGTGTTTGGCGAACAATGAAAGATGAAAGAATAAATAAAAAAATGATAATATACATATATATTTTTATATGTTCTCATGACTTTTTTATATAGGTTTTTATAATTTTTAAAATATAGACCAGTTATTAGATTTCCAGCATTTTTTATCCTATCTGGGTTGAAGATATGATTTAAAAGAGTCTGGTTTTTTATTAAAATAATTTTGTAGGGCTCCTCAAGGATAGAATATCTTTAAGTTTTCTTAAGAAAGAAAATGTGACATAATGGCCATAAAAATGTGTTAGGAAACTATACATATGCGACACATGTAGACAACGCTAGTAGTATTAATAATGTACAAGCAATTAAGAAAATATTCTGTTGTAAGTTTTGGTATTAACCTTTCTTGTCTTTATGTAGGGAGAAATGATAGATTAGATCTGAGTCTAACTATTTTTTTACAATAGTAGAATGTCAAGACACCATAATTCTAAAATATGGACATTTACCTAGTATGACTTATAAAAATATATGTATTTTTAATATTCGGAGATTGTGGTTAAATATTTTTGTACATATATTTTAGTATTCTCTGAAAAAGCTCAACGTAACAGCTGAACTGATATAATGTTAGAATAAAATTTTTGTTTTGAGTCTAGCTTTACTTTTTCCAAAAATTATTTTTACATCATGTGTCATAAATTTTTCCTAACTGTATGCTTTAAATATTACATAAATATATATCTATCTTTTTTTCTCTTATATACCACTTTTACGCTTTCTTCTTGAAATTCTTCTTGTTTATTCTTATTTATTGTTTAGTATTAACAATTCTCTACGTGTGTTTACATAAAACTATCAAAAATACATTGTATTAGGATTCCTTATGCAACAACAGTTGAAAATTATTGTCTACATGTATTGGATAAACTGGATGTGTTTTCGATTTTGTTTTATAATTCTTCTGTAGTTAATACTATACAAAATTGAAGTAAAATTATGGAAATAATAATCTACAAAATAGTGTAAATAAAATAAAAATACGATATAAGGCAACTGTTACCTTTATATACACGGATATAAAATAGCTTTCTTTTACAAACAACAAAAAGTAGCCAAATAGTCACATCAATGTTTACTAATATCCAAATAATAAATATTTCAATATTCTACCGTTTGGTATCTACTAAAAAAAATTATCGTTCAATCTATTTTATTTTAAAATATTTTATATCAGTAGTCTAAAAATATACAAAATATAATAACTAAAATAAACAGTTATTATACAATCAATCATTCTACCTTCCATTATTCTGTTTAGGACATTGGTTGGTCTTTCCATCCAGTAGCTTTCCCAAAGATACTATTATTGTGACATATGAAATCCAGAGGTCACTATAAATGATCTTGTGGACTCCTTGGTCAACGACTACACTCTTGTTTTTCGTGTTTACCTTATTTATATAACTATGTTTGTCTGTATATCTGTGTATATTAGTTTATTCTTTATGTAAAGTGTAGTTTATATGTCATATATAGACAATAAATCAAGCAATATTTATCTATTTTAGCGTCTAGAAGAGTATATCTCTCGTAATTGGGTTTTCATCTATTACATTTTTACATTACTACAAATTTTTCAAAAAAACAATGCGAATTCTGTGGATCGAACACAGGACCTCCAGATAACGGTAACTAAAGTTTCAAATCTTCAGTCTGGCGCTCTCCCAACTGAGCTAAATCCGCAGCTTGTTGTCGTTGGTGTTGTGGAATAGAATAGTTATAACCATCAAGATTACATAAGATCCTGAATGAATCTAGAACCAATTAGTGTATTAATAAGCCATACATGTGCTACAACATTAGATGCTGCATAATAAAAAGATTGGATTACATAAGATCTTGGCAAATCTAGAATTTACCTATTGTTTTATTAAGTCCCACGTGTATTACTAATCACCATGATTAGAGAATTGGGATGCAGTTCTAATCCAGTAGTGCACCTAAATTAATATAATAAATTTTAGGGTTTGAATCAGTCAAGTCATTAATGTAGTAATCTGAATAATCGATCGAGCTCCAGAAAACATATAAAAGGACAACGTTTTCAGGAGATAAAAGATCATCTTCCATAATCGTTTCTTGTAAATAATTTATATATTATGTATAAACAAAATAGAACAAGCAAGTAACAAGTCAAGTAACTTCGAATAAGTACATTAGCTCGATATAAGCCGCTTAATATATAAGACCGTTTTAGTAATTATACTATCGACTATAGTTGATTACTGTCTCGATTATTTGAATTACTATTAATATTATTTGCGCTTCCCTGGAATACACAAAGAACTTCACCACACCATACTACAACAGTTGGTGTTTTAGAATAGGATAATAATTACCATGATTAGAGAATTGAGGTGCAGTTCTAATCCACTAGTACACCTAGATTAATATAATAAATTTTAGGGTTTGAATCAGTCAGATCATTAATGTACTAATCTGAATAATTGCTCGAGCTCCAGAAAACATATAAAAGGACAACGTTTTCTGGAGATAAAAGATCATCTTCCATAACCGTTTTTTGTAAATAATCTATATATTGTATATAAACATAAATAGAAAAACAAGCAATAATCCTTAATTTTCCTATATGTAACGTTCTTATATATTTGTTATTGCCCTTACTATTCGTTCAATAGTCCTGTTAAAGAATTAGTCCTAAGTCCAAACTATAACATTGGTGCTGCAATATGATGTGGTTGGAGTTTGGAGTCCTTAGCGTCCATAGTAATAGTAGACATCATTAAGTTATAGATGCATGTTTTGTTTTGTACTAAATACATGTACGTACTTATTATATAGTGTATACAGTATAAATTCTTTTATTTACTTTGATTCTTCTTTTAAGATTTTCATTTCTCTTCAAATCTGTGAAAAACATATTTGGTGAAAAATAAAATGGTTTCCCATATATTATGGTACATCCGTACACCACATAATATACAGAAAAACTAATTAAAATAATTTGTATGGAAATGACAGTAACAAACTCTCATTTTCCAACAGATACAATCGGTAATGCAATTATTAATACGGTCTTATATATTAACATGTTGAGAATGAGCGCCTTTATTCATTGGATATATAGTAAACATTCTCAATATTATATTAAACAGATTTAGTACACAAAATTATAATAAAGTTCTTCACTTTCTTTCTCTATATACAACATAGAAGTAATAATACACAAAGATTATAAATAAGATAAAAATAATGTATGATGAAATCCTTGGCTTTATATATGTTAACATTAAGCCATTTTCCTCTACGAACAGTAAGATATTTAATAAACAAACTCAACAACCCTTGGTGACCTCTCAACAATTATTACTCAACAATTTATCGTTTAGTGTCTGCTAAAATCTTATTGGTCTATCTATTTCATTATAGAACATTTTATTTCAACATAACAGCTATATCGAGCTTATATAATTATGCTATTTGCTTATTGTATTCTGCGTCTGATGTTCGTTCTATATATAATATATATAAATTATGTATAAGAGAGGAGTGACAGAAGATAGTTCCATCTACAGAAAACGTTGTCCTTTTATATGTTTTCTGGAACTCGATCAACTATTCAACTTGATATATTAATGAATTAGTAATCCATATTTTTATTATTAGTTACAATAATATAATCGAAGAACATAGAACATTTAGGACAATAGGTTATGGTGGCGCAGTAACAGAGATGTGTGAACACACTGTATACTAGGTGGCAAATGGACATGTTGTACTTAAAACACAATAAATCACTTTAGATTCAGATAGAATCTTACATAATCTTGGTGGCGTTGCCTCTTTATTATACAATAGTTGGCACCATTATGAAGTAATCTAAAGTTTCATAATTGTTTAGCGAGTGTGAGAAATATCAAATGAATAAATTTAATTGAGATAGTAATTAATGTAGTTAATAGTACCATTACCAATACGGTCTTTATCTATTGAACAGCTATATTGAGTTTATATATTTTTTTATCCTTGTCGTTTTATTTATATATAATATATAAATTATGTATAAGAGAGGAGTGATGAAAAATGGGTTATCTTCAGAAGACATTGTCTTTTTATATGTTTTCTGGAACTCAATCAACTTTTCAACCTGATATATTAGTGAATTAGTAATTTACAAGCTAATCATTAACTGTAATAAGTAGACAAAAACTTCATAGAATATTTAGGACAGTAGTGACTGTGGTATATTAGCACGTGATAGTTTCTTATAATACAACATATTTCTTCCGGAATAAATGATTCTATTAATAAGCTAATTGGGTAGTATAGTTTAATATTTTATGGATGTGTGAGTCAAAAACCGTAATTGCTACAAAAGGTAAGTCAATCACTTAAATTGTCTTAATAGCATTACATATGAAACAATTATAATATTTTTTGTTCTTGTTGTTATTTTATTAAGAATTAGGGCCTGTGGTAATTAGGCAAATAGTAAACATTCTTAATATTGTAATTATTTAGTTATAGTGTACAAAATTATATTAAAGTTCTTTAATGTTCTTCTGTATAAATAATACAGAAATAATAATATATAAAAAGTATACAAAGGAAAAAATATGATATGAAAAATTGTTGGCTTTATATATTTTCATATCTGACACATATTTTCTACGAACGGCATTAATTTATCAATATGTGTTGTTTGCATTCACTGATAAGCAAACAATACATTTTCCGTATTTAGATATCAGTTTATATTTACTAAAATCTAATTGGTCTTTCTATTTATTCTAGAATATTGGATTTTAGTAACTATAATTGAAAATATACATTACATATTAAATACCTATGAATGCTAAGTTCCAACAATATTTATTAATGTAATTTAACATGATTAAAAAATAAATTCCAAGAGGGCATTTGAAGTCATCAAAATGTATTATTATTTAAAATTACTATGAAAATTGCTACTTCTTTTATATAAAATAAATTTACAAAAAATAATACATAACATTTTACGATTTATTAAATATGAAATAATAACCTTTATTTTTCAATAGAGCAATATGGACTGTTTATTTTTTAAACATTAACTCATATACATTAAATAATATAAACATTGTATATCATACGACGTAAAATATATACAGAGTGATAGATTAAAAAAAAATTTTTAATTCTAAAAAAGTATTACAACATTAAAATTCGCCGAGCCTACATATGTTTGATAGTTTACAAAATATTCCCACATTTATAGATGTCAATTGACTTTTTATTTGACTGTTCGTAGAATACTATGACAGTGTTTGTATAGTACTGTCTATATATGATAGAAGATTTACATAACAAAATCTACCATTATCTCTAAATATTTTATCTAACTATATTATATATTCAAATAAACTTATTTTTATATATCATATATAAAAAATTACGGAATTTCCTCTATAATAAATAGTAAAATAAGGTGTTCCAAAATACAACAAACTGAACAACAGTTTTTTCTAGTAGATATCAAACAGTAGAGTACTGAATATTTATTATTTGGATATTAGTAAACATTGATGTGACTATTTGACTAATTTTTTTGTTGTTTGTAAAAGAAAACTATTTTATATCCGTGTATATAAAGGTAACAGTTGCCTTATATCGTATTTTTATTTTATTTACACTATTTTGTAGATTATTATTTCCATAATTTTACTTCAATTTTGTATAGTATTAACTACAGAAGAATTATAAAACAAAATCGAAAACACATCCAGTTTATCCAATACATGTAGACAATAATTTTCAACAATAAATACCTTTGAGTTTACCAGTTAACCATGATCCTTAGCTTAGGTAACATTTTAGATACACTTTCACGTCGAAATTTATCTACTCCAAAAATTCTGTTAGCATTTACTTACTGTTCAATACAAATTGCGTTGATAAGCTTGAACTTAATTCACCATCTACATATGATATCAGCAGGAATACAACTTTAGTTTTTCAAAAGGGTCAGGATAATATAATCAAAACACGGAAAATAATTTCTTGACAATGTTCCACCAACTAGAAAACACTTATCGTATTTTCGTCTCAAGTGAGCAAATTAGTAACAAAAAATGCGAAATAACTATAAACAAAAAAATATTCCAAGAAGAAATTTATGATGTCTATGTTAATGTGACAACGGCAAACTCACTTCAAACATAACGGTATTTAGTCTTCATTTCATCTACAAAGAGATACCAATTGTGTGAAGAGAACATATTCTATTTGATCGTTATTTTTTTTTTTGGAAATTAGATGGGTTTTTTTTTCGAAGTTATTTAAAGGAAGTGTAGCATCCACTACGCCAGTCAATTCCTCAACAAGTGTTTCAGATATATTCAAATATCATGATTTAGGTAGAAATGAACTTATCGAACGACTTTGCAAATTGGAAAGGGATAATAAAAAACTTAAACAGGATCTTAGTGTGTGCCAAATGAATAACAGAAGTATTCCTACTGCTACTACCAATACTGCTGATAGTAAATATAGAAATAATAAAAAGAGATCATGTATTAATAGTAATATTTCAGATAAGAAAAATAAAAAAGCTAAAAAGAATTTTGACTTTTCAAAGCATAATAGACGATTCATCGCTTTGAAGTTTGCCTACCTTGGCTGGAATTATAATGGTTTAGCTATTCAAAAAGATCCAACAGTTTTACCCACTGTTGAGGGTACAATATTAGAAGCTATGAATAAATGTAAACTTGTACCTTCAATGGTCCCGCAAGATTATAAATTTAGTCGTTGCGGTAGAACTGATAAAGGTGTTAGTGCCATGAATCAAGTCATTTCGTTATGGGTCAGGTCCAACTTAAGTGACGAAGAACAGAAAGATCCTCTAAATGATGAAAGAGAAATCCAATATGCACACATTCTTAACCAATTATTACCTGATGATATAAGAATATCTGCAGTATCTTTAAGACCTCCAAAGGGATTTGATGCCAGGTTCAGCTGTCAAGCTCGTCATTACAAATATCTTTTCAAAAAGGAAGGGTTAAACATTGATAAAATGAATGAAGCTGCTAAAAAGTTTATAGGAGAGCATGATTTTAGAAATTTTTGTAAGATAGATGGATCTAAACAAATCACAAATTATAATAGAACCATATATTCGTCTAATATCTTACATGTTAATGATGATTTTTATTGTTTTGACTTGGTAGGTTCAGCATTCTTATGGCATCAAGTTCGTTGTATGATGGCTGTCCTATTCCTTATTGGTCAAGAACTTGAGACTCCCAATTTAATTTCGGAAATGTTAGATATTGAACTTACCCCACAAAAACCAATTTACGATATGGCAAGTGATGTCCCTTTAATATTGTATGACTGTAAATTTCCTGAAATGGAATGGATAGAAACTAATCTCAATGATTATAAAGCTGTAAAATATGGGAAAGCAGTTGATACCCTAGCATTAAATTATCAATTAAAATCTTCAATTGTTACAATTTTCAAGAATATTTTACCGACTAGCAAGACAACTATTGATGACAAAATAAGGATCAATCTAGGTAATGGAAAGGGTCAAGTACTGTCACAGTATAAAAAAATGAAAGACCGTGACGTCATGCAATCAGTAGATGTCATTAATGCAAAGTTTAGGAAAAGAAAGACAAAAAAACAAACAATTGTTGAAACAAATATATAATATTTATGCTTTGACTATGTATGTGTGTGTTCTTAGACAAATTAATATTATAGATTATATTTCAAGGTAGAATATTTGTATATTAAGAGACAGATGAGATAGTTCATATTGCATTGAAGGTTCAGTTCGTCAATGATTTAGCGATCCATGATGGATTCCAAAACAGTGTTTCATTTTGTTCAGATTGATTGTCCACCCATAATAAACCATTTATCACCATTTCATCTAATACAGACTTACATCTCACCTTGCTCCAACTAAGATTAGCTCTTAAAAGAGATATAGATGCATAACCCATTATTGAACACACTTCTAGAATCTTTGTTTGATCTGTGGTTAGTTCGTTAGGTACACTTCGAAGAATTTTTTCCCCCTTTATTGTTAAAATAGTAAATCCTCCATCTAGAGTCCTCAACATATTAATAGCATCAATTAAATCTTTCTCCGTTACATTCATAGTTTTAAAATATGTACGTAATAATTCGTTAAACGTTATCAACCCACCATTAATATCTTTAGTATTTCTACAAATTTGAATTATTCTAATACATAACTCATATAAGAAATCATTTACAGTAAATAAATGTTTATCTCGGTCAGTATATAATTTCAAAGGATCAATCCCAATATTATGACACATATGTAGAAATTTGGATCTAAATGCAGGATTTGACTTTAACCCCTGATTATGTTTATTAGCAAATTCTATCAGTTTATCTTGAAAAATATTCAATTGTTCTGAAAGTTCTTCAGTTTTTCTATTAAACTGTTTCAGTGTGTCATTATATAGCTTATCATTATCATTAAATGCCGCTAACCCAAATTTTTTCATCTCCTATTGTCCCAAAAAAGATCTCACGTTGTTCAATGTGCTCTCTAAACTTCTCTTTCGTTCATTCACATTATTTATTTGGAAGTATAACAATATCTAAAATTTTCTTTAATGAACTATATTTAAATGTATAAAAAATATTGCATTCTCCAACTTATAATAGTTTAGCGTTTTTTGTGTAAATATTGTTTATTTATTGAATTAGGAAAGTTAGTAATTTTTTTTTAATAAATTTCTTTTTCTTTATAAATTAAAGAAAAAAAAACAAATGCTTTATAGTACAATATACATAGATAGAAATGAATGTATACCATTAGATATGGACAATCATAAAAGTCAATTTATCTGCGTTGAACGACCAGAAGTGATATTTCACGACATAGTACTCTATGACATCTGCGCAAGATTTCAAACTTGAGAGATGGACATTGTCCTCCAACGATGCATTGAAAATATCAATTGTCAATAATTCAGAAGATAAAGCCATTCAATTTAAGCCAAATTTCACTTATCCACTTTATGGTGATAAAGAAACTATATTCGGATTTAAAGATTTAACAATTCATTTGGTGTTTGACTCAGTAACGTTTAAGCCATTTATTAATGCCAAATATAGTACTTCTGTTAAGAATTATGATGATGTTCTCAAAATACTGGGTGATAATTTACCAGAGAACGATTTTATTATGAAAGATGAGAATAAATGGAGAGATATCTGTAAAAATGAGCACAAAACTTACAGCCTGCCTGATGAGAAATATAAGATCGGAGAATATGCAATCGACAATTCAAACAAATTTGCCATCTATAAGGTTAAGCTATCAGAAGACCCAAACTTATTAAAGCTTCATCGTAGAATACAGATTCTTTCACTATTTTTCATCGAAGGTGCATCATATATAGACACTGAAGAACCACTTTGGGATATTTATTGGCTATTTAATATGGAAACAAAGGAATGTATAGGTTTTGCAACAACTTATAAATATTGGTATTATGGTGGTCATTTAAACTTCGATAGCCAAAATTACAAAAGACAATATAGAGCTAAAATATCACAATTTTTGATTCTTCCCCCATATCAGGGTAAGGGTCATGGCACCCAATTTTATTCTCACATATATGATTCATGGAAAACAGATCTCTCTGTTGTTGAAGTAACCATAGAAGATCCAAATGAAAGTTTTGATGATCTTAGAGATATAAATGATTTGATGATGTTATCTGAAGAAAACTTTTTTACCTCTCTCGAGAATAAACTTCAGAATAATAATCTTCAAATATCTGTATGGCTTGAAGATCAAAGAACACGCTTTAAATTAGAAAAAAGACAATTTGAGAGATGTGTGGAAATGATACTTCTTTATCTACAAAGTGATAAAGAGTATAATGCTTTTGTTAAGAAAAGATTATATCGAAAAAATTTTGAAGCTTTAAATGACATTCCAGATAATGATGGCAAGATTAAAGCAATTAACAATTCTTTCAACCTATTGACAGAAGACTATCACCGTATTTTAGAAAAATTTTCGAATTTTAAAAGAAGATATAACCAGAAGTAAATAGAAAAAATTGAAGAGTAGTTCTGTCATTTGAAGAAATAATGATTTTTAGAACATATATACATTAATATGATGTAATTTTAAAAGTATATATTTCGTGTAAAAAATTTGAACTATATATTATTTAAGAAACGTACATAATTGGGTTGATTTGTAATTTTTAAAATTAAGTTTAAGTTCAGATCAACAAAAAAATATGCTTTTCTAATTTTCAATAAATCAGAATATAAATATAAAAGTTGATGCAAATGAATACTTACATTGTTGTTTATATTAAAAATTTTAACTAGGTATATGAATTAAATAATTATGTATTGTATTTAGTTTTGAAGATATTCTTCAGTTATTTAACTGGAAGAAAATTCTATATCAACAGAATAATAAAATAAAATAAAAACAGAGCAAATAAAATACACAATATTACTAAATTTTCGCTTCTTGTATACAAATTTTTAGTTAGTATATTTTTGTTCAAGACATTAATTGTAGTGGATTTGAAACGGGAAGTCACTCTATAATTTTTATATTGAGTTAGTTGTTACTTTAATAAGTATATTTTATTGGATATCTCTAAATAATATTTATGATCTCTATTTTACATTATTATTAGCTATCAATATATTTTACTAAATTATAAGTAATGCAATTTGGATAAATTCTTATTAATTCATTTTTATATTTTTAAATAATTTTTTTCCAGGGAAGTTATTTCTTTGTTGAACAACATTTCAAAACAAAACGTGTTAGGTCTCATTTCTTAGCAAAACAATTTTATATAGTAAATTGTGTACGTAAATATACATAGAAAAAGGTAGTAAACAAAAATATAGAAATGTAATTATGCTACAGTATACAATTCTATTATGGCTATAGAGAATCTTTATTCTGACGCTCGACAATATAATAACTTTACTAAAGAACATACATATTTTTACGAAAAAAAAAACTATCAATAAAATATTATTGCTACAAAGTATCACTCTTTAGTTAAAGCTTATTATTTATATATACATTTCTCAATAAATTAGTATAGTGCGTTACTGTACAAGTAATCCAACCATACCTACCTTTTTTATTTTCATATTAAAATCTCTTCTCTCTTTTAAAAAAGAAAACATAAAATAAAACCAAAATCAATATTTGTTTTGCAAAATTTTTAAATCTCGATCTTTTATTAGGATTACTCACACATATGTAGTATATTACTATATTCCTATCGAAATTTCGAGTTATCATTATGTCTAATGTGTTTTGTATGCTATTTAAACAGGTTTACGTCGACTAGAGTCAAATACGTCTCCACGTTTAAATCACATCATTTGAGGAATGTTGAACACATTATTCCATAAAATAATAATGGGAATCTGGAATAGTAAATTGAATAAGAGCAGTGTTAAGGAGCATAAACAATTGAGGTTGTGGACGCTTACTAACATAAGTATTATTTTTTATTATTATGTAATAACTTATCGATGTATATAAAAAATATCAAACAGTTTGTTTTCTTATATTATACAACACACAAAATAATACGTCTAAAACATTTTAAATATTATAAATAGTGTGTAAGAGTTGTTGTATGTAAATGGATGAATCATATCAATTAGTATAAGTATAAACACTCTTACGTGAGCTCTATATATCACTAATTAATAACCCTGATGTGGTATTATTACTTCTTGTTGTTCTTGTATGATATTAAGAGTTATCTCTTAATATTATTACTAAGATGTATTTAAATAAGATGATTACCCCGGCCTATCTTTCAATAATCAAAGGCCTCTTGATAAGATCTGATATAATTCTCACTCCCTGGAAATTCTCCAATCAGATTCAATACCTTATACGAGCCACTGCGCATATAGCTGCACCAATCTTCCAGCTAGACACTCAGGTGTTACCCTCAGAATTGTGTATCTACTGGATTTCCAGTTAGGCTCTTTACATAGTGATAAAAAATTCTTATTTATTCTCTTATCTGTATAATAAATTTCCTAAATAAAAAATAAAATAAATAATATACTCTCCTTTTTATCTATTAAGCAAAAAACAAATGTTAAACATTCAAAATACTCAAAATAAATATTTAATGGACTAGAAGCATATGAATATTTTTATATAACAGATTTTACTTTTCTACAATTGTTGCATACAATTAATAAAATATTACAAAATACATAGTAATGATCTTGTAATACGAAACAACTTATTTTTATCAAATGGCACGAATTATAATAATATATTTTTTTACGAATAAATAACTATAATTAAATCACATGATTAAATATTTTATTAAATACTTGTAAAAATTATTATAAAAATATGTTTTATTTTAATTTTCCGAAAAATTAATAATATTAACGTTTCGTTAGAAAGTATATTATGTTTTAATTTAATGTATATATCTAATTAGCATTTGTGACGATAAATTCTTGTATTAAAAAAATGGAAGGTTCAGCGTTAAAAAAACACATTTATGTATATCATATATCTTTGCATTACCTTATAATATTACTATTATCACCATTATAATTTTTCGTAATCTCTGTCTTGGTAGCACAATTTTATAAATAATTTTAGATTAATTATTTACAGATATTTATTTCGCTAGGAGATAATTTAAAATATTAAAAGATTATGATTATAAGTACAAGTGATGTTCCAAAAAAAAAAAAAAAAGAATAGTATATTAAATAAATTATATTATGAGATACTAATTAATAAATATTAAATATTTTTCTATCTAATCATATAGTCATTATATTTTTGTTAATTTATTACCTTACATTTTTACTCGGGCCTATTGTAGTAGCAATATTTAAGGGAAATTTTACTTTAAATTTCAATTTTCCAAAGTTTGTTATTTGCTGGATAAGTATATGGATGTATGTGTAGGAATATAACAGCCTAAATAATTTTTTTTATCAATTTATAACTTGCTTTATATTCACAATGTACAGAATTTTGAATTATTAGTTTTTATATATACAACCCAATAACTGGATCCTTCTGCATAATATTAACGATACTTTTTATAGAATAAGGTACTTACTTTTATTAAGGAATATAATAAGAATGAATAAATCAACTCTCTTAAATGTTTATAATAATTAACAAAAATTTAATAGATATTGTGGTATTAACTACATAAAGTATACTAAGTATAATAGCAGTACCATTTATTGTAAAATTATCGACAAAATTCATTATCTAAAAAAAGGAGAAGATATGATGATAGTAAAATAGTAAAAAATCATGACGTTTAAAATTAAGAATGGGGAAAAAACAAACAAAAGTCTTTATGTTTACTCTGAAATCCAATCTAATAACTCTGGCGTAAAATAAGTGATAATTAATCTAGCACCAGCTCTTAAGAACCCTTGGTGAGATTCCAAAACAATGCTTTTTAAATCCACAACACCTTTTTCAGCGGCTGCATGTAACATTGCATATTCCCCAGATACATGATAAGCACATATTGGCAAATCTCTACAAATTTCACTTGCATCACGCATAATATCCAAATAAAAGGTAGATGGTTTGACAATAATACCATCGGCACCCTCATTCATATCACGCTGAACTGCTCTTCTAGCCAAACCTCTTCCTGCATGAGGTAATTGATATCTTTTTCTATCACCTGAAGATGGTGCAGAGCATGCAGCATCACGGAAAGGACCATATAGATTGGCACTAAATTTTGCAGCATATGAAAGAACAAAGGTCTTATGTGCTAAACCTGCGTTAATCAATCCACGCTTAATTTCTTTAATTCTACCATCAATCATATCACTTGGAGCGACACAATGTGCACCTGCTTTAGCATAATTAACTGCAACAGCAGCAATACGGGCAACACTTAGTTCTCGATTAATTGTACCATCTTTGTATAGGACACCACAGTGTCCATGAGAGGTATATTCACAAAGACACACGTCACATATAATATATAGATCTGGAAAAGCCTGTCTTAATGTTTTAATCCCTTGAATAACAGGTCCATTTGGATCATCTGCAGCAGTACCAACAGGATCTTTACAGCCTGGTGCTAAAGGAACTCCAAATATGATTACAGATCTTAAACCTTTCTCCACTAAAGGACGTAGATAATCAACAATTTTATTGACACCTAATCTACTAATATTAGGCAATGAATCAATTGGTGTAATGTCGTCTGGCTGATCGGATATAAAGATTGGGAAAATTAACATATTTTTGTGCAGTTGTCTCTCACTTTGCCATTCTCTCAATAGTGGATGATTGTAACCACCAGCTAGAATAGATGAGATTTGGGTCTCTTCAATATCTAAAAACTCAGCTGTGTGCATACGAATTGGATGTGACTAAAATTAATAATTGTTGAGTTGCCTTTTTTTCTTTATTTAGTAAGCTACTTATTTAAATGCAGGTTCAAGGAGAAAAAGAGTCCAATAGCAGAAAAAATTATAAAAAAGATAAAAGGACTTTATTCCATCTTTTTATAGATAAGAGTATATGAGTTTGCAGAAAGGTCACTTATTTGCTCAGAGTATGAAACTGATTAAAAAGAAAGAAGATAAATATGTTGGAAAACTTATATTTTTCTTGTTCGATTTTTATTTGGTAGGGAAGAACGACACTGATATATGATTACTAATTAACCCTATTTGTTTTTCTTAGTTTTTCATCCTTTGAGACAAGCGGAAATAATACAGGTTTGTGCGGAATTTTCTATTTCCGTTTTTTTTTACAAAAAAATTTTCTTTTTAGAAATCTGAAATTCTGATAAAATAAAAACCATTTTTTTTTTTGTTTAAAGAAAATCAAAAGAAAGAAAAATAAAAAAGTAGAAGAGTTAGCTTTGAAATAGTATGCGTGTGATGCAATGATATTGTGGACGTTCATAAGATAGATATATATTTTTATTCAGCTTGTAAATCAATTGACAAGAAAGTAGGAATAAGTTAAAATAAGAATATACAAAGTATTTAGCTAAGCAGCATTAGTGAGCGAAATTAAAAAAAAATGAGAGATTATAAACTGGTTGTACTAGGTGCAGGGGGTGTAGGTAAGTCATGCTTAACTGTACAATTTGTGCAAGGTATCTACTTAGATTCTTATGATCCAACAATTGAAGATTCATATAGGAAAACAATAGAAATTGATAATAAAGTTTTTGATCTGGAAATATTGGATACTGCCGGTATCGCACAATTTACTGCAATGAGAGAATTATATATAAAATCTGGTATGGGATTTCTTCTGGTGTATTCAGTTACTGATAAACAGTCTTTGAATGAATTAATGGCATTAAGAGAACAAGTTCTTAGAATTAAAGATACAGATCGTGTTCCAATGGTACTTGTTGGCAATAAAGCTGATTTAATCGATGAAAGGGTAATTAGTGTAGAAGATGGTATAGCAGTTAGCAGTAAATGGGGCAAGGTTCCCTTTTATGAAACAAGTGCATTATTAAAATCAAATGTTGATGAGGTATTTATTGATGTTGTGAGACAGATCATAAGAAATGAAATGGAAAATGTTGCAAGATCAGAAATGAGAAATCCAAGTCGTTCACAGTTCAAAGACAATAAGAGTAATGGTGATGGTACCATACAATCTCTTTCTAAAAAGGAAATGTTAGGTAATTCTTCTAAAAAAAATACTAGAATGGGATCATACCAAGGCCAGTCTGAATTATATGAGACAAAAAATACATCTAGGTTACAAACGTCTAATTTAACAAAGAATGCAGAAAAAGGAACTGCACAATCAAAAACAAATTCTTCCATTGAAGTTAAGAATAAAACTGATAAATCCCCCAAAACAGTTAGTTCTTTAAATAGAAAGAAATCCAAAAAGAAATCCTCATTATGTATGATATTATAATATTTTAGATGGATATATGTACAGAATTAAAAATATGTAATATTCAAGGAACTATTGATATCATTCTAGAAGTTATAAATATTTCAAATGGTTTAAATAATTTAGTAAGCAGAATTTTTGATTGTGGTATAGTACAAAAGTAAGGCAATAGAGACGTTGTCTGTTCTTTTTTGGACTTATAGTGTGACTGTTTGGAGATCCAAATCATGGGATAAACCTTAGATCACCTTTTAATTCACTTGGAGGCTTAAAATAATTTATGTGAAAGTTATGAAAGAAAAAAGATGCAAAAACAATCATCATATATAATATAAAGATAATATATATATACATTTACAGATAAATTGATCAGGTTGGTATATTTACAACATCTTAATTGAAGATTAAAATTTAAGTGCCAATTATTTTGACATCGTAAAATAGCACAGGTTAAATTTGTTGTATCAAGTATAATTTTAATTTTGTTGTAAACTAAGTGATTAATACTTTTAACGATTAAGGTTCTTTTTTTATATATATAATATATATAAAAACAAGAATTAAAAAACCAAATATTATATAATGCATTAAAATAAACAATATTTTTAGGTATACAAAGAAAACAAAATTTTAAGTAAAATTGGGATCTTGATGATTTATTCCTATTCTCTTTATTGTTAATCACTAGGTAAGTTTTGTCTTTGAAAGAACAGAAAAAAGAAAAAAAAGCACAATCCTTTCTCAAATATTATAGAATATTTCGGTAATATATCTAGTTTTGATAATAACGAAAATTTTAAAGATTCTAAAATAAAATAGTTAAATTTTACAATAGGATTATAACACACATATATAATAATTAGAATGTATCTTGAGATAATATAATTCTGCACTAAAAGTTCTAATATAAATTTGATTATATACTTATGATAAGCTTTTGCGGTGATATATTTGTGGTAGTATCGACTTCCTTCAATTTGTCTATCAAACAATATAATATTCTACTTTACAAATTGTACGTTCCTAAATATTAATTTTCTTAAGAGTTACTATCCTTATTTACAAAAAATGTAAGCTAATATTAAACTAATGCTACCTTTCAATATTGAATAATTAATATAATATATATATTCCACATCTTGTTTCTTTCTTTTTGACTATGTCTAATTCTTACTACTGTCTTTGAACAGCTAATTTTCTATCATAATTTCTGATACTTATTCTCTGTTTCATATAAAAATACCTATTTCACCAAATAAGAAGACTTTCTCATATTTATAAATAAATTAAAGAAATAAATAGAAAACAAACTCAAGACAAGTAGTATTTAATGATGTATATAATCAAGTGTATTTTTATTCTTGAAAGTTACTCAGACTCCAAAATTATTTTAAAAAATTTTTGAACGTTATATAACATAAGAGGACAGACTGCTTGGGTTTGCTTATATATACGGGTAAGTTATCTTATACTGACATATAATAATGCACATGATGATACATATTCACATTGTCAATCACTGGCTGCTATTAATGTTGTTCATGAGCCTTTAGTTATACTTAGTTTTAAAATACTAGAAAAAATATATATATACAGAATATTTGCCTACAGTTCTTGCACACATACATTGTTAATTTTGTCTAATTATTATAAAGGAAAACCTATTACAAAATATATACGACAAATAAATTATATTGCATGTAGGAAGTTGTATGAAGAAGTAGAAAACCGGATAGATACGAAATTTATAGATATAAAAAATAAGATTTCTATTATTGACTAAAAAATTCATAAGACTGTCTATAGTGATATCAAGACAACGTTTCTCATAATTATATTTTGCAAACTTGTACACCACAAATAAGCACCGTAATGTTTAAGATATTTATATGTAAGACTTTTAACTACTGGTTTAGAAAAATTAGGATTATCAATACTTTCCTAAACTCTCCTTTTTGTAAAATTTTTCCAATCAGCCTTGACAATTGAAATATAAATTATTAAAGAAAAAATACAACTATATACGTTCGAAAGTGAGAATTTATTTGTGTTATTTCTATAAGAATTGTTGTAATTTATTTTTTTTGTATATCATATTATGTACAGATGTATGATGATATGCAGAAAACATTTTATCTCTTACCGTCAGTGTAGTTCAAGTATTCGAAGAAAAACGAAAAACATTAAAAGACTTGAAATGAATAAAAGAGTTTATATTAAATACATGACATAAAGAATATATATATTTAACATCAAATAACGACAAGTATCTATTGCTTAACAATATTCACCATTACCATGAATGCTAAATGCACCAAATTGCCACAATATTTATTAGTAGTAATCAATGGAAAAAAAAAGAAGAATAACCAAAAAAAAAAAATTATGAAAAAATAGTCAAGGATATATTATATATTGCTTAGTCTATATGTTACATATAGAATCCTGATGTCACTATAAAGTATCTTGTGAACTTCCTAGTCGACGATGACATTTTTGTTTGTCTGTATATCTATATATGTTATTTTACTTCTTGTGTAGAGTATAATTTATATATCATATATAGACAACCAATCAAGAAATATTTATTTCTTTTAGTGTTTACAAGACTATATATCTCGTAATTAATCATCATCTATTACAAAAAAAGGAGATTTTAGAAAAATATTGCCAACCCTCATTTTTCTAAACAAAACCCTAAACAGTAATAACAGGGATATTACATGTGCATCAAAGAACTGGACGCGACCGGAATCGAACCGATGACCTCTTCCTTGCAAGGGAAGCGCGCTACCAACTGCGCCACGTGCCCCAAAACAGATGCCTTTTGTTGTGGAATAGAATAGTTATAACCATCAAGATTACATAAGATCCTGAATGAATCTAGAACTATTTATTTTCTTAATAAGCCATACACGTACTACAACATTAGATGCTGCATAATAAAGAGATTGAATTACATAAGATTTTGGCAAATCTAGAATTTACCTATTGTTTTAATAAGTCCCACGTGTATTACTAATTACCATGATTAGAGAATTGGGATGCAGTTCTAATCCACTAGTGCACCTAAATTAATGTAATAAATTTTAGGGTGAATCAGTCAAGTCATTAATGTACTAATCTGAATAATCGATCGAGCTCCAGAAAACATATAAAAGGACAACGTTTTCTGGAGATAAAAGATCATCTTCCATAACCGTTTCTTGTAAATAATTTATATATTATATATGAACAAAAAGAGAACAACAAGCAAGTAACAAGCCAAGTAACTTCGAATAAATATATTAGCTCGTTAAAGCCGCTCAATATATAAGACCGTTTTAGTAATTATATTATTGATTATAGTTGATTACTGTCTCGATTACTTGAATAACTATAAATATTATTTGCGCTTCCCTGGAATACACAAAGAATCTGACAATTTAATGCTGCAACGGACGTCACGACGTTTTCGGGCGTGTGGTCTAGTGGTATGATTCTCGCTTTGGGTTCACTGGAACGTTTGAGTATGCGAGAGGCCCTGGGTTCAATTCCCAGCTCGCCCCCTTTTTTACTGTAAACTGTAATATTGGAGATATTACAGCTTAGGGTTATGTTTAGAAAAATGAGAGTTGACAGTATTTTTCTAAACTTTCCTTTTTGCTAAATTTTACAAACATACATAAAAGCAGGAGTAGCCAACATAAGTACAAGGAAGTAACGAAGGAACCAAGGATTACATAGGTTTAGATATATAATATATAAGTGTATACTATTAAGTTATCATAGATTAAGGATATAGATATATGGATATATAGGTGTTGAAATAGAATGTTCTATAATGAAATAGATAGAACAATAAGATTTTAGCAGACACTAAACGTTAAATTGTTGAGTAATAATTGTTGAGAGGTCACCAAAAGTTGTTGAGTTTGTTTATTAAATATCTTACTGTTCGTAAAGGAAAATGGCTTAATGTTAACATATATAAAGCCAAGGATTTCATCATACATTATTTTTATCTTATTTACAATCTTTGTATATTATTATTTCTATGTTGTATATAGAGAAAGAAAGTGAAGAACTTTATTATAATTTTGTTTACTAAATCTGTTTAATATAATATTTGAGAGTGTTTACTATATATCCAATGAATAAAGGTGCTCATTCTCAACAATAGGAATATTACATCTAGAAATATAGAAAGAGTCTATATCTTATATCTATCCAAGTGAAATATTATTGAAATTTCAACAAGATTAACTGTTGCCAGAAACCCATAACCTCAGGGTTATCACATAATCACATTGTAATTGTAAGTATAGGTGTAAAGCACTTTTCGAATGCTTTGTTACCAAAGATGGATTATTAGAGATATTGTAATAGATGACGATCTATTACGAGCGATATATTCTTGTAGACACTAGAATTGATAAATATAGCTTAGTTCAGTTATCTATATATGATATACAAACTATACTCTACTGTTGAGAATGAGCGCTTGTAGTCATTGGGTATATAGTAAACATTCTCAATATTATATTAGATATATATAATATACAAAATTATAATAAAGTTTTTCGATTCTTTTATTTATATGTAATATACAAGGATAATGTATAAAAGATGAGCAAGGGAGGAAACATAATATGAAAAAAATGTTGGCTTTATATATTTTTATATCTCGTCTATCTCGTCTATGTACGGTACCAAATTTATGATCAGGTTTGTTTACGTCTACTGACAAGCAAACAATACGTTCTTTACATTTTGTTATCAATTAATGTGTACTAAAATCTAATTGGTCTATTATTTATTCTAGCACGTTCGATTTCAGCGATATATCCGTTATGTCGTATGTTTCCTTTATATTTATATAATTATTGATTCTCAAATAAGAGATAGAGGGAAAATTATTTTACATATTAAAATAATTAAGAATACAAAATAATAACATCTAATATGATCACCGACACTAAAAACATGTATACTAACATAATTCATCCAGAGGATTATTCTTTCTATAAAGTATATAAAGAAAACAGGCAAAAAACTTTATTTTAATTTTTTTTATTGTTGTGCTTTGTAAACATAAAAAATTACTAAAAAAAATTATGTTGGGAAAAAATTTTTTTATTAAGCCTTGTTAAAAGACCTTTAATGATTGAGAGACATGCCTGGGATAATCATCTTATTTAATTATATTTTAATGTAAATATTAAGAACTACTTTCTAAACTTGTACATGAGAAATAATAACCAATAATAAGTTAATAATAGAATTTCAGGAGTATTTCTTAAGTTTAACAATGTCCTCAGTGAAAATATTTATATGAATACAAATTTTGACATGGTCCATCCATTATTATCCTTTAGTACAACAACAAGGAAGTACTTTTTTCCCCACTCTTTTTAAGAATAGTTTCAAAAAGAAATAAAAATAGCTTATAAAATCAAGCATCTTGAATTTATTTTATCAAGAATGGACAACATACTTGTAAAGCCATATTATAAATATTTGAAACATAACCAGTAAAAACGCAAAAAAAAAACATTAATATTTGACAAGGAGAAAAGAAAACATGATTGCAGGCTTAACAATGGACTCAATCTATTTTCCTTGTTTAATAAAATAAAAAACACGAGTTATTTATAGAAGAAAATTGAAAAAAAACTACATTGGTATAAAAAAGTTTCTTACTTGTTTAGGCTCTTATTTTTATGATGAATGTTAACAGAAATGTAGCTGCTACTTTAGTTGTAAACATTTATTAAAATGTTCCATTGAAAAATTAAATATCAACATTTAACGTGTTGTAAAAAAAACAGTTTATTACAGAAATACCCTAACAAAAAAACAGTTTATAATGGAAAAAAAGAAAGATTCTGTTAAAATAAACCTATTTTAACAAAGAAGAAATCTTTTTCTTTTCTCATATTTTTCCATTTCCACAACCCAAATGCAAAAAAAAACAATACAAACGAGTCGTTCAGATTTGATCCAAACAAAAGAATTCTTAAATTAAAGAAGCGAATGCCCTTTTATTTTTTTGTCTTTTTCCCCATTTGTTATAAAAAAAAAATAAAAAATAAAAAAAAAGAAAAAATGATTATTATTGGTATTAAAAAAAGCAAAGAAGCCGATTACTAAATAAACAAAATCTCTAAATATACAAGTATAGTTCTCCCACACTATAACTTTAAAATCAACTATCAGCATTTAATTATCTCCAAATGTTTTCAAAAACCTTAGATGAAAGCTGTACACTCATATACCAATATGTATATATCCATACACATAAATATATATTGGGATAAAACAATAACCATTATAAAAAAATCAAGGAAATAAAAATAAAAAGACACTGAGAGGGTAAGAAACCTAACAGTAAAACATGTGGACTAACTTAATATCAAGAAGAATGCTCTTCCACAAAAATCCATACTTCTCAAATCGAATATCATTAAACCAATCTTATACACATCTATTCACATCTAGACTTCGAATTCAACATAATACAACTGTAAAAATTAAACAAAACAAACCTCCGTTGTCGTATTATAGATCATTTTTATTTTTACAAAATAGATTTATCTCAGTTTCAAGGACAATATATAATCCAATATCAGCTAATAATGAAAATAAGAACAATTCAGCAACTAAAATAGTTAGCCCAATACACTCTAAAGATAGTAATAACAGTAATAAAGATATTAGTGAATTAAGTATCAATGCAAATTTAAACTTATATCAAAAGTTCAAATCTAATATAAAGTGGATACTAATAAGAAATAAGGAAAGACCTTTTTCAAAAGATGAGCTAGGAACCTTATTTTCATGGTTGATACTGTCGCAGGTTGTTTGGGTTATTTTAAAGACCACAACCTTTGTATCGCTATTATTATTAGCTGCAAACACAATTTTTGCTAAAGAATTGGTAGCTGAAACTATTGGTAAACTGTTAAATTATTTCATTGATGGTATTGATGTGAAATTTCAAGATGCTTTGATACCCAAATGGAAAAATGGATTAATTAGATTTAATAACGTTGATTTGCAAACTTCTAAAGATCAATCAAATAACTCTTTTTCATTTGATTTAAATTTTCAACAAATTGAAATGAATCTTTCTCTAAAAAAATGGCTTTTGGGTAAAGGTTTAATTAATAATGTTAAAATATATGGGATGAATGGCACAACAAATATTATATATCCAAATCCACACCTAAATAATAATATAAACAAAAGGGATCCAACAATTGGTAATACTGATTCCACTACAAATGCTGCCTTAAATAAAAATGATGTGGATACATTTTTACTAATAAATTGGTTTTCTAATCCTTACTACCAACTTAATAATATTAAAATAGCTGATTCAAATATTACTGTGAATGAAAGTTATGCAAATGGGGATCCATCCATCACTTATAAAATATCGCTTTTCAACTTAGAGATTCCAAAATTGAGGTTTAATCAAATGATTGTAGATTTTTTGCATGCTGATGTTATATCGGGTTCAATAAACAATTCTTTATTTACTTTTCATAAAAGACAACAAAAGATTGGATATTCAAACAATAATATTCAAAATGATTTAGGTAATTGGAAACGAACCACCAGATTAAGATTGAATTCAATCAGTATTAAAGATTTGGGCCTTTATAAAACAAAATCCTTTAATTGGATGCAAAAAGGTAATGTTGATATTGTGGCAGATATCATGTTACCTACTGAAGATGAGCTAAACAACTCACTTGACTTCTTTAGCAGTAAGCATTCTATCAACAACAACAGCATTATTATTAATAATAATGAGGAAAAATATATCGTGATTGATTTAAAATTTATTTTTAAAGATTTAAAAGCAGTTCTTCCGATAAACCCACCAAAATTATCAACAGGTGAAGAGCTCGTTTCCTTAGACGAATTAAAACCTATTGTATCCTATATTAATTTACAAAGGGCACTAAAACAATTTCAAAGCTTATCTGACAATAATAATGATGATAAAATAACTGCTCATACAATTCTGTTTCGTGATTCACCAGAGATATCTATTAGAAGAAAACGAAAATATCCTGATATGAGTATAATCAAAAACAATTCAAATTCAAAACATAAACAATATATAAACTCTAACACCAATATTCAAGAGAAAGAGAATAATATTAGCAAGAAAGGGACTTCTACTGTATCTATTTCAACTGAAGGTTATAACTCAAATGTATCTGCAATCCCAACTACTAACGCTACTACAACCACCACCACTACTACTACTGCAACCAATACAAGTGAATTAGCCTTAAGAGTTAGATTAGTAAGGAACCTTAAAAGTTTAGAAAATAAAATATTATTCCAAGAGACTGGTATATATGATCAAATAAGTACGGAACTCTACGTTGATCTTATTAAAATCGTGGAAGAATGGGAATATAAAAATAAAGAAGAATGGTTGAAAAAATGGGGAAATGGTATTGCATCACAACTATTATTATATGGATTTGCATCTCCTGTATAAAAGTAAATGTTATAGATATATGCATTTTATAAACTTGTAACTGATGAAAATAACAATTTACTTATTTATCCCTGTGTTTGTATACACATGAATATATGAAAAAGAAAATGCACACATTAATTCTAACATAATAGTATACATTTTTTTGTTAACAGCATTAAAATACTAATTGAAGTATTAACTTATAGTTCCTCTTTTTTATTATCCTATTAATTCTGTTGTAGATTGGACGGTACTGATTTTTCAATTTTCTTAATAGGCATGAAGTCACTAGTAGCAACCTTCACATTAGACTTTGTTGCACCTATCCCTACATTATCTGGATGTTTCAGTCTTGTCACATCATTTTGGAATTTCACTTCGTCATTTGCATCCTCATTATTATCAGTTACTTTACCATCCCAACCCATACCTCTTAATACTGCCTCACCAAACAATTCTACAGGAACAGTATTATATTCTTCCATAGTAGTTAGCTCTTGTGCTGGATGAGCAGGACCTATATCATCATTCAATTTAATCACTAATGCAGGCTTCCCTGATTCCGACTTTTCTTGCTTTGTTACTAAATCATCTGCAGTAACTTCAGTAAGCCTTATTTTTTTATTCTTGACTGTGAAGGAGCTGGAATCGAGTCGATTTAAACCATCGCTTTTGTCTTCATTTGAATCACTAAACACATTGACTCTCTTTTTCTTTTTCCCCTTGCTTTGCTTTTTCAAACTTATAGAAAAATTACTGTCCATATTTAGGCAAATAAAACACAAAATGTATTTTATTCCGTTGATATTAATCTAATAACTAGGTTAATCATTCAATAGACCTGCATGTAAAAAAGGAGGAGAACAAAAAATAAAATCAGTCTTAAAATTCCTTCTTATGTTATTCGTAGCTCTGGTTTTTTCCTCTTTTTTTTTTTTCTTATTACTTTTTCCCAAACCAACGCACTTATTCATTCAATCAATAATTTAATATTTAACCTTAGCTGAGCCGTCTAAGTGATCTTGTAATTCGTCATGACTACCACTTATGGACCTGTTTATCAGTTCACCTGGCCTCATATCAAATCTTTAGCAATTATGGAAAATACTATATTTTCGCCTTATTTCTTAAAAATCATTTTGGACGAGGATGGAAAATTTTTTTATTTTAGCGTTTTTTAGTCGATGGAAGCGATGAGCTGAAAAAGTTCTAGAGTTGATTGAAAATCAGAGGGATGTGTGATACATATACCTATACAAAAGCAGTAGTAGTTGGGTTACTGTGCCACCTGTTATCCATTTTTGTGCAAATAAAGACTAGTTCAGATAATCGTTACTGATATAAGGTAGATATCCATTTCTCTTCTGCGCTATTATTATTACTTTTTTCTTATTGGTTTAACAATCAGTGCTATATTAAAATAGTGGACTAACATATAGAGAAACAATAAATTCAACAGGATAAGCCATGTCTTTCACAAATGGAACTTCTCCAGTGGTTTTATCACAATACGATCCAACAGGGCAATATTTATGTTATGTGAGTACCGCACTGGATAAACAAAAAATATCTGTGGAACCAGTAAATAAAACACAGAATGATTCTCTTCTAAATGAAAACGCTTTATTATTAGACAACTCAAATCTAAAGGTTACTTGTTTACAATGGTCCTTTTTATCTAATAACGAAACTTTATGTGTCTTCATTGGCTTAAATAACGGTGAAATTTGGTTATATTCTCCATTGGCAAACGAAATTGTTGTTAAAATATCTACTGAGAACTCATACAAAATTAAGGATTTATTTATCTTTTCAAATAAACAACTTTGGTGCATTGATTCAAATGACTATATTTATCACTTCGATTTAACAGAGTTCCAATTAGTTAATAAATTTAAATTAGATGGATGCTCTCAATTAAATAAAATTTTAGTTATCTCCGATCAAAAATTGTTATTGGCATCACACCAAATTTTTTTGATCCATATTGTTACCAAAGAGTGTATTATGACCTATCCAGGCCATATCTCTCCAGTTAATAATTTAAGACTGTTAAATAATGACACTTTTATTTCAGGCGCACAAAATGATAGATTTTTAAATGTATATGATTTAGATAAAGGTTCCACTAAGTCTGTTCTTGTTGCACAATCAGACATCATTAAGATGGTCAATGACAATGAGACAGCCGTTGCAGTAATCACGGAGAATGGAATCGTTGAGTTATTTGTTGACCCCTTGATTAATAATACTAATAAAAGAAGAGCCTTAAAATCTAAACAGGCCTCAAGAAGATTAAAATTATTGCAAAATGATCAAAATGGCATCGAAATCCCAATTATTGACATTTTTATTCAAAAAGATACATTAAATGTGATGTATTTACAAAATGCTACAATCCCATATTTCCATCAAATGATTTGGAAACAATGGACTGAAATTGATAATCCTGTATCTTTAAATATATCGACTAAAAAGTTCAACCAATCAAGAGATCGCACTTTACATGGACAAGATATTGCGTCTGTGATTACATATAAAGAAGGTAATGTTAGTGTGACTGCAGGTGATAATTTTAAACATGTAGAAGAGTTGATCAAGGGTTGGGAACTTGAAACTAAAGAACTTGAAAATGATAGATTAAATGAAGAAAACCATATTGCAATTGAATCATTGGCTGACAAAGTTATGGCTATCTCGGGTGGTGATACACGTAAAAAATCGAAGAAAAAAGGTCCAGTCACTGGTACAGTGACAATTATTTTGTCACAAGCCTTGCAGTCTAATGACCATTCATTATTAGAAAATGCCTTAAATAATCGTGATGAAAGAATCATTAGAGATACTATAATGAGACTAAAACCGAGTCTCTCTGTGATATTATTAGAAAGGTTGGCTGAAAGGATCGCCAGACAAACTCATAGACAAGGTGCATTGAACGTTTGGGTCAAATGGTGTTTGATTATCCATGGCGGCTATTTAGTTACAATGCCAAATTTATTGAAGACACTTTCGTCTTTGCATTCTACATTAAGGAATAGAGGCAATACATTGAACAGACTATTAGCATTAGAGACAAGGTTAGATATAAGTTTGAATAGGTTAAAAATAAATAACACACCTGATGAGACTTTGTATGGAGATGAGGAACAAGAGGTCGGCTTAGACATTGAAGATGAAGATGATGTTGAATATAATGAAGAACTAGACGATGCAGGTCTTATAGAAGATGGAGAGGATGGCATTTCAGAAGATAGTAGCGAAGAAGACTTTGAAGAAGAAGATATGCCTAATAGTGATAACAGTGAATACAGAAAGTCGATTCGAAATAATAGGGATGACGTGAAGGAACATGTACTAATGTCTGGTGTAGGTGAGGTAGAGGAAGGTTACAGTGATGTAGAGATGTCCTAAGTGTATAATAAAGTATATATAGGTATAGATTACAAAAAAATAGATGCAATAGAATTGTAATTATTATCCCTTGTGTAAGAACATAGATCTGGATGATTCTCAAAAAAAAAAGAAAAAAAAAAGGAGAGGGAAGGAAAGGAAAGAAAGAGATAGAGATTAAAGAATTCATAAAATCTTAATCCACCTTTAATATTTGCCTTCTTCAAGAGATTTGCAAACATAAAAAAAATATGAAAGCGAGTGAAAAAAAAATTAAAAAAAATAAAAAAAACTGAGAAGAATCCAAAAGGAAATGGAAAGGGGAACACAAGAATATTTCTTTTGAAGGGGGAGGAGTCATAGATTAGAAAAAACAATTATCACTCCTTTTGTAGTTCATTAACGAGTTTCAAAACATATTTTTTTTGCTTATTGTAGAGGTAGACTACTGTATATATATATATATAATATAATATTAAAAAGAAAAATAAATACGAGATATAACAAAGAATGTCTCAAAAGATTGGTCATACTGGATTAGCCTTTGCTCGCATATGGCATCATGTAGATGCAGCCAAGGATAATAGAACATTAGGTAGATTAGCAAGTTCCATTGCTATAACATTAATTGGTAAGCATAAACCTGTATATCACCCTACTCAAGATTGTGGAGACTATGTTGTAGTGACCAATTGTCAAAATTTAAAAATTACTGGTAAAAAAATGGAACAACGCAATTACTGGTCTCATACAGGTAGACCAGGTAGTCTAAAGTTAACTCCCATGAATGTTGTTGCTGAAAGAAAAGGTTATGGTGAACTTTTAAGGAGGGCTGTTAGTGGTATGTTACCCAAAAACAGATTACGTAAAATACGATTAGAAAGATTAAAAGTGTTTGATGGTGAAGAAAATCCATATATGCACAATATTACTGCATTTGCTAATCAACAACCACTGGTAATGGAAAAACTAGAAAAGATTAAAGGAACAAACTGATGGTTAGTATATATATATCTAATAAAGAAATATTAAGTTTATAACACAATATGATTTCTTGTAATTAGAACATTATTTAAATTATATAATTGAATATATGTATGTTTATATTTATATATTCTGCTCTGTGAAAGTTAAATGGACCTCTCTTATACTCATGTATATAACTAATTGCGATAGATTAAAACCGACTTAAAGTACATTGTAATTTATTATTTTGTACGTAGTAAGAAACATTCTTTTTTATATATGTTATGTATATGGTTGATATTAAATAATAATATTTTTGAATATAATAGTTCTTTTCTTCTTTTGGTAAAAATAAAAAATGTGAAATCATTCTATTAACTAGTCATTATTGGTGTATAAGTGAGGCAATTTATATGTATTCATGGGATATCAAATAATGTGATCCAGCTATCATACTGATCAATTTTGCTTAGAAATCTCTTGAACGATCTGTGTACAAACGTGGGGTAATATTCATTGCCATCAATTCTTGGAAGAGTAATTTGGCGGCATATGGTATATGGATTTGATATATATCAATCTTATTGTCACAACCTTTACATTCGAATTGATTATGGCTTAACTTAGCTATAACTGACATTAAACCACAATTACCACAGATATGAACTCTGAAAGCATCAGATGCTTCCATTAATCTTTCTTTTAAGAAGGCGGCTGCACCATGGGCAATCATACAATCACGTTCCATCTCCCCGAATCTTAAACCACCATCTCTTGATCTACCTTCGACAGGTTGCCTTGTTAACACTTGCATTGGCCCACGAGCTCTTGCATGGATCTTATCATCGACCATATGTCTTAAACGTTGATAATAGGTTGGACCAAAGAAAATTTGTGCCATTAGTTTTTTACCTGTATGGCCGTTATACATAACCTCAAACCCACGAGATTGGTAACCATGTTCACGTAATAATTTGGAAATACCTTCCACTGTGATATCTGTGAAAGGAGATGCATCACCTTCATTACCCGATAATGCTGCTACTTTACTTAATAAACATTCGATTAAATGTGCAACTGTCATACGTGAGGGGATGGCATGGGGATTAATGATTAAATCAGGAACAATACCTTCTGCAGTAAATGGCATATCTTCTCTACGATATGTAATACCAATAGTACCTTTTTGACCGTGACGAGATGCAAATTTATCACCGATTTGAGGAACTTTTGTAGTTCTAACACGAACTTTAACGAATTTCAACCCATCTTGGTTAGTAGTAACTAAAACTTGATCAATAATACCGTTTTCTGTACTTCTTAATGGTGTGGAAGCATCACGTTTAGAATGATAGGCTGTTCTTTGACCCAATTCTTCTTCATCTGGAGAGATTGGCGTTGTCTTACCAATAATAATATCTTCACCTGATACCCTAACACCTGGTGCAATAAGACCGTCATCATCTAATTTATCATATGTTCCATGTTTCATTCTTAACGTGTTTGTACGTTGTGGTTTTTCAAAAGTTTCAGTAATAGACATACCATATTTCTTTTCTTGATCCATATATGATCTGAAAAATAGGGATCTGAATAACCCCCTGTCAATAGAAGATTGGTTCATAATCATAGAATCTTCTTGGTTATAACCAGAATAGCATGCGATAGCTACAATAGCATTTTGACCAGCCGGAAGTTCCCTGAATTTTAAGTATTCCATTGCACGAGTTGTACCTAAAGGTTTTTGGGGGTAATATAGAATATTTGCCATAGTGTCCATACGAACATTATAATTTGTTAAGAATACACCCATGGCTTGTTTACCCATCGCAGATTGATATGTATTACGTGGAGATTGGTTATGATCAGGGAATGGGATAATCGATGCAGCAACACCTAAAATCATAGAAGGATGAATTTCACAATGAGTAAATGTTGTGGCATGTTGAACAGCTTTAATTCTTCTGGCTGGATCTAATTCATCAACCATTTCACCTTCTTCTAATGGAGGTTCTAAATCTTCAGGTTGCATTGCAATTAGAATAGACTCTTCTTCCTCGGCATCAATATATTCAACTAAACCTTCATTTAGTAACGACGTCCATGTATATTCTTGGATATCCTCAAAACCACCTTCAATATCTTGGTATTCAGTTTGCATCAATCTATTAATATGACCTTTTCTAACCTTTAACTCCTTGTGGCCTAATTCTTCGTCATCTTCAACAATAAATAATGGTCTATAAACTCTACCTGCATCTGTAAATATCTTTAATTCTTTCTCACGAATATCCCTAATCATAGAAACTTCTGGATTAATGTCACCTTTTCTTCTTAATGTTCTCAAAGTTTCCATCAATCTAGCTGGATTTCTATGAACACCATGCCAGACACCATTAACAAAAACTCTAGTTGCATCTGGAGATTGATGTGGTACATAATCTTCTAAAGGTTCCATACCCCATTCACTTAAAAACGTAATAATTGGCATTGGATCGGTACCAACAGATATACAAGACATTAATGATAGATTCTTCACTAAACCACATGCCTGACCTTCTGGAGTTTCTGCAGGACAGACCAACCCCCAATGCGTATTGTGTAATTGACGAGGCTTGGCTAATTTTCCATCACGGCCAATAGGTGTGTTAGTTCTTCTTAAATGTGATAATGTAGATGAATAAGTATAACGGTTTAAGACTTGAGAAACACCAGCTCGAGACGACATGGCCTTCTTCTGTTCACCCCAGTTACCAGTGGCTAAAGCATACTTCAAACCAGAAGTAATGGTCTTGGCATTGATGGCCAATTTCATATTGAAGTCATTAGCTTCCTCCACAGTTCTTTGCATATAACGGAAAATATCTTTCGTTAATTTTCTAAATAATGTTTTAAACAACTGCCCTAATAATGGACCGGCTAAATCTAATCTTTTCTTACCAAAATGATCACGATCATCCTGATCTTTACGGTCTAGGGCACACAATAATAATCTATTAATCATATAACCAAGAAAGAAAGCCTTTCTACTTTCAAAACCTTCAAGTTGTGTAATATGAGGTAAGAATTCTTTTTGTAAAATATCTTTAGCATATTGAATTCTTTTTTCCTTCTTGATACCTAGTGCAGTACCACGACGACCGATAAAATCTAAGGCAGTTTCACGATCTTGAATAACGAAACCATCTTCTACACAAGGCTTTAACATTTCTAGCATTTGCCAGTCATTTACATCATAACAAATATGTTCTAATATTTCACCATCAGGAATAATACCAAGAGCTCTAAAAATAATGACAATTGGGATATCTTGTTTAATATATGGTAGTGTAGCTTTAATAGTACGTGCTGAACTGCCCTCACGACCATAAAGTTTGACTTGTAGTTGACTGATAAATCTAGAACCTTTTTCCAAAGCGGATCTAATTTCAGCTACATAAGAGATTGGAGATGGCGCAGCTTTTTTGAAAACTTGAACAATGTTACCTGCGGAACGTTCTTGAGCAATTAAAACTTTCTCCGACCCGTTAATAATGAAATAACCACCCATATCAAATGGACATTCTTTCAATTTATATAGATCAGATTCAGTAGCATCACTTAAGTAACAGTTCTTAGATCTTAACATAATAGGAAGTCTACCAATGAAAACTTTACCGCTTTCTCCATCTTCTTCTGATTCTTCAGCAATAAGTTGATAATCTAAATCTCTCCCAGGAACATCAATTGCTTCATAAGTTCTCTTTTTAACATCTACAAATAAACCTGAAGAATATGTTAAATTACGCAAACGGGCTTCCTGTGGGTATAAAGCATGAGTAACACCATCAGATTCATTTACCATTGGTTTAGTTACATAAATTTTACCAAAACTAATTTCGTATTTTCTACTAATATTATCTGATTCAGTTGTATGTTGTGCTAATTGTTCCAAAATCATTGTAGAGTCCTCAGAAATGATATCTTGTAAAGTATAGTCTACAAACTGATTGAAAGAGTCCAGCTGTTGAGAAACTAAACCTTTTTCACGGAAGAAGGATGAGATAACAGCCCATGAGTCTTCCGCAGTGATTGGTGCATTTTCATCTTCAAATCCATATTCATCATCTTCATAATAATTTTCCTTAGACATATTGCGGTACTATAGGATAAAAAGAGGGAGGAAGAATAAATGGTAAGAACTTAATATTTATAAGGCTTCAATAAATCTAGGAGACTTGTTGAAAACAAACTAAAACAAAAGAAAAAGGAATAGAAGGTGAAAGATAAAAAAAAAAAGAAGGGTATTGACAATGGTAATAAATGTAGTTATAATTGACCTATGGACTCTTTAATCTTATGTGAAGTTAATATAACTAAGCGTAAGTAGTGTTAATACTAGAAGTAGCTATAGCCAAAATACAATATTCGATCCTCTGAAACCTCTAATGTCAATTGCTTACAGATCTTTTATTTAACTAAAAATTTCGCCCTCAATCACTTTCCTTCTTTCACTTTTTAATTTATGTTTAATGTTCTATTCAAAGAAAAAAAAAATAAAAGTAAAAACAAAAAAAAAGTTTTCCTATTCCGTATAGAGTGATATCTTTTTATCACTTTCAACGCAACCCCTCGTAAAGGAATACTATTAGTATAATAAATATATAATTTTATAAAGAGGAGTGAAATTATTAGTTAAGCATATAAAAGTGATGCCATAGTATTAGTACATGCATGAGTGTATGTATAAATGTTCAATGCTCTGTTTTGTTTTATTTTATTTTGTGATGAAAAAAAAAAAAAAAAAACAAATAGTGTTCTAAATTCTAATCAAGATCATTATCAATAATTTCATAATCATCAGGGGTGGCATTCTTCCTACTGCCATAAGTTTGTTGTTCATTAAACTGTGTACCAGAAGTAGTTGCAGATGATGATGTTTGTGATGGTGATGGTGAATTATTGGTTTGTGTTTGAGAACTTGCAGTTGTTCTATTGTATTCTTGTTTAAATGCAGTCCAAAATCTATTTAAAGTTTCTTGAAATGTTTCACCTGAAGTAGCTTCATCATTGTTAGCATTCATATTTGCCCAGTCATCTTTAGAAGTATTACTGTTTTCGTTATATCTGTAACTATCACTCCTGGTCCTAGTGTTGTCCCATTTATATTTATTGAACTTTTCATAATTCTGTTGTTCCCTTTGTATGTATAATTTCACTATTGTAATAACTTGAATGATTGAATCAAATACAATATTAATATAATTAGTCTTCGGTAACAGCACAGTTCTTGCATATGTTATTAATAGTTTTGTATAGTCTCCAAACAGGAAAGTGGTGGCAATATATTCTTTATTATTTAAATTGATTGTAGTGAATATAATATTTGATAAGATTGAAAATTTACTTTTTGTTGGATCATCCAAATTCTGTAAAAAAGCAATAATTTTGTCTTGTTCTTCAATAAATTTGCTAAACTGGTTTAATATTTCATTTAAACTAATTAATTGTAGTACTGATAATACGATAGATTCAAACGGAACAAAATGGAATATGAAATAGAATGGTGAATTAGGTAATACTAAATATATTAATCCATATATAGTCCAATATTTTAGTAATAAAAGTTGTAGTGACAATTTTTCTCTTTGTTGTTGTAAAGTATATGAAGCAGTTTCAAGCATAGGTATTGGCCAGTCCTTAGATAAGTATATGACCTCTAATGTTATTTGAATCGGTAATAAAGCACCAAATACAAACTGCAGACTTCTTGATATAGCGGATAACATATTGTTCTTTATTATCAGTGAGATAGTTGATAAAAATAAGTAAATGGGTAAATTGCTTAAAAGAAAAAGTGATATCTATCTGAACAGGGTGATTTAAACTGAATCTGTTGTTGTTAGCCTTCTTTTTCTTTTTTTTAAAAAAAAAAAGAAAGGTTTATACAAAAGATTTTGGATATACTTTGATTGGAATATCCCAAAGTAGGACTAAATGTTCTTTTTTTTTTTCTTGTTTATTTATAAGGTGATGTACTCTCTGTTTAACACTTGAAAGTTCAAATCTTTGTTCCCCCTTCTATTAATTAAATTCTATGAAATTATTTTTTTTCATTTTTCATTTTTCGAAAAAGAAAAAAAAAAAATAATCATTATTAGTTATATATGAGACGTCTCTCCCCTCCCTCCATCCCTTTTAACTTTATGTATGATTCAAAATGCATTAAAGAAGGAGGGTTAGATAGTGTAGATTGTATAAGATATTCAAATTAAAAAGTCAAAAAAATTAGACATTTTAAGGAAATATTTCTCATAACTTGAATTGAATATTCCAAAATTTTTGTTTTTTTAGTATTGTCGAGAGATAATCACTCAATTAATTTTAAAAAATGTTTATTTGTGGATGAATATTTGGCTTTATAAGTCTATGCTCATAGATTTTAAACTTATTTTAGTATTTTATGTGATTTTAAGAAAGAGTGAGAAGGAGAGGAGGAACCACTCATTGAAGCATATCATGCATATACATATATAATGTTTAGTTTTTTTTCTAATCAGTAATATAGTTAGTTACTGGAGACGTTTTATTCTTGTCAAAAAATCTGCAAGAAAATGTATAATGTAATAGTTTTAATTATTTTATTCAGATCTCTTATTTGATATAACTGGAGTATCAAGATGAAATTCATTTTATTTTTGAATGTTTATCAATAGAATTTCTTATAACGTTTACAAGTTATTTGATACATTGAGTTTAGATTACATTAAAGATATTTCTAATTGTATATATTTCAACAACTAAAAATTATTTAATTTACTATCTAATAACAGTTTAAAATAAGGTTTCTTATGATCTGCTGTTATGTAGTAATTTTGTTACAAAAAAAATAAAATAAAAAAAAAAAGTTGGATTTGTTTATTTTACAGATGATGATTTGTGTTGTTTATATTTCTTTCATTCTTTTTTTTTTTATATTTTTTTTGTAACAAAAAGTGTTCCTTATTCCAAAAGAAAAAAAAAAAAATTTTGGTATAAATGGGTGGGTAAATTATATCAAACCTAATATAAATAAATAAAAAAACAAAAAAAAACTCTTACTTACCCTTAGAATATCTCTCAAATGACACGGGATTCTTCAACAAGAACAAAATCATTATTATATTTTATTATTAGAGGTATTGATAATATTAACTATTTAAAATAATCAAATTTGCCAACAAGAAATTAAATGAACGAATAACACTATATAGCGAAATAATAATACATAAAAAAACAATATTGTGATATTCACTAATGACATATTTATGTTAAATATGTATTTGTGGCATTATAATAAATGATAATTTTTAATAACAGTGATACACTATTATTAGCTTTTCTTTCTGCCCTTTTGGATAAAAAGAAAAGAAAAAAAAAGGTATGAAAACACAGTTCAATTTGAAATAAACAAAAACAGAAAAATGATATCATGTTTAAAACAAAATAAAGGTGACAGTTACGTAAATAAAGCCAAGATAAAATAAGATAAGAGAAGATAAGATCATGTCAATAACATCAACATTCTACATCATGTTTTCAAACAAGTTTTTTTTTCTTTTTCTTTTTCTTTGTATGTATTTTATTAATATATCATAACTAATAGAAAGAGTTATATCTGAATTGTTCACATACAAATATTAAGGAGAGATTCCATTCCAAAGGATTCTTTGTTTTTCTATCTTCTAAAACAATAAGGGAATAAAAGTAAACGCCACACACTAAAAATAAAAAACAATACATATTTGTTAAATCTTTTTAAGATTATAAAATCAAAAAAAAGAAATCCAAATTTATCAGAATAACAATAGTTTGAAATTCCTGCCGTTTTATTTTATTTTATTTTATTTTATTTTATTTTATTTTATTTTATTTTATTTTATTTTATTTTATTTTATTTTATTTTATTTTATTTTATTTTATTTTATTTTATTTTATTTTATTTTATATTATATTAAGAAAATCGTTTGGGTATTTTTTCCACGGAACCGAATGTTCTTTAAGAGTGATTTCCACGGAAAAAAATTGAGTCATTCTTTCTTCCGTTTTTTTTTTCTCTTTTCTTTTCTTTTACTTTCTCCGTTAAAATAGGGAAAAAGTCGTCTTGATAACAGAAAAAAAAAGAACCATCTTTTAACGTCCGATTTATATCAATATATTTCCACGGAATAAATTAAGAATTAACATTCCTTTTTCTCCCCTGTATATATTTCCCCTTCCCCTTCCTCTTTTCTTTCTTTCTTTCCCAGAATACCGAAATTTATTTGATCTCGGCTCATTTTTAAACATTTGATTCCTCTTCCATGATTAACTTATACCAGGAAATAAAACTAAAGCATCTTTACCGTGAACAATCATTTTTTTTTTTTTAACATAATGATTAGATACTTGCTTACCAAAAAGTGTGTTAATTAACTTGAGAAAGATATATGTATATATAATTGGCTTTCTTTCTTTTTTCTTTTTTTCCTTTTTATCTTGAAATACGTCTAAATAAATAATAAAGAATTCTGCATTTATGGCTTTTTCAATATTCTTGCATGTTATTCCCTACTCTAGCATTTATTTTACGTTTTTTCTTATTTCAATAATTAGCTGTCCCAATCGTAACAAATTACCATAGATTTCTTTTAAATCAAATAACAATAACAGTAGTAATAGTAATAATAACAACAATATCCAAGATGTATTACAAGAAAAAAAAAAAAAGGAAAAAGAAATACGTGTAATTATTATTGGAATATTTTCCTAAGCCTTTTTTTTTTTATTCACTTATTTTAAGGTGCCAACATCAACATTAAAATCTTCTTTTTATCAGATATAATGGGTTTGATTCAAACCTTGTATATACTTTCCGCGGGACCTATGGACTTTCCTGTAGAAGGAAAACAGTTCCGCGGAAAGGTCGCCTTTTTCTCTCACTCTCTTTCCCCCCCCTTCTCCTTTCTCCACACTTACTTTTATTTAAAATTTTCTTATTTGTGTAAAGAAAACAAACAAACAAAGAAACAATGTTCTTGTTTATGGAAAAAAAGGGAAGGAGGGAAAGAAGAAGGCAAGGAGCATCAACTAAATTTAGAAACAATATATTTTTTCTTATTTTTCCCTATTTTTTCTTTTCTTTTCCTTTCTCAACTCACTCTCTTGCATGCATTCTTTTGTAAAATTTCTCCAAAAAAGAAAACAAAAAACAATTCAATTAAAAAAATTTTTTTTCATTCACTTGTTTTCTTTTGTTTTATTGAATAAAAAATAATAGGGTTTATGTCAAAAAGCCCCGAAAGAAAGAAATATTCAATTTATTGAGTACGGTCATCACATAGGATCTCATTTTCTACGTGTTTTCTTTACCTTAAAAAAAGTTTTTTCTTTTTTTTAATATAGGGTGCATTAAAAAAAAAGAAAGAAGAAAAAAGAAAAAAGAAAAAGTGTGTGTACATATTTGATTATTGAACGGAACAACACAACATAACACAAAAAAAAAATTCAATATACATTCCGTGGAATCTTTATTCCACGGAAATAGATATCAGTCCGAATATTAAAACGTATATTGTTCTTTTATAAGCATGGCTACTCCCACGGATCTTCATCAAACAGAAAATTCTTTTTTCTTTTCAGGACAATAATGATGAAAATAACGGTAGCTAACTAACATCAGGCTTTCGAAGACTTAATTAAAATGACTATATTTATTTAATATATATAAAGGATACAGACAGGAGTACAAATCAAAATATATAGATCAATATAATACATATTCTTGTCTGTATTCTTGTAATATACTCGTACTTATATACATATATATATATATATATAAATCAAAAGACTTTCTCAAAGCAAAACACTACACTGTCTATTTTTTAACATACACACGCTATATAAATTATAACAACAAGTCAATAAGAAAAAAACATAAGAAACCGAGTATACTTATAATTATTATTACTTTTATTACTATTACCGTTCAAAACAATTATCTTTTATATAACTCCATTATATCATGTCTCTTCGCTCAGATATAAAGGATAATTCATTTAGTGAATCTGAATCAACTGCAAACAGTTCTGCTGAATCTATTGAACATCCATATCAAGGTTTTGATAGCAATGTCCAAGAACAAGTACGAGATCTAGCAAGAACTATAACAAGTCAAAGCAATCTTAATTCAATAGACGAGACCCATTCCATAGCATCCTCCAATCTAGGTATAAATCCCGTATTTTCGAATGTCGACCAACCTGACTATAATGAAAAATTAGACCCAACATCCAGTAATTTTTCTTCTGTAGCTTGGGTCAAGAATATGGCTAAATTGGCCTCATCTGACCCTGAGTATTATAAACCGTATTCTTTCGGTTGTGTTTGGAAAAATCTAACTGCATCCGGTGAATCTACAGATATAGAATATCAATCTACAGTCTTAAATATGCCTGGGAAAATGCTATCCGCAGCTTATAGAATGGCAAGACCCCCAAAGGAAGAAGATTTGTTCCAGATTCTAAAACCAATGAATGGTTATCTAGATCCAGGCGAATTGATGGTTGTCCTGGGGAGACCCGGTTCCGGTTGTACAACATTCTTAAAATCTATTTCTTCTAATACACATGGTTTCCACGTGGGTAAGGACTCCACAATATCATACAGCGGTCTTTCACCAAAGGATATTAAAAAACATTTCCGTGGGGAGGTCGTTTACAATGCAGAAGCTGATATTCATTTGCCTCATCTAACCGTATATCAAACTTTATACACTGTCGCCAGATTAAAGACGCCACAAAATAGAATACAAGGTGTTAGTAGAGACGCATGGGCTAGACACGTAACTGAAGTGTATATGGCTACATATGGTCTTTCTCACACAAGAAATACAAAAGTTGGTAATGATTTGGTCAGAGGTGTGTCAGGTGGTGAAAGAAAGCGTGTTTCTATCGCTGAAGTCGCTATATGTGGGTCTAAATTTCAATGTTGGGATAATGCAACTAGAGGGTTGGATTCTGCCACTGCTTTAGAATTTATCCGTGCTCTAAAGACCCAAGCTACTATCTCTAATGCCGCTGCTTCTGTTGCTATATATCAATGTTCTCAGGACGCTTATGATTTATTTGATAAAGTTTGTGTCTTAGATGGTGGATACCAAATTTATTACGGTTCTGCAAAAAAGGCAAAAGAATATTTTGAAAGAATGGGATATGTTTCCCCTGATAGACAAACTACTGCTGATTTCTTAACCGCTGTCACAAGTCCCGCAGAAAGAATTATAAATCCTGAATATATTAAAAAGGGAATTCCTGTTCCACAAACTCCAAAAGATATGTACGATTATTGGTTGAGTTCTCCAGAATACAAACAATTATTACAAGAAATCGATGATAGATTAACAAATAACGATGACAGCGTCCGTAATGTTATCAAAGAGGCACATGTCGCCAAACAATCTAAGAGAGCTAGACCGGATTCTCCATACACCGTCAGTTATGGTTTACAAGTTAGATATTTATTAAAAAGAAATCTTTGGAGAATGCGAAATAATCCTGGTGTTCCACTGTTTATGATTTTGGGTAACTCTGCAATGGCTTTCATTTTAGGTTCCATGTTCTATAAAGTTATGAAGAAGGGCGGTACAAACTCCTTCTATTTCCGTGGTGCTGCCATGTTCTTTGCTATATTGTTCAATGCATTCTCATGTCTTTTAGAAATTTTCTCTCTTTATGAAGCAAGACCAATTACAGAAAAGCATAAAACATATTCCTTGTATCATCCTAGTGCAGACGCATTCGCATCTATCCTTTCTGAAGTTCCGGTTAAAGCTGCTGTTGCTGTTTGTTTTAATATTGTGTTCTATTTTCTTGTGGACTTTAGAAGAAATGGTGGTGTCTTTTTCTTCTATCTGTTGATCAACATCGTTGCCGTTTTTGCCATGTCCCATCTTTTCCGTTGTGTTGGTTCTGTGACTAAAACACTTGAAGAAGCCATGGTACCTGCATCTATTCTGTTATTAGCTTTAGCTATGTTCACAGGTTTTGCTATTCCAAAGACAAAAATGTTAGGTTGGTCCACTTGGATTTGGTATATTAATCCTTTATCCTATCTTTTCGAATCTCTAATGATCAATGAATTCCATGATGTTAGATATAAGTGTTCTCTTTATATCCCATATGGTCCTGCCTACACCAATATTACTGGTACTGATAGAATATGTTCTGCCCGTGGCGCTATCCCAGGCCAAGATTATGTTCTTGGTGATGACTACATCAAGACTAGTTACGGTTACGAACACAAGCATAAGTGGAGAGGCTTTGGTGTTGGTGTTGCATACGCAGTGTTTTTCTTTATTCTTTACTTAGTTATTTGTGAATTTAATGAGGGTGCTAAGCAAAAGGGTGAAATTTTAGTCTTCCCAGCTAGTGTCATTAGAAAATGGAAAAAAGAGGGTAAAATCAAAAAGGATGGTCAAGATGTCAATGATATCGAAAAGAACGTTGACAACTCCATGACTGATCAAAAGATGTTAAATGAATCTGAAGAGATTTCTGAGGAAAGTGATGAGAATGTTGGTTTGAGTAAGTCTGAGGCTATATTTCATTGGAGGAACCTATGTTATGATGTCAAAATTAAGGATGAGACTAGACGTATTCTTAATAATGTTGACGGTTGGGTCAAACCAGGTACTTTGACAGCCTTAATGGGTTCTTCTGGTGCTGGTAAAACAACCTTATTGGATTGTTTAGCCGAAAGAGTTACTATGGGTGTAATTACTGGTGATGTTTTAGTGGATGGTGTTCCAAGAAATGAATCTTTCCCAAGATCTATTGGTTATTGTCAACAGCAAGATTTACATTTGAAAACTTCTACTGTCAGAGAATCCTTAAGATTTTCAGCTTACCTACGTCAACCTAAAGAAATCCCCATCTCTGAGAAGAATGCCTATGTTGAACAAATTATCAAGATTCTAGAGATGGAAAAGTATGCTGATGCCGTTGTTGGTGTTGCCGGTGAAGGTTTGAATGTGGAACAAAGAAAGAGATTAACTATTGGTGTTGAATTAGCTGCCAAACCAAAATTATTAGTGTTCTTAGATGAACCTACTTCCGGTCTAGATTCCCAAACCGCTTGGTCTATTTGTCAATTAATGAGAAAATTGGCCAACCATGGTCAAGCTATTTTGTGTACTATTCATCAACCATCTGCTATTCTAATGCAAGAATTTGATCGTCTATTATTTTTACAAAAAGGTGGTAAGACTGTGTATTTCGGTGATTTGGGTAAAGGATGCCAAACACTAATTGATTATTTTGAAAGCCATGGTTCTCCTAAATGTCCTCCAGATGCTAATCCAGCCGAATGGATGTTAGAAGTTGTTGGTGCTGCTCCCGGTTCTCATGCAAACCAAGATTACCATGAAGTATGGAGAAACTCTGAAGAATACAAAGCGGTACATGCAGAATTAGATCGTATGGAGAGAGAACTACCCGGCAAACGTTCTAATGATGATGAGAAATTATCTGAATTTGCAACTGGTATTTTATACCAAATTCAACTGGTTACTGTTCGTTTATTCCAACAATATTGGAGATCACCGGAATACCTATGGTCGAAATTCTTCTTAACTGTTGTGGATGAATTATTCATTGGTTTCACTTTCTTCAAAGCCGATAGATCGTTGCAAGGTTTACAAAATCAAATGTTATCGATCTTCATGTTTGTATGTATTTTCAATCCATTATTGCAACAATACCTACCAAACTTTGTCCAACAAAGAGATTTGTATGAAGCCAGAGAACGTCCATCAAGAACATTCTCGTGGAAGGCATTTATTGTTTCTCAAATTATAACTGAAGTTCCATGGAATATCCTTGCCGGTACTATTGCCTTCTTTATCTATTACTATCCAATCGGTTTCTACTCTAATGCCTCATATGCAGATCAATTACATGAAAGAGGAGCTTTATTCTGGTTATTCTCAGTGGCCTTCTTTGTATACGTTGGTTCCATGGGTCTTTTAGCTGTTTCATTCAATGAAGTTGCTGCCAACGCAGCCAACCTAGCATCTCTTGCCTTCACTATGTCTTTATCTTTCTGTGGTGTGATGGCTACTCCAGATGCTATGCCACGTTTCTGGATTTTCATGTATAGAGTATCACCTTTAACATATTTGATTGATGGTCTGCTTGCCATTGGTGTAGCCAATGTACCAATTACTTGCAGTAAGAATGAACTCCTACAATTTACCCCAGCTAATGGAATGACATGTGGTGAATACATGAAACCATTTATAACAATGACAGGAGCCGGTTATCTAACTAATTCGGATGCTACTGATGTATGTCACTTCTGTCAATTTTCTTCAACAAACGAATATTTAGCAACAGTCAGTAGTCACTATTCTAATAGGTGGAGAAATTGGGGTATTTTTATTTGTTACATTGCATTTAATTACCTTGCAGGTATCTTCTTCTACTACCTTGCAAGAGTCCCAAAGAATTCTAAGATCAAGAAGGAGTAATTATATATATATTTTTAGATATAATTCTAAATATTCAGTACATAATACCATTTTAATTTAAACAGTTTCAGAAATGAATATAATTTTGTTGGGCTAAAACATCAAAACAAATAGAAATACTATTTTTTTTCCTGTTAGTATCATGTATTTTAACGCTTTAAAAATCCCAACATTAACTGAAAATATTCTTATAAGTTTTGCTAAATGCCTTAAATTCGATTTAAATAATAAAGCTAATGTTATCTAACTGTATAGCAATCTGTATTATACCTAAGGTCAATTCGCAACTATTAACTTTTGAAAGTTTTGAAAAATAATCCTAAAGAATCCTATAATTTTAAAAACTTTTAATTTGAATAATTAAAATAAGAAACGTCTTCAATCCTCTGTTAATCTTGTTAAAACATCAACAGTCTCTTCAGGAGATGCTATCCATAATGTACAACCTGCCAATCTTGCTTTAAAATCGTTAGCTGACCCCATCGGAGCAAATTGATCACCAATATGTAACGTTTGTGATGGATCTATTGGGCTTTGCGGATCATAGTATCGTTGTAAAACATAAATCCCTAAATTTTTCCCTCCAATATCACACCAGACATCACTTCCACCATCAAAACAGCTAAATTGGATTCTCTTTGCTGGTGGGTAATTTTCTAAGGTACTTTGTAATGTTAACACTATCTCTTCTAATTGCTCTCTAGTAAGCTTTACAACTTTTTCTTCTCCAGACACGACATCAACAATTCTACCTGGTACAATGCCCACTGCTCTTTTCTTTCTAATGATTGTTGTTTCTTCCGGTAACATTAACCTTTTTTTTAATGTGTTCAAAATCTTTTGAGCAAAGTCTAATGTTGCTTGAATGTCGGAATCTTTCCACTCCCTCATAGAATCCAATATCCAGGCGTCACTATTAATATATTGGAATCCACATGTTTTTCTATTTGCATCACTGTATGTTCCATCTGTTTCTGTATCTGCTCTATCACTATCGCATTCAAAATAACGAAATAAATAATTAGATTCACCTCCCATAATGGTTAAATTATTCTTTTGTTCTAATGTTAGATCACTACATTGCTTAATAGTTTTCACTAACCCATCTAATCTTTTTTCATATATTTTTGCTTCATCGTAACCGGCTGCAGTAACGATACCTACATATATATTATATTTTAGTAATTTGATAATCAAGGGGATGACTGGATTTTTAGCGACCAAAGAACCACCATCTTCATATAATGTAACATCACCATCAAATGTGACCAATCTCAAAGGTTTGCCATACCTGGGACCCAACCGTTTCTGTTTGATAAAGTGAAATATTTGTGCAGTATTTAATAATCTTCTAACATCATTAAAACTTGGTGCTACCATTCTTCTAGCAGAGATGGCTTTAACTGAATCCTCCCATAGAAATGCCTTCTCCAAGGGCAATGGTGTGAAAAATGTACCAATTGATGGAACTAAGAGATTTAACCGTGATCTTCCTAATGAAGATTCATTCAAATATTCCTCGTCATTGTCTGACTTTTTTTTGTCAAATTCAATCTTATTCAGAATCAATTCTTCCACATCTTTCAAAATCTCTGCATATTGCGACTTAATTCTTTGAGATGTTGTCAAATCATCGGTATCTTCTTCATCATGAGACACAGCATGTAATACAAAAGGAGTAGCCAATAACCCCTTAATCCAATCAATAAATTCATCTTTTCGATGACTTTTCAAATGATATTCTACTCTATAACGTGATGACATTTCCACGAATGATACTGTTTAAAAGGTTCCTTTTCTTATATGTCACTATATGTTTGGTTGTGAAAGGCAGCTTTTGTAAACTGCTCTAATATATATAATTATATAATATAAATACCTTTGGTTAATCAATAGCAATATTCTTATTCCTCCCTTTACTGCAAAAAAAAAATTGATTTCGCCCAGGATCGAACTGGGGACGTTCTGCGTGTTAAGCAGATGCCATAACCAACTAGACCACGAAACCAACCGGTTATACACAGTGCTATACTATGAGGTGGTGAAATTCTTTGTGTATTCCAGGAAAGCGCAAATAATATTAATAGTCATTCAAGTAATCGAGACAGTAATCAATTATAGGCGATAATATAATTACTAAAACGGTCTTATATATTGAGCGGCTTATATCGAGCTAATATATTTATTCAAAGTTACTTGCTTGTTACTTGCTTGTTGTTCTATTTTTGTTCATATATAATATATAAATTATTTACAAGAAACGGTTATGGAAGATGATCTTTTATCTCCAGAAAACGTTGTCCTTTTATATGTTTTCTGGAGCTCGATCGATTATTCAGATTAGTACATTAATGACTTGACTGATTCACCCTAAAATTTATTACATTAATTTAGGTGCACTAGTGGATTAGAACTGCACCCCAATTCTCTAATCATGGTGATTAGTAATACACGTGGGACTTATTAAAACAATCGGTAAATTCTAGATTTGCCAAAATCTTATGTAATCCGATCTCTTTATTATGCAGCATCTAATGTTGTAGCACGTGTATGGCTTATTAAGACAATAAATAGTTCTAGATTCATTCAGGATCTTATGTAATCTTGATGGTTATAACTATTCTATTCCACAACACACAGTAAAGAAATAAGACTAATACATAAAATTAAAGATAGGTTTGGAATTTGGAACTGTCAAAGTCCATGGTAATGACAGATATCATTAAGTTACAGATGCTTATTTTATTTTTGTATTAAATACATGTATATACTTATTATATAGTGTATACAGTATAAATTCTTTTATATACTTTGATTCTTCTTTTAAGATTTTCATTTCTCTTCAAATCTGTGAAAAACATATTTGGTGAAAAATAAAATGGTTTCCCATATATTATGGTACATCCGTACATCACATAATATACAGAAAAACTAATTAAAAATAATTTGTATGGAAATGACAGTAACAAACTCTCAGTTTCCGACAGATTGTAATAATATTATATTACTACATAAGATATTACTATGATATAAATTATTTGAATCTTATAGCACTAACATTAACTTCAAAATCCTTCTCCAATTCATTTTACAACAACAGTTTTGTAATTTGAACTCTAAAAAAATAATCTAGATAATGTTAATATTGAAAAAAAAAAATATTCAGAACAATAATAAATATTTATAAATACATTATATATAGAAAGTTAAAATAAGTTTCCTTTTTTTTTATTTTACATAATCAAAATATTTCTTATGATAAACTAACCTCAATCACATTATTAACATGCTAACAAAGTGACTCTTTATGTATAAAATTGGAAGTTAATAATTTTTTAAATAAATTCTGCCATAATTACTAATTATTCTTACAAATTCTTTTTTTGTTAATCCATTTATGCACTTATGTGTTTATCCTTTTATTTATTTCTTTTAGTGGAATTACTTTTCGTACTTAAGCATTTCAGTATTGTTTCATTTAATGAACTCTTTGTTTTTATTCACTTAAACATTCAATATGCGACATATGGTGTATCCTAAAATTTCGAATTTCCAACTAGAACATGTTGTTGACAATCATTACAAAAAACCTAAACTCCATTTCTTTAATTCTAATTAAATTTTAGTGTTAACTATTGTATTCCAATTCTTTCATAATATTTAAGTAAGATAGAATAATATTTTGTGGTGGAATTTTTTTAAAGTTAAAGATTTCTTACATTGTAGAGATAATATTATATTATCTGAATATATATGCAAATATTTTTTTAAAAAAAGGAAATATTTTAACAATAAAGGAGATATCATCTCTATTTGCATACAGTGTATACGGCCTAAACTCTGAATCCACATTGTGAGTAGTTTCAAGCAATTTCTAGATTCATGTTGGTGAAAAATCACTCAGTTAAAGAGATTCTGCATGGAGAAATGACTTATTTTTTGTATGAATATTGATTCATTCCAGCAAAAAATTACTGAAAAACTTGGTGTAGAGGCCTTTGAATATTGAGGGAGAAAGTGCAAGAAAATATTACTCAAAATTAACATTTTTTTATTTTATCTCTTTAATTCTTTGATAACAAGAATTGTACCGTTGATTCACTAATTAAAATCAACAACCATACAATTTGCAAGTACTTATATATAATTAATATCATACTTACAAAAAAACACTTTACTTATATCAACAAGCAACCAAATAAATTTTATTTGTTTTAACCATTTTTTTTTATATTAAGACCGTTAAAAGTATTTTTTAGGTGCTTTCTAACTGTTAATAATCATTTATTATTTTAGATTTACACTGTAAAAGTTCTGAACAAAAGCATATAAACAAATATTCACCTAAGAACACTCCCCTGGCTGAGGAAGTTTCCAAACCTCTTTTTTTCACCTTGTCTTATATGATTGTGTCTTCCTTTAAAAAAAAAAAAACTAAATAAATAATGCCAACCCTTATTTAGGAAGCAATCAATTTGGATTCAAATTGAGGTCGAGTATTATTCATTCTTCTAATTTCACAGTTCTTATATTTTAAGGTATACCAATATTCTTTTAATATATATGATCGAGATGAAGGGAAAGATAGACAAGTTAATATGATTTCCTTTTAATATTTTTACTACTGGTCTTTTTTATTTTTATTTTTATTTCAATTACTTCCTATACCAAGTTAATTCTATTAAAAATAACGAAAAATATTCTAGCTAAAAATACTCCAAACATACATAATACTACAATACTTGATATATATATTATTCATTTATTATTCTTTTTAATCTTAACATTGACACAGAAACATGGAAAAGGAAAAGCCCTCAAGATTTAACACCCCTGCTCCTGTAGAGTCTGCTCACACTAAAGACAGTGACAATAATCACAATGATAACAACAATCATCTTGTTGAAGGGATCACTATTGCAAAAAATTTACATAATGAAAACTTCAATAAAAATCAGGATAACAGTTCGCTTAATGGCAATGTGCCAGAATATTTACCTAGTGTCCCACAACAAGAATACCATTTTGAACAAAATCCTATTTATAATTTATCAGCAAACGTTGAAGGTGCACCTATCATGACATATGAAGAAGTTTTTCCGAGAAAGACAAAGTATAATTCAAAATTTAATGATTGGCCATTTACTTTATTCTTTATTTTTGTCTGTTGCGCCTTCATAGTACTTTCTTCACTAACATTAAGAGCTTGGTCACAAAATTATTCTCAACAGGGTCATGGTATCTATACAAAATCTACAACAAATACGATGAATACAAATTCTGCAATTCTTTTGATATTTGTTTGTTGTATTTCTTTAGTATTCGCTATCACTGGATTGGTTCTTTGTCGTCTATATCCTAGATTTTTCATAATATCCGGCATAATATTAAATATTCTGTCTGGGTTAGGCACTTCAATTATGTATCTATCCTTAAAATATTGGTCCGCTGGTATTGTGTTTTTAGTATTCACTCTATTTATTGCCTTTTGTTTTTATTCAATAAGAAGTCGAATCCCATTGGCAACTATCATCTTAAAGATAGTTATTGATGGAATGAAAACTTATCCTCAAACTTTAATTGTTTCAATATTAGGTACAATAATATCGGGTGCATTTGCCATTTTATTTTCTTTGGTCATTGTAGCAACCTATATGAAATATGATCCGGATCCAAATAATCCAGGCTGCAATACTTCAGGTGGGAGTTGTTCAAATTCCAAATTAATTGGATTATTAGTTCTTGTATTCTTCTGTGGTTATTATATTTCTGAGGTTATCAAAAACGTAATACATAGTACAATATCCGGAATCTATGGTTGTTGGTATTTTATGTCTAAAGCTGACCAAGGTACACCTAAATGGATTGCAATGGGATCCTTCAAAAGAGCAATGTTAACATCTTTTGGTTCAATTTGCTTTGGATCTTTAATTGTATCTTTAATTGAAACTTTCAGACAAACTTTAACTTTAGTTAGAAATGCGTTCATGATCAATCAAAATTTTGGAAATATATCGCATGTCATATTTTGGATTATTGATTTAATCATAGGATTTTTACAATGGTTAGTCCAATATTTCAATCATTACGCATATTCGTTTATTGCCCTTTATGGGGAATCTTATCTAAACGCATCTAAACAAACTTGGCAAATGATAAGAGAAAAGGGCTTAGATGCAATAATCAATGACAATTTGATCAATACTGCATTGGCTTTTTATGGATTATTTGTAAGTTATATTGCTGCTTTATTTGCTTTTTTATACTTGAGATTTACCAAGCCAAGTTATAATGATACAGGAGGGTTCAATGGTCCTCTAATTGCATTCTCCTTTGTCATTGCTCTACAGATTTGTAATATTGCTACTGAGGTTATTAGGTCAGGCACTGCTACGTTTTTTATAGCATTAGGTAGTGATCCAGAAATATTTCAGCAATCCTATCCAGAAAAATTCAATGAAATAGTTAATGCATATCCACAGGTTCTAGAAAAATTAAAACAACACAGTGTGTAAAAACAATAACCCTTATAATATTAAAATTAAATTCTTATATATCTATATTCTTTCTATTCTTATTTTTCATTTAGTATTTCTATATCGCTATCTATTGCTACAAATAAAACAATAACATCAATCATAACACTTTATCTATAAAGCTCATTTCTAATATCTAAATTTATTCAACTCTAGAATTGATATTTTTCCTTAAAAACCATTCTATAAATACTCTAATGCTTTCTTTAACCTTTCTATAATTTCTTTCATTAAGACCATCAGTTACAGATTTTAATAAATTATCTCTCTCTTTATCTGATACATTACCTAAATCATTAACTACATTAACAATCCATGAAGCACAGACAGATGAGTCATTTCCATTAGCCTCAAGAGACAACCTAAAACATTTGACTATACAATTAATTGCTTCTGAATGAGACGTGTCTTTAAAGACAGTAACTAATCCGCCAAACAACGAATTAACCAAATTAGCACCACGGTTAACAATAATTTCTTGAATAATTTGTTGACGCCAATCATCAGGTACAAGCTCTATTGAAATAGTAGAAATTGGAGGTGTCCTAAACCCCCATGATATTATATCATCTAGAAAACGTAAGATATAAACATAGGCATCTAAAGTTTCCAATTTATTAACCGCCTCAATTGCCACATCCACCACATTATCCAACAATTCAGTAGACATAATGAATTCTTTTGGATAAAACATAACTAAATCGCTTACCATGGAAAAGAAATCCATAATAACCTCATAATAATTATTTAATTGAATCTTATCCATTTTTTGAAAATTTATAATAAATGTGCTACATTGTGATAACGCAAATTGCCAAACAGCTTCCTTTAATTCAGGAGAGACAGGGAACGATTCACCATCACCAAAAATAACAATCACAGAACCAGAACACCATAATAAAGACCCAAAACCAGTAGTAGCATATTCCTGAACTAAAAAATCTGCTAAAGTACTAAGAATAGGTTCACAAAAAACATGGTACCTTTCAATAATCCTCCTTAACAATTTCATAGACCTCTCTACAATAACAGTATCAGTCATAGCACCTTGATCAACCATAATAACTCTGATTGTATTCCATATTCTCTCAATGCATGGTACTAAAGGTTCATAACCTTGCTGGGGATATTCAAATCTAGGAGATAATTCTTCAAAAAGTGCATACAAAAGATCAATTCTATCAGCAACCAATTTATTATAACTTGATGGTGAATTTTTCCATTGAATAATAAAATGTTGTAAATGTGTTAAATTGTCATCAATTAATTTATCAAATGTACTAGCTACAGTTTCTATAGGCTGTTTATTAATCACTGCACTTAATCCCTGACAAAGCTCGAATTGAGACTCAATATCTCTTGATAAGATATCTTGAATATTGAAATAAAAATCAATCAGTTGATTTATATAATCGCTTAGTAACCCTGAACAATCTGAACAGAAATACATTAAAGCATGTGATGATGCTGTAATAATTTCTAAAATTTGTCTATCATCTTGAATAATACTGTTTTTGACTTGATCAAATCCACGGAATATGTATTGTAACTGAATTTCAAGTAGTTCAGGATGTTTGCAAGTCCATTCAGTGTAACGTCCCAATACTAATGTAGCAGAATATCTCAATTTTGGGATCTCAGGAAGGTTACATATAATTTGTATAATTTGTGGCAAAAATTTGTTTTCAGTTAATGGAATTTCTTGTGCCATTGTTCTTAAAGAGAATAATGCAGCTTCCAAATTTTGCCATTCATTTCTTGATGTATTGTTTAAATTTGATTTAATTTGTTCTAAGGGAGGAGTTAATGCATTAGCTGGACCTACTACGGAGACACAATCTTTTAAGACATCACCCATAGTATATCTAAATTCTTTAAATTTATCCTCATTTTCCTTGGAAGTAAATGAATCTTTTGGATATTGTAAATGTCCAATTATTCCCTTTATCAATTCGATAAAAATGTTTGTGAAATATTTCTTGGATTCTTTGTATCTAATTAAAACGAGATTTTGTTTCAAATTAAACCAAAAGGGGAATGTATAAGCAACCACGTCTAGATCTGAATTTTTACAAGTCAACATTAGTAATATCATTACCATTGGCTGAAATACTTCTGGGGATTTAGATATATGAATAATCCAAGCCTCACCAGCTTCAACAAACAATCTTGTAAAATTTTCCAATAATTCAGGATCTATTTCATCTTCTGCTTGGTCCTTATCCTTACAAGTGACAATCTGAGGTATTAAGTTCGATTGTAAATTCATCAATTGTCCATATAGGGCCATGATTAGATCATCATTAACTAAATCTCTACTCTCTTTTAGAATAATACATAAACAATCCACAGCTGCTTCGAAGACTTCATTGTTATCTGAACCATTCAACAAAGAGTCAAATACCAAATTAATCAGGGGCTCTACAGTTAGGAATTTTTCAATTGGGAATTCAAAGGCCCATGAACTTAAACAATGCAATATGCTCTCCAAAGTTATGTCTACAGCTGTATTAGTTTTTGAAACTGTATTCAAATTATTTTGTTCCTTTAATGTATTGACACAAGATATTAGAAATTTTAAGATGTCTTCAGATATGGTATCGATTAATTCGTGTATCCTTGAGTTGTATTCATCTTCAGTTAATGGAATTGAACCAATGTCCAATGTCTCTTCGGGTAAAATCTTGAAAAATATCAACAAAGTTCCAGGGAAATTATTCAAATGATTGATAATTTCTAGGATTGGATTCTTCCAATCAATCATCTGAATGGCTAGCCTGGCTAAAGCTACAGATAATTGAGTAATAACCAATCTGTGGGTATGAATCTTTAAAAGATCTAATAGCATTTGTTTAATGTGCAATTGACCAATTGAATCCAACTGAAACAAATCATAAGTTACTTTATTTCTTAAAGTCTGTGATGCAAAAATCTGTAAATCTAAGTTATTGTCAATGGTATTGCTCAATATTTGAGTAGATACGTTCCACGCCTCATTAGATCTTTGAAAATTTTCCATAAATTGTAAGGCTTTATGCTTCTCTTCTTGTGTTGCATTAGAGGAAATGCATTGAATTGAATTGAGAATCACAATAAAAACATTCTCATTTTCTGACATATTTCAATTGATCAACTTATGTATATATATATATATATATATTTCTTTTCACTATGTCCTACTTTTTTCTTATCTATTTGAAACTCAGTAGAAACCTAGTAAAATTAAATACGTATATTATTTTATTCGAATCAACAACTATCTCCAGGATCATGAATTGTGCAAATCATTTTGTATAATTAAACAATAATAGTAGACAATAAACCTGTAACCCCATAATCATCCTCACATCCTCATTGATTTTACTTCTTTTGTTTCTTTTATTTTTTTCGAAATTTTTCAATTCTATTTTACAAAAAAAAAAAAAATAAGAAAAATATAACAAGAGTCTCATACAAAACAGGCAGAGAACAAAGAGAGAAGGATAAACTAAGAGCAGTAAATGATTAGTATTAAGAGCTAATAATCACTAAACAAGATTTCATCTGTATTGAGTAGAAATATATTCCAATTGTACTTTAACTTTAATTGATTCTATTCCGATATATATATATATATATATGCATAAAGATTAATATCATGTCCGCAAATAAGAATAGACAAGTGGTACCACCAATTAATTGTATATTTAATTACTTACAACAACAGACTCCTGTAAGCATATGGCTATATGAACAAGTAGGATATCGAATCAGAGGTAAGATAAGAGGGTTTGACGAATTCATGAATATTGTTATAGACGATGCATGTCAAGTACCAGTAAATAAAGATACTGGGAAAGAAGATATTAATAAAAGTGAATCCCTAGGTAGAATCTTACTAAAAGGTGATAATATAACTTTGATAACATCAATCGACGATGAATAAATTAAAACAAAAAGAACAATAAAAGAATAAAGAAAATAATCACCACAATATGTAAGCCCATTTATCCACACACACACACACACACATATATATATATATATATATATTCGTATACTTTATTTACAAGAGTGTATTTAACACCATATATATGTATACACATATATACATATGCATATAGATCTATTCAGATTGAAAAATAAGTTAAATTTAATTAAGTTGTTGGGATTGTTCATTTTGTTGTCTTATTCTTTCTGCAAATTCTTCTGCTTCATTGTTTAAGTACTCTTTAATCATTGGAAGACCAGGTTTACCGTTAATAGAACCAAACAATTCATCGCCAAGTTTATTCTCGATATTATTTTTTCTTGTTTCCTCGGATATGGGCAATTTTCTAATTGGAATTAAATTGTCTAATTTTTTCATCAATTGTTCTTCGGTGACGATAAACTCATCTGCGACATAATATAACTCCAACAATTTGCGAATCTTATTTTCCCTTGATTTGAATTCCACTAAGTCCCTATTATATTTTCTTTTCATATCCAACAACTTCTTCTCTTCCTCAGTTCTTTGTCTCATTAAGGGCTGGTTAATTATATGTTCCAAGGACGGGATAGTCAAATCAGAAGACTTCTTTTGATTGATCAATTTCAGATCTCTCTCATGTTCCAGTTTTTCAATCTCTTTTCTCCTTTGGATCAATTCATCTCTTCTAAGTATTCTATTTTCCTCGTTTCTAAAGGCTTCCTCCAAATATCTTTGACGTACCTGTGCTCTTTCTAACTTCTGCCTTTGTTCAACAGTATTAATCTGCAAATCTTTATGACTTCTCGGAACTGTATTTTTAATTAAAGTCTCCACATCAATGAATTCTGGAGCGGGAGGCACCCTGCTTGACCTTGGAGGATGTTGCACACCATCAGCGTACCCTTCACCACGTGCACCCTTGGGTTGAGCAGCTTTACTTTTAGCAATTAGATCCAATTGTTTGGTGGTGGGTTTTTTCAGGATACTTCTTGTGACTGGTAAAATACCAGATTTGTAACCATACTTAGCGATACCTTTTCCCATGATAAAATGAAATGAAACTGTAACAAGTAGCTGTTATTTCTTACACTCTCCCCCTCCAGTAAATTACAAATAAACAAGAGAGTTAGTAAGTCAATATTTATGTGTACGTGTGTTTGCCTGAGGCCAAAAATAATAAAAGTACACCTTCTTTCACCAGCATTACTAGACTGAATGGACCGTATATGTAGTATGATACACTCTAATCAACCAACCAATACCTCCCCTCTCAACTCTTCTGTTCTTGAAACTTTTCGAAGACAGAAAACTGGAAATCAACCAAAAACGAAGAAAAGGAAAAATATAGAAGTAAAAGTTTTGCGGTGTGCGGGTGGACCAAAACATAAACCTTCAGTGACTTTGACAGAAGAAGAAGAAGAGATGCTAAACCATTAGTACATCCAATCTCTAACCATCTCTATATACAGGATCTCATACTGTAACCACCTGTATAAATAAATACATAAATACATAAATACATAAATACATAAATAAATAAATATATACATATATATATATATATATAAATGTATTTGTTGCAACAAAAAAAAAACAACACACAGCAAAACCATAGATAAAAAAAGAAAAGATACCTGTAGAGATAATAAATAAAAAGATACAAACCCAAATAGAATAATTAGAAGATTTGTAACATATTTTTAACCGGTTACTTTTACATTTATCCCTTTTTACTTTCCTTGTTTCTTTTTTACTTTCTATCAATGACATATTTTTTAAGTACCTTTAAATAAAGTATTAATTTGATAACCTCTTTCATCTATAATAGGAAAATCTGGATAGTTGCCATTTCTTTGTTGTAAAGTATTTGACTGATATGGAGATGATGATATTGCAGGATATATTAGATTTTTATCAACCTGGGTGTTTCTGGAAATGTTATCAACGGTTATGTTGGCAGTTGTGTTAGTTATTATGTTAGTCTCTGGAATATTTTTACCTCCACTGTTACCGCTACTATTATTATTATGGATACTGTTATCGATTGTAGCGTTATTCGTTAGTCTATTAATATTTATACCACCTTGGGTATTAACAAAAGTATTTGTGTTATTGTGTGTATTAGAATTAGAATCGGTAATGATGGTATTTGTAGTATTCATGATATTATTATTATTGCCATTATTGCCATTATCATTAAATGATATATTATTAATATGATTATTGCCACCACTGGATAATTGTAAATAACTTCTTTCTTGAATAATTGCTATAGGATTAGGATTAGGATTAGGATTAAGGTTAAGGTTAAGGTTAAGATTGGGATTTATTTTCCCATTCTTCTCATTTAATTGATTCCTATCATTTATCACTATTTGAACAGTATTGTTAGAAATAATATCTTTATTATTTTTTACTTTATCCTCACTACGTATAGATATACCTACATTTGACAATGAATTTTTAGTCTTATCTGTTAAATCTATTGATACATCTTTCATTATACCCTTCTTACCATCCTGATCGTCCTCTTCTTTGTTTTTCTTTTTATTGCCAGATTTATCAACGGATGATTCAATTTTCTTTGCTCTTTCGTTATCCCACGGCAGTTTCCTCTTTGACAAAAGAATCTGTACCAACATGTCAACTTTCAATGGATTTATCGTCTCAAGCAATTTCGCTTTATCGACCGTAGATTCCACACCATGTGAACTCATTAAATGGTTCCTACAGCGACGTGCCAATTTAAGTTTCAACTCATTTGCATCTTTGAACGTGATTTTAGAGTTGCATAAAACATGGTTGTGGAAATATTGACAGTAAACCGACAATTTGTTCCCGACCAAATACCCAAAATAGAACGTGTTCGTGGTTCTTGCTCTGGGATCAATGGCCACCATGATCAATTTAGAAAAATCAAGATCGACATTCCTTTTGATCTCCAGAATCGCGCTCTTGGGGAATTTGACCGGTTCTGGCTGTGACTTAATGGGTTTTTTCAATTTATAAACTTTGTAGATTTCTTCCTTTCTTTTTTCACTATCCGATGGAATATCGGAATCTTCTACTATATGGACTGGCTTAATACCTAATACTTCTGCCTTATAGAATTTGTGAGGTGTTTTCCATTGGTATTTCATATCCAAACATTTTTTCAGTTCATGTTGTTGTTGTTGTTGTTGTTGTTTTGTTTTCTCTAATTCTCTTTGCTGCAAAAGTCTGGATATTTTCTTTTGCAACTCTTTAATTTCTTTACTCTGTTGTGCATAAGTCTTTGGCCCGGTGCTTTCATTTAAAGTAGTTCTTGTAAACTCAGTCGAGGTGAAAATTGGATTGACCTTTGCCTTAGTTGTTGCTGTTGAATTTTCGAGTGATGTGTCAGTGATACCAGGGATATTGATTTTTTTACCAATCTTTGTATTTTTGGGTTTGGTAATTTTATGACTTGGTTCTAGATAGGATTCTTTTAAGAGTTGATGACTTTGTTTTAGTTTCTCTCTTAAATCATCTGGCCATCTGAGGGCTAACCTCATATAATTAGAATCCATTTTCAAACATAAATATTATGTATTTAAATAACCCTTATATCGATATCTGAATCTATCTGTCTATGTATGTATGTATATATAAAGTGTGGTGTTTGTGTATGCTTATACAAAAATGCGAATATTGTTTATTTGTTATTATACCCAAAAAAAGATAAAATGCCTTATTGTATATTATACTATGCTATGCTATGCTATGCTACGTTATGTTATACTATACTATATATTTTTTTTTTATTTTCTTGTAAACAAAACAAGAAAGAGAACAAAATCAGTCAGGTGAAAAAAAAATAAGCGGAAAAATTAATCGCTCAAGGTTCCTTCCATCATCGTTAATCATATAATTATTACAAACGACGCCAGGGGGTCCAGCCCTATTGCTTTGGATTCTGTGAGGGAGGGGGAAAAGAAAAAGAAAACAAGAAATTCCTCAATACATTCCTGTATTTTCTGATCAACCCTACCCCGTTTTTTCATTTTTACCGTATTACCACAACATCACCCTGATAAATGGATATGGTGTAACTGAAAAATAATAATAATAATAATAATAATAATAATAATAATAATAATAATAATAATGCAGGTTATTTTATTTTATTTTTATTTTTTATTTTTTTACATACTAGGGTTTGCAACCTGAAAGTCGTGTTTACAAGAATAACTTTCTAATTGATGATTATTTAAAATTTTTACCATATTTCTACTTTGTAGTCTTAAGATACCAATGTTATATATATATATATACATAACATCAATAATAAAGAAAAAAAATTTGTTAATCTTACTCTTCACCCTACTCTTTGAGAATCCTTTTTGTCAATTCTTTAATAAGAAACCAAGACCAAAAAAAAACAAAAAAAAAAAAACAAGATAAACAAATACTACCTCCAGTGGATATCTACTTGATGTTCCCTGTGAAGAATCCTCCAATTGTAACAGAGGTAATAACTTTAAGTCCTTGAAAATTCTTTTCTTTTTTCTTTTTCTTTTTTCCATTGAAAGGACTTCCGTAATAGCCATGTTAAAAAAAAAAGACTAACATATTCAACCATGAATATAACAATACATACAAACATATGGGTGAACGGAATATTAAACAATTGATTAATATACACACACACACACATATATATATATATTTTGTATTATTTTTGTTGTTAACAATAGAGCAACATCGAGATGTTCAGCGAGCAAAACATGCAAATCTGTTGTCTATTGTTTTAGTGCTTTCCTTTTCCTTTTCCCTTTTTTTTTTTCTTTCTTTTTCTTTTTTTTTTTTGTAGAAAATTGCACCCATTTTTATTGTTAGAAGAATATTCTTCAAAAAAAAAAAAAAAATTTTTTTTTTCTTTAATCTTGCTATTTCTTTTTTGTTTTGTATTGTTTTGTATTTTTCTGTGTCTGGAAAAGAATACCCGTTTCCAATAGATACCTCTGTCTTCCGTGTGTTAGTAGATTAACATCCCAAGATCTGTTTCTCGAAAAGATTACTACGAGGAAGACTATTACGAGTCAAATCATTCCCTCAGACTATAAAGTAGATGTCTCCCTCCTGTTAGACTTTCCATACTAACAAGATCCTAATAACATTTGCTTCTCTTCATCACTCTCTTCTTGGCAATTACCTCTATGGTAATAGATTCGTTTATTATGTTACACATCCTTCTCAATTAAGTCTATAATATAATTAACTTTTTTTTCTTTTCCTTTTCTTTTTTCTCCTTTCTTCTAATTTGCACCTGCAATCATATTCTCTCTCTTTCTCTCTCTCTTTCTCTTTCTTTCTTTTTCTTCCTATTATGCAATGGGTTGATGAGATATATAGCACCCTTTTATGTCGTTTATTTGCTATATATAACCAAAGAAACAAAGTTATTAAAATAAAAAAGATATAAATCAATCTGAATCAATACACCAAAAAAACTTAAAAGGAAAGAAAAAGGAAAAGGAAAAGAAACAAAAATATTAAATCAATCCGAATCAATATTCAATTAATCAGAACTCTTTTATTATTATTATTATCTTTTTGTTTTTTTTTTTTGTTTTATCCTTTTCTTTTTATATTTATATATCTCTCTTAGCATATTTATTTCCAATACCCTATCGCATTATATTCTACACATCACCATAACAAAAAATAAAAATAAAAATAAAAAAAGTATTATTAAGATTTAATATCTACAAAAAATAACAGAACAAGAGAGGAAGAAAGAAAATAATATTAGGCATTATAGTTAATTAAACCAGGATGGGTAGGATAAGTAAATTTTTCGGTTGTCCTGGTGAAAGACCGGCTCTGCATCATAGGGCACCTTTGATTCCTCATGATCAAGATGTCATACAACAATTAGATCCCAAGACTAGACATGTCCGTATGCATCATCTTAACTCATCTAGGGAGACACTTGTTGGAAACGAAACCACAACCAGTACCATTGGTCATAGTAGCAACAATAATTGTGGTAGCATTAGTGATCACACGGATAACGAAGAAGACGATGACGCTTATTTGAGTGATTCCTCCACAAAATTAGATCTGGCAGATGTATTGTTACAGGCAAACGGTTGCATAGACACGAATATGTCGTTTACTGGGCTAAAGAAATCATACATGGACATCTGGTTAGACAAGGCTGTTATGTGGGCTGGTTCTCAAGTCATGTTTTTTCTGATGTGGGTTATTCTTATAGTATGGGTGATCGTAGGTGCAATCTACAACGCTCCATTCAATTGGCAAGTCGTTATGCAAGATGGTCAATCTATCCAATGTTATTTCTGGGATACTTTGTTAACAAGACAACAGTTGACCTCTACACACGAGCAAGTACTGATTGTCACACAGTTGAGATCCCGAGTTCGTTCATTCAAAAGATTTCTGCTTCGTGATCCTGTTGTTACCAACGATAATATACCTATAAAATTGGTGAAAGCTGATGAAGAAGTCAAGGAAAATGTTCATAGGCAAGAGAAAAGTTCTGTTAATAAACTCTCTGTTCTTCATGTTAATAATGATAATAATTGTCATATCAGGAAGGAAAAAGGAGCAGAAGCGAATGAACAAGAACAAGAAGGGAGTGATGAAGATGATAGCATTATGGAAGTTAAAAAAGTATCGAATGCCCCCCGTGTCAGCGTCTATACACCACGTATCGATGATACTACTATATCTGGTGCTTTGCCCGTGGAAAATTGGTATGACCGGTTAAGTACTACATTCTCTTGGATTATCGGTTCTGTACCATCAATGATCCTCTTCTGGGTAGGTATCATTGTGTGGATTGGGTGTGGTGCTATCCCACAAGGTGGTGAAACCTTCAGTGATGACTGGCAAATGGAAATCAATACAGCAGTTGCAGTCTCCTTGTTGATCTCTTCGTTCTTCTTACAAAACATTAGAGCCAGGCATGACGTTTTTATTTCCAAATTTTTATTAAAGATTCATTCTATGGATTGCAACATTGATTTGATATTACGGACTGCAAACAGCGATTTCACTAGTGAAAACCCAATTGTCACTGTTGAACCACCAAAAAGGACCAATGCTGAACATCTAATAGATTGGTACGCAGATGTGGTCGGTACTGGTATAGGTATAGTAATTGCCATATGTGTATTTGCTGCTTGGGCTGCTATTGGGAGTCCCCTACACTGGTCAGACGATTGGTGGTTGATTATTGGGACTTACACAGGTCTTGTTGGGTTCTTAGACGGGTTTGTTATTAGACAGGTGTACTTCAGAATCATCAACCACGAGGAAGATAATTTCAAAAACTTGGCAGACGAGGATGCTGAATTGTTCCAGCTGCTATCCATAGAATGTCCTGAAGAATATTTCGTACCACCAAAACATAAGAGGACTCTAAGTTACAGGATATCTGAATTTGTCAATCTATGTTGTTCCACACAGTGGAGTGTTTTAGTATCTGTTCTTATTATCATTGGGTTAATATGTGCTGCAACTGGTATGCTGTGGAGTACAACGGGTCAACTTATTGCAAATACACCAACTATGATTATTGAAGAATTCTTTATGATTGTTTTAATTCAGGCACACAATTGGGCAGATGAACAAAGAAGAATAGAGATATCAGGCTTGTTTGCTAGAAGGCACATATTATTGGAGTATGTCCGAGATAAATATATTTATTCGCAATACTAGTAATTCATTGCACTAAAATCAGAACATAGCATAATACAATACAATATAACACTTTACATTAAATATGTAACATTCCATTCCTCTGTATAGTATAAGCATATCTTTTGAAATATATATAATTTTTTAAATCATAGAAGATTTTTTTTTTATTTTTTATTTTTTTATTTTTTTATTTTTTTATTTTTTGAGCATTAAGAAGTCAGATTAGGAGAATAGACAGAACCATAGTTAAACTGTTAATTGTGCAAACGAAAGTATGTAATATTATATGAATAATATATATATATATATGGTAGTCATGTGCTTCTTGGATAAACTTTCTAAGGAAAGAAAAAATAAAAAAAGAGAACGGAAATTTGATAAATTAGTCCCAAAATATTAAAAACATAATTTTTTTTTGATATATTTTTTTATCCTGTGCCAGGTCGTTTTCTCTCACTAACCAAAGACAAATCAAAGGATACACTTCCTCAGTAAATCACATTACACACACACACACACATATATATATATATACTAAAGAAAAAATTTAAATTAATATTAAAATTTATAGATGTCCAATGGGAAAAAAAAAAATTCCTGTTTTAAGGATATAGACATAAAAATGTAATATATTCTAATATAAACTTTTAGTTGAGTAGTGATACAGTAAAACTTCTATCTATCTTAAAGTTTCTCTTCTTCATCTATAAAAAGTTTTTTATCAAAACAAAATATAACAAAACTTAATCAAGATTTAAAACTCAAAGATACCAAGTGTTTAAATTTATCCGAAACAAGCCATTTTCTATTCCAATAATTAACTCATCAAACTATTTACATAATAGACATTATTAATATTGTCAACATGATAGAAAATATTAATTTCTATAATGTTTTTTTTAGCCACTCACAGTGTTCTTCCTTGACATAAAACAATCTTTTTGAAATTCTGTTTTTATTATTATTATTATGCATAGTGACTCCTGAAACTGCCAAACACCAAACCACACATGTTACATACATGGATACAAGCATACGTATATACTATTTACACACACACATATATATATATATATAATTAGTTTTGTTATGAACACAAATTATTCTTTTTTTTTTCTTTTTTTTTTTTTTTGGCTTAAATTTCTGCCTTCCCTTCCCTTTTTTCTTCTCCATTTTCCCAAAAAAGAAACACCTACCAAATTAGGAAGGGTATGTTTTAAAGAGGAAAAAAGTACTAATCTGAGAAACTTTTCAAAACAGGTGTGGTGTATGGGTGGCCTAGCAGATTTTGGCGGAGGGAGAAAAGTTTTGGCTAAGAAGAAAAAACCGAAATTCTCTAAAGCAACCCAAGCAACTCAATCTTGTTTAATCCACAGCAAGAAGAATACCATTGAAGAAGAAGTAGTGAATGGAAAGGAAAGAAAAAAACCAACGCCTTACTTCAATTCTAAGTCCAAGCTTGTTCGAATTGTAGACTGTCTTTTTTCTTTTCAAGACGAAAACCCAGAAGAGAGGAATAATAAATAAACAAATAATTAAATAAATAAATAATTAAATATATATACATACGCCACACAATCAATAAATAGTCTACTCTCCAGATATGGCAGGCTTATCATTTGACAATTACCAAAGAAACGCATTTCTAACTTCTAAAAACCATTCCACTCAACCAAAGGCCACATCTACCGGTACCACTATTGTAGGTGTCAAATTCAATGGTGGAGTAGTTATTGCCGCAGATACAAGATCAACGCAGGGTCCTATTGTAGCCGACAAAAACTGTGCGAAATTACATCGTATTGCTCCAAGGATATGGTGCGCAGGTGCAGGTACCGCAGCAGACACAGAGGCAGTGACCCAATTGATTGCTTCCAATATTGAATTGCACGCTCTCTCCTCCAAGAGACAGCCCCGTGTAGTCACTGCATTGCAAATGTTAAAACAACATCTTTTCAAATACCAAGGTTACATTGGTGCATATTTGATCGTTGCTGGCTGTGATCCAACTGGGTCCCATCTTTTTTCTATCCATGCACATGGATCTACTGACGTTGGTTATTATTTGTCGTTGGGTTCCGGTTCCTTAGCTGCTATGGCGGTGTTGGAAGCTAGTTGGAAAGAGGATATAACCAAAGATGAAGCAATAAAACTGGCATCCGACGCCATTCAAGCCGGTATTTGGAACGATTTAGGATCTGGTTCCAATGTAGATGTCTGTATCATGGAAGTGGGCAAAGATGCCCAATATCTAAGAAATTACATAACACCGAACATCAGGGAAGAAAAACAAAAGAATTACAAGTTTGCTAGAGGTACAACTGCAATCTTAAAGGAAAGTGTCTACAACATTTGTGACATTGAGGAGGAAGAAATATTAATAGAGGTATAATTCAGCACACACACACAGAGATATATCTATATCTATATATATATATATAAGCACGTAAACACTTACATCAATACAGGATATAATAATACAACACATCTTTTCTACACACTTGTTTCGATGGTAATGTTGGTGAGAAGACAAGCAATATATTTCTAATTGCATTGGGTCTTTTACATATTATTGTGTCATGTGACTGTAATTTCTATGTTTGGTTATACACAAAAACACAGGAATCCAACAAAACAACGATGACAAAGAACGAAAAAAACAAAACAAAAAAAAAAAAAAAGAAGAAAATGAAATTTCAAAAATTAGACGTTAGAAATTGGAAATGTGTAGATTTTGAGTCTTTGAAAGTATCTTTGATCTGAGAAGTATCGATTCAATTGTGTTTCTTTGTGGGTTTTATAGAGATTAAATCGATCTGAAATGGCTCAATTTTTATACCAAAAACACCAACAGGTTATAAAGGTGATGCAGTCTATGAAATATTTCGTGGTTAACTATTGAAGTAATAAGTATCCACAAAAAAGTTTATATCCTTTATTATTATTATTATTAGTACTCTTTCTTTCTTTCTTTTTTTATTAAATAAATACATAAATCCAGTCTTCTAATTAAACTGTCACTTTTAACTCTTTCTTTTGATTCCTGCTAGTTAGTAATCGTGTGTGTTTGATTAATTTATTCATTTTAGTTTTCTTCCAGGCCAGTACACTAATAGTATTAATAATAATTACACACTAACCTAAATACCTATTTAATATTTGTTGTGGAAGACTAGAATATAATTTGATCAGAGGCAATAACAACAAATAAAGAAGATATAATATATTATGGCACCCCCTGCATCATCTAGTTCTAATCCAAGCAGTAATGGCGGGTTGACTAGGGAAATTAATTATGCTATAGACGCCATGAAACAACTGAAAGTTTCCGAGCTAAAAGAATTATGTAGAAGTACAAACTTGCCCCTGTCTGGGCGTAAAATAAACTTACAAGAAAGAATCATCCAGTTCATTAAAGATTCAATGTCAATAGGCCATATTGATCCATGGAGACCTAAATCAATCGTGTTATTAATTCAAATGATTTATCAATCCAAGGAGTTACCCTCGTACTTTGATATTTGGTCCGAAGTCAAGAGTGGGAAATATCCAACGCCTATCATTCGAATACTTGGAGATGCCGGAATAAATATACAATCCCAAACTTCAACTACCAAAACAACCACAATTACTCCAGCCAATAATAGTCATAATACTAACACCAATACAAGATCATCTTCCAAATCAAATAGTAAAAAAATAACAAATGATTCTGTACCCTTCAAATTACCCCCATTTTATAATATACAGATGGAAATACCGAAATCATCATATCGATTAGTTAAGGCACCTGGAAGAGGTGTTGGAGCAGTAAGATTCACTTTTACTGGTCATGAATGGTTAAAACTACAAAATGATACCAAAAAATACAAACTTTATTTATTCTGTTGGCCAGCAACCTCACAATATCATTCGAATCCACATAATCATTATCATAATAAAGAAGTAATTGCATTCCCATCACCAAATGAAATCCTATTTAATGGAATCAAAATAACAGATAATGTCAAGGGGCTAAAGAATAAACCCGGTACGGCAAAACCCGCCAATTTGACACCACATATTAGACCACCACCACAGATAAATACATTAGATTTAATCTATGCTTACACTACAAGTGATTTCCAAATGGCGTGTTACATCACAGAATTCATCTCACCGGAGGAATTACTTCAGAATATCGTATTTAAACATCCAAAAATATCTAAGAAATCCACCTTAAATTATATTAAAAAGATTATGAATGAGGAAGATGAAGATGAATTAATAACTACTTCCACTGTTCTAAGTCTACAATGTCCAATTTCTTATACAAGAATGAAATACCCCGCTCAATCACGTCTATGCCAACATTTACAGTGTTTTGATGCGTTGTGGTATCTACATTCACAGTTACAAGTACCGACGTGGCAATGTCCCGTCTGTTCAGTCACCATACCTTTAGAGAATCTGGTGCTATCTGAATATGTAGATGAAATTTTAAAAAATTCCGATGAAGATGTAGAACAAGTTGAGTTATCTTCTGATGGGTCATGGAAACCATTTATTGAAGACGAAGTTGCTTTGAAACAAAACAATGATAGATCAAATCAAAATGATGGATCAGATGAGACAGCCCCAGTAAAAAAAGAAGTATCAAATGATGTATTCAACAGTGATAGTCACAATAACACAAATATTCATGAACCTGTTGTTATATCCTTAGATAGCAGTGAAGATGAGGATGGTGAAGAAGAAGAACAAACAACACAGCACGGACTTACAATGAATAATACATCCGACTCAGTACTTCCTACAACAACTGAGATATCAAGAGAAATCTCCACCAATGAATCACCTGAGAATACCAATGAAACCAATGAAGCTGATTTACCTTTATCCCAATATAGAAGAACTTCCACTAATGCTAACGATGCCCCGGTACCTTCTTTAATATCTGGTTCATTATTAGGGTTAGGAAATGGTTCGCAAACCCAACAAACAAATATAAACACATCAGTTAATCCAGTGAATCCAAGATTACCCCCTGTTCTTACTACTCTGTCAGATCAATCTAAAACTAATCCTATACAATCCCTTACTATACCATCTACAATACAATCATCTACCTCCAGTATACCAGCCAATGTATCAATTAATAAGTCTTCCTCTTTGTTTGTACCTACTAATCCATCGCCAACAATAAATGACAATGGTTCTAACAATATCCTAGGTATTGGTGGTAATTTACCAATGTTAAATTTATCACAAAACATTCAACCGCCAATTGTGAATCCATTTTTAAACAATAACAACAGCAACAATAATAATGTCTATATTCCATCCTCCATAAACAATTCTACGAAACCTTTACCTTTGTTAGCCAATACCTTCCCCAGAAATGATAACAACTTTTCAAATATATCTACAGTTCCAATTCCTTCAGAGACCAATCAACGACCTATTGCTGTCCCCCATTCCAGAAATACTAATCCAAGAAGGTCTAGGACAGAAGTATCTCCATTCATACCAAGAAAACAATTCCCTCCGCCACTAAACGTACTTCCACGGAAAAGATCAGGTATCAATAACAACGAATCTGTGAGAAGGAAAGACGTTTCACCAGACAACAACAACAACAGCAACAGCAACAACAATAATAATGATCAATATAATTCCAATATTATAATAAACCCAATTACCAATCAACCATATAATGATGGAATAATTGTTAATAGTAATACTACTAGCAATATTCCTAATTCTTTGTTTAGGGTAAATGCATCTTCAAATAATAATAAAAATTCATCGGATGTCATTGATTTAACATCAGATTGAATAAAAATAGTGGAATGTTCATATATAGCTGATTCATAAATTATAGAAAAAAAAATTATATATAAAAATTCCATATGTTATGAAATCATTTGAAACTCTTTAAGCAATGTTTATTCATGAACTTTTCAGTGTTTTATTTTTATTTTTATTATTATTATGTCTTTCACATGCATATTAATCATTTATAAAAAATTATTTAAGTGTTATATATAAATGGATCTATGTAACCCTGTTTACACATTCAATCCATCCTTTAATGGAAGATTGGGAACTTAGAATCCATCCAATCCCATGGGTCATTGAATCTAATATTCTGATTTAGTTTAGAGATTTCTTGGATTTCTGCATCTGTTAACGTAACAGATTCATCAATCTTTAAGTTAATTAATAATCTTTCTTTATGGGAAGATTTCGGAATAATTGCAATCCCTCTTTGAGTGGCCCATCTTAAAATGACTTGAGAAGGAGAAACATCATGGGCTTCTGCAATTTTCTTAATAACAGGGTGATCAAACAATGGTAAAGTGCTCTTAGCCAAGCCTTGTCCAAGATCCACAAAGGACTGCGGGCCAAAGGATGAATAGGCCACAACTTGAATATCGTTAATTTTACAATATTCCAGTAATTTTTCTTGAGTCAAATATGGATGATGTTCAATTTGTAAAGCAGCCGGTTTAATTCTACAACCTCTTAAAACGTCTTGAATTAAAGCACCTGGGGTGTTAGAGATACCGATAGATTTAATCAAACCTTCATCAACACACTTCTCCAAGGCACGATAAGTGTCCATATATGGGACATGTTCCTCTGTAAGGATTCCCTTCTTCCAATCTTCTTCACCGGTGTAAAAACCAGGTGGGTATTTAATGTCCATAGGAACATATTTGAAAGCAATTGGGAAATGAATATAATACAGGTCCAAATAGTCTAATTTCATGTCATCTAGAGTTCTTTGCAATGCCATCTTAACATGTTTTGGATCGTGATACGTGTTCCATAATTTAGAAATGATGAAAAGGTCTTCACGTTTAACGATACCTTCAGAAATAGCTTTATGGATACCTTCACCCACTTCTGTTTCATTGCCATAGTCACAAGCACCATCGAATAGTCTATAACCTAATTTAATAGCTTCGTAGACTTGTTCGGCACAGATATCTCTGGGAATTTTCCAACAACCTAGACCAACTAAAGGCATCTTCAAGCCATTATTTAAACTAACCAAGGCAGACATTTTTGTAATTTGTGTTTCTTTCTTTCTTTTTTTTTTTTTTAGCTATTTATCCTTGTTTCCTTGAAGAAGATATTTTTCGAGAAGGACTTTAAGGGATGTGAAATTGTCTATTTGATCTTCACAATTGATGCACTCGGTAACAAATAAATATCTTTAGTTATGTTTTATAACAGAATATGTAACTATTGGAGTGGAATTCCCCTCTCAAGGTATAGAATTGTCAACTATATAAGCATATGTGTGTAGGGTGAACTCTACCTCACCCTTAAAACAGATGATCTTATATCTTTTGACCAATAATTTATCTTGTAGGTTGAACTGCAATGCGAAGTTCTAAAGATGAAAATAAAAAAAATGGAAAGAAAAAAAAAGATTTCTTCTTTGGACTCGGTGATAAAAAAAAGTGACTGGGAATAACATTTACTTATCTCCGAACACAATGCAATTAAAACTAAATATATAAAATTTACATACCTATACATATACCACTTGTTAATATTACATGATTGTTGGATCAAATATTAATATAAATGATTACCTCTATTGAAAAAAAATATTGAAAAACAATTTTAGTGCAACGAAAAAGAAAATAAAAAGCAAATAAACATTAATTACTTCGACAGATATATGTATATATGTTAAAGGGAACAAAAAAAATAAAAAGAAAGGAAGGTATTCAAATGTCATTAAAAAAAAAAAAAAGAAGCGAAAGAGAAGACACACATTTCATAACTTGGCTTTAGCATTTAGTTTTTCATATTCAATCAAGGCATTAGCCATTTCATCTGCTGCTTCGGTCAAATAATAGCGAATCCTTTTACCATCAAGACCAGACTTTCCAGGCTTAGTAACAATATTGATATTCAACCAATCTTTGTTAACCATATATGCCAAGCCTACACCAGCATCATTAACTTGTGACCAGCCATAGCCGTCAAAATACTCACTAGACAATTGGGATGTGGAGATGTACCAAGTGGAGGAATAGTTGAATAACGGGTCATCGAATAGAGCAGGTCTTTGATCGTTTATAGTCAACACATTCTTCAAGCCAAAAAAATGACGATCGATACCGTGACCATTTGCAGCGGACTTCAAATAATTTGAATGAGCAGAGATTGCATTTTGTAACAATTTAATTTTTTCATTCAACGATAGTTTTGGGTTTGACCAATTTGAGACGAATTCGTGAGATTCCTGCGTCACAGATCTGCCTGTCTCAGTACGGCCCTTAAAATACTTTCTTGTAGATGCTGCTTCGTAAGTTGGAAATTGTTTGCCTAGATACTTGTACATGGCCAGCTGAATGATTTGTTGAATGTAGGAATCAGGTGACATCTTAAATTGTTTAATGAAATTTTTCCCGTACTTTTGATATTTCCAAACGTTCAAATCATGTTCCGCCATAAGTGAGTCAAATTTAGCTTTTGCATCAGTAATAGAGTTTTTAATGGTTGGCGATAAAGTGAATTTTAATAATTTAGGTTGATAACTTGTGGATGAAGAAGAGAAAGAAGAGACTTCACTATTATCTAAACCGATAGGTTTGCTAATATCATTCAAGAACTCACTTTGGTTCAATTTCATTAGATCCTGACAGATAAAAGTGTTCAAAAACAAAGTTGGGGTTCCATCCATCTTTGAATGTTCGCCTAAGAAACCGGACTTACCATTCCCAGTGACGAAGAACTGTAAATATTTGTCAAAGAATCTATTAATACCGTTTCCATGCCAGGAGTTCCTTGATTTTTCTTCCAAGGTGACTGGACTCTTGTCTAGATCCAAACAAAGCATAAAGGAGGCTCTATGGATAGTCTCCAACGAACTCTTGGACAATGGATCTTTGATCAGTTCCAGGTATTGAGACCTCCATTGGTCTCTTGGCAAAGAGGTCAACACGCCCACACCGGAGTCATTTTGTGTGTTGGTGATGTTATTGTCAGTTCTGACTGGATGAACAATGTCATTTATCTGTTTATAGATAAGATTCACAGGCAAGGGACGGCCGTCAAGAGTGTTGTGGGTGACCATCTTATAGAAGTTGCCCTTATAAGCGACGACAATGAAGTTATTTTCAAAAATAGAGTAAAAGACACTTGTGTCGGTATCTTTATTAGCATTAGTGTTAGTATTGGGGATCCTTGCTCCATTAAACATCAGATGGAAACTGTTCATACAGAAGGGGGTGCCTTTGATCAGCTCAGGAGGCAAAGCCTCGTCTTTAATCAGTTCTATGAACTTGACGATAGATTGAACCAAAGCTGTAGCTTTGAAAAGAGGGTTATTTTCGATTACGGAATGGGTCAAGGAGCTCAATGGGGCATGGTTATAGAAATAGGAGACGTAAGGGATGACGGGGTCGTTGTAGTTTAGATAAGCTTGGGAGTCCCACCAACTGGACATCCAGTTTCTTCTATTGGAGGAGTGGTCCTGTAACCTTTTTTGTAAGATTGGGCCCAGATTATTTCTAAAATCGTCACACAATTGGACTTGTTTTTGGTATTCCTTATTATCTGTAATATCATTAGACATAGATTTAGATTTATTGTAACTGTTATTATTATTATTATTATTATTATTATTATTTGGAAGAGATTGGATAAAAGGTTTAATGGAGACCAAATATTTATTTAGAGTATCGTTTAAATCAGGCACTGGCAAAGAGGGCAATTGGTCTTGTAAAGAGAATGTTTTACCTTTGTAGGATGGTCTAGTGGCTTGGTAATGTTCATTAGGTTTATCTGCTATATAGAATTCATTATTATTTGTTTTAAACTGATATAGAGTGGAGCAATTGAAACGTTTCATTCCATTTAAGAAAAATGATCTTTTCAGGATACTCGAATGAATATTACTACTAGTAGTGTGATATCTAATCATTATCTGGATATAATGTGTTAATGAAAGAAAGAATGAAATAAAAAGTTAAAAACAAACCAAACCAAAACAAAAAGGGTAAAATGAGTAAGAAAGAGGTTCGATAGAAATAAATATTTATACTTATAACTTTAATAATATTAATAATTATGCTTATATGTGTAACTATTTTTATGTTGTAAGTGGATGGGTATATAATTTCTTAGCTTTTATCTCCCTTAGTTTTGTTCTTCTTTATTCCCTTTTACTTAGAATGAAAGAAAGAAAAAGAAAGAAAAAGAGATGAACCTGATGCAAGAAGTCTATCAATGCGATGTGTATAAACACATAAATAAACACATATCAATCAATCAATCAATCAATCAATCAATCTATCTATCTATCTATCTATCTATCTATCTATCTCTATATATATATATATAGTGTTAGTATTTTATCCTTCAATCCATCCATCCATCCATAAGTTTGATTATCGAGAGGATGACTGATCGTCGAGTTGATCTCACACTCTTTTCTTTTTTTTCAGTCATGATCCAATCTCCAACGTCATTATTAAATGGAAAATGAATGACTTTCTTTTGTTGTTGGCAGATGGTATTGTTGGTTTACTTTTCCACTGATCCGAGACATACACATATATATATATATTAAGTGTGTGTATACAAGATGTATGGGTGTACACTGGAGTAGGAAAGCAAGAGACAAAAAGAACAAGAACAAGAGAAGAAGGAAGAAGAAACAACACAGATGAGTGTATGAATGGTTTTAACATCAATTGCTACTAACTACCAGAACTATCATTATCACTATCACCACTACTATTGCCATTGTTTCACCTTCTTTTCTACTTGATAGTTTAAAATAAATCAGAATACTATAATACATTTCAATAATCACCTATACAAACACATGTAAAAATACATATGCCTTTGCATATCATGATTAGCATGGACATGTTGTCATTCATCATATAAAACCGTAACACAACAGCAAAAGTGCCATCAAGGGTATATATATGCAGTAAGAAGGACCAAACCAGTACCAATCCTCTTTCTGACTTTTTTGGAAGAAAAGGAAATATACACATATTGTTATACATGCTTCAACGTATATGTACGTATACGCGTTGTGTTGTGTGTATTGTTATTATGTCCCCATTCACACTATATCTATATACATATATATCTTTTTTTTTTTTTTTTTTTCATTTTTTCTTTCTTTCAGAATTTTCAGTGTTTGATTGTTGTCATCTGTCATCTGCCATTTCTTCCTATATAATTCCTGAATAAAATTAAAGAAAAGGGAAGAAGAAATGGCATACCGCTTGGGGCGACAACTTTGGTCATCAGCAAAAAAGAAAAAAACTAAAATAAAATAATATAAAATGAAATGAAATGAAATAATAAGAACATAAACAGAAATCCACACACCAACACACTTAAACATGTATACATACGCATGTACATACGCACACGCATACGTATACATGTACGTGTGTCCCTCTTATCAGCTGCAAACAAACCGATTCAAGCCGTTTCAACAGCTACAACTGAAGGACGGAACAGATATTGCTGCTGCTTCGATTCAAGCACACTCTACACTTCCTTGTCCTCTTTATATATAATTTTTCCTTCCACAACGTCTGCCGCCTCATTTGAGCAAAAACGAAAAAAAAAAAAAAACTTTTTCTTTTCTGCTCTATACCACGTGACCTTCTATGTAGTTTTGTTTTTTATTTTCGATTTTTTTTTTCAGTTAGGGTTTTGGTTCTATCGACCTTTTTTTTTCTTCTACTGATTGTATGTCTCCTTCCTTTTTGTGTTTTTCTATTATTATCTTGTAACTAATAAAAGATAGTATTCACTACTAGTACTAACTACTACTTTATTTTTCTTAATTTCTTTTTTCTATTATGTATGTATTTCTTTCTGCTAATAAGAAACATACAAAGTATACTAACCATACCATCACACAGCTCAACACTAATCATTTACCCATCGACATTTAGCCCTCTAGTCCAAATTTTATTTCTACTCCTTATTCTTTATTTTTTTTTTATTCTCCTTCTCCTTCTTCTTTTTAATTTACCCTCTCCTTCTCTCCTTATATCATCTATTATCTTCAAAACAAAAAAGAATAACCCCCCCCCCTCCTCAATACTATGTTGGTTAGATTTTTCAATAAATCTCTTTTGCTCAATAGACCATCAAACCACAATTTAATATCCAAAGTCTTACCATCCTTATCCATCCATCCCCATCTCTATTCCACCACCTCTACTGCAGACACAAATACAAAAGAAAATCTCCCATCAAACCCTAATCTTCTTCAGGATTCTCTCACTCCTCACATCCTAAAAATCGTACCAAACACCTCAGATATCACACTACTAGAAAAACAGGATGAATTACTACGTAAAAGAAGGAAACTGGCTAAAGAAACCATCAAATTGAAGACTTTCAAACCTATCTCCCCATCCTTACGGTGGCTAAGGTACCCCGTCTATCCCCATCTCCATAAGGGTAAGCCTGTCCGTTTCTTAACCGTCCATAAGAACAGAAACAGCGGCAGAAACAACCAGGGCAGGATCACTGTTCGTCACAGATCTGGTAGGTTCCATAAAAGAAGAATCAGACTGGTCGACTTTTTTAGATCTGTCCCTGGGAAACAGACCGTTCAAAGGATAGAATACGACCCCGGTAGAACTGGCCATATCGCCCTATTGAAACACAACGAAACGGGAAAACTATCATATATCTTGGCTTGTGACGGATTAAGAGCAGGTGACGTCGTTGAATCTTTTAGATACAGCAACAACAACAACAACAACAACAACAATAGTACTAATAGTCAAAGCCAACGTGGTATGGAATTATTGGATCAAGTAAACACTATCCAAAGAGGTAACTGTTTACCCTTAGAAATGATCCCTATCGGTACTGTGATCCATAACGTCGGTATCACTCCTATCGGTCCTGCTAAATTCTGTAGAGCTGCAGGCACATATGCTCGTCTGCTAACTAAACTACCAGAAAAGAAAAAAGCAGTGGTTAGACTGCAGAGTGGTGAACACCGTTATGTCTCTTTGAAAGCCTGTGCCACCATTGGTGTGGTTTCTAATGTGGAACACCAATTGAGATCTCTAGGTAAAGCCGGAAGGTCTAGGTGGTTAGGTAGAAGACCAAGTGTTCGTGGTGTTGCCATGAACAAATGTGATCATCCTCACGGTGGTGGTCGTGGTAAATCCAAATCAAATAAGTTATCTATGTCGCCCTGGGGTCAATTGGCAAAGGGTTATAAGACAAGAAGAGGTAAAAACCAGAATAGAATGAAGGTTAAAGATAGACCAAGAGGCAAGAAATAAACTACACCCTCTTGGACTTTTGTTTCCTTTCTACTTTCTTCTTCCACTCTATTTTATCGTGTGTTATACTGATATTGCACAAGATTATATATTCAATCATGTAAATATATGCGAAAAAAAAGTTAATATAAACATAATTGCTCACACCTACACTCACACCCTCACCCACACCCACACCCACATATATATATACAATATTATTATCATTACTATTAGTTATATTAATCTGTATCTTCAAGGTTTATACAGCATTAGACGATAAGTTACCCATACACATAAATATATAGATATATGTTTTGCAGTAACCCCCCAATACTGGTTTACTTAAAATATAATATCCTCCTCTGTGTCGGCAATTAAATTTTCAACTGTCTCCTGCTTATTATTTTCATCTACTGTTTCTTTTTCCTCGCTCTCCTGTCTTAAAAGTTTAGAATCTTCATTTGCATTTTCAGCCATTCCTTCTTCTTCCCCTTCCCCCTTGTTTTCATCTTCTGCTTTCCTCTCCAACATTAGTCTTTTAGCTTTTAATTCTGCATCTAATCTAGCCGTCTCTTTTTGTTTCTTCTCTTGAACTTTTTTCAATCTGTAAAACTCTTCTCTATCTAATTCATCCAATTCACTATTAATATAAGCTATTGTATTCTCAGTTCTTGGAATAATAACGTGTTCGATAGCATTCACCCTTCTATTAGTCACTTTAATAACTTCATCTAATATAATAAATGCCGTCTGTAGCGATGCCAACTCCACCAAAGTCTCCACTGCTTTAGTATATATCTCTTTAGCACGTTGCACCTGTTGACCACCGCGACCAAGCCCAGTAAGTTTGAAATCATTTATCGATCCATCAATAAATGACTCGAATTGAGGCAAATACACACCACTGACATTCTCTTGACGTGCTTTGACTTTGAACCTACTTTGATTTGACACACTCTCTTGAACTTGGTATCCAATGTTTTCACCAGTAGCATACGTGACCTCTGCTAATGAAAAAGCCGCAGTTTGCATAACTCGACCCATTTTTTGCTTAGCGTCGTCTATCCTCTTTGTGATGTCTCGGAACCTTTTAGTTAATGCTTCCGATTTTCTTTTCAACAAAGAATGACCTTGATTGGCTCCTTTCAATTTGATTTTCATCAACCCTAATGTCATACGGGTCGGAAACACTTGTTCTCTATTACTTGACATTTTTATTTTACTTTTGTTTTATTAGTTCTTCCTTTTGAATAAACTTGGGGGGGGGGGGTTTCCTATGAAATAAATTAATTGTTTTTGATCTATTAAAGTATATTTTCTTGTATCCTTCTCGAAAAGCTAATGTATATATCTCTTGCCTGCCCAATGGGGGTTTATCGAAGTATGTATTTGCAAATAAAGAGCAATAGTCTTTTCACGATATCTTTTTGTTTTAATTTTTAATTTTTCTCTTTTCCTACATGCAATCCTTTTTCAGTAAATATAATAGTAGTACTTTCTCCTCCCCTCTAACTAATAAAAAAAAAAAAATAACAAAAAACAAAAAAAAAAGAATACAAACCAGAATTAGAATCAAACTGTAGTAAAAAATCCAGATGAATAGTCTTTTACTAATATATATTCCGAAGGTCTAGCATTTCAATGGAGTAATAGTGTTACTGTTGTCTTTAGAATATATTTATTCGCATCTGCACAGTATATACATACATACATACATACATACATACATACATATATATATATATATATATATTTACAAGTACTTGATATATATGTACAAATATTGGCGCATTTGTCAAGTCACTACCATTTACATCACAACGGAGGAAGGAAAATGCCAATAAAAATGAAAAAAAAAACATATCTACCTTCTTTCTCTCTCTATCTTTTTTATTTTTTTTATTTTTTGCATTCTTTCCTTCACTTAACGAGATACCCATTCTGTGGTACTCATTTGTGAAAGTCTACTTAATGTTCTTGCAAACGCAAATCTTTCCTCATCGAGTGTAAAAATTGTTGAATTTTGAACTGCTGCATCAATCTTAGCTTGTTCATCTGCATGCTCAGCCACAGTATTGATTGATGCAGAAATACTCCTTTTCAATTCATAGTTATTTAATAACATCTCAGGTTCAACAAACAACGAGGTGAAAGCATCTGCTGCAGTCGTTGCTAATTTACAATCATTGTCGTATATAGCATCCAAAAATGTGATGAACCGTCTAATCTTATCTCTAATATCGATTGACAAGTACGGTATGTCGGTAACAATGAAAGCTTTGAAGTTTCTGGCCAACATCAAATAATCACCTGCAGCCAACGGCTGCCCACACAGTTCTTCAAACGTAAATTGTGCTACTCTTGGTGGTGTACACTTGGGCACAATAAACTGACGGCCCCAGATACTTAACGGATAGTCATGATGGATCTCATGTTTTGTTTGTATCATATTGCCTTCTGGAGATAGTTGATCATTTTCCATCGGTTGCGCAAAATATTTGTACCAGGATTCAACATGATGTTGTCTCATAACTTTAAATTCTGGAGACTCGTATCTCCATTGGTCCTTCTTTGGATACAAATAGACAGAGGAAATAGGCCTTGGAATACGCCTATAATCTGTATTCGAATTCAAATTAACTACCTCGGTCTTATGCTTGATCAGTTCTATACATGGAATGAAAGATTTTCTTTGAATCCCATTAATGTATAATTCATCAGGGTGTCTATTTGAAGTAGCGAAAAGGATAACGCCGAATTTATCAGACAGTAAAACAGTAAACAATCTTCTCAAGATCATTGCATCGGCCACATCTGTGACTTGGAACTCGTCGAAACATAAAATTCTAGCACTTTGTGCGATTTCGTTTGCTAAAAATGGGATAGTGTCAATATCCTTTGTATCTTTGCCTGTGTTTCTGTGATAATCCATTAGGATCTCATGTGATCTTTTATGTACGTTTTGCATGAATTGATGGAAATGGATTCTTTTTTTTGTCAGATGAGGAGGGATAGTCTTATAAAAGAGATCCATCAACATTGTCTTACCACACCCCACGTCACCATATAGATAAATACCTTTTGGTGTCTTGCAACTATAAGGACTGATACTGTCACTAGCAATAGAATCAAATGTAGCAGAGCGATTGAAGACTTTGAGTTTATTCAACAGTCTACTCATCCAGTTAGCTGTCTTTGATTTATTAAAACTGTTTATCGATGGGGAAGACAATTCAGGTGCATAATAATTAATTAAATCACTATGAAATCTACTTAAAAAAGTTAGAATACTTCTTTGAAACGGATCATCTCTTAATTTCCCCAGTTTAATTTGTGTATCATATTCTTGCAAAGGAGTTATAATGGAATGTTTGTTAGGAGGGGAAGAGGAAAGGGAAGAGACATTTGTATGGTACCGTATTAAAAAAGGTAGTCTGAGTAGTGATATTTTAGACGTATAATTACATTTATGAACTAAATGTTTTAAACAAATTGTGTTTGAGGTGATAATATTCATTTATGTGCTTCTCTTATTTGGGATAATTTATTCTCTTCCATAGAGAAATGTATTTTTACCATGAAACTAAAGAATAAAAAAAAAAAATAGAAGAATAAAAGACAAAAAAGAACAAAAAAAAGAAAGTAAAAAAGAAACTAGATTGTCTGTGTACTGTATGTAAAAACAGATGATTGAAACAACTGAGAGACGATTATATTTATTGCGAATAATCAGCTGTACTGGTACAAGTACAAAACGCAAATGTTATGTATATTCAGATCCACGTAGTTGTTCAGGTAGAAAAAGCTAAATATTCTAGTGAATTAGATCTTCTTCCTAATCTCCGAGACTCTTTTCCTGTTTTCTGCCATCCCTGCCTCCCTGCAATCTTCGAGCAGTCGGGTTTTTCCCTCCAGCAGGAAAAAAAAACTCTCGAGCAAACATAAAATCGACAAAATTTCTTGGTCCATTTGGGCTTTGTTTTGTTTTCTTGTCTTTTCTGCACTTTCCCCTCACACACGGCGCTAGTCACTGGTCCACGTCTATTGTGTTTCTGGATGGTCAGACAGGAAAAAGAAAATTGAAGTTTGACCCTAACATAACTACCCCACGAAGATCTGTTTTTCTTCTTGAAGCATGTACTAACCCTAATAATAAAGAAGCTTCTGCAAGTGTTTTCCATTTTGCCCTATACTTCTTCTCTGTGCCTTTATCATTTTGTTCATATTTATTTCTCGAAACCACATGGAATAGAAAATACATAGTTCTCTAAAAACACAGAGATACACAAACACACAGACATCTGTAACTACCAATTGGTCTATTATTTGTTTTTTTTTTTTTTTTTTTTTTTATTCTTGAGTAACCAAAAGAGAAATAACAAGATAGAAAAGAAAAAATCCAACCAACACAATGAGTTTGGCCATGGATATGAATAATTTATCATTAAATGATAAAGAAATTGATACTCTATGTGCCAACACAGATCTCCTAGACATAACTTCTAAAATAGACGAACTCTGTGATAAATTGCAACCTAGAACAATCATCAAAAATCCATATTTTGATTTGTTTCAGGGGACTCATTCACTAGAAGTCAATAACCCGAAATTGGATTCCTTTTTAATCCCACTAAAAGCATGTGAAGCAGAATTCGATTGTAACATAAAACATGGTTCAAATAAAGAACAAAATCTAATATATGTCACTTCAATAGCCGACAGATTAGTCAGATGCATTGTATCTTGGCTAAACGATTACCAATCTTTACCAACTACCCTTTTAAGCTGTAAATATATGGAATATCTGTTAAATATCAATTCTTCTCACACTGTAAATATAGATAAAAAAATTAATACTGGTGATCCATTATATGATTGCGTATTGAGTGATTTTATTGTTTCTATCTCCTATTTTGCAGCTTTCATTAAATCCCTATTATTTAAGCGGGTTATCTATGAGGAGGAAGATTTGAATTTCAATTCAATGGGGTTGCTTGGATTTGATAGATTACCTGCCCAAAGTGATGTTCTTGATTCATTAAACAAAACAATCAAATGGGTATCTGACTCCAATGATCTGAATCCAAATGATTACACCCGACATTTAATCAATCTTTTAAAATTGGTTCAATGTTTAGTGCAACTTGAAAATATCACCACTCAATATTCTACAGACACACAATATTTAGATGATCTCATTCAATTAGCCACAATTCTGAACCAAACAGATCTATCATTTGAAGTCCCGCAGGGATCCTTTTCAATGAGCATTCAAAAGTTTTGTTCTAACCAATTCCCACCCAAACAGATAGTGACACCAGAGAGAAAAAACTACTTAGGGTTTATCACCATGGCAAATGACATTAAATTGATTCTTAATGTATCCAGAATTGATACTGCAGTGGAGTTGCATCAATTTGTATCCTTTTTCAATAAGTTAAAACAAAGACATGTGTTGGCTAGAGCTCTATTTCCTTTATTCTTGGTCCATCAAGATGGCACCATTGTAGGTAAATATTCGTTTGATGATTTGTTATATTCATATTTTATGGAATTTTCATTGATGGGTGCACAAATTTCAAACAATCTCGTCAATCACCCTAATCTGTCTGAGAGTTTATCGATGATCTTGCAGGATTGTTCTAATGTACTATATGAATTCTATCAAAATTGTTCACAGAATACAGCTAGGTACAGACAAGGTTACAATAGACTTCTACTGTTATTGGATTCTCTTCAAGCACAATTAGAAACATTAGAGTCTGAATTCATATCTAATGGTATGCATGATATTGTAAAATCAACAAATAACAATAATAACAACAATAGCAATAATCCCACCACCACCATCACTACTACTACTTTCAATGTTGGTAATACTGAAGTTCCGTTAATGCCATATGCGTCATGGATATTTACTATTAAAGTATTCGCGATGATCGAATTTACATTAAAAGGATTTGATTTGGAAGTTTATAAACCATTTGAAGCTTTTGATATGTATTATCATGTTTATCATATTTCAAATCAACTGGAATCCTGTCTTAATAAAATATCTCAGTTTATAAAGAATAAGATAGATTCAATTCATTCCATGAATAAAAAAATCAAGAAACTGAAAGCAGGTGAAAAGAAAGAAAATTCAAAAATGGAATATAACCGTTTGATGAAGGAAGAAATGCCTCAGTTGCAGATAAACAGACAATATTTGAAATATTTATTATTGCAATGCAATATTAACAAATCGTTGAGTTTATTCCAAGTCTTACAATTTTCCATATTAAGATCCGTCAAACTGATTGATGGTGTGGCACCTAAGACAAGTAAATTTGTTAACCAAGAATTGCTCCATAACCTAAGATTTAAGACCTTTTCATCAATTGGTGTACCTGAATTACCAAGCTTTGATATATTCCAAGACATATTGAAAAGTTTCACGATTAAAGAAAGCCTAAACACACCAATGTTTCACTCACAGATGACCAGAATGAAACAATATATGATATCACAAATAGACGAAGCCGAAGAATCTGTTACTACAATAATTAAAGGTATAAAGAGTAATGATAAGAATGGAGAAATTTATACTGGGACAAGATTAGTCAAAGAGGAAGCATTAGATTATTACAACAAATATCTGGGATCCACTTCGGGTCTAAGGGACAACATGGAAAAAATTGTAAAAATGATCCAAAATCGTGAAACTAATGAAAAGAATAACTATGAAGTTATATTACAATTTCAACAGGGTTCATCAACATTCTTCCCTGCATTAACAGTAGTAAAAAAAGGTAAACAAGCGAACAAAGAAACCAACAAATCAATCTAAACTAGTAAATAATTGCACAAATATGAGTATGTACGTATGTATAATTAAAAAACGAAAAACCAAAAAAAAAAAAGTATATCTCTATATTGAAAAAAAAATGCATTGCTGTCTATAAATGACACACCCATATATCTTTTATAGAAATGCATTTGTCCCACATGATTACTGTACCGTCTAAAATGATATTATAGTTTTTTTTCGCGCTTTTCTATTTCAATTTTCGATGTTTTTTTGAACCTACAGAGTGATCGTGGAAAATGATCATTATGTTGGAATCCAACATAGTTTTGAAGGTGAATAGATACTTGATTGAATTAGCCAACCACCACTTAAAATAGTGACTATATCAAGTCGAGTGTTATTCATTTGCTTATTTAATCGAAAACTGCGTCCAAAAACTGAATGAATAAAAAAAAATAATAAGTCAATATTATGCTATTATCGCTGGGTTTAGATACGCAGACTATCTTAGAATTAATTTCAAAGGATCCTTTATTGTGTACAGCCTCTACACAAAATGAAAAAAACAACAACAGTAACAACGATGACAATTATACAGGAAGTTCTAAAGTAGATGATCTAATTAAAGAAAATACCAATTTATTGAATCAAGATAACGAGTTAACAATAAAATTGGATGATTTAAATAAATTGAAAACTTTCCGTGATTTAATAATGGAATTTAATGCCAATTTGGAGTTATTCGAATTTGAAAATTGTTATTATTCCTTAAAAACGCTAAGAAATAAACTAAAGAGTTATAAGACAATTCTCTCAAGACAGTCATATTCTTTTCAAAGATCTATCATGAAATATATCGATATGATGCATTTAAGACTCATTGAAAATATCTATAAATTACTATTTGAAAAGTTCTGGGTTATTGATATTAAAGATTGTAAATCTATTATATTTAATTCCGAAATATTGATTGACTCTAGTGAAAAAATGGAATACAACACATTTATATCAATGATAAATCAACTATTTTTCATCAATAATTTAGAGAATGAATGGTTTTTAAAGGATATGGGCATTTGTTCAGAGTCTGAAGAAGTTAGGAAAATGTTAACCAACATTGATTTGAATTTTATTAAATGTAATAATTTAGTTAACTTAATTAAGAAAAATATATTTAACTCAAATATTAAATTTGAATATAATATGGGGACAGATGCTAAGGCCACCAATAATGATAATGATAATAATAATAGTAGTAGTAGTAGTAATAACAAATTAAGTTTTATTCGAATAACAACAAAAGAGTGGGATGAAGAAAACTTAGAGATTGTACTCCATAGTATCAAATCATTAGTTGACTTTTTGCAAGCCCTTAAAACAAGCCAATATAATACAATTATAATAAAAGATATAGGTGAGGTAATAATTAAGGAATTAATTAAATTTGTTAAATCTAATGCTGCGTCAATTTTGTTTAATGAATCAAACAGTTTATATCTTGATGAAATAAAATCAATAAATGATGGTCTAATTCAGTTGACTGCCGATGGCCCAAATTTTAATTTTGATGGGTCTGAAATCATTAATTTGATTGAAGATAAAGATTTATATTATAAAATTTTAATTGATCAAAATTTTAACGAATCAATTAACGTTTTCAAGAAAAAATTGAAATTAAACCAAAATTGGATAGAGATTAAAGATGTTATTCAACTGGATAAATTGGAGGGTAATACTCATAACAACAAAGGAGAGGTAATGGGGACTCAAGAAAAATTGGAAAAAGCAATTGATCCAGTAGATGAACCTAATGTAGATTCTATTGATAATGATGACGACATTGAAGATGCATGGAATACCGAGATTGATATTAACATTGATGATTTAGATAATGATATCAAAGAACCCCTTGATAGAGAAGAGAAGAACGAGGATGAAAATGCATGGGATGCGGAATGGGATATAGGAAATGAAGATGAGGATGAAATAAATTTCCAAAATAAGGACCAAGGAACAATAAAAGTGACTAAAATAAATGAATTCATTATTGAAAGCAATCAATTATTTGAGAAGAAATGTCATGAGTTAGTTGATATACAAAGAGATTACTACTTGCATAAGTTACAAATGCTACAGAATGCGATATTTGTAATGATCCAAAGTTCGTACTCGGAAAGTGAATGGTGGCAATTGTATATTGATTGTAAATATACATCTATAAAGGAACTTAAACTAACTTATATTTCTTCATTATCAGATGAATATTTAACAACACTATTAATTAAACACAAGCTTCATATCAAGAAAGCGATAAATAATCAATTAAGTGAACTAGAAAAACATGAGGAAAACCCCTCATGGTCGTCTTTAATTGACGATTTATTACCATACACTAAGGGACAATTATTAGAACCTTTATCAAATTTAAAAAGTTTCTCTATTGAATACGAAAATACCATTTTGGATATAATGGATTACATTTATAACAAATCAATTATTGATATAGTATTAAGATGGGATATAATATCAGAGAAAAATTCAGAGAATCTATCAGAACTAATGACATTGATCCATAACAATATCTATATTGATTACTTTGAAAAAGGATTACAAACTTTATCACCAGCGTCAAGCCCTACCCGAAATTTGATTAAATATAAAGAGATCCGTGACAGATTCAAGTTAATTAGTAAATTTCTACCGCTTCACCTCAAAGATATTATGGAAATGTTTTATAATGGTGAATTTTATCTATTTAGCACGGAAGAGATTGTTGCATGGATTACTTTATTATTTGCAGATACACCACTACGGAAAGATGCTATTTCAGAGATTTATGAAATAAGAGAGGCTGCCAACGAGGATTGAACACCGATTCAAATTTGGGTGCATGCCTTTTTTTTTCATCCTTAATTATTCACTTTAGAAAGCAAATGAAAGAAAAAAAAACATAAAAAAGGAGTTTTTTTCTTTTCTTTTCTTTTCACCTTTAATGCTTCCTCGGCAATTTAATATGTAAGGGAAGCCGTTAATTCCACCCAAAGTGCGTTTTCTTACGCTTTCTATTTATTTGGGTGTGGGTTTCAGAGAATTGGTGCACCCCTTTTAATGACTATTCGATACATAGAGCGATGAAATGATCACATCATGAATACATCAATATATATTACATATATACAAAAAAGTAGGTAACAGCTTTACATTATAATTAAAAACAAAGAATAAAAAACTCCATATTTTGATCACTGAATAACCCCCCCCCCCACCAGACACAAACACATAAACACACACACACACACACACACATATATATATATATATATATCACAAATGACAAACCATTACCAATTTGAAGTTATTATGACTTGTTCAGGTTGTTCCAATGCCATTGATAGAGTACTTAAAAGATTAGAACCAGATGTCTCTAAATATGTTATATCTTTAAAAAAACAAACAGTGGATATTGAAACAACTTTACCCTTAGAAACAATACTAAGTAAGATTCAAAAGACTGGTAAAGAAGTGACAGGTTCCAAAGTCATCGAGACTCCTTTAATATAGAGAGGAGTACTACCCCACAACTCTATATACATATTTTCATGCCATTATTCCTATAAACCCCATCTATATTTATGTATACGTTATGTAGATAAAATATTCAAAAAATGTACAAATTTATCGATCTTTCCCTTTTGATTTGAATGTACACCCATACACCCATAGAATTCTGGCCTCGAAGAAAAACTACAATAGAAATTTGCTGGTGTATGGGTGTGATCTTTTTTCTTTTCCGTTTTTTCATTTTTTTTTTTATTTTTTTTCAAAAAGAAAAGATGAAACAAATAGAAAAAAAAGGAAAACTGAACAAAAATTTCGGTTGATTCCTTGCGAAGAAGGTGGAAACAATACCTCCCCCTCCAAGGCATCACTGACAAAAAGTTATTACTAATATACGTGGACTGAGATGTGTCATATGAAACACTCTATACTTAAGAAAGGAAGGCTTGAACCTTTTGTTATTGATCTTTTAATAATCTTGTGAAAAGAGGCAAAAGAAATAAGTATGATCATTTAACCAGTACTTTCTTACTCTAGAAATTGACGATAATCCATCCAAACGGAAATAAATAGGTGTCATAATCAGCATTATCATCACTTTTGCTTCTCTTTCTCTGCCTCTTTTTTTCTTTTTTTTTTTTCTTTTGGTGATACTTCAGGTTTGGAAGATGGATTATACAGATAAATTACTTGAATTAGAGGAACAATACTATGAAGAAGGTTTCAGAGAGGGTCAAAATGAATCCTTACACAACAGTTTCTTAGAAGGCAAACAGTTTGGGTTACAGGTAGGGTTTCAAAGGTTTGTCCTCATAAACCAGATCATAGGTATTTGTGATATAATAGATTCACTAGATTTAAAAAATGATTCACTTAATAAGAATATTTCCATTATTAGACATTTAATTAACAATATTCAAATGAATAATGATGAAGAAAATGTGGAAAATTTGGATAAAATTCTAATTAAATTGAAAAATAAATTTAGGACTGTTTTATTATCTTTTCACAGATTAACCAAAGATAATCATGATAATAAACATTCAACAAACCATTTGACCTTTAATAATGTTGAAGATCTTTCTAGTATAATTGCAGGTAAAATAGAAGGGTTTGTAGAGGACAAAGAGGTTACCGAAGTTAAAGTGAAACAAGACCAATTACATGAATGGTAAAAGAATTATAGACACTGCAAATAACATAATAAGGAATAGTTCATAGACTCTAACTTGTTTCTTTTTCTTTCTTTCTTTTTTATAAAAAGTTTATTTACATATATTTTTTATATACAATCTATAAAGACAAACGCATATGCGTATGAATCTTTCATCAGGATTGTATTTCATTCAAAGCAGCCTCTAAATAGTTGAATTCATAATATTGAGCTACTTGTCTATACACTTTCAACTTCTGTGTGAATTCATTTTGTGTAATCTTACCTGCCCAATCCCCGGAACATGTACAATGTGGACTCATGAAATCCTCTCTTATACGATGACATTTCATACAATACAAATCTTGAGAACCGTAATCATAAAAATCACGCAATAATTTATAAACTAATCTTTCCTGTAATAAGGTGATATCATATTCTTTAGAACATTTCTTGCATCTAAAACTATTCAAACGATTATGAATGTTTAAATCGGGCCCCCTATTACCACTATTACTGTCATCCGTCGCATTACTGTCCCAATTCTGTTTACAAAAATCAATATCTGACAAATATGAACAATATTCACACATAAATCCATTAATCTCAAGACTCATGCTTGGATTCTTGAACTCTGCAACCTTAGCAAATTCTCTAACTTCAAATATTTTCAATAAATCCTTTCTTAATTGTCTGACTTCCAATGTTGTGTTTGTACCTAATAACATCACTTCACATATGGATTTAACAAATTCTAGTAAGGGATTCTTCATATTTAAGTAGGAACCTGGCAATTGTGGGAATTGATAATCTTGTGAATAAACTGGATCCAATATAAACTCTTTTTGATTTTTGTATAACTTATTGATTCTTTTAATCAATGGTTTGGCAAAATATTTTGTAAAATCTGCAAATATACATTGTGAATCATCTAAATCATCATCATTCTTCTTCTTTTTTTTTAACTTGCATCAAGTTTTGTGGGATTAATTGCGTAACTCTTTGGGTGCTAATGTTACTTTCTAGGTAGTTTTCCTTTGTCTTCAATAAACTATCTAAGATAATAACCATCCAATCATCGAATTCGGTTCTATAAATAGCAGGTAAAGCGCTACTAATTTGCCAGTTAGAATATGCATCCATATCTTGTTTATCTTTAGCTTCAATTTGAAGACATGCCAAACCACCAAAATTATACTTGTCCATCCAGATAAGTATATCCCAATATTTCTCAATTTGCAAATCAAGATATTTAAACACAGGATTAGCTTTTACCGCTTTCATAATATATTGACTATAAGCATAGCAATTTTCTGGCGAATACTTTTTAGTCTTTATTAATATTTTGTTCCTATCAGCATATATGACACTAGAACCTAAAGAATCAAATTCATTTATCAATTGTAGAATTGTCTTCTGTGTCAAGTTGTGTATATGGTATCTTAAAACACAATCAAATAATTTGGAGTAAGGATTTTGAACCCAGTTAATAAATGAATTCACTAATAAATCCGCAGTGAAATTATCTTCTAACGCCTCATCCCACCATGTTTTAACAGTATTTTTCAATACATTCAAGGCATCTGAACCGAAGGAATCTTGGACAAAATTCGAACTATCACCATTAACCTCATCACTTAATACCATATCTACATTAGCTAAATCAATCCCCTCTGCCTCTGTAATTAATGAAGACACCATAACTGTATTGATAGTCAAATTTCTGACAGATACTTCTAACACTGTTTGATCATAAATATTTGGTGAATTGATCTGTGGGAAAGTAAGATCCCCCATCATAGAGGATAGAGTTTCATCATAATTCTTCTCAAATCCTCCAATGTCAGGTAATGGCCCATTTTCATTCCACCATAATACAATATTTTCATGTTTTAACTTTCTAGCATACAAAATATCTATCACTGAATTGATGTCGTTTAATTGAATATTACAAACAGGAATGTTACTATATTGGGCGACTTTAATCATTTGACTGATTCTAGAACTACATGATAGAAGCTGACCAACAATACTTGTACATAACTTAACCTGCCAGTTTAATTGTGGCAGCTGCAATTCTCTTGATGAAATGCTAATCACAGGTAACGTTCTTAAATATTTCACATTTCTAATTAAAGTATCGCAAAAAGGTGATTGTACAAGAGTAATAAATTGCTGCCCCTTTTCTTCCTTAATTTTACCAATTTGCTGAGTTAAATGTCTTGTTAATTTATCGATGTCTGTGTAATTCTTGACATCAAAGACCACTTTATCAGATAGGTTTGATATTTTTGAATACTGTTGTATTTTTGACTTTCGTAATTCAAAAGCTTTTTTAAATATTTTTGTCAAAGTAACTTGATTTAATTCCAGTGCTTGAATTGATGGTTTCAATGTAAATATCGTAACAGAATCATCCCACAATTCAGAAACAACGAAAAATTCATACCCAATATTTGTTGCACAATGCAAAATGAAAACAAAGTCATTACTAAATTTAGACATGTATCTTTCATTCGGAACCATATTTAAGTTTTTCATATCAAACCCATTCTGTAAACCTTTACCCAAGGAACCCATTATGTTACTTTTAAATACTACTGAAGAACCCAACTCGATAATGGCTCTGTTCACCGTACTTATTGAACTTTCAAATACACCTAATACATTTTCACCATTCAATATACTACCACATGCTTCCATTTCCTCCATGAACACTGTCTCAGGAAGTGTGACTTTAAATAAATTCATTGAACCATTTGGAATATTTGGGTTATTCGGAAGAATAGCATTGCTTTTTTCTACCAAACAATTTTTCAGTTTATCAAGAGGTAAATTGCCTGATTTACACTTGATATAGATTGTCTTAGGTATCTTGAAATTCAAAACTTGAATTTTACCATTAATCAAAACGTACACATCTAATTTACCTGGCTCTGTACTTTGTTTATATTGAAGAACTTCCCATGTAGAATTAGCATAGATTTCTGCTTGCTTTCTAACCATAGATCCAAGAGCAGACCTATATGATTTATTGTTAATATTACCAAATAATTGTGTTTTACGTTTACGATCTCTCGCCTGTATTTTCCATTTTATCTTTTGATATTCTAGCCATGATTGGTAATCCTCTTCCATTGATGGCATTACGGAAGGTAAAACAAGCGCTTCGTCACCTGATTCATGCATATTTTTACGTTTTTGTGTTTTAGTAACTATAACTCTAGCTACTGATTTCTTCTTAATATCTTGGTGGTCTGTATCATTACTTCTAAATAAGTCTTCGATATCTTTAATTTTACCTGATTCCGGTGCCTCATCCGCCTTGTTAAAAAATTTTGACAGAGAAGTTTGCTTATATTTATCATTCCTGACATGTATTTTTTTCTTTAGCCAATCTGGGTGTTCAACTCTAGGTACAGGATTGTCTACATCTTGAAGAGCTGCAGGTATAGTAATAATCTTCTGAATTGTTGAAGCAAGTCTTTCCCTGTAGTAGGCCCAATCGATAATATATCTTATATCGAAATTGTCCAGACTATGGTCTAAGGTCCAACGCCTTAAGAAAGACCGTTTAACAGAAATCTCCGCTGAAAAAATAGCTACAGGAATTGCACGTTCTGTAACAGGAGCATCTGCAGGCTTATGACTTATAATATATCTACATTGCAAACCCTTATCCTTAACCATATCTGGACCTAAGAATTCACCTATTCTTTTTGCTGTTGTAATTGAGGTAGATTTTTGTCCCTCATATTCCTGTAATGTCTTTGACATACTTCTATTTTCACAAATCAACTCTATTAAATCCTCATCTTCAAGCATAGCACCTTTTGTGTCAAGAACATCCAGCCATCTGTTTGCAACATTTGCCACTGCAGCATAACAACTCTCTAAAGAATCCCCTTCTAAAAACAGTTTAAAGATATCACTTTGGAAATTCTTAATTAATTGCAATTCACCACGTCTTTTCAATTCAAAACCCTTTAATTCAGCCAAGGATCCATCTTCGTTAAAAACTGCGTATCTTTTTTTAATACCTTTCCCTTCTTCCTTCGAGGTTGGTAAAATCATTGCCTTATAAGGACCATCAACTTCAAAGAAAATAGAATTTTCTGAGTGAGTCTTATATTTATGCTTAATTGGATCTATCAGTTCTTGATATTGATGATTAGTAAATCTTTGATGAACTTTATAATTTAGCATGGAGCATGGATAAGATAAAAACAATTTTTTACCATTTTTCAATTTGAAAAAATAATTTTCAGGAAAAGATTTGGGTAAAATACACCAAATACCATCTGTATCTAATTCCAACGGTCTACCAACTCGTTCTACTACCGACCTAGCCATTTGAATAATAGTTGCACCTGTCAAACAAGTAATACCTGCCATTTCCATCGAATACCAACGGGAACCTTTTCTCATTACATAACCATAGAAGGAATTCAAAATAACCTTGTGTGCCAATTGTAACGAATCATATAACACAACCATTTTCTTGGCCTCATCTTTAGCGTGTTTATCATGAGAATCAATCTTAGCCATTTTACCTTTCCATGTTTTCGCTAGACCTTTAAACTCATATCTTCTATCACGGAAAGAACGCACCGTATTCACATAGAATGGATTTTCCCTTTGACAAACGATTGCTTCTCTTTCAACTACCTCAGAGCTTTTAATTCTGTTATAATTCTTTCTACAATATTCATTCAACCTTTTTTTAATATGTGACATTTGTTCTGCATAACTTAACTCATCAAACGTTAAATATTGTTTTGGAGAATATTTATTTTTGTTAGGGAAAGTTTCATTTTGTAATGCTCTTTTAATCATATTGTACTCATCCATTTTTGCAGGATAAAACTCACCTCTCCACGCCCATTTCAACCTTCTTGCGCATGTTTTACCAGGTCTGTTAAAATCACAACTTGCACAGTCTCTTTCTGTTTTGATACTATCTGGCTGTAATCTATTGGTTGTCATAATATTAGGATACATGGAAGCCACATCAACATGATAAATTAGTGGGTATTCTTCTCTCTTTTTGTTATTTTTTAAATCTAATAACTTATCCATGATATCTTGTCTTATTTCTTCGTAATTGGTAACATCTTCCATTGATGATTTATTTTCTGTTTCTATACAAAATTTTAATGCATGAGGTAAATCCTCTAATAACTCATCAATCACAGTAGGATCGATTTTGAATTTACTCTTTAAATCACTTCTGAACACACCTGCCTCTAAAGATTCCACATGACCACCAACATAAGTCTCTGATTCTAACAAATGTCCATCATAAAATCTTTCAATAGGATCGGTATGCTTATTTGGTAACAATATATTATTTTGGTATGCTTGAACCATCAACAACATTTCACAAAGGGTACCTGTACCTTTTCTTAACACCTCATCTGGATTTAACGGAATAATAGTACACAATGAAAAGATAAATGGATGAACATATTTCATATAAAGATAATAAGTAGCAACAGCATCAGACACAGAATATTCAGATAATTGTTGTGGTCTTTCATAAGCATATGGTGTCATCAATTCTGGATCTAACTCAATGGGGTTGTACCCTAACTTGGCTTGTGTAACAGCTTTTAAACCTTGCGACCCTTGCGGTAAATAGGAGTCACGTTTAACCCAACGGAAACAATCCATATGCGAACAATAAGATGATTTATATTCACCTTCTGAATCAGGAGCAAACCCAATTTCATCAAACATATTTAAACCATGAATTTTAGCTCTTGTCTCCACAAATGGCCAATCGAAAAAATCACCGTTAAAAGTAGATATTACTGTGGGTCGTACATCTCTAATATGGTCAAAAAATTTATTTAGAAGAGCCAATTCATCTGGCTCATTAAAAATAGTAAACATACCTTGATATTCTGGTTTTGGTGTGTATTCAAAATCTTCTATATCTTCAGAGATGATCTCTCTGTTAGTAATCAAGAAACCTTCTCCGTCAATCATATAAGATATCATCATTATTTGATCTATATTTGCATCTGGGAATTTTAGAGGGGCCTTTGTAGTTTCTATATCAAATGCAAGGACTACGGGATCTGCAAAGGCTACTTTTTCTACACATTCAAGGAAACCTTGTGACAACACTTTATACCATTTTCCTACTCTAATATTTTTATCTATGGAAACTCTAACATGATAAGGAACGTCATATTCCCTAATATCTTCAATAAATCTTCTTGCATCAAATGGACCACTATTCTGGTTATGCTGGTTGCTATATATATTCCTCTGTTGCATAGTGTTTTGATTATCTAGTAAAATAGGTCGTAAGATCTTTCTTGCTTCAAATAATTGATTATTGTTCACAAAAGATAATTTAATTAAAGTTTTTTTCAATCCTAATAAATGGTTGTCCATTGATAAATCTTCCTTTGTGACGACTGTGATAGATTTTAAACATGATTCTAGTAATTTCTTAAGATATTCTTCAACTTCACTAACCATTGAATCATCAGTGACAGTTATGAAAAAGTATGGATCATATGTTAAAGTGGATTTAAAACTACCACCTTCCTCATCAAGAAAATAAAAGTCTACACCAGCAACCGCAAAAGATAAAAGATTCCCGTCTCTACCCTTGCGTGTGATTGAATTATCTACAGAATTGGAACTCGCCACAGTGTCCATAGATACTACTACTGGATGCATATTAATCAACCACCCCACACGTCCCTCCATATCTAAGGCATTAATTTGTGCAGCCGAGTTATAATTTATACTGGTTTGTTTATTATTAAGTTTAGAAAATTGAGATCTACGTGTTGTTACTATTGCTTCTTCTGGCGGGATATACCTTTCAAAACCCATCATAGAATCAATTTCATCGATTTTATTTGATTGTATAAGTTGTTGTGTGTCTAAGGCATAGGTGGATGTTCCAGGCATATCTCTTCTTAGCATCCTGGCAGAAGAACTAATAGGTTTTCTTGGGGCTGACATGATCTAGCTTGACAGAGAAATATTGTGTTTAATAATGAATGCAGTATATTTAGATATACCTATGACTTTATTATAGTTAATCAATTAATCAAAAAAATAAAATAAAATAAAATAAAATAAAATAAAATAAAATAAAATAAAATAAAATAAAATAAAATAAAATAAAGATGCACTGCCGTTCCTGATAAGGTATTAAAGACTTTGGCACGAACTCAATGAAACCAATCAAAGTAATTGAAGCAGGGAGGGGAGGTACATATAGATATATAAAGTCTATTTTTTAAATAGTAAATGACACTGGCCTCTCTATAGAAAGTAGACTTTTATTTTAGTAAAGAATCAGAAATAATAATTTTACACTTTATTTTTCACTCTTATTTTTTTTTCTTTTCTTTTCCCACTTTATAAAATCTGCGAAATATAAAAATTAATTACATCTCCAAAATAGGAAAAATCTTTAAATTGTCATCACCAAAACTTTTCGAACATCACTTTCTCTCACAGCTTCCCTTCCCTCCCTCCCGAATATTCAATAACTTGGTTGAGGAGGTTATTCAGGAGAAAATGTTTGCTGAGCAGAATTTCAGAATGAAGTTATTTCAAATTCTACAACAGAAAGAAACAAAAAAAATAGGATATGCCAACTCAACATACTTTTTTTTTTAATTTTTTGATACGATATTTTAAACCCTAAACTAATATTCTTAGAATATAACTTTTTTTTTACCACAAAGTCACTCTAACCCTAAACATTAATTTTTTTTTGTTTTTTTTTGTTTCCTTCAACTGCAACAAAAAAAAAAAATAAATAGATAAATGCAAAGGACATGACATGAATTTGAAAAAATAATGCAAAAAAAAAAAAATCAATGAACTCAATTTAGATCAGAGTCCAATTAAAAGTGCAGATGTATTGAATTAGCTTGATTCTCTTCCCTTCGTACTTTCATATTGAAATACTACATTTACATCGGTATTCTTAATAGGTCGAACCAAGAGCATATAGTTTTAGACACTGCAGTTTCCTCTTCTCTTTTATTGGTCATGTCATATAATCCTTATTCGCTTTCACAAGGTGATTCTGCCGTTTTCAATGAGAGTAATAATAATATCCAAGACCGTTTCCAAACATCTTCAAATGTTCACCAGCAACAACAGCATCAGCAACATCAAACACAACAACCTGACCAGTTTTCAGCTGGCTATATGAACCAAGGTTTACAAGGAGGAAATGGACAACCTCACCCTTCCTTTTTGGATGGCAGTGCCTCTATGGCATTTCAAATTGGATCTAATGCATTTAATTCATTTATGGGAAATTCAAATTTTAACCAATTCCATGATACAATGGCTAAAGCTGCTCAAGTAGCTGGTAATACAAACAGTTTGTCTCACTATTTCCAAGTCTCCACTTCATTTGTCATATGGAAATTGAAACAATTATTGTTTCCATATTTAAAGAACATTAATAATTGGCAAAGAATCGTTATAGACCCATCCAATGTTCCCGCCTTGAACGACCCCAATGGTTCTGTTTCTGGTTTCTCTACATCTGCTGCTGCAGCCAACACAACTGTATATGCTCTTCCAAGGGATGATATTAATTCTCCCGATATGTACATTCCATTGATGGGGTTAATTACATATATCCTTGTATGGAATATTAAACAAGGTTTGAATGGTGTTTTTAATCCAGAAAATTTATATTACAAACTTTCTTCTACACTAGCATTTGTGGGATTAGATTTGTTTATCCTTAAATTAGGGTTATATCTATTGGTTAACACACCACATCTATCCAATACTTCAGTGACAAGTCTCATCGAATTGACTTGCTTTGTAGGTTACAAGTTTGTGCCATTGACTACAACATTGTTTATTCCATTCAAGTCCCTTTGGATCAATTTTTTATTGAAGACTTATCTTTTTATTACGTTTGGTATTTTCTTATTAAGATCGATTAAATTTAATCTTTTCAATACACAAGAATCTATGATGGTTAACTCAATTAAGAAATCAACAGTAAAGAAGTGTAATTATTTCCTTTTCTTTTATGGGTTTTTATGGCAATTCATTTTAATGTGGCTAATGGCATAGGGAGAAGCATAAAAAATAAACAGATCGTTATAATATTACAAAACATTGTTTTTGTTTATATATTTATTTATTAATTATATCAAAGAAACATATATGTATATAACTGATAAATAAACTTGCTGTTATAACATATAATTTTGTTTAAGATTCAGTTACGTAAAAAAAAAGAAAAGAAAAAGCATTGCTGTGTTTAAGAACAGAGAGAAAGGACGAAAACCTCTTTTAGGTGAAACATGTTAGTCACAAGCCTATAGAATATTTATTCTGATTACATACAAAAGGTATAACTGCGCCAATCTTGTTTAAAATGGAATCGATTTATATGTTTTGTAATTCAATGTCATATAACTGACTCACAATAGAAAAGAAAGAAGTAGGAAGTAGGAAGTACAATTGTATGTTGCATAATAAAACTGATGGGCTCAAACATTAAACACATGATCTTTCAAAATAAACAAAGCAAAACCCAAAAAAAAAAAAAAAAAAAAATAAAAAAAGATAAAAGTACCTTTTTTCAGTTTTCACTGACCATGTTTTTAGCAAAATGTGGCTGGGGAATGATATAAAAATAAACCCTACAGAATACGACAGTTTTCATGCGCAAAAAAAAAAAGAAAAAAAAACTAGCTCCAATTTTTAGATATCTACTTCCAGATGGGCAAAAAATCTTTACACGATGTTTTTCCTTTAGAGTGCTACAAGAAAAAGACAATTTATTTCTAAACCCTAACTGTTTTAACGCTCATTAGCAAAATATTCATGCTGGTACCCGAAATAGACCTAAATACGACTACACCAATAAAAAAAAACGGAGGAACGAAAAAAGATAGACAAAATACAATAGAAAAAACCAGGAACAAAAGAAATAAATCTTTTTTTCTGTCGTTGTTGTGGCAACAACAATAGGAAGAGGACACAAAAAAAGCACACAATGCGTCTTTTTTTCATTTCTTTTCTCCCCTTTTGGCATCGACGTTTTTTAATCGAGCGCAGTTCATTATTTTATGCAAGGGAATTGAAATCTTCATGAAAAATTGACGAAGACACCAAACAAAACCACAGATATGCTGATATATATATATATATAGATACATAGATGCGCTTTGTATTTGTTCATTTATTCTTCTTGAACCACATGAACTTTGGCATTGGACCCAGCTTTTGAATATATATAAGCTTGTGTTATTTTTCTTTCTTCACTTACTTATTATACTATCTTTGTACGAAAAGATTATTCTTTCTTTTTTTTTCTCTATGTTGTTACATATTAAGATTCGATTGTGGCTCTATCTTTACTGGTAAACTTAACCAGCTTTGAGTGGAAAGCACAGTAACAACAAATAAGGAAATTGCCGCTATTATAAGACTCGTAAATCTTAAGAAATGGGGTTCTTTTCAAGGAAAAAAGATGATAGCTCGAGAAACAGCAGCACTAACAGTTCCAAAAGCAACTTAAATGAGTCACGAAAGGATCTTATTCCATGTAGCACAATGCTTCGAGCACCTCCTAAATCATATCCTGTTCCAGCTGGTTTGGACCCAATCACTGAAGAACAGTTCAAATTATACAATGTTGTCTTGAAACATATCCAAGATCCAAATTTAAAGTTACCAATGAATACAAACGATTTAAATAAAGGCACTACTGATGAATCCTCGCTACGTTCATTGTCCTCATGGGAAAAGTTCTGGTTGACTAGAGAATGTATCTTAAGACATTTAAGGGCCAATAAATGGAACACACAGGAGACAATAAACCACTTAAAAACGACTCTTTGTTGGAGAAGAGAGGTTGGGTTAACTCATGATCCAGAGTATCCTAATAATCTATCTCCTGATAAAATTGCTATTGAAAATGAAACTGGTAAAGAGGTTTTGTTAGGGTTTGATAAGATGAGAAGACCTCTGTTCTATATGAAAAACGGGAGACAAAACACTGAACCATCGTTTAGACAAGTTCAACATATGATCTACATGATGGAGAATGCAGCTACTCTCTGTCCACAAGGTGTGGAAACAATCACTGTGTTAGTGGATTTCAAATTTTATAAAGAACCTGGTGTTATCACTGATAAAGCACCACCACTTTCTATCGCAAAGGCATGTTTGGCTGTATTGGAAAGGCATTATCCTGAAAGATTAGCTAAATGTATTTTAATCAATGCACCATGGTATATCTCTGCATTCTTGAAAATAATGTATCCATTTTTGGATCCTGCTACAAAGGAGAAGGTTATCTTCGATGAACCATTTGAAAAGCATATAGAACCAGAGCAATTGGAGGCCTTGTACAACGGTAGGTTAGATTTCACCTATAAACACGATGTGTACTGGCCAGATATGGTTAAGGCTTGTGATGAAATGCGTCAAGTGCAATATGAAAGATGGCTCAAGTTTGGAGGTGCTATTGGATTAAGTGAATTCGATTTAAAGGGAGATCATGAAGAATTGATGTATCCTGTAGATTTTGATATGACAAAACTTAAATAATTTCAGTACTAATAGTAGTAGTGAAATAGAATAAAATAAACTACTACAGAGAAAAAAAAATAATAAACTAATTGATGTATACATTTATATGAAAGATTTATAGATTACTTATTTTTATACTTTGTTGTTATATATAATTACTTTACTGATCTTTTTAAATGAAAACGACTAGAACATACAAATAATGATGAGAGAATATATGTTTTCAATATGATAATATCTATACACACTGATTAAATGATTTAGTCTTATATTGGTAGAGATTTTTTTTTTGTAAGAAGGCCTAAAATATACCATAAAACGTAATTACCTGTTTAGGGAATTATTGTTCCTCAAATTCCTTTTAGTCAAATTAATCATCTAAAAACCATTTATACTGTATTTCTAAAGAAGTATAATTAACTTTTTATGAGAATAACTTCATAAAGGCGTTTCAACATGCTAATTACCCACAAAAACTGATAAGACATAAATACCAAGTAGTTGCAGAAAATCTAGTTGTTGCTTGCAGACTATCTCTACAAAAAATGAACACAAATATTCCATACCCTATTAGATTAAAGACATGTCTTAGAATGTGCGTTCAACGGTTAAGATATGCACAAGAAAAACAACAAGCCTTAGCTAAACAAGACAGAAGACGTGTTGCTACTCTACTTGCTCAGGGAAAAGAACAAATGGCTTATTATAGAGTCGAATCTTTGATCACTAATGATATACATATAGAACTGTTAGAGATTCTAGAACTTTACTGTGAATTATTACTAGCAAGGGTTAATATTATCAATTCAATAGAAAATGAACTAGATTTGGTATCGAATCATATGGAAGATGGTATTAATGAGGCTGTAAGAGCATTAGCTTATTCTAGCTCACTTTATGTTCCAGAAGTTAAAGAGTTGGCTCAATTAAAAGAATTGCTTATGTGTAAATTTGGTAGAGAATTTATCAAGTCATTACAAGATAATAAAACCGGCGTACCAGAAAAAGTGATTAAAAAATGTATCCCTGAACTCCCACCTGAAAAGTTGGTTATACTTTATTTGCAAGAAATTGCTAAGACATACGAAGTTCCTTATAGTAAATTAGAGGATTCTGATTCGGAAATTTCATCTACTGTCAACTCGAACGAAAAAATGACAAACTCCAATGAAAATAGTTTTGATAATGTTACAGATATTAGTGCTAATCAATCTGTATTATCCCATTCTGAAAAACCTATCGTTTCAATTGATAATGATGCATCATATAAAAATATTAATGAAAAACATCCAATTACTGTAAGAAATGCTAGGATGACTTCAGAGGATCCCCAAAAATCTTTGAAATTATCTAAAGACATGAGAGATAAGGTTGAGTTTATTCATCCAACAACAGCTAAAAAAGATAATGAGGCTAAACGTACAGATACTGACATAGAAGAGTTAAAAAGAAGATTTGCAGCCTTACGTCGATAATTAGTACTACTATTACGCATTTTCGTACTATTCAGAAAAAGATTTGGAAAAAGTAAAGGAATACATCTATATATTAATTCCAAACTGACACGTCATGGCATTATACTTATCTATGTTTACGTATATAACTCTATTAAATGTATACATATATATATATGCTAATATATCTGGATATTTACTATGATCATATTCATCATTATAAACTTCTCAAATTTAACTATTTTCCTTTTCATTCTTTCTCTGCCTTGAAATTCGAACATAGTATATTCAAGATAAAATACCTTGAGTAACCAATTGGAATTGATCATAAAGTCTTGTATAAACATTACCCATTGATTTTCCAATTAAATCATTTTCCACAAACTTATCCACTTCAGTGTCTGTTTTTAAATCTAAACGGAATCTATCCTTTAACTGAACACTTGTTTGATCACCTGCCTCAAAACATGGTTGCATGTTATCCTTCTGCATAATCTCACACATAGAAACTATCTGGTCAGAATACTTTCTCAATGCCTTAAACCCATCTTTCATCAATTGCACATACTTTTTATATGGACTGCCATTTAATCCACCCAGAACATCTATGTATTCATACGTCAACTTGAACGGTGAAGCCTCAAATCCAACAGAACCAGGAGAATTAGATAACATGAACCCAAAATCAATATGCACTACATGTCCTTCGTTGTCGATCATGATATTTCCGTTGTGTCTATCTTTTACCCTTAAAATATAACATATCAAAGAATAAGCAGCTAAGGAAGATGCAAAATTGCTTTGCGCACGTTTATACTTAAAACCTTCCGGATTACCAAATGCACGAACAAAATGTTCCGATAAAGTGGCAATACCTCCTCTTTCATCTAACTCATGATCTTCAATCATTTTTTTTGTAAGGGCCTTTTTAATACTATGAACTGACATTGCATTTGTAATAGTCTCTACTAAACCTGTAGTAGCAGAAGTAATTAAAATTCTCATTTTTTTGACCCAAACGTCAGTCTTTTCTTTGGCCCAAATTTGAGCCATTGCTTGAATAACTTGACACGCAAATGCCTCTTGCCTTAAATCATCCCCTGATTTAGCAATGACAGAACATAATGACCAGTTCTCTAGATGACCGTATTTAGATTGTTTTCTGATCCTTTCTTTCTTAGTTTGCCAATCTTCACCTAAATAAGATGTATCAATACCACCTGTCATCATATCATTTTCTAATTTACGTTCTCCTGCCTTTCCATGAATTGCTTCCAGATCACGATAGCCAAATTTATCTTGAACTTCTTTCATGGACATAATGATTTGAGCTCTGATTTGATTTGTCGAATCTGAAAGTGTCTGTGGTGATTGATCTAGTTGGTTCAACATAAGTGCTGATATTCTCATTTGCTCAGCCAGATCTTCTGTTTCATTAGGGCTCATAAACTGACTTTTGACATCTTTCTCATTATCTAAAGATATAACCTCATTCATATTTTGAACAAACTTCAGCTCCGGACTACGGTTAGAAGAATCAGATTCTATAATAGGAACCTTTTCAGCAACATTCAACATGATATCATTTCTATATGTTCCAATATCTGAACGATTTTTCATTTTAACTATGGACACATCACCGAGATCCATTTCACGTTGTGGATATTTCGTTATAGTATTATCCAAAGAAGTGATTTGCAAATTATAATACTCTTCAATATTTGATATATGAGCTTGATGTTGATGGTGTCTGGTATCAGTCGTTGCGATTGTGGATGAATCGGTTGTTAATATATTATCCTCTTGTGTTCCTGGGATCAAGGAAACCCAATCATTTCTATTATGTATTTTCTTACTTAAATAATTTAAATCAAATAAAGGCGACGTATTAGCAGAATTATGTTTCAAGATATTCTCATTTTCATCGCTCATTGGGTCAAAATCAAAATCATCTCTTAGATATTCAATAAACAACAAATATGGAACTTTTTCTGCTGAATTTAATACCTGAGCTTCACTTGCAGTGATTGTAACCAATCTATGCAGTTTACCTTTTTTATTTGGCGGTAAAAGAGTGGGTATATCAACCTCAGCAGGTAAATCCCTATTCATTAAAGATAATTCTGCTCTCAACGCACTTAATCTTGCTTCAGTCGGTACTTGTGCTAATCTTTGTGAGATAGATTCCAAAGCAATAGCAAACTGTGTTGCACAACGGAAATAATTTGTTTTTAATAATTTAATTTTCTTTTTTGTTGATAATTTAGAAATATCGACTTCTTTAGCCAGATAAGAACTTGTTTTCTTTTGTCTCATCATATCAAAATGAGAAGGTGGTTGCGTATTAGATCTGACTAATGTACGACGAGTTTTTATATCATCAACATCAAAACTATGTCTTGGTGTGTCAGCAGTAGTAGTTGTGATAGTAGTAGAAGTGCTAATTGAATCATTGCTGTTATTAGTGTCTCTACTAGAACTATTTATATTATTTTTTTGTAAAATACTTTTCTTTAAATTAGAAGAAATTGATGGCTTTGATGGTGTTACTTTATGTAGATCTGGTAAAGATTTTGTAAAATTTTCGTAATTTGATAATATACTTTTTCTATCCTTAGATAAATTACCATTAATAAATGCGTTGTCATTATTTGTAATGGCAGAAACATCCTCTCCATCACTTGAAATTACAGTATCCTTCCTTTCTATATTATCTCCATCAGAAGTAGTAGTGGATGTTGCTGTATTTTTGTAAATTTCAGTTGAAGAAGATCCATTTTTTGCAAGAAACTTTGATTTTCTTTTGGGTAATTTAATTGAGGTGGAAATCTTTTCTTCAAATAATTGATTACCTATATCATCAACTATGCTAAAATCTAACGTTGCTTGTTGAATAGCATCTTTTTTTCTTGGTTTCTTAAACATAATATCCTCTCTTGTCATTGTTGAATCAATTATATCAAAAGTTGAATTCAAAGATGTGGTAATGGTATCGTGAGACGAAGATCTTCTTTGATCAAAGGAGTTATGTTTAAGTATAGGACTACCGACCATGGAGTTTGAATGGTTTAATCTTTTACGATCCATAGTAGATGTGGATTTCGATCTATAGTTTGAATTAGCCTCAATAGCCGCTCTAACTTTATCATCCATATTATGTTGCACCTCATTTGTATTATATTTCCTATTTTTTTTACTATTCAATAGTGTGTTTTTAAGTGTTAGATTCCTTGTCAAATCTTTCATGGCATTTCTAGCCAATTTAAATACATAAGATTTTTGTCTTCTACCTTGAGATTCCACTAATGGCTTAGTCATGTTAGATAATTCCGGGAACGTCATTGCACTCATAATCATTGATGTATAAACAATGGCAGGTGCCACATTTTCATGCATTTTTGTTGATCTCCCATCAGTTAAATAATAAGAACTAGGATTGCTTGTGTTACTGCTATTATGTGTTGATGTATCATCAATATAGGGATTAGTATTAAATAGTGAGGATTGTAGATTATTTAAAACACGTCTAGCTACTTGGAAGCCATATGATTCAGGATCTGTAGATAGATCGGTCAATAATGCTTGCAATTGCCAAAATGTCAACAAAGCAAAATGTGGATTTTCATTTTTCAATTGCATTAGTAGATCCTCCAAAGCCATAGACTCAGTTTCAATAGTAAGTAAAATTTGTACTAATTGTGGGATATAAAATTGTATTTCTGAATGTGGGAAAGTCAATAATCTTTGACATAGATAGTAATGGATCCCAATATTATCAGCATGTTTGCATAATAATTCAATACATGTGTATAAAGTAAATGCAGGAGAATTGATTGCTTTCAGGAGTTCGTTATTTGGATTCGATATATTCATGGTGATAGTTTATATACCTTAGTTATGTCTAGAAACGAAATGAAATAGATACAAAAATGAATAATTTAGACTAGAATATTTAAAGGAGAGTTTTTCCCAGTGGCTAACAAATGAATGGAATGGAATTGTCGAAAGGAAGAAATGAAATAATAGTGAGGTGTGGTGATCTATGGTATAGAGTAGCAAAAGTCGTCAACTGATATAGTTATAGACTTATTAAGAAATACTCTAGTTACTCTTTTTTTTTTTCCTTTTTTTTTTTTTTTAATCTTTTTAAAGACCTAAGGTGACAAAACCAAATACAAGAAAAACCATTACATATATATATGTAGATAGGCACGCAGAACAAGCAAAAGTATATGTAGCTTGAACATAACGAATAATCGAATTGGAGGAACTAGTAACAATGCAATCAATAATTGATCAACAAAGAAATGTTCAACAAGGTTTGAGGCAATTTGGCCCTTCTCCTCTAATAAGAACAAAACAGAATCCAAAAATAAACAAAATTGTCCAGAAAGAGGCAACTTTACCCGGATATTAGGGTTTATATCTCACAAAAAATAGGGCTATATAAATGCTACGGGAACTGTTCTGTTTTCTTTTTCTTTTTTTTTTTATCGCAGTGCAAAATACAGGTAAATTGTATATACATATATATATGTATATAGTAGACATTATATGATGGAAGAACTAGGTGATATATGATAACTATCTCTGTATCAATATCGATATATCTATATTACATGGTTAAATCAGGAGGTTTATAATATATTAGTCTTGAAATATGCTGATAAGAATTTATTGATTATTATTGATTATCATTATTGTTATTGTTATTGTTATTATATTTGCTACAGTCGTGATATGTATCAGGATTATATTGAATGATGCTCATGCAATCATATTCCATATCTTAGACATAATATTTTTTGGCTCATCATCTTCCCAGATGATATTTTCAATTTCTCTTCTGTCTGAATCGATATCGATATCTTCCAATCTCCAAATAAATCGACATCTGTAATACAACTGACATCCAGTAAATATTACAACCAAAAGAATTAACGAGATATAATCAGTGAAGAATTTACTTACCTCGAACACAGGGGAGAAAGCTTGGAACCCCTGGATGAAAATGATAATGGTGACAAAGAACGCAGCGTAGTATGCACCCCATGGCATGAACTTGGCCTTGAATGGTAAGTCATCTCTTGATATTCCTCTAAACTTTAATGCTTGCATGAATCTGATGTGAGCAATGGAAATAAATAACCATGCACATAATCCAGCTAACGTAGAGATATTAATCAACCAATTGAATGCAGTGTTGGCATTGTTGTTCACCACTAGGAAGGCTAATAAACCCAATGCTGCTGTACAGATGACACCCAAGTATGGCACACCTTGTTTTGTGACATATGTGAAACTCTTTGGAGCATTACCAGTCTGTGCTAAGGCATAAAGGACTCTGGAACCGACATAGACATTTGAATTAGCTGCAGATAGAACGGTGACCATGACAACGGCGTTGAAGATATCTGGTAACACTTTAGTTTTAGCGTTTTGAATGGAAATAACAAATGGGGAAGAAGCAATAACAGCAGTGGTGGAAGATAGTCTTGGGTCATTGTAAGGGACCAACATACCAATAAAGAAAAGAGACATGATATAGAAAAGGACGATTCTGAAGACCACTTTGTTGATTGCCCGTGGCACAGCCTTTCTAGGGTTAGCTGCTTCACCTGCGGTGATACCAACCAATTCAGTGCCTTGGTATGTAAATGCTGCATTGATTAATGAAGAGACCCAACCTAAGAATTTGGCGGTATTCTTATTCTTTGAAATAATACCTGGACCCATTGCACCTGGATGTCTCCAATAACGGAACCCGATTGGACCTTCTGGACCACCCCCACAGACAATGATTAACGCATAGATCAAGTACCCAACAATAGCGATAACTTTGACCATAGCGATCCAAAATTCAATCTCACCGTAGATTTTGACGGGGAAGAAATTCATCAGGGTGATAAGGACCCAGAAGATCGCGATCCAGCCCGCTAGAGGGACAGCATCAGTCCAATATTGAATAACTTGGCCGACGACAGAAATTTCCACGGCGTATGTAATAGCCCAGTTAAACCAATACATGTAACCATTTGCGACACCGAATGCAGGAGACAAGAATCTTTTCGAGAACACAGTGATGGAAGATGTTACGGGGATGAAAGTAGCCATTTCACCTAATGATTGAGTAATGAAATAGACGATAGTACCTATGAAAATGTATGAAATCAAAGAGCCCACAGGGCCAGCATTAGACAGAGGAGATGCAATACCGACGAAAAGACCGGTACCTATAGTACCACCAAGGGCGATCATACCAATATGTCTCTGTTTTAGGGCTCTTTTAACTTTAGTTTCATGGACTTCAGCGAATTGTTCATCAAAATCGTCATTGTCTAGACCATCTGGATGCTGAGACTGGCCTGCAGATTGTGTGTAGGAATGAATATCGTTACTATTTAAACCAGATAATTTTTTCAATTTAGACTTTTGATCCATATCTTGGACATATTCGATTGAATAAGGTTTAACTTCGATATCAGTATTGTTGAGAGTGTGTAGTTCATGATTATTCGTAAAGGATTGAATATCCTCGTTATTATTTGATTCTAGGTCAGAAGTAGAGTTGTTGTGTGAGGTTGAAGAATGGTCTTTCCTAGACCTTATTATATTAGAGAAACCTACCATAATTATATGTGATATGTTTATCTATCTGTCTATATATATTATGTGTATGTGTATATATGTGTGTGCGTTTATCAATTAAATGAGTTCTTGCGTTCGAGTAGGTAGAAGGCGAGCATGCACATAACAGTTATCTATTTTTGTATATATCAAAAAACATTCATTATTATATACGCTAAACCAAGAATTAGTAATAGAAAACAGACAAGAAATTTAACGAAGAGAGAAACGGTAACAATTAATCATTTCAATGATCGCTCAAGATAAATAAAAAAAAGAATAAAAGAATAAAAGATTGAAGGAATAAAGAACAAAACACACTGGAAAATTGGACAAAAATTGGGTGTTCAGAAAAATGGAGGGGGAATTTTTTTTCTCTCTTTATAAAAGCAATGGAGAAGGTATAAGCTTCGAAGAAAATGAAATACAAAACCGTCATATATATTCAAAATAACGATGGAAAAAAAAATTTTTTTTTTTTTTATTTTTTATTTTCCCCCTCTTCACCCGCTGCCCTCCTTCTTTTTTTTTTTCAAAAAGCTCGAGAAGCAAATTCTGCCAAACAGCTTCTCTCTTTTTTTGCTTTTTTATCTTTTTTTTTCTTCCCTTTGTCCGTTTCTTTTTTCTTCTTTGTTTTCATTCCAGCCCTGCGACCAGCCAAAGAATAAAATCGGGAATTAGATATTCTTTCTTTTTTTATTTTTATTTTCTTTTTCTTTTGTATTTATTTTCTTTTCATAAATCGGGGAAAGAAGAAACTATTGTTTAAGAAAAAAAAGTTTTTTTTGTGACTTTTTTTTTTACCATTGGAAAAAAAAACCAAAAAAAAGGATAAATAAACACAATGAAATCACAATAGAGTGTGGTTGTAATAACAATAGGATTGAAAGGCTCGAGAAAATTTCATACAATAGTAGACATTAGAATTGCCCTAGATAAAAAAAAGACACAAAAGAACAACACATAATAGGACAAGACTTGTGAGATTTTGCTGCTTACGTTCACGATTGAAGGAATTTATTTTAAGGGAAGGGACAAAAAAAAAGGGTATTTATTGCGTTATAATATTCTAGCTGTCTATATGTGCATAGATATATATCACATAATACACACAATACATGATATTACGTTCATATACACATACTTATATTATTATGTAGATGTACATAGTTGAAAAATTTCAGTTATTAGAGGGAAATGGAGAGGTGAATGTATATTGTTTACCATGACTGACTTCAATCCGTTCCGAATCAATTAATGTCACTTTTTCCACAATAAATATGGGGTAGAATTTGTTAAAATCACCATTGTTATTACCACCAGGATCATCACCACTATTGTTTTTTGTTTCATTAGATAGATCGTTATAAATCTTTAAACTGAATTTTTTGATAATATCGATTTTATGCCACCATTCCAGATGTACAATATTTAATTCCATTAGCCTATGAATTGTCTTATCTGTCAATCTTATGTTGTAACGGCGTTCAAAATCACTCACACATTTTCTATTGAACACAACTAAGTTGTAGATTTATAGAGTCTCTAACTATACCACATATTGAAAATTTATCTATCTTAATAAAATTCCAAATTCTTACATAATTATATATACCTTTCTTATGGAATTTTTTTTGTTTCTTTAAACAAATAATATTTTTTTGAGGTAAATGAATAGTAATTTCGTTACTACTAGTTTGATTATTCCTTATTGTACGATTGTTTTCATTGATTAATGGTTGTATCCAATATCTTAAATATATCGTTGTTGGATCAGAATCAAAATATTTTATTATAAAAGGTGGCATGTTGTTCCTTTCTCTTTCATTCTATTCTTATATATATATATATATATATATATATATAGCTAATAACTAACTATCCTTTTTTGTCTTCTTTCTCTTTTTGTTGTTGTTGTTGTTGTGTTTTGCTTGAAGAAATTTATATAAAACTTATAACTTGGATTTTTTTTTCTTTTTTATCTATGAGTATATATAATTTTTTTTTACGCATCACGTGTTTAGCCTTATTACTATTATTTCTTTTTTCTATTATTATCACTATTTAGTATTTCTCACTATAGAAGAAAAAAGAATTAATCATTAACATGTATCTTTCATACACATACACATACACATACACACACATATGCATATACATATACATATATACATATATACAAAATTACATATATAATATTGGAGAATAATGAATATATAGAGATGTTTTTATGTAGAAATAGTTTCTCTCTGTAATCTAAAAATCAATGTATTTTTGTGTAGGTGAACAATAATATTTGTTGGTAGAAAGAATGATAATTATAATATTATATATACCTACAGGCAATGTTGTACCGTTGTGTTATATGATAATATGTTATCAACATACCTCTACACGTATATAAATATTTCCTATTCTAAATTGTTTGCACTTCACTCTACGATCTGTTTCTTTCTTGTTTTTTGTTTTTTTTCTTGTTTTGCCTTTTGGGGATATTTTATACTAAATAGGAAATACATGCCAAAATTACTTCTTTTTCATCTTTTTCTTCTGTTTCCTCTTATTTTTTGATAAGACGACAAAATAAAAACAAAACAAAAATAAAAAAAAAAATAAAAAAAATTACACAAAGCTTGAAAATGGAATTTTTTTCTGTTCATTTGTATTAAGAAAGCTTATCCGTTTGTCGTTAAAATATCAATTGCGAAGGTGTCAAAGATTATTTGTTGTTGTTAAAGGTCTCTCACGTTAAATTATTATTCATACTTCTCCTCTTTTTGTTAGGCTATCGTCATCACAATTATTGTTATTTTTTTTGGTTTTTTTGTGTTTTTTTTTTGTTTTCTTCTAATATACTAACCTCCATTTTGACTTCTAGGATTGCCATATCCTTTCACTCTTCTGATACATGCACATACATACATATACATATAAATATATATAAATATAAACATAAACATAATTAAACTATGCTGAAAAGAAATTCAAATAGTAGTCAGGGGAGCATGCACAATGGCGGTAATGATAATAATAACACAAATGGCAACGGCAGCAATAACAATAACAACAATAATATCGGATCTAGTATATTTCAGAATTTAAGAAGAATGACAAATGGCTCCTCAAGCCACATGAAATCTCCAAGTAGTTATTCTAATTCTATCAAATCTTCATCTCCAACAAGATATTCTGTGGATAGCAATAGTAATATTAATAACCCATTAAATAAGAAAAATTCTTTGAACTCCCAAAACTTATCTCAATATGTCAATCACTCCACAAATAATACCAATACCGCACATAACTTATCACATTCTAGGAACCAGTCTATACAGTCCAATAAACGATCTTCCAGCCATTCAACTGCCTTGAGTGATAAATTGTTGTATCGACAGCAATCAAATCTTTCGTCTTCTGCAAATAGTATATTGTCGCATGAGTCTAATATCTCCTCTAATTCAACATCTACATATCACACTTTTGTCAATTATTCGAAATATTTAAATTCAGATGGCCAATTCGTCGTACCTGAGATGCCTTCGGATCCTATAGAAGTGGAAGATATGTTTCTTGATATAATGTACAAAAGAAACATCTTCCCTAATTTGGATCCAGAGAAACAAAAAGAACTATTAAATTATGACGTCAATAAAAAATGGCTGATAGTCAAACAAGACTTGACAAGTGAATTCCAGAAATTTAAATCAAAGACTAAGAATATGTTTAAGTCAAAAACCCCTAATATAAACAGCATTAACAACAGCACTAACAGTAATTATAATAATAATAATAATAATTCAAATATACCCACTAATATAGCCACAACCCATACCTCTCAGCAGCCAAATAATATTCCTATATCTTCTTCTAACCATCGTGATTTACAAAGAAAGAGATCTAATATGACTTTAAGTTCACATGTAACTACACATACCAGTAAATCAATTAACTCTAGCAATACGACTACTTCTGCTAATTCAAATTCCAGAAATACTAATGTTTCTTCTGTGTCATCCTCTTCTCTACCCATCATTGTATCTCATTCAACTAAAAACGGTACTGTCAGTACAGGCCATAATAACAACAATAACCATCGATCAAGTTCAAACGTTTTTAATAATCTAAAGAACAATAATTCTAGTTCACAATCTTTATCTTCTGATAAAACAAGCAGATTACCTAGCCACTATGTTAAGAAAATTATTGCAGATCAATTGACTCTTGATCAAATGAATGATCTTTGGGTCACTCTAAGAACCGAACAACTAGGTTGGGTAGATGCATTTCTGGCTGATCAAGGTCACATTGCCATGGCTACTGTCCTCACTAATTCAATCTATAAAGTGTCTTCTTCCAATAATCATAAACTATCACAAGATCTATTAGATAAAGAACAAAGTTTTTTTAAATGTTTCAAAGTATTAGCTATGTTATCACAGGGGTTGAGAGAATTTACAAGTCACTCAATTATGACTGATACTATAGCAAGAGGTTTATTTTCAACAAGATTAAACACAAGAAGAATGGCTACAGAGATCTTCGTATGTATGCTGAGTAATCATCCAGATAACGATAAATGTTTTAACTCTATTTTAAGTTCAGTAGATGCAAATTTTACAATAGGCCAAAACTTACACATGATATCGTACTATAAAAAATACCCTGCCCCTTTCACAAATATTAATCTACAGACAGATTTGAAAGTGGTCCAATGTTGGTTATTTGCTTTAGAACAAACATTGGATGGCCGTGGTAGAATGGGTTCTTTGGTTGGCGCATCTGAAGATTTCAGAAAGCATGATGGAGAAAATTCAATATTAGAATATTGTCTGTGGTCATTAATTTTTATAAACAAGTTTTGTTCAATATCTAATCATATTCATCAAAGAAGAAAATTGAGAACAAAATTGGAAAATTATAGATTACTAAGAATAATGAATAAAATGAGATCACTAGATTATGAAAAGATTAATACTGAATTAGAAAATTATGAAAATTCTAAATTAGATGACTTTAATCTTCTATTAGAAGACCAAAAGAAAGTGACAGATATTGATTTGAATAATCCAATATCATTATTACAGAATTTATGGGATTCTTGCAAAAGTACGTCAAATGAATCTCTATTAGTCTCTTTAATACAACATTTATTTCTTTCAAGCACAAAAGTTATGGAAAATAATGAGGACCCAACACAACTATCTAAACAATTGAAATTAATGGATGCATTAGTCACAAACGTTGGTTCCTCATTATCTGCTGTCACAGATGAAGACGCTACTATGAACATGACTATACAAAGATTGTTTGATGCAATGCAAACTGATGAAGTGGCAAGACATGCAATAAGTGAAAGTAGACTCTTAACAAAAAAATTAGAGGAGGTGGAAGCTGACAAAGCAATTTTACAAGAAAAGTTAAGTAAAGCTGAAAATGGTCTGGTGGGTCAATTAGAGAAAGAGATCTCAGAGAGAGATAGGTTACTAGCTAAGAATCAAAGAGTCACACAACAATTGCAATCAGAATTGGATGATTTGAAAAAGAGAAATTTAATGGAAAAACATGAACATGAAGTGGAGTTAAGAAAAATGTTGACAATTTTAAATTCAAAGCCGGAGTTATACGAAGATACAAAGAATCGTTCAAATAGATTTAGAGTTAAAGATTCTGTAGATGAAACAAAGCAATTCAATATACAAAAGGTTATTCAAGATGGCTTACAAAAGAATAAAAGAAATTTCACTCAAGATGCAAGGAAATTTGGTATCACTGTACAACCAAATCAAAGATTGCAAAAACTTAGGTTACAGATGGAAGATATTGAAAAGGAGGCACGACAATTGGAAATGACAAATTTTGTTGACATTGAAAGATTAACAAACTCTGAAGATAAACCTCAAAGTAAGAAAAAGAAAAAGAAGAATATAAAGAAAAGTACTTCTCAGTTAGATTCTGAAAGAGATTCACAAGAAGCAAATATCAAAAAATTAAATGAGTTAAGGGATATTCTTGCGTCATTGCAAAATGAATCTAACGATATTTCTAAATTTAATGTAGAAGAACGTGTTAATGAAATGTTTAGTGACAAGAAACTAAAGGCTTTACAAAGGTTAAAGGATTTACAATCAAAGTTTAAAGACTTAAATATTAACTTTGATATAGATGAATTGATATCAGATACAGAGAAAACTGAATTTAGTGCCACTTCTTCAGGAAAAGAAGGCTACAGTACACTAGATCCAAGATCATCAACTATAAAACTTAATGAGATTGACCGTTTAACAAAAGAATTGTCAAGGTTGCAAGGTATTTTGCAGGATCGTGTAGCGAAAGAAAAAAATGTCAATGTATCTAACTCTTCTTTTTCATCTACATCTTCTTCAGACTCAGAGTCTTCTTCCTCAATATTATCAAATAATGATGTCACGAATGACACATTAGACAAGTCGGCTAGGGTATCTACTTCCTTTTTAGAAACGTTATCAAAGAAGTATGGTACTGGTCAAAAGGAGGTTGCGCAACCTATATCTGAGTCTCAACGAAATGTCATGGATAGATTAAGAAGGTTTTCTGGTCCGGCCCCTTATTTAGAAGAACTTAGCCAAAGAGTAAAACCTGCAGTTTCAATTAATGGACAAGAGGATGGTGAAAAAGATATAGTGACAGTTGTGGCAGAAGTTCCAGGCAAAGATCTTGAAACAAAAGAAAATGTTTTGAATAATTCAGCAACTGAGAAAGTGGCTACCGGTAATGATAATGTTGATGATGAAAATGACAAGCAACCTGATATTCTAGGTACTGGATCAGAAGCTGTCAAAGATGAGGGATCCAAGTCTACATCTGAGGATGTTTTCAAGACAGCACCAGATACGCCTGTTAAAGAGAAGGAAGCAATTGTATCTTCTTCTTCTGATATTCCACCACCACCTCCTCCTCCATTGCCTTCTTTGTTTTCCACTGCCAGAATGCTGGCCTCTGATATCACAGATTCCACTCCAGAATCAGAGTTGCAAGATACCCCAAGTACAACAACAATCCCTCCTCCACCTCCACCTCCACCTCCATCATTCCTGTCTAATAATGAGGACATATTTTCATCTGATCCACCTATTGCTCCTCCTCCACCTCCATCATTTAACAGATTATCTACAATACCTCCTGTTCCTCCTTTAATGGCAAAGTCGGACAGTTCTTCTTCTATTGCTTCACCGCTGTTAGTACAATCTGCTAGTGGGATTTTTGAAAAGTATCCACGTCCACAGAAGAGATTAAAACAATTACATTGGGAAAAGCTTGAATCAACAGATAACTCAATCTGGAATTTCAGCCAAGCAGAAAAATTTGCAGATGATCTATATGAAAGGGGTGTTTTATCCGATTTGGAAAGAGCTTTTGCTGCAAGAGAGATTAAATCGTTACATTCTAGAAGGAAGGAAGATTTAGATAAAATAACCTTTCTAAGTCGTGATATTTCTCAACAATTTGGAATCAATCTCCATTCCTTCAGTAATTTGGAAGTTTCTGATTTAGTGACAAAAATATTACGATGCGAAAGAGATGTACTTCAAAATCCTACAGTGATTGACTTTTTATCTAAACAGGAAATAGTGGAGGTTTCTGTAAATTTAGCAAGGAATTTTGCACCTTATACTACTGATTGGGATGGTGTGAAAACAGTGGAGGAAGCTAAATTTCCTGAAAAGGATCCTAACGAACTTCAAAGGGCTGATCAAATCTATCTTCAGTTGATGGTAAATCTTCAATCTTACTGGGCGTCAAGAATGAGAGCAATTAAAGTCATCACCACATATGAAAGAGAGTATTCTGAGTTATTAGGTAAATTAAGGAAAATTGATAAAGCTGTTGGTTGTTTACAGGATTCTGAAAATTTAAGAAATGTTTTCAATGTTATTTTAGCAGTTGGTAACTATATGAATGATGCATCTAAACAAGCACAAGGGTTTAAATTGACAACGTTACAAAGATTGACTTTTATTAAAGATACTACTAACAGTATGACATTTTTAAACTATGTTGAAAAGATAGTTAGGAAGAATTATCCAAAGTTTGGTGATTTTTTAAAGGAGTTGGAACCAGTTTTAGATGTAGTGAAGATATCTATTGAACAGTTAGTCAATGATTGTAAAGAATTTAGTCAATCGATTGTTAATGTGGAGAGGTCTATTGATATTGGTAATTTGAGTGATTCTTCTAAATTCCATCCATTAGATAGGGTGCTAGTAAAAGTGTTGCCATTTTTACCTGAAGCTTTAAAGAAGGGTGATCTATTAAATGATGAAGTAAAACTGACCATAATGGAATTTAATAATTTGATGCAAGTTTATGGTGAGGATTGTGATGATAAATTTGCTAAGGATTCATTTTTTAAGAAATTTGCAGATTTTATACAAGAGTATAAGAAAGCTCAATTACAGAATCTGAAAGCTGAAGAAGAAGAATTGGCCTACGAAAAACATAAGAAGATGATAGAAGAACAGCAAAAGAAGGCGGAACTTGCTCAACAAAAACAAAGAGAGAGAGAAAGTGGCAAAGATAGTAATAATAATGACAGCTTGGAGGAATCTTCAGAGAATGGCGATAAACGGGCAGTAATGGATGTATTATTAGAACAGTTAAAGAATGCAGGGACAACTAAAGCAGATCCATCATCAGCAAGGAAAAGAGCTTTGGCAAGAAAGAAAATGGCTGTTGATAAGAACACGAGTGGGAGTATGAACGAGTTGGATACAGATGAGGATTCCATGATATATTCACCAGATACAAAGAAAAAATCCATTGATCCATATATTACTGGTTCCCCAACACCTGCTCATAGAATCGTCAACTCAGAGACTCAAGATGAAGATGAAATTACAGATAGAGCAAAAGCTTTGTTATTGGAATTAAGAGGAGATGTATCACCCACCAAAAAGAATACATTATTGGATGAACATCGTGAGAGATTGCGTGCACGTAGGAAACGTAATGGTAGTAGCACTATGTCTACAGGTTCTTCCTCTAATAGATTAGTCTTTTTGGATTCTGAAGAAACGGCTGGGTCACAAAATTCAAATTCAGAAAGGGATACATATCTCTCTGATGTAGCTGAATAATATTGAGAAAATTTATTTACAACTTTTTTTTTGCATGGACTATTTGCATACATATATACATATATACAACATATGGTTATTTACGTATACATATCTACATATATTAATATATTATTAATGAATCAATTATTATATTCGCATCTACATTTTGCAGACGCCTAATATTTTCGATCTCTCATCATAGCAGTACATAGTTATCATGGTAATAGTAATGGCGGTCGTGGGATTATTATACGTGTGCAATTGCATGTAATATATAATCTTATGTATGATGGATTTTTTTTTCGTTTACATCGTTCCGTGTATGATTTTTTTTTTATTTATGCAATTTTATAACTTTTAATTTTTGTATATTTTTTTAAATTAAATAGTAGTATCTATGAAAGACTTGTTAAAGTTTTATAGAGGCAAAGTAGTTTGTCCTGCTCCATGTAGATTGTTATAAAAAAATAGGATCTAGTGTCAACAGCTGTTGTGTTTTGTGTTAATAAAGTTGTTTTACTATTGAATACTTTATTGTTGTTGGAACATATAGACATAGAATCTAAAAAAAACTGTAAATGGTTAAAATATGACAGAATTAGACGAAGAAAACAAAAGAATATCTCAACAGGTGACAGCTATGTCAACCCAGTTGATTGAAAGTATACGTGCCCAATCTGGATTGGAAGCTAAATTGAATCAAATGACTAAGAAAGTAACTCTTTTACAAAAGGAATCAGACAAATATATGACTTTGAAACAAGACTATGAAACGTTACAAAGGCAATTAAATAATACAAAGGAACAATTGACTGCTTATAAAGCTGATCTACAAAAGGAAAAAAAGCTTCGAACTGAGGCAGAGAGTATGGTAAAACAATTGGAAGGTGAAGTGGAAGATTTGACTGCATCATTATTTGCTGAAGCAAACAATATGGTAGCAGATGCTAGAAAGGAGAAACATACTACAGAAATTTTAAATAGAAAATTGTTGGAATCTGTGAAGGACAAGGATAATGCGTTAGAGACAATGAAGGCACAATTAGAACATTTGAAAAGATATGTAGAAAAAATGGAATCCGAATCTGCATCAATCTACAATTCAAATAATCAAAGATATTCCACAGTAGTTTCGGATTTGGATAATCTATCATTAAGAAAAACAAAGACAGAGAATTCCTTACAATCAGAACTTCCAAGTTCCCCAACAGTATTATATTCTCCCAACGTATCAGCAATTAGATATGATTTGAATCTATACCAAGAATTTTTGAAATTTATAGCATGTTTATCAACTTGTAAATCAATAAGAGACAGCTCAAACGATTCTAAACTTTTAAGAAGACTAAACAACGATGAAATATCACCAATATTAAAAATTGATAATGCTCCAGGTATTAGTATATGGAACAGAAAGAGTCTCTTAAACTCTATGATGGATGGATTAGTGGTTATTGAACCAATTAGCGGGGTTAATGAAACTTATCAAATTGGTTACTATTCACCAATGATGAACAGATCTGTTAATGATAATTCTTCTCATCTTTTTAATTATCCAAATGATTCACCTCCCGTTGCTACACACGATTCGTGCGCACTTTGTGGTGAATCAAGAGATGATAATGTTACACATGCAAGAATGCACACTTTAAAAGTGCAAGTAAGAGATGATAGTGGGAATTCAACAATACAGAACTCATATCCTTTATGTTTATGGTGTGTATTAAGGGTTAGACAAACTTGTGATATTTATGCATTCTTACGCTCATTAAAATTAGGGACATGGAATTTGGAAACAGTTACAATAAAAGATAATAGTGGTGTAGAAACTACAGCACCGATAAATTCTAATAAAACTAAAGGCTCCTCAGCTAACAGTGGTAATATAAAAAAAAAGAGAGAAGAACTACGTATTAAAAGAATGAGTTTTATAGGTGGATTGGGTATTAATACTTCTTCAAGTAGGTGTGTTCCTCATGTTGAAAGTAATACAAAAAGTCAAACAGACATTTCCGGAAAACCTAGTACAAATATTGAACGTGCGTGGTTGCAGCTTTGTAAATTAAGATCTATGTTACATTGGGCACATATTGGTGTTTGGTCTATCAGTGATTCAATATCTACTAAAATTGGTCCAATTAATATGGAGGAGAGTAATACTAATGAGGAAAATGATGATATTAACATTAATTTTGGAAGGATAGATAAACATTGTGATACGAGTGTATCACAAGGTACAAGTGATAAATCTGTTCAATCAGATACTACAAGATTATCTAGTTGTAATGAGGTAGTGTCGGGAGCACCATCATCTTTGGATAGTAATTCAAAAACTGATGAAAAATCGATGAATACCGAAGGTAACATTGTTGCAAGTGAAAAAAATAACTATGACAAGGAGCTTGAACCTAATTTGAATTCTTCCGAGGAATTAGTTTTAGAAGCAGTTTCTGGGAATATGGGCAGTGATCAGGAAGTTCAAGCTACAGATGTTGATGATAGAACAAAAGAGAGTATTGATATAATAGGGGAATATGACGAAAATGATGAAACAAAAAACGAATCAACCGTATTGAATAATGAAACTAATGATGATGATGAATCGAGCACTGATCAGTACACCGACACAAGAGATGGTATCTAATTAAAATTTTCCAATTCAATTTTATAAATATAGTTAAAAGATTAATGTTGTAATCTTATATTATTGAAGATCTATTTAGTTTTATGCTAATGTTTTATATATATATGTGTGTAATTGTCATTACAATTTATTGTTTTGTCTCATAGATAAGTAATTATAATGATTACCAATGTGTAAATAACACTAGTTGTCCTTTAAGTTTACCTTATATATGATTATTCCTCTTCATCATCATTCAATGCTATCTTTCTTATTTTTGATTTTCTAACCTGAATTTTCCCTTCTTCTAAATTATTAGATGTAGGTGTACCATCTTCATGTGTTCTTTTATTTGAATTTTCAATGGGTATTACTTCTGAGTTATAGTCGCTATCTAAGATAAATGTATCTTCTTCATCTGATATATTTTTACTTAATATTGAATTCACTATATTTCTGTTGCTTGTAATCTTGTCGAGGGATGATTGGTTTAATGAAGCAGCTCCTAGCCCTTTGTTTGTGCTAATAATGCTATTACTGACATCTCCTCTAATTGTGTTAGAACGATGTAAGGATTCGATAGGGGGAATAGGCCCATTAAATAACTCAGAAAAATCGCTTAAAATGCTCCCATTATTGTCTATTCTCTCCTTAATAAATTTCCCAAATATGTTGTGTTGCATTGGTGATAATTGCCCACCATTTTTATCCAGCAGCCAACGTAAATACATTTCATTTTCAAAGAATATTGGATTAAACTGATCTTCATCATCAGAATCATCAGAATCAACATATTCTTTGCTAAAAACTTTCGATTGTTGTTTTTGTGGTTTAAGAGTTTCTGGATTATTTCTTTTTTTTGAAGTAACGCTGTTCTTAGATTTCTTAGTACTACTCTTTTTTCTTGATGCTGCTATACCTTTTTTATGCGAATTGTTTTCCCTTGTATGGATCTTAATTTTGTTGTCCAAGTCCCTGAAATAGTCACTATCATCAATTTCGTCATCTTGAACAATATTGGGATCAGTTAAATCGTACTGTTCGTTCCCTGTCCATCCATCCTCTTCACTAGATACATAATCGTAAACTTTTCTTGGGCGTATCAAGTATGTTGATGCAGCTAATCCATTCGGAGTTTCAAATGTTGTAGTTGTATATTTTTTCAGCAAATCCAAAGCTTCTTTAAGCTGTGAAATTTCAAGTGAACCAGGTAAATAGCATGCTTCTGCTGCTGACATTGGAATATTATATCCAATTAACTTTAACAGGGCTCTCAGATCTCTATCGGAAAGTATAGGATTACCAAATTCTTGAGACATTGTAAATTTTTCGTCTGGTGGACTAGCTGTTTCATTTTCATTTAAAATGTTCACAGTTAACCACGATTTGAAAATGTCAATGCATTTTGATATATGCGCAATTAGTTTATCTATATATTCACTTTTAGATTCATCGATTAGTGTTGCCACCAAGATTCCGAATTTCATATCCTTAACTGTAGAAGGTGGTAGCATCTCTTCATCAGGTAGTGGTTTAAACAAGCTTTCGGGTACACCATAATCTGGGTTTTTTGATTGAGGTTTTTTTTCACCGTATTTTTGGTAGTAGGATAATTCACCATCATGAATTGAAGGGAAAAGTAATTCTATGATCCATGATGGTGATTTTTTTATCCTTGATTTTAATCTTTGCAAATAGTAATTAGTAAATTGTTCCACATGTTTTCGCACTCTAGCACTTTTTTCAATGCCATCCTCACTTAGCATATCATGTAAAAGTACAATCAAGTCTAATCTAAACAAATACGCTTCTTCCTTCGCTTGAATGAATACTCTATGGAAAAATGCAATAATCTTTTTGATTTGATCACTTTCTAGCTCCCTGAATCTTCTTAAAAAAGTAATATAGGTTTCAATTGTAAAATCATTTATATAACTACGTTGAACCTTTTTGAAGTCGACTTCTATTGAGGAATAAGATGGAGTTAAAATATCGATAGCTTCGTCTCTCTCTACTTTGTCTTCTTCCATAACTTTTTCAATGTCAGCCTCACTAATATGAAGATTTCTCTTTCCTTTTCGTTTACCTGTTATTATCAATTTATTGTTGTCTGATGAATACTGTTCCAATATTTTAAGTACGGTATGTGTTAAATCAATACAACTCATCATATACTGTGTTGTATGTTTGATTGCTGTCTTGGGAATATTTGACAATAGCTGGATTCTTTCATCACTAAATAACCGACTTAGAATAAATTCAATATCCTCTGAATCAGCATCATTATTTTTTTCGTTATTAACTAGTAATAATAATTCATTGAATGCGATCATTGCTGCATGCACCATGATCCAATTTCTCATGTCAAAAGAAGTCCTTAATAAATGGGATACTAAGATAAAGGAGGTTTCTTTTAATGCTTCCGACACATAGATTAAATCTGCGTTTTGGTTGACAGAACATCTGAGCATTTGATATTTGAGAAACCAAGCGTAAAATAAAAGGTATTCAATGTGCTCTATCATAACAATTTTATCTTGTTCAGTAGTGATATAATTAGTGATACTATGTAAAAGGATATTAAAACTAGAATCAATGAAATTATTAATAAAATTTGTGAAAATATCAACCATGTGACTTTGTAATAATAAAAATCTTGAACCTTGAGAATTTAATAAATTATTCGGTAAGCCTTCTTCCAACGGATCATCTTTAATCCGAGTGATTCTTTTATTCCATCTTTTCCTGCTATCTAATTTATTTAAGACTGTTGATTCATTTAAAATGTTTTGTGTCCCGGAGACGGTTAATCTGGTCTGATTGTCGGTCTGGATTGATATCAGTGCACCAAATCTTGAATGTCTTGAAGATGTATTTCTAATCAAATGTTTTTTCATCTGTAACTCCTTTTTCAATAAATCTTTTAATTCCATTTCAGGTATAGATGTATACAGTTTATAACCACCCTCGGACTCATTTGAATGTGGTAGTAGTCCGTGCTTATTTTTTTCTTGCTTAAATAATAATTTTGGATTAATATCTTTGGTTAAATAAAACATAATTTCTAAGATGGGAATATTAATGAAATCTTGATCAAATTCTGTATTTAATGAACTTGATAAGGTCAAAATTAGAGATAAAACTTTATTTTCATGGAAACATTTGATTAATGTGTTTAGAGAAATATCATCAAGAGAAACATTTGGAGGTAAAGAATCTGTTGTTGTAATACCTTTATTGTTAACAGTATTGCTGCTACTTTCACTTGATCCAGTTTTAGTCTGTCTCTTACTAGTAATCATAATCTCACCAGGTTCAATAGCAATCAAATTTCTAAAAAAATTTAAAGCCAATTTAATGATCATATTGTCTCTTGGACTTCTTGATAATCTATCTACCTTCATCACCTTAATAACAAGCCTGTTAACTGCTTTCAAGACCTTTCCATTTTCAGTTGACAAAATTGCCTTCTTATATATTAGCTGATATTTTTTCAAGTCTGCATAGTAATTGACTTGGTTAGAAGAAGAATGTTCGGTGATTATAAGAGGCCATGTCATTAACACCATTAGTTGTAGACAATGCAAAGCAATTTTATCATGAAATATTTTATTTTTCATTACGGGCACTGACGATTGATTAGGATCATCTGGATTTTGTTTTTGTCTTTTTTTCAATATTTTGGCTTCCTTACAAGACTTGTTTTCCCAATCAATTAAAATTGGTATTAAATCATCGGTGAAAATTTTATACTCAGCGGCAGCCATAGCCACTTCCCATGTATGTTGTTGATCATCAACCAATTTAAACCATCGTTTCAAATCTTTCAAACATGCTAGGCAGTCATCCCCTAACTTATAAGGTGGAGGATCCACATTTGAAGTATAATCAGGACCACCAATAGCAGTAGCTAAAAGTGCAATTCTAGCGCGTAAAACTGTATGAGGATTCTCCTGTTCCATAATTAACTATGGTTAATATTGAGCCCAATAAAATACTGATTACGATTGTTGATTTGATTAAAAAATAGAGAAATATTGAAAGAATAGATGTTTGTTAAAATGTAATTTTAGCTTAGTAATAGCTTGAATCTTGGTTTTGAATCTTAGATCTCTTTTAACGAATACTTAAATGTCAATAATGGTGAATAATAGTTCAGTTATTGAATTTTTGGTATGAACTGGTCTTGCTATTTGTTCATTTTAACGGTAATCTAATACTAATAACAATAATATCGATAGTAAAATGATAGTATTTCATCTCTTTTGAAGTAACTGCTGTCATCACTCACGTGTCTCTTTGAATATTTTTCTCTATTATCATTCTGTTTGATGCTTTCGTTTTATGCGTTTTTTTTGATATTGTGCGTGATTGTCGGAATTTTTATTTCCGTAATAAGCCGTATTTGTCGGCATTTTTCCGCTAATTTTGTACAAGAGATCAAAAGATATGACGTAATTAATATTAGTAATTAAAAATCCATACTCTTTTTTACATTATGTAAGTAATCAAATTAAGGATTTTTTTTCATTTATTGACTTAATATATGTATAAGAAGAAAATCATGATATATAAACTCTCACAATCATATCAAAACAGTTTACTAATTAGAACTATATGATAATGACAATTTGATTGCTCGTTGTCGTTGAACGTTGATATGCGCTGTTATGATAATAGGAGACAAAAGATAACACGTGGCTGACTTGATAGCGGAATTTAAAATAAAAAAAACTTATTTAGCCAACAATTATTCCCTTACAATTAACTTGCACGTATATTTGTATGCTTGTACATTTACAGTATTTATTTTCAATTGCAACAGGCTAGTTACTGCAGTAGAAAGACTAAAAGAAGGAATAACGATTGAAAAGGTCAGAAATATTTTTCTATTGAGGTTAATTGCTATTATAGTACTTCTATATAACAATGATAAGGCCAGTTGTACTTTGCCTTGGTGATACACGTTTTGCTCAAGAAGCTTTACAACAGTTAGAGTTAATTGCTGAATGTGTAACATTACCAGAAGATACAACAAGAGAAAAATTTTTTACCTTATTAAATGATCCAACTTCTAAACTTTCCAAGGTTTCGATTATTACAAGAACAGCAGGTAGTATTAAACAAACTGGTAGATTCGATAAGGAATTAGCTGAAAAGTTACCTGACAACGTGGTTGCAATTTGTCACAATGGCGCAGGGTATGATCAAATAGATGTTAGGTATTTTAATGATAGACATATTCAAGTGTCCAATACCCCCCATATTGTAAGTAATGCTACTGCAGATAATCATGTCTTTCTTCTCTTAGGTGCATTAAGAAATTTTTCATATGGGTCAAGAAATCTTTTAGAAGGTAAATGGCCTCAAACTGGTGAGAGCGCAGGTACACCATATGGGCATGATCCAGAAGGCAAGACAGTTGGGATTTTAGGTCTTGGTGGTATAGGACGTGCCATAGTGAAAAGATTGAAACCATTTGGGTTTAAAGAATTTATATATCATAATAGAAGAAAATTGTCGTCTGATTTGGAAAATGGTTGTAGATATGTTTCATTTGATGAATTATTAACACAATCAGATATTATATCTATTAATGTTCCTTTGAACCAAAATACTCGTCATCTATTGGATTCTAATGCCTTTGAAAAGATGAAACAGGGTGTTGTCATTGTTAATACTGCTCGAGGTGCTATTATTGACGAAGTCGCATTAATTTGTGCTTTAAAATCTGGGAAAGTTAGGTCTGCAGGATTGGATGTTTTTGAATTTGAACCACATGTATCAAAGGAGTTAATGGATATGAAACAAGTGTTAGTACTGCCTCATATGGGAACATATTGTGTAGAAACAACACAGAAGATGGAAGAACATGTGTTTCGTAACGTTGAGAGTGTTATAAAAACAGGTAAAGTTATTTCAATTGTGCCTGAAATTTGCGAGGAAGAATGGTTTAAAAATTTAGCTTAGTTTCCTTTTATATTTATTACTTATAATAATAATGATAAGGATAAGGATAAATAACGGTCGTAACCTAAATAATTGTAGTCACAAATTGAATATTATTAGTACTTTGATAATGCGGGTATATATATAAATATACATGTATATAAATGTAATAGATAACATGTGAAAAGGCAGGAAGAATAGGGGAAAGTGACAGAAAGATAGTGAAGAATAAGTTATATAAACTATTCCAAGTTATGAATAGAAATATTTGCTTGTGACTTGGGTATTGGAGATACTGATTCACTATGTGGATTATTATTTGATATAGAGGCTGCTGATATAGTATTAGTAAAAAAATTGTGCTTGCTATGAGTACTATGAACTGTGGAATGTATTATTGTATTGCTATCATTTTCTTTGTCTGCACATGAGCTATGATAACCAAAGGGCGAATTATGGATATCATAACTTGTGAAATCCTTTTCTTCCATAATAGATGAGGAATCATTACATAAATTCTCAAATAACAGATTTTTTATAGTAAACCTTTGAGCTACTGGTGGGTCTAATATCTCTAGTTCTTCTTCAGTGAAAATCTTGGGAAACAGAAATGATATAATCACTGTTAATAATAGCACCAATGGAAATCCGATAGCGGCTATAGTATTAGTAATGGCAAATTCACCAATAAACCCAGCTAAGCTAAAAGCGATAAAGATTAATAGTGATCTCAGTGGGACCTTTGATATAGGGTTAGGTGAAGTTTCATTACTTTTAATAGTTGGATCAAGGAAAAGCCACAGGATTCTGGATATTATTGCATTATCAATAAGTCCTTGTATCCCCATTATAAAAAATAGACCTGCTAAAACAGTTTGTGGAATTTTTCCCAAACAAATTAAAAAAGGTCTTGCCATTGTAGCTATCATTAATAATCCCTGGACAGTATTAGTTACTCTTTGCTCAACGCACCTTACTACATGATTATTTTCGTCTAAAACTAATAATGATTCTGTATGTAAAGGAGCCTGTGGAATTAACCCATTGGGAGGTGGTATACCGAGGGCACCTGCTACTACAGTAGTTACACCTAACAATAGAAAATCATAATGGAATGATGATGGTTTAGTTAATCTATATTGAGCTTTTTGTGCCATTAATGATGAAACGTTGTGATCAAAATAAAATAAAATCGTTAAGATGATTCCAAATGGTAATGCAATAAATATATTCTTTGTAGAAATTGTTTTATATGCCAACCATGTCTTGGAAGCTCTACCCATATCTGTAGTGGGAAAAAATGATTTAGTGATTGGTAAAAATTGAAATTTAACATCATTTAAATATCCACCAAAATGTACAAACCCAGACCAAAACACAACAGATAAAGCTGTTGAATAATCTGAAATGAATTTTCTCAATTTATGGGGTAAATAGTTGAATTTATAGAACTCTTTGAAAAACAGTCCAAAAATGGACATTAATAATGCTACCATTACAGATGCGAATCCTGATATTAAATGTTCATTATATGAGGTGTCTTCTGTATGAAATTGTCTTATCAAAGTCTGTATTCCCTTCTCGATATATACAATATTGATGAATAAACCAAAAATGTCACAGGGGAAAGTGGTGACATACTGCAAAAGAGAAACCATATTTGTAAGTGCCAATATAAGATGTAAAATAAATGCCCAAAGATCGACCCAAAACATGAACCCAAAATAATTTGTATTCAACGGTTTTATGATGTCATAGACAGTGTAGTGAAATATTGATATTGGTCCAGTCACTCCAACAATGCATAAAGGTTGTCCAGATAAAATACCAAAGACGATACCACCAAGAGCACTAGATAATAATATTTCATTAACACCATATGAGTTATCTGTTCTATCAAACATGTCTTGAGCAAATGCGATAGCAGGTAGTAAATTATTAAAATATGTTTCCAATAAAGACGGGATGATTCTATAATCCCATGCATCCAACCAGTCTTGTTTATAGTATGGAAGTCGATCACATAAATCCACGTAAATACCTTTACCAACTCTTGGAATTCTGTGAATCCAATGCTTATATTCTGGCGCCATTTTGAGCTCAGATGTGTCATTGTTAAGTACTATACTATCTGTAAGTTCGTCAACATTACTTTCATATGAGATGAGTTCTTGAGCTATTGAAGTTTCTCTGTGTCTTAAACTGCCTGGATCGTGTGATAAATCACTTATGTCTATTGACTGTATCTCTGACATGGTTCTTTCCTAGCTAATATGGATATGTTGTCAAAGATCTTGTAAACTACGGAGATATTTATATATATGTAAAGAAGGAATCTTGATATTTCCACACTCTTATATGTGCGATGAGTGAGTGAGTGGTTGTTGTTGTTTTTCGAGGGTATTCTTATCTTTTATAGAAATGTTCACCTTCCATATTTTCATTTACCTATCTGAGAAGTTGCAAAGTTAATCATCATGTTTAAGGGATATTGTAAGCACATGGTTCTTCTTATATACAGCAGTGTGATCAGCAATCGTTGTATGTGAGCATATACTTTGTGGGTAAAAAGATACATACATCGCTCCGAAAATCTTGAACGGCTGCATCTTGTAAGGGTTCAAGGGAAAAAAAAAAAGGAAAAAAAAAAGATATATAATGGATGCAGATATCTGTGACACGTATTCCAAGATTATAAACAGGATATAAGGTAATAAAAAGACTGCATCTCTCAGTTGTTAGCATCTAACGAGTCATGAAACTGTGTGAAGCAGAATTAGGAGTAAGCGTGCGTTTTGGTATGAAGATCAATGTTATTATCTATTTATCTATATTTTGATATCAATTCCCTTTTTCTTTTTTTTTTGCTTGTTTGTTATATATATGCATGCGAATATGTATATTTGTATATAGTTCTATAGGTGTGTTACGAAAATAATAAAAACAAAGAGCATGAAAGGAGAAGGGGAGAGATGCTAAGTTGGAAAAGCTAGAGTTTATCTTTTAAGAAATTAACGTTATAACTTAGCTTTTACCGATAATTGCTACCAATTAGTCACTTCTTCAGCCTCACCAAACACAGAAGTAGTATTTTCATCCTTTCCAGGATTTCCAACCCATTCCCTTGGTTTGCTGCTGGTAAATTGGGAACAGTTCTTACGCAAAAATTTCACAATTAATTCATTAATCAATTTGAACTCTAATAGAAATGCATCATGGCCCTCCGGTGACGTTATTTTCTCCAAGTGAGCATTCTTTAAATGTTCTGCCAGGAATTCCTGTTCTGAGTAAGTGAAGAGACCGTCCGAACTGATGCCAATAATCAAGGAAGGTTGGTCCATAGAATTCAACACTTGTTCGATATTTTCATCATACTCTTCCCTATCACGTGTAAGATCATGGGTATCTAATTTCCTTGTGATGGCAATGTAGCAGTTAGCGTCGAATCTGTTGACAAATTTCGTTCCTTGGTAACGCAAATAACTTTGTGCAGAGAAATATGTCTGTGCTGGTTTAGTCTCTTTTACTTCGCCAACGACTGCTGAACTTATAGACGTTATAGAAGTAATAGAGGAATTAGATGATGATGTGCTATTGTTCCTTCTAGTTATGGGACTATCTCTATTCTGTTCTTGACAATGTGCAGTCAGTCTTGCGCTATTTAAACTGGATATACCATCGTTATGGATCTGTAGACTTTGTTCATTAACAGTAGAAGGTTCACGATGTAACGGATAAGGTTCATCCTTCAAAGAAGCTGTCTTTTGTTGTTGTGATGCAGAGGGGATTCGCCTGGAGAACTTATTTTCGAAACTGTCCCTTGATCTGTATGTCAGCAATGCAGACATTCTGGCAGCCGAAAGGCCAACAGATGGAGGGTTGTCCAAGGAGTAATACCCATCACAATAGTTTGGATCTGAATATATTGACTGTCTCTGTGCTTCGGACCAGGATATACACCAAGCGGAATGTCTTGCAGAGGTTGCCAAAGCAACCAGGTTTTTCACATAGTCTCTGCCGTAGATAGCACACCATTCAAGTGCGAGCATTCCACCCATGGAGCCACCAATGACACATGCTATAGACGTAACACCTAAAGAATCGAGCACAATGCGGTGAGCTCTTACGTCATCACGGACTGTACATAATGGGAACTCAGGACCGTATCTTTGTCCGGTTGTTTCGTCGATAGACAATGGGGAGAAAGAGCCATAGGGAGACCCCATGGAATTCAAACATATAATGAAGAATCTGGAAGGATCAAAAGCCAAATCGTCACCTAGTAAGGGTCCCCACCAGTCAGCTACATCTGAGGAACCTGTTAGAGCATGGCAGATCACTAATACATTGTCACCTGTTTCATTTAGATTCCCCCAGGTTTTATAAGCGATTGGGAAATTATTTATCGTTATACCGGATTCCAGTTGTAATTGTGGGATTTCTACTACTCTTTGGCCGTTAACGAATTTACTGAACGGATTGATTTCATGTATTTGTTCGATATCTATTTCTTTTAAAGTTTTTGACTTTAACGTATGATTAATGCTTTGAGTACTCATTTTCACTTTAATATATATATCTATGTTAATATATTATTTATCTATTCTTTATGTATTTATTTATTTATTCAATGTTATTATGTTTTTTCGGAAAGTAACACTTTAATAATAATAATAATAATAATAATAAAAAGGATTAAATAAAAAATAAGGATGATAATTATGTGTTGTGTTATACTGTATGGGATATATATGCACCCAACTTAGGAATAATAAAGGCGATAAATGAATGATAGGTGATAGAGTTGTGCATATATAAGAGTAAGAGTATTATGTAATAGAAAATATGTTGCAAGAAGAGACTCACTTCTTATAAACAATCGATCAAGAAAAGGAAAGTATATAGCAAATCAAAGTCACCTAGACCGTTCTATTGATCATCTAACAGAAAGACGTATTTATATCATCGATGGACTGCATGCGGTTGATAAAAGGATAGGATGGTGTTGTAACAATAAAAATCAGAATAATAAAGAATAATACTACTATAAGTAATGGTAATGACTAGTACTTTTTACCTTCTGTGGTTAAAATCCTTGTGTTTTGTACAAATATTGTCACACTTCAAAATATCACCACAGTTTTAAAGATATTTATTATAATAATATATTATTTCTTTACAAACAAATAACAAATAACAAGATAAAAAAAAGAAAGAAAGAAAAAAAGGACAAGTCCCGATTATTTTTACCCATGCGTATGTGGATGTGGTGTGTGGATGTGTGTATTCTATTGTTTTTCTGTTCGAGGGAGAGAAGTGTGTGAGTGTCGGTTCTGGTGGATGCCGCATCAGAGTTTTCCTGACGGAAATTATGGTTTGTACCAGTAAAAGGTGGCGGGATTGTGTTGGAGACAGGTGTCTTCGTTTAGGGATAGGATTCCGTTGAGAATCCGGTGGAGAATGAATAAGCAAGCCGCTGTTTCAGACAATGAACACACAAGAACACAGTTTCCAGCAAAAATGGCTGGACAATAATATGACTCAGAATTCCAATCGCTGTGTATTGTTTTGTGGTTTGACAAAGACAATACGATGATTTCGCTGCTGTTTTCGTTTTTGTTTCCCATAAACTGTGGGAGGGAAAAAAGGGAGTGGGGAGAGGGAAAAGAAAGACCCAGACATATTGGCCAACTTTTTTTTCAACCGGCGAAGTTTGGAGTGTCACGTGTTTGGCTCTTCCACCACCATCACCACCCCTTCTTTTTCTCTTCTTACTGTTCAAATTAGTCTGTGTCTAACAACTTTCCTTGTTCGTTTAATGGAATCTTAACGTTATTCAGCCTAGAAAACTATGTAATCTGCAAAAAGGCGTGTGAACAGTGAGGGTTACAAAATATACGAGGATATACAATTTGCAATATTTACCAGCATTTGTCCTTTTGTAATTTTATATATAGAATCTCTACTGTCTCGTAACAATTTGCTGGTTTAAGGAATAGAATGTTTATTATGTCAATTATACTCCAAGGTAAATGACTATAAATAAATATAAATAAAGATACATAGATATATACATATACAAAGAGTTATCAGTTATAATAATGTAGATATTCTAGATACACTCATCCCTAACCTCCAGCATTAAAACTAGTTAAAGAGAATTGAAGTAATTACTTTCTGCCGTGATCTTTTTTTCTTTAAAAAAAAAATTGTGAGGTTCATTTTTCTAAATTGTACTAAACAGATCTCTTTTTTTTTTGTTTTTTAGTCTTAGTTCATTACAATTTGTTGAAAAAATTGTGTATGTATGTGTGTGCGTATGTGTGTGTGTGTGTGTGTGTGTAATTGGTGCAAGCAATATGTGTTGACTACTCTTTAAAAATAAAAATAAAACGTGAGTATGCTTAGTATTGATAAAGAAGAGTTAAGAAAGCTTGAGAAAACTATTTTTTGGCATGATGCTACTGATAATTAAAATAAAATAGAATAAAATAAAATGGCTCATCTGATCTTATCTTGTACCTTTTTATTTTTCCTTTAAACGTTTACTAGTGTTACAATTTTATTTAACTATTTACATATATAATTTATACATACATGTACAAGTCTTAGAATTTGTACTAGGATTATTGGTTTCTCAATTTATTAATTATATAGACATACCATACGGATTAGTTCCGTTACTCGTATTGGGTGATGGCATGAATTGGGAAAACCCAGCAGGTTTAGGTCTTATGAACTGAGATTGTTGCTGTTGTTGCGATGGTGGTTGTGGATGGAATGGTGCTGCATGTCTATTACTGGCATTATTATTAAGATTGGGATTATTAATGGTTCTTGTATTGGAATATGGTAGTTGGTTATAGTTATGGTTATAGTTATTGTAATTGTAATTGTTATAATTAATATTATCATATCTATTAAATTGTCGGTTAGAAGAATATGATGATGCTTGATTATTTCTGTAGTTTAGAGACTGGTTTGGACCAGGTAGCCTTTGGTTTGATGGTGGATATTGGTTTTGTAATGGATAATTCATGTTTCCAGTATTGTTGTTGTACGATATATTTTGTATATATCCATGATGCTGTTGTTGATTTGACAAGATTTTGTTCATATTGTTATTATTATTATTATTATTATTATTATTATTATTATTATTATTATTATTATTATTAGCAGTTGGTATCATTGTTCTCGGAGTGATTTTTGGGTTGTTTGTATATGGTTGTGGATATTGGTTAACTGAGGGATATTGATGTTGATTATTTAGTAAAGGTTGGTTGAATGCAGGGGAGTAGTTGGTGGGTGTTGTGTGATGAGGCGATTGGTTATACCCTGATGTTTGTGGTTGTATTAGTATTTGTTGTGCTCCAGTATTTGATAATGAATCTTTTTTCATAGAATATGGATTAGGAATCATTTGACTAGCTATACCATTATTATTGTCCATCTTTTGTAAATTACTTGTTTGTTGTGGCAGCAGTTGATTCACTGGTGGAGGTGGTGGTGGGGGTTTCTTATGTGTTATATTCTGTGTGGTTATATTTGATGTGTTATTAGTATTAACTTGAGCAACCAAAGGAGTTACAGTTCGGTCCCTATCTACATTTTGTTTATCAGTATCATTAGCATCATCATTATTATTATTAGCAGTAGTTATATGTCTTGGGATTTGTTCTTGTTTCATAACAGTTTTATCTTTATAGTCCTTGTCACTATTTTCATTGACTATAGATCTTTGGGTTTTATTTGTCGTGGAACCATATATATTTTCCATCTCCAACATTTGACTCTGTTCAACAAACTCAGGATCAAAAACATCATGCTCACTCGAATTATTGGTGTTTTCTTTTGACAAATTTAATTCTTTCATTTTTATACTGAATTCTGGATGATCGTAATTGTTATTGTCTTCGATTTCACGGTAGGCATCAATAAGAAATGAGAAACTTGATTCCGCTCTTGTGTGTCTATTATCGTAATTTTTTGCACTTGATTGATTATCAAAAGTATCAAAATTGGAACTTTGTAATTTTAATGGTTCAGGTTTATACTTTCGAGAAGGTGAGTATTCATTTTCCCTCGCGTTCGCAGTCATGGCTGCAAAATTGTTGTATCTTTTATTGACTTGTGCGAAGTGGTCCTCTTCTTTTGAATTATTTACTTTTGGTATTACCGTATGTTGTGTATCTTTAAACTCCTTTGTATGATTATTTTCTGATATTTGTTGATTGTTGATTGTTTCCAAAATATCTCTTTGATTCTTTGCTACCGTTTTGTTGGCTAGTACCTGATCAGTAAATTCTGGTTTTAATACTCCTGGATTGGAAGTATCTAAATCTAATGGTGATTCTAGGGATTTAGATGATGAACTCTTTAAACTTGTTGAAGATTTAAAGCCAGTACTGTTATTCTTCTGATAAACTTTGCTGGCATTCAATTTTGGTGAAAATATGTCAGGTTTACCATTAGTATTCCTTAATAATGGTGATAAGATATTTCCAGATGTTTGAAATAATTCACCACTCTCTAAAAATTGTGTGCCAAGAATATTTTTTAAAGATTTAGTTGATCCACAACCACTATACCCTTTATTTAATTTTGTTTGTAAAATGTCGCGTATTTTAGTTGTCCATTCAGACGAATTCCAATAAAGACAGCTTGAAGATTTTGTTAATGGTATTAAATCTTCCGGTTGTAAATAATATATGTGAGGCAATGTAGGTAATGCAAATAGTAACGAAATTGGATCATCTTTATTAGCAATAAGCTTCTTTGGTCTACCATATAACCTAAACGCATTCATTGCTGGAAGTAGAAACCTGATAATTGTATCATAACATGGCACAGCTTCGTGTCTTTCAGGCATGATAAACAAATTAGTCTCTTGGATGGTATCATCTCCTTTGAATTTTGCTTTACCTTCCAGTTTAATCATTGTAGAATTGTCGATCAGTTTAGGAGATGATGGATAGACTGCATAGATTGCATTTGCATGAGTCACAGTTGTCATTGAATGTTGTTTTTTAATCTTTTTATCACTTTCATAAAAATTTATTTCACCAAATGTATCTTTTTTTTTATTGACATTTTGAGTAATTACTGCATAGCATCTCTTCCACGGCATGCCGACACCAAATCTAACACTTACCCATTCCTCATAATCAAATTTGGTTGAGGCCAATAATACACCTATATCACTTAAACGAGACCCTCTACTTGATATAAATGCACCCGTGTATGCTTCTTGTAAAGATGTGGATTCATAAAGACTCAGTCTTACAGCAACATTCCACTGATTGAATGATTCTTTATTACTGAACTGTAAAAAATATCTATTTTTCAAAGTAGTAGATACAACAAGAATATTCTCCAATTTTTTGTTGTTCTGGGCAGATACACCTTTAACCGTTTCCACACACTGAATATTAGCATCTGTAAAATTTATATAGGTGGGTTTTGTAGCTGAATTTTTTAAAGTAGCTTCATCGACCCCATTAAGATCATTCGCATTCCACAATGCCAATTGAGTACCGATAAGTACAGCATACTTCTCTTCCCATTTTCTAGCTCCAGGAGCCCCATCATTTTTTAGATCTTCTAACATTAACAAAACACCCTCATGGTACCTTCTATGTAAATGTGCAGATAGTAAAGTCAAAATAGGCATTAATTCTGGAGATGCTTGGTCATTTACTATAGAATTCAATGATTTATCTTCTATTTCTATTGTTTGGGAAGTTAATTCGTTACTGAATTTTTCTGAAATATTTATCATAGGTGATTTTGCACCTGAGAATATTCTTTTCATGCTTTAGAGAATTGCCTGGTGATAAATGTGAACTCTCTTGTTTCTTATAACGTGTTTTGTTCTATTACTTTTTTTTCTTGTTGTTTCTGTATTTTCTCAATGATATTATAGTTAATAGATATTCTGTGATTAGAGGGGCTAGCGATAATGAGTGTAAAAAAGTTGGAATAATATGCTGGTTGATTTTTAATAGAGGGAAGGAGGATATCCTAAGAACAATCTTAACTTAAATAGAAAAAAAAAAGAAAGAAAGAGAAAGAGGTGAAAGTACTGGAAAGTTATATAAGACAGGGTTATTATTTCCTTATAATCAATGTCTTTAGTTTTTTTTAAAGATCTGATGAATTTTCGATTGTATAAGCTTATTCTCAGTGTTGTTTTTAGTGTGGTTGGGACAGAAGTTACTTAAGTGGTTTGATAACTGTTGAGATAGCTATCTTGACAAAATCAAAAATCATTATCAAAACTAACGATGCTGCCTTCAGACAGTGCTGGTGGAAATTCCGTCATTTCTCAAGAAAATAGAAAATAAATGAAAGAAAAAGTGTTGAAATATAATTATTAGAGCTATGTTTGATAATCTAAATTCATCGTACTAAGTGATTAAAAGTTATGAAAATTTATAGTAAAGAAGATTCAAAGATAAAATGAGTATACTGTATAATATTGTATCTTGTATATTACTTATATAGAAAGAAAAGGACTAAGCAATAAAATAACAATTTATAGTACCACTAACTTCCTACTATAAATAATAATAAAACTTATAATACCACCAATATCCTATTGTAAGTTACATTATCTTATTATATTAGTTTAAAATGAACTCGACTAGAATTTTTGATTCTGAAGCCTTGCGTCAACAAAAAGGAAAAAAAAAAGAAATTAAATAAGTTAAAGAAAGAAATTCCGGAAGTGCGGAAGTGTGGAAACTCCAGGCGGAATTAAAATTTCCTCATGTAGGAAAGCAGTATTACTCGATTAGGTCATTGTGTCACAAATATACATGTATTTGGCTTTTACTGAAAATGGCAAAAATGTTGTGACACCTCAATAGAGGGGCTTGGCATAAATCAGATCTGTGTTTTTTAACATGGAATATACATATATATATAGAGAGATAGAGAGATAGAGAGAGAGAGAAAAAAAAATGTATATTTTGGTGAAAAGTACGACATTTATGCAGCTGGTTGATGTTTTCTTTCTTCTTTTTTTATTAACGCCTCTGTGTCTGTTTCTGCAACATTATGAGAATGGCTAATGGAATTTGAATAACCCACATACTGATTATGATGCAGGAAATAACTAATTCCAAAATTACTGTTTTATGAAGGCTATTCAAAACACTTGATAATAGAATCTGTATTTCATTCCAGATATTCATTACTAGTGGCTCTTGATTGTGAGTATTTTCAGATGCTATGCTGTTGTTAACACTTATAGTGCTATTCTGTGTTATTAAGGTTTTAAGTTGCCAAACCAACTCTGTGGAATTTATTTGAGGAAATGACACATGTGCTTTATTGTGGATCCATGTCATAGCCTGTTCTATGGAATATAATTTATCCTCAATAACACATTTCACCACAGTAGTCATTGGTTTATAGAGTAAAGTCCCTTTGAAAAGATCTGATAGTGTTGTGTCTATACCGTTAATCATTGTTTTAACAGTGTTATTAACAGAACTTGTTCCAGTCGTCACCCATCCAAATATTTGTTCATTAATATTTGATTCTGTGTAGTTTATATATTGATTTGTATTGTGGGTCCATATTGTAAGGTCTTTCTTTAAAAAATCTAAATTTGATGAGTTGACGAAATTTTTTGTTGCATAGGATTCAATTTTATTGATGTGTCTTTTCAATACACATAAAATTATTAATTGGAAACATGACACAATGATTCCAAGAATTCCAATTGAAAGAACAAAAATTGCCCTTTCCGACACAATATATGAAATAAACCAGGATAACTTTTTTCTTTTTGACATTGGGTAATTTTTCTTATTAAAAGTAAATAGAAAGATCAAAAAATCATAAATTTTTGTCTGCCAAACATTGAAGTACCTGTTAAAACTTTCAATTACATCAAAGGAATCGTCTAAATCATTATTGGAATCTGTTTCATATTCTTTTTTATCATTCATTATTATAAGAATGTCGTTGTATTTGTCAAATATATCCCTTTCAAAATGTTTCAATTTTTGCCATTGTTTGATCTCTTTCCATGCTTCGGGTAGCATCATCACACATGCACCAAATACTAGCAATACCAATAAAATAATTGTAACAGTTTTTAAATTTTTATTTAGTTCCTGAAAAAAAAATTCAATATCTGGTGTATTTGAAGAGCAAATTCCAATGAAGGACGTATTATCTTTAGCTACTTTATGCGTTTGATATACGCTATGTATATTACTTTTTGCTATAACCTTAGAAACATTTATTGAGGCAATATCATTTTTAATGATCTGGAAAGGTTTTGTAATTAAAGATTTTGTTTCATTTTTAACAGTGTGGAAGTCTGGTGTCTTCGCAGATAGTTCTTTTAATTTCACATTTATTGATGGCGAAATATAAAGCTTTCTTAAGGAATTAATAGTTAAATTTACTTTTTTAATGTTATCTGTAACCTCACTTGCTTTGTTACTATTATTTGAATCTAAATTTTTGAAAAAATTTTTTATCTTAGAGACGCTCGAAATTATTTTATTCAATATAATCGAAACATCATTTAATCCATTTTCTAGATCATCGGCGAAAGTGGATACAGTAGTGTTTACTATGCTGATCAAATTTTCGGTGGTATTTGTTGCTATATCGACAGCACCATCAATAGTACTCACCAATAAGCAGGTATAGGTGCCTAGATATAAATCGATGATAAAAGTTACTAATTCTTCACTCGCAGTTACTAAAAGTGACAATATGGTTAGAATAGACTTTATTGTTTCTTCCATTGCCTTTTTAATTAAATAATTACTTATTGAATTCAAATAGGAATGTGTATTTGTTAAAAAATTGTAATATATTAAATCAATAGTTCTACAATGAGATATAATGAATTGTTTTGAGCTGTTTAATTCATTACATATCGAAATATAGAAAAAAAAAATTTTGAAGAATGAGAGTAATAAAATTATCGTATATTTATTTAACCAGAGCTGTGATAATTTATCATTTAATTGTAAATATGATTTAAATTTGTACATTAGATTCGGCAATTTTGAGTAACTTGATTTTAGAAGAGGAAAAGAAAGAGAGAACAAGAAAGATCTCCTTTTTTTTATTCATTATCTGACCTATGAAAATTAAAAAGTTTAGAATTAACATATGTCGTTCTTTAACTGAAAGGGGGAATATTTCCTGGTGTTTTTATTTTTGTATGTATATACTATATATATTTAACAAGTATGGTATAAGATATAATATGCGACATTTTTAAAACAAAGGTGAAAAATTTAAGTCCAAGAAAAAAAACTAATTGTTAGAATGACACACATGTTATATTAGAAGTATAAAAGAGAACGGAAAAGAAAGAAGCATAAATAGATTGTGTGTAAAAGTATTATAATACATGTGAGATCTTTGTTTCACTGTTGTTGTTGTTGTTGTTTTTTCAAATAAAGACAACAGAAAACACAAAACAATCAGATACATATACAACTAGTACAAAAAACTGTATAATTGTAATAATTACATAATTAAATGTTTATTCTTTTTTTTTTTCTTTCTCCTGCCTTATAAAATATTCCAGGCATCTTCAGCACCATGACAGAACTTAGAACAGGCAACAGATGCGGATAAAGGATAGTTGGACAACCCAATCTTCTCATCTACGTATTCATCAGCGAAATTATCTTTACCCCTTGCCATAGCACCGACAAATATACAAATACTTTCATCAGAATCCAATTTCTTAATATAATCTTGTACACGCACGACAGGTGCATCAAAGGATAGAGTAACTTTACGACATTTTGTTGGTAAATGATCAGTGATTGGGTTTTTGATAACTTTCAATAATTTTTCCTCTGAATTGACGGATCTAATCGACAATTTGTGTAATAGCTGAACCATTAGTCCAGAGAATCTTTTAAAAGTTCTTGGTATACGGACGGTTGGATTGACTTCAATAAGAACACCTTTGCTTGTTTGGATGTAGACTTGTAATTTACCAGCTTTATTGATGGGAGAATCCAATAGAGTCAACAGACATTGATGTGTGATATCTGGTCTAGCCTCACTTATATCTCTACCCATTTTTTTCAAAATACCTTGATGATCATCACAGTTCAACAGAGCATACTTATCACCACCTGGGCCATGGGACGATATCTTGTGTGTTTCTAGAGAAGCCTGAGCTAAGACTACGATTAGTCTTTGTGTGGTTTTATCCTTGGAGGTGAGAACAGTTGGTGCTTGAGGGACTAAAGACGCAGGTAATGCTTTTTCTTCACCATTTCTTATGGCATCTCTTACTCTTGAATCTTCAACCATAATATATATGTGTATGTATATGTATATGTATATGTATGTGTATATGTGTGTACGTGTGTGTGCGTTAGTGTATAGGTGTGACCCTAATTTAATGTAGAATGGAATATTATGAATCAACACATGAGGGAATGAAGAGAAGAACAATACCTATGATCGTACTGTACACGCAACCATTAAAAATTAACCGATGCTTGCCATCATTACTTCTTCATACGTTCTTCATTTTCTTATTATGAGTATTTTATTCTATTTTATCTTATTTCATTCTTAAAAAAAATTAAAAAAAAAAGAAAGAAAAAAGAAAAATTTTATGTGTACGTATATCGTTCTGTACGGAGAACAACATAGGAGGTCAGAGATTTGCTGTAGAGGTCTTAAGATGCAATAAAAGATGGTGTCTGTGTGTCTCTTTTGAGATATTAAACGTTGATAAATTGTTTGAGATCTAAGTTGGAATGATGGATAACAGGTTTCCCCTCATTTTTTTTTATTTTTACTTCTATTTTAGTGTTCCCTTAATCGTTGTGGGAGCCTCACTATACATTGTACAGTAATTGTTACTAATATAAAATATTGTTGAGAATGAGTGTCTGTAGTCATTGGATATATAGTAAACATTCTCAATATTATATTAAATAGATTTAGTATACAAAATTATAATAAAGTTCTTCACTTTCTTTCTCTATATACAACATAGAAGTAATAATACGCAAAGATTGTAAATAAGATAAAAATAATGTATGATGAAATCCTTGGCTTTATATATGTTAACATTAAGCCATTTTCCTCTACAAACAGTAAGATATTTAATAAACAAACTCAACAACCTTTGGTGACCTCTCAACAATTATTACTCAACAATTTATCGTTTAGTGTCTGCTAAAATCTTATTGTTCTATCTATTTCATTATAGAACATTCTATTTCAACAAATATATATATCTATGTATGTATGTATTGAAGGCAACATATAGTTGGTGTAACGTTATGTGTGTGGTTGATCCAGTAAAGTATGTAAATGACACTACCCATTACTTCTAAATGGGAACTTTTTGGAGATGTCTTGTGTATGTGTGTGTGTTTCATTTAATGTTTAGTTGGATAAATTGTTTGTTTGCTTGTTTGTTTCGTTTTTTTCCTCTTCTTTTTGGTGACAAAAGTGGCCTGCAAAAGGTTCGAATGGGTAGAACAGAGAAAGAAGGAGGAGGAAAACCATTGCAAGAGAAATAAACATAAACATCCCAAAAGAAGAAACAATGCATGATGGATCTGATAGGATGTTAAAGGACCTAGTCACAGAGACCAAATACATCAGCAACAGCATCAACATATTAAGATAAGCTAAAGGATGTAGACAAACAATAGATACATCATATGATTCCCCATCCATGAAATAAAAATGAATAAAGAAGGAGATAGGGCTGCTGATAATGAACATAACCATGATGGTGATGAGAGTTTGTTTTCCTCGGATGATGATGATTTGATATTGGGTTTAGCTAATCAACCATCTAAATTTACACAAGCTGCTCAAACACATAACTATGAACGTACTGCTGATTCCATAAACATTCCTGCAAGCATTAATCAAAACACTAATAACAATAGTAATGACAAAAATAATGACAACAATAACAGCAATAACGGTTATATTAAATCTTTGTATGATAAATTAACAGTTGCTCAAGGAGAAGCTAGTATGCTTAGAGATAAAATCGAATTGTTTAATAAAAATAGAGATAAGGAAAGATTGCTTCAATTAGAAAAAGAAAATCAAATCAAACAGGATACTCTAAATGAAGTTAATAAATTAAAAGAAATCATACAAAGATTGGAAGATGAAAAAAAATTCTTACTGATTGAAAATAAAACTTGGTCAAAATTCAACAAAATTAAAAATAACAACAACAACAATAATAATAATACTAACTACAGTACTGTAAATAATAACGATAATTCTTCTTCTTTTCTAGGTGGTGATCTTAAAACAATTAAATCCTCTCCATCCATAAAAAAAAAGAAAGGTTGGTGCTGATTTTTTAAATAAACACAATTTTGTTCAGTTGAACAATTCCATGAGAAACATCTCATCTGATGAAAGTAACCAGTTATACGATACCTTATTGAGTCATAGATTAAACCAATGTGATATGACCACTTTGCAAATCCTTAATAATATCAAACTAGGTCATATTAATAGTTTCAATTATAGAACGTTTACAATCGACCAAAATCAATCCATTGGTGAATCAATAACAACTTTCTTATTGATTAATAAAAAAAATATGAAGTTAGATAATTTTATCAACATAATTCTGGAAAATCTTGCAAACCTAATTAAAGAAATCTCTTTAAATGAAAATGAAACAAGTTTATCTATACCATTCCTTATATGTTTAATGTTTCAGACTATCCAGTTTAGGCCAAGTACCGTTCATTACACATCTTTAAGAGAGTTATTTATTTTCTTATGTGATTTAATTAAAAAAAATCAACATGTCTTGAGAAAGCCGTTACATGACTCACCCCTCCACATTAATGTTGAACCCAGAATCTTCCAATATGAAATGATAGATGACCTAATTATATGTTTCTCATTCGACACCTTGGAAATGATTCTAAAGATTTTACAGAACCATAACAATATTGATAACTTTATCGATTTTTTGAATATCGACATCTTACAAAATTTGGAACAGTTATATAAATTATGTTTCTCCATCTCCTATAATCCAATTATTAATATAATATTCAACATGGTAGGGATATTGAATACATTAACAAATATTTTGATATCTGTCATTAATATAAAGGAACATAGCGATACTAAGAACTTCCCACAAGCCAGTTGGTGGAGTAATTGTTTGCCCAGGTTATACACACTATTGAATACAAACATACGGAATTTTAACCCGATTGAAGAGACAGATTCTAACTGTTTTTCAAAAAAACGATATTTCGATGTAGCCGGATTAATAAGAAACATTGGTCATAATTCATGGTCCAAATTCATATCAAAATTAATCTGTAGAGGTAAATTACAATTTTTACCAAGAGTCATTTACAAAGACGATATTTTAGATCCAGATCATTATGAATCCATAATTGTTGGTCAACTTGATTTTAAACCAGAGAGATGGTTACATCTTTTGAAAAATGACATTTTACAAATATTGGAGAACCTTTTGTACCTTTATCCTAATAATGAAATTATAGCCAATGGTGATATGCTATTTGAATTGACAAAATTTCTGTCTCGTGAACAAGAAGAATTGCTAGTAACATATATTGGCCAAGATAACCCAAATGTAATGCTCAAGATTCAAAATGTGGAACATACAATCAGATTAATATACCAACTAATGATCTATTTTGGTGATAACATTAGTGATCAAAATATAAAATCAATAGAATCTGAACTGGTCACCTCTTTATGGAGGATAATAGTATCACAAGTAGATGACCATATACGCTCCCATGACGATATGAAAGATCATCGTCATCTAGTTGACAAGCTAAATGAGCTGACATTAAAAGATGATAAATTGTATTATGAAGATGCATTGGAGACTATACCTGAGTATATTATGGATGAATTATCAAATGATTTAGAGTCCAGGTCCTATAAAATTATGCAAATCAAATATGATAAAGTTTATCAAGAGATGGCAAAGATTATATTTGAGACCAAATTGAATGGACTTCTTACCATGGATGAAATAGATTCGTTATATAGTGCAATGGGACTCTGAAACACACACCTACATATATATATATATACATAGTGATATATTTTTCTCATATAACTGCATAGTATATTCATTTCCCAATACTTGTTTTCTCTCATATTCGTACCTTTAGATACTACTTGAATCACTCTATATAATCTCTAAATGGGATCAGCCATGTTTCTATTGTCTTCTATGACAAAGGAAAACACTAACGAGTATTATAGAGAAAAACAAACAATATATAACCATATACAAATACTAAAATTTATTTATTAATTTTACGTATATATATATATTTATATATTTATAGAAATTTATGCATGTATTAAATTAATTAAATACAATACAAAACTTAAGCGGAGGCCTTGGCAGCAGTACCAGTTTGGAAGCCGTTCTTGAATCTTCTAGAAACGTGCTTCAAGTATTGCATTCTACCGGTACCAGTAGTTCTTCTTCTTTTGGCCTTGGCACCCCAGTTGTAAGATCTAGTCTTGGCACTTGGGTAACCACAAGAGGCACAGGTGCTCTTTTGAATGTGGAAGGAACGACGACCACATCTCTTACATAAAGTGTGGGATTTGTTGTGACGCTTACCGAAAGATGGAGTACCCTCTATTTAAAAAACAAACAAACAAACAACAATTGAGTCATTCATTATTCATTGATCATCATATAATTTATTAAGGATATGTATTTGAATGTTAAAGTTCAACATATACGATATAATAAAAAAAGAGATGAGAGAAAAACAAAATCGTTAGTAATTAACTTTCCTTACTTTTTCAAAATCAAATTCTCGCAGTACAACAACAATAAATCATATAAAATGAAGAGGTAACTCGGGCATATATTCTGTGCTCTGTGGTATTCAAAGTTGACCATCATAATATATTCATTTCCTCCTTCACTTCTGCTTTTATCTATTCATATGTGAGATGCCAGTCTACCAAGTATCAAAACTTATTAATTACAGAGTTCTGATAGTCCTATCCCATACAATTGAACCAAAAGGAAAACACAATTCTCATATCAAATAAAAATTTTTCACACATATCACACTATCGGAAAACACAATTTACTTAACAACAAATCACTAAATCAAAAATAACAATATTTTTCCCTAAAACATAAGTGACGAATCGAAAGTTCCAACTTGGTTTAATATTCTAATAAATATTGTCTCTCTGCTTTGTCCTCTTTTTTACTTCCACATTTATTTATCAAATTACTGATTTATTTCGATTGAGTACTTCAATTATCACATTATATTTTCAAATAACAATATTTCCCTACATACTACCCATTTTTACTTATCTTTATTCGTTTGGTTACGGGTTGTTTAACAAAGAAGAGGAGATTTACTATACAAGAGCAAGCTATATTAACACTTCTCTTATAAGAAGCAACGTTACCAATGTCTTCAATGTTTTATTAAACTCTATCTGTACAAGGAATTGGAAAGTGCCTCTTCCTAGCTCCTACTTCACAACAGTACGTTCAATAGAGTAAGACATTACACCCTTCCCATACAAAAGAGTTCCTCTACCCCCCATTTACTCAGACAAACATCAGTACTGAGTAAGTCTCTCTTGCCATTCCTTGACTTGTGTTCTCTAACGTTCAACTCCTTCCTTTCCCCTCTCACTGTGCATGTTTGTTTGAACGTCTTTCTCTCTACCTGTCTATCTCGCCTGTTCGCGTCTCTCTCCACTGCGCTGTATAATTGCGCATCGGTTGTGGAAATCCTTTCCAGTTCTTCCCTCTAAAGTTTATTTTCTCGGTTCTGTTTACCCTCCACCACTAAAAGATAGGTATGGGAGAACAAGGAGAAAGAGCTTGCACCAAACAGGAAAAACAAACAAACCAAGAAGCAAACAGAAAAAAATAAAAAGGAAACCGAAACATGTCGGCATGTTACTAGAATAAATATCTAGAATAGGAAATTATTACATTTAACAAAAAAAATAACAAATTCGTCTTTTCTGCACCTGAGAAAAACAAATCCCGACAAGTTCACTTAGATGTCTGGATGTTAAAACAGTCATGTTTTTTTAGTTTGTTTGTAAATGACGCGTAAACAGCTTGGCGTTTACAATTTCTTTTTCGTGTTCACAAGCACGTAAAATAACAATTGAACAAAAAGATATATATTCCAGATCTACAGATAAAAATATGATCAAAGGCAAAAATCCTGATAATCTAAAACATTTTAAAAATGTATCACAGAGTAATACATTAGGGTATATTATTACAGACTTGAACTGCCTAGTCTTATCATTGGAATAAATCGATTGATGGAAGGGGTAAGAATTAAAGGTCTGACAAGCTGGTGTAATAGAAAAATCTGAGGAAACAAAAGAAAAAAAAAGAACAAGTAAGGAGCAGAAGTACATATTAGCTGCTATTATAAAAAAAATAAAATGTCTAATAACTTCCCCCCATCTTCTCCTGTTAAATGGTATCAGTCAGATCATATCTCCTCCAAAAATAACAAGATTAGCGAAGATAAATCAAATCTATTGTCTGATGATCATAAACAAATAATAACCAATGACCATCGCACCCATTCCGACCGTTATCCTACTCCAAATCCTTCTTCAAGTATCGGAATTTTTATTCCATCATCTCCTGTGTCTTCTTCTTTTGTAACAAAGGATATCAATACCAATAAAAATAATACCACCACTACTAATAAACATTATACACGACAACTTTTGTCTGATTTTTCTCCAACAGAACATTTCAATATTAAAACACATCCTAATGCAATTAACAGTATAAATACTACAACCTGCGATACTATACCTATCTTTCTTAGTCCTAATACATCACAACATTATATACTTGGTCGAAAATCAAGCATATGTGACATAAAATTGCCACATCATAAAAACATATCAAGGCAACACGCAATTATATCTTACAATGACAAAAATAAAATACTTAACATAAATTGCCTAGGTCATAACAGTATGATTATATCATTTCAAAGTCGGACTGATTATTCTTTAGAAAGCGTGGAACCAAAGGATAATAAACTTAATGAAAAATCTATTGGTAAAATGTATAAAATAGCATCACATATACAAAATAATAATAAAATTAGCAATAGATTGCTGAAAAGGCATAACAATTTGATATCATTTTCCCTTTTAAAGAATGAAATTGTGCAATTACCCCTGATAGACAATATAATTTTAGATTTTAGAAAGTGTAAATGTGTGATTAAATTGTGCCAAGATGATTGTCATGATACTGACACTGAAGATGAATTTGCATTGTTTCCTACAAAAAGTGATGATTTTGTTTGTACACCGACAAAACATTTGGTACCAATTTATCCAAATCTGGATAATTCACCAACAACTGAAAAAAGTTCTCACATAAATGAAAAAGGTAGTCCAAGCATGCTTTTGAAAACACCATCTCCAAAACAGCCACCATCATCACGACAACAGCATTTACCGTATAATGACACCCTAAATCAACAACTACCACAGACTCCAATAAAAAAAAAATATAAATTTGATACGGATGTATATAATAATATACGTAGATTGAATAATGTGGAGTCACCCATTAAAAAATTCTCAAAGACAATTGACGATAATATTAGTTTATCAAGTATATTAAAATCTGAAACATTAGCAGAAACAACAGCGGAAAAAAAATCTTTTAAACTTGAAAATCACACGATACCTAAACCGATAGAATCAGTAAATATTACTTCGAATATTGGTAAAGGTTATGAGTTTAAAGTTGAATTACCAAAAAGCTTCCACAATAATATAAATAATATCAGTGTCGAAAATGAAACATATCCATTTGAGCAAGATAGTACAAACAAACATAAACCATCATCAAATAAAGGTATAAGTGTATTTGAATGGAGTCCTAATATTGAAAAAAATGATAACACTAAGTATTCAGTAACTGAAGACTTAATACAACACGGCTCCAAAAATATGGATAAATTGACTAGAGAACCACATTTAGATCAGTATGAAAGAAACAATAAGATAAGTGAAAGATATCATCTATCATCATTAGTGTCAGAGAAATCGCACCTAGAAGTCAAAGATGAGTCAACATCAAAAAAAAGAAAATTAAATACACAGCTTAACATACATAAAAATACAGGTATTACTCAAACTCTAAATAAAAAAGATATTAATTTACAGGATGTTTCAAGAATAATTGTTAATCAAATTGCATTTTCAAATTTAAAACAAACACCTTTATCACATATAATGAATATTAATGGCACTACAAGATCCCTGACAAAGGATAAAATTAAATCCTTGTTGCGTGACATACCATGTATCGGAGAAATCAAAAGATATGGCAAGGACGCAGCAGGTAACTTACTAGAAGCAGATTATTATTATGATCTAGAAAATGATGATGATAAAGAAAGAAGAAGTGTTCTAATTTCATTGAAAGGTGGGAAAAATCTTGGGTTAAGATCATGTCGTAAAACTCATAAACAATATTATTGGAAAAAACCATCTAAAAGGTAGATTTTTGGAAACAAAGAATATTTAACTATAAAAAAGATGGAGAATTCTCCCTATACAACAACTAATAATTGTTTTTTATTTATAGATTTGTGATATAGAAAATACCTATCGGTCTGGACAACTTTATGATATAATGAATTAAAATGAAAAAAAAAAATAAGAAAACGAAAATCAAGTGCAAAACACACAGCATAAACTGATTTTTCCTATATTTATATATTATTATTTATATATGGATGAATATATGTATATATATATATAAATTATTCAATGCATTGTTTAAAAATTAACTACAAAAGTCTTTGATAAAAACCATAATGATGTTTTATCAAACCCTTATAACATAAACTATTGTTTCATCTAAAATAATTCATCTAATAATTCTTTATAAATTCCAATTTGGAAATTATCCAATTCAACTTTATTCAATGGAGGTATATGTAAAGGTTCGTCAAAAGACGTAGTTGGAGTGTATAAAGTAAATTGATTATTTTTGTTTAAATCTAAGAATTGTGGACTTCTAGTCATCTGCTCATAAATTGATAATTCTTTTCTACTATTATCATAGTATTTGGAATCTATATTTAAATTATTGGGGACTGCGCATAACCAGATTCTCGTCTTATAGTATTTAAACAATTCCTTAATTAATTCTCTAAAATCATTTCTTTCTTCACATATATAATAAAATGTGAGTTTTTTCCTATCAAATTGAAATTCAGAATTTAAGATCTTTATATTTAGAGGCTTTTTCATGTTATTAGTATTGATACCACTGACATTTGTGGAGTTTCCGTCATTGCTCCTTAAATTATTCAAATTTTGTAATTTCAACTGGGCAACGTGCAAAGCTTTTAATTCATCTTGAAACTTATATTGAAGATTGGTCATAACTTCCCAAGGAGTAGCAAATCTTAAAACTTGTTTTGACGGTATAATAAATTGAGTCAGTTCTGTGGTATCATACAATTTATTGTTTAATTTTTCACCAATACCATTTTTAGAATTGATTAATGCTTGGATAAATTTATCGTTTGGGTAATGTTGGCTTTTAGTAGTAATCAACGAATCAAAATGTACTTTTTTCTTTAAAAAATTAGCAAATAAAGCCAAATTCAAACTGATATCGGATTCCACAATTTGCACTAAATCTTTACCTCTATCACCATCAATGAGCACTAGATCACCTCTTTTCAATTGAAGGTTTGTGTTTTGGGTAGTTGATAACAATTCCAATTTCCCATTTTTCAAAGCTACTAAAACCAAACCTTTTGGCTTGAAAGATATCATATTCTGTATGTTCTGATTTGCTAGACCATCATTATCGGTATTAGAACTCTTACTTATTTGTGATATAAAATCCAGATTACAATTATGAAGAAATTTTAAAAAATCCAAAACTTTTATCTTTCTTTCTTGATCAATTTGAACATTTGAAAATGTACTATCATTTTGTGAAGCTAACAAATCCTTAATATAGTCGACAAATGGAAAGACAACATTACTTGAGAAATAATTATTACCACATGTCTCATAAAATCGATGCAACTCATTTGAAGAGGTAATATTCTTCTCGTCAATCAGTAAAAGACCATCATCTATAGATACTTCATTGGGTTTATGGGTATTGCGTATGGTGTGTTCGACAAGATAATTTGAGGTTTGATTGTTTATTGAATTATCAAAATTATATCTGTTGTTTGATACATCACCATTTGATATAGAATGGTGTTTTCTGATATTATGGTTAGGACTTGGACCTATATTTGAAGGAGGTAATTGACCAAAACGATTCGGTGGATATGCTAACTGAGTGAAGTTCTGATTTGTATAACCATTTACATTCAAAGGTATATTATTAGGTATATTCGTTGCTGTTGTTGTTACAAAGGCATTAGAAGAAGGATATCTTCTACTTTCGTCATGGACCCATACAGTGTTTTGTTTTTGATTATGAGTATGATCTAAATGTTGTTGATTTTCCGGTAAAGATAAGTGTCTGTGAAAGGGATAACGACTGCTTAAAACGTCATTGCTAGGGTAGTTGCCATTAAACTTTACACTATTTTGAGGTAATTGAAACAAATTATTGTCGAAAGTAGAATAAGGGGTAGCAGTAGTCGTTGCAGTAGTAGGTATAACCGTTTGACTTATATTTAAATTCTTGAAACCAGTAATGAAACTGAAATTATCTAATTGTCTATTAACAACGCCAGTTGAATGTGTGTGATTATTATTCATAATATTGTCTGAATATTCTGATAAAGAAATCTCACTCTGGTTTTTAAATAACAATTTTTCATAGTGGTTACGTAAATCCTGATTATCAGAGATACTTGTAGTACTATTAATCGAAGGTAATTCCATTGTTAGTATATGTATATATAGTCTTTCTTTCTTTCTTTTTTTCTTTTTTTATTGTAATTTTTCTTTTTTCTATAATTTAGTTTGGTTAAAGGATAAGGGATGGAGATCGAGTTATATTTTAAAAATATCTAGTAACAAGGAAATATAACTTTTAACTTGGTTAATGGTTATTATTTGGGAATATAATCTATCTAAGTCTATCAACAGGAATAATCTTTCTTATAGTACTGTTATAATAGTCTATCAATATTAGTCAAACGATAATGATACAATTTAAAAAAAAAAGAATAATAACAATATTATTATTACTATTATTACTAGTTCGTGGAGCAATTAATTAATGATCGAATATTCAATAGAAAAAGGTTATCCTCAGTAAATCAGACCTTAGAAGGCAAAGACAGAGGGAAAAAAAAAGATAAGCAATCAAAAAGTAAAATTAATTAATCAAAATATATAGTTTTTCTCTTTCTATAATTTTTTATAGATACTTTGTAATACTTTTAAAAATAACTAATAACTAACAAACAAACTATGAACCTCTCAATATATAGCCAATGTGATATATTGGTAAAAAAAAAATACACAGACTAGACATATTTTAGCAATAAGAAAAAAAAAGCCATGATTCTAATTCCAACATGGATAATCGGTCAATCCTTTTCTTTCCCTCCACCTCTTTCATCTCTCTCTCTTTTTCTCTTTCTTACTCTCTATGTCTTAATTTTGCAGAACATGACAATAGAGACAAAGAAAATGACAGAATAGAGAGCTCGGAAAGAAAAAAGAAACGACAACTATATGAAACACACACGCACACAAACACCCAGACCTTCCGTGGGTGGCTGGGTGGATATTTTAGCTGTGGTGCATACAGGGTGTATGGGTTCTTTGATTTAGTGTGTGGTATATGGGTGTAACACTCTCGAGGACGATTGTAACACAAAAGAAAGTGTAAAACAAAAAAAAAACAAAAGAGAAAAAGGAGAGAAGGAGAAGAAAAAGGGGTGGTGGATTGCGAACAATACACTTCGTCAAAGTCCGAGCATTTTCTTTTGTTTTCTGTTATTTTTTTTTTTTTAGAGTATAGAAAATCATGCAAGATCTGCAAGATCAAAGGGGGGAAAAAGGAAAGGGGAGGAGGAAATCATAAGGAAAGAAAACTATATAAAATTGTCATATACAACTTCTGCTCTAAATCTTTATTTTATTGTTAATTATATCATAATAATATAGAAAAGCTATATGAGTATTTGAATATAAAGGTAGTGGTGATATTGGAGTTGCAATGTTTCAATCAGTGAAGGGTGCCCAAGGTGTCTCCTTTTTCACCCCCAAACAACCAATATTAGGCGAATTTGTTAAATATTTGGACAATTCAAAATTGGAAAACATAAATGATAGGTCTCCCCCTTTGTTGTTCACACCGATGAAAATTAGATCCATGACTATCCCCAATAGAATAACAGTGTCACCGATGTGTACTTACTCTTCCATTGATGCATCCCCAACTGTTTTTCATACTGTTCATTATGGTTCCCTAGCTATGAGAGGGCCGGGTCTGATTATTGCAGAGTATACTTCCATCTGTGAAGATGGGAAATTTTCTTTTAATGATTTAGGTCTTTGGAATGATCAATTAGCGTCTGATCATTATAGTAAAATAGTAGAATTTGTACATTCCCAAAATAGTAAAATTGGTATTCAATTAGGTCATTTCATTAATAACAACACGACCTCTAATACATTGGAGCCTCCTTTTTTGGTGAACACTTTAACTACTGATGACATTGATCAAATGATTAAAAATTGGGGGGATGTATGTCAAAGAGCAATTCATATATCCAAATATGATTTTATTGAGATTCAAGCCAGTCACGGCTATATATTTCAACAGTTTTTATCTCCACTGTGGAATAAGAGATCAGATTCGTATAATGAAAATCTGAAAGGAAGAATGAGTTTTTTATTAAAAGTGATCGATGAGATACGTAATAAAATTTCTTCTGATACCCCTATTTTCATTAGGTTACCTGATTGTGATAAATCTGAATCTAAGTATTGTTTAACACAAGAAGATACAGTCCAAATATGTATTGAACTCGTGAAGCATGGTATTGATGTCTTGGATTTTGTATGTGTTAATCCCGGTGATTTAAAGATTCCTCGATATCAAGGCAAAACAAGATTTTTGGAAAAGGTAAGGCACAGTTTGAAGGAGAACGGCTTATCCGCAATAATATGTTCACCATCAAGAATTTCATCGGCAAGAGAAGCAGAGACAATTCTTCAAAGTGGAAAACAAGACCTTATTGTTATTGGGTCTCAATTCTTAAAGAATCCTGCTCTAGTAACAGATTTTGCTAATCAATTAGATATACAAATTACACAACCCGTCCAATATTCTTGGGGATTTTATCCAACAAATAATCATTTAGAAACTATAAAATCCAAATCAAAATAAAAAAAAATTAATTTATAAATGTTACAACAATAATAGAAACAAACAAATATACATTTGTATAGGTATTTTTATTGATATATTTACAATAATAGTAAAAATAAAGTGTCCTCAATAGAAAATGATACGTATATGTCCATATATCGAAATGCGTATTCTTGTTATTAAAGCTCCAAAAATACAAATAATTGCTAATTCATTAGTTACTTCTTCTTCTATTTTGTGCTAAAGAATGAAAAATAAAAAAAATGTCTATCAATATAATATATTTTGATTGTGTAAAATAGATATTAAATGAAACAGGAGAATTGAAGATGGAAAAGAATAAATATGGACGATTATAATAATTCTTTCCTTGTATAGACTAATATTACTTTTGTAAAACACCTTCCTTCGTTAAAATATTTTCAATTTCTCCGATTAATCGTCTAACAGCTTTGGATGAACCAGATTTCTTCTCGATTTGAACCCGACTATGTTTACCATTCCCAGTAATAGAAATCCTAAACACTGTAGACCTTAACGAAAGAATATTATCACTAGATAATTTACCAGTAATTACTCTAGTTTCACTGTTGCCTTTAAGACCTTTGATACCGTATGTTGCCCATCCTCTTAAAAGATTATATAAACCCTGATATAATTGGTTTGCTGAGACTGTGGTATTCAATGTAACAAGCCCACTACCATTAGATGATTTAACATTATTAGTTTGACTTATACCACCGGACAATTTTCTAAAGAAATTAGTGGCACCTTGAGAGTCTTGTCTTGGTTTTTGTTCTGTCATCTTAGAATTTCTTTGTTTAGGAACATTAATTTTTTCATTTTTATCCTGTTCAGTTAATGTTGTAGATTCCTTAGAGGATGGTTTGGGTGCATCTCTAATATTTTCTTCCCTTAATTTTTCTTCAACCCTTTCGTCGTTATTCTTGGATGATATGGTTTTCTCTTTTGTTAACTCATTGTTGTCTTCTTCTTCTTGAACGTCAATTTTCTTAACCTCTTCAATCTCTTGATAAATACCCAATCCAGCATTCTTGGAATCTAATGGAGGCAAAACTGGCAATTCAATCTTTTCTGACTCTTCTTCTGGTTCAGAGAGTGGTGTTTTCTCTTTTTGACTATATCTATCTGCTAAATTTAACTTTAAAGCTTTTTTCTTTTCGGATAGTTCAGGTAACTCATCAACTTCATATAATTTATTGTCAGCACTTTCCTTGCTATTCTCATCATCAATAATAGATTCAAAATTAAATTCTGAATCTTCTTGATTATTCACCAAATAACCATAATTCTTGCCCTTATTTATAGTCTCAGCATTATAATCGCCGTTCTTCACAATATCTGCAAGATTTGTATAGGATTGTTTTGTGGAATATAAGGATAATACAGATAGTCTTTTATTAGATTCACTGAAATGTCTTGACTTCCTCGTAAATTGAGGAATCTTAATGTCAGAAATTTTTCTTACTTCTCTTTGATCATCATATGATCGTAATGGAGCAATAGCAACAGCATTTCCAGGTAATGGTTCATTTTCCTGAATATCTACCAAAGGAGGTCTAGCTGAAGGTAACACTGGTGGTTGCACAGTAGGTGGGCGTTGAAGTTTAGTACTAGCAGTTCTTAATTCACGATTAATATCAAAGGTGGAACCCAAAAATTTAGACCTCCTGATTGTCTCCAGAATCATTTTTTCTGTCTTCAGTTTTTCACTAATATCCTCTTGTCTAAGTTGCACTCTTCCGCTTGAATATGCGTTATCACTAACAGATGATAATGGTTCTGATGATTCAAAGAATAACCCAGGATCCAACCTGGATACAGGTCTTGTTTGCAAAGAAAAATCACGTTGACGTAAAATATCATCTATATTAAAGTCATCATTATTCTTTGTATTGCTTTCTTTTGAATCAAGTGGAGCAGAAACAGATCTGAAGTCTGCATTATTCTCTTGAGCCTTTAAATTTTCTAATTCTTTCTTTAAATTACCTATTTCTTCTTCCATCTGCCTTTTTTGATCTGCTTTTGCTTTCTCTTGAGCTTCTAATTCAAGTTGTTTTAGTCTTTTTTCCTCTTCCTGTCTTTTTCTTTCAGCTTCTTCACGTTCTTTAGCTTCTCTAACTTTTTTAGCTAGCTCCTCCTTTTCTTTTCGTAGTTGTTCATATTTCTCATGTTCAAAGATTTCATCGATAAGTGTGGCAAAATCAGAGCTTGTTCTCTTTGTCTCCTGTTCAATATATTCCCACTCGTCGTCTTCAGAAAGTTTTGTATAAGTAGCAAGTAATTTTGTGGTGATAGACCCACGTTTCATATTTGGTAGCATTGATATTCTTTTACTATTCCTGGCGGTCTTCTTTCCATTCTTGTGCTGTGATCTATTATTAGTATTACTATTCACTATTATTGAATATCTGTCAGATTTAATTTTGGAAAGTCTTCTATTTCTTGAAGCTGGGGTAGGTGATTCATTATTGGAAGTGGACATTTTAGATAATCTCTTTGAATGATTCTTTCCACGGTTAGCAGAAGAAGATGATACAAGATTTACAGAAGACAGGCTTGTGCCCGAGGGTACTTTGATGTATGAAATAGGTCTTTTATGTGATGATCCAACACTGATCATTGATGCTCTATTTTTCCTTCTTTGTGGAGTAGACATATTTTTATTTGGACTTCTGTTGTTGAAACTACTATTATTTTGAGAATTTTGATTATTGGCAATGCTTGGTGACGTTACTGATTGTCTTTTTCTTATATGTTCATTCTTTAAGTTTTCTTGTTCTGCATCCATTTTAAATCTATATAAGAGAGCGTAGAGTGTTTTTTCTGCATTTGCACCTGGCTCAGTCAATTTTGCTTTAATCTCATCCCCGTTTCTACCATGCCATAAAACAATTAAATTTTGTAAAATGTTTTCATCTACTATAGAATTTGTCTCTGCTAATGGGTGTAAATATGTATCTTCACGAGGTAAATTTCTAATACTCTTAGAATCCTTAATGGATGGATATTTTTGTAATAAAGGATGTTTTAGTATATCGCGGGCACTAATTCTTTTCTTGGGGTCCACAACAAGTATCTTACCGATCAAATCTTGTGCTTCATTAGAGATTTCATCATTGTCTGGCATTTCAAAACGACCACTTTGTACTTTTAATAGCAGATTTCTAATATTTCCATCTTCTTCATCAAAAGGTAATCTACCAGTTAGTAAAGCAAATAATATGACACCGCAAGACCAAACATCACTGGCAAAACCATGGTATGGGATACCTGAAACGATTTCAGGTGCTGCATAATGAGGCGAACCACAAGATGTTTCTAATAATTTATCTTCAGTTTCTAATGCAGCCATGCCAAAATCCGCAATCTTAATATTGTACTTATTATCCAGCAACAAATTTTCGGGTTTAAGATCTCTGTGAACTATACCTAATGCGTGGCAGTACGATATTCCGATAATAATTTGTCTAAAAAATCTGATAGCTTCATTTTCAGGTAATGGACCGCGTTCTACCAATAAATTAAACAATTCACCTTTTTCTGCGTATTCTAAAACCATATAAAGATTACTATTAGTCTCCCAAACATCATACAATCTTAAAACATTTGGATGGTTCAATAACTTCATAATGATAATTTCACGTTCGATTCCATAAGGTAAAGAATCAGGAGTACTACTCTGGGCAAAATAACTCTCTTTACCGTTATTACTGTTATTATTACTGCTATCTGTTAGAGCCTGGGATTTAAAGATCGCTTTAGATATAATTTTGATAGCTGCATGTTTATTCAAGTTTTTATTGTATGCCAATTGAACTTTACCAGTGCTTCCAAAACCTAAAGTCTCTCCTAATTTCCATGACCCGATCTGATCCCCTTTAATCGTTGGTGCTGCTTTATTAGAGAGCATAATTGGTGATTTTTTCAATTTTGTTATACTTCTCTTTATATTATTATCCGATGCTATCTGCTTGAGTTTTATCGAACGAGTGAGATTATATTATAGAATAGTTTAATGTATTTTTATTTTACTTGAGATAGAAAACACAGAAAAAAAAATAAAAAATAAAATGAATGGACTTAATCCTTATTAGAGTAATTATTTAAAGGATAGATATGGTTCCGATTATTGATTAGAATAACGAATGGTCTTTATTGATGGAAATTAGATCTTTGTAGTTATTATCTTGTGTCGATACATCTTTCCCTCTTTTTTTTTTTTATCGATCTAACCATCAAAAAAAGAAGGTGAAGATGTAAGAGAAAAATTCTCGAGAAACGCGTAAAATACGTCAAAAAATTTTTTTTAGTTCTTCTTCGAAAAGAAAAAAAGCTGAAAAAAACCAAAAAATTAAAGGTCTTACGCGTTTTTCATTAAATTACCATATATGGATATATTGGTCAAAATAGGAAAGTGACAAATCATTCGCAAGAAGGAAACAAATCAGAAATAAGAAAAGACTACCTTTGGAGTTTACGAACAATAAATCAAACATTGGAACAGCTTAAAGGAGTGCTATTAGACAAGTTGTTGGGCTTGCTTTTTGTTTAAGCATTAAGTATGCTAGAAGGTGGATATATAGGTATATATGTATGCAAGTGTGAATAGATATACTTCTAGTTATGGTAATGCGAGAGTAAAATGCTTACAAAGTTAACATGTAGTCATTAGCAAATAATTTATTTTTTTTTATTTGTTCAACTAGTTGTAAATATGTATAAATAAATAAATATATATATTTATATAAATTTATTCCATTGCAGCGAAACCACCAATTTGTTCTCTATGAGCTTCAATTAGGTCATTATCTTCCATATCAAGCATGGCAGGGGTTTGATCAGCTTGAATTCTGACACCATCATACAGGAATCTCAAAGAATCCATTTCTTTACCTTGTCTCTTTGCAAATGCCTCCATCAATCTTTTCAATGGGGTGGTTCTTTTAATCTTGAAGAAAATTTCGGATTGACCATCTGAGACTTTCAAGTTGATGTGAGTTTCAGATTTGACTTCTGGAGAAACAGCATTAGTTTCTGGTTTAACTTCAGTATTTTGTTCAGGTGACTCAGACATTTGTTGTTATTATATGTATGAATGTGTGGATAGAGTAAATATGGTGGATAGAGAGGGATTGTTCACTTGAACGAGCTTAAAAAAAAGTAGCTAAGAGAACAGGGAACAAAGAGGGAAAAAATAAGTTTTAGACGAAATGTATTTGTATCAGATCTTTAAACATCACAAAATAGCCATCGATCACAATTTCAAACAACTGGTTTACAAACAGAAGATAGAGTAAGTCGTTTGTATTAATGGCATAGAAATGTCATATCACCACTACAAAAGTTTCGATTTGCAAATGAGTAAAATTGTTCAAACTTGGCGATGGAAAGGGGAAAAATCGAGAGAAGGAAAGAATAAATAAAAAAAGAAAAAGAAAAAGAAAAAAAGAAAATGGAAATCCGATCAGAATTACACCCATACACCTCCATGGCAGGGTAATCTCGAACAATTCCGGCTGCGGGATTTGTTTCTTAATCCCGCCAAACGTTTTCGGATTGATCATTCATATTAAAAGTAGAACACATTTGTATACAAAAAATATATAGGACATGCTATGTATATTGATGCATTGATAAGGATATGGTTATAACAATCGTTCCTTTTGTGCTGGGGTCTGGTTAGATTTCAATGGGTGCGTCAAAGATTGTTGCTGTTGCTGTTGTTGTATTTATCATTCAATTGAAATAACATTAATAATATAGAGAGCAGTCCTCTTTATTTAGTTTTATTCCTGTATCCCATCCACCTTTCCTGTAATTGTCAATAAGACTTGAGTTCTTTATAACACAATCATATTCAGGGAATAAGTAAATTGATAGTATACAATTGTAGAATATAGCTATTCAAAAACTTTCTCCGAAAGAAACATCTTTATTCATTGTAATTACTTTCATCCACCACTCACAGTATGCGGTGTACGGATGTACAGTGCGTTATGGGTAATTAATATACTAAAATTTCTAAAAGAAACTACAAATTCTTTCTTTCAGCATTATAACCTTCATATATATTCTAAAACAGTTAGAAATACAATCAATCCTAAAACTACTAAATCATTTTGTCACTATCACCATAAACAGGTCTTTTTTTTTAAGTACTGTTTGAAAAAAAAAAACTCCTATTTCCAAGATTATGCATAAATATAATAGGAAAAGTGTGGTTAACAAATATGTTATTAATAAACAGAAACATTATCAAACGAAGAAGTTGCCTAATATCTTACATGTAAGGAATTTGCCAAAGGACATAACATATGGGGTTCAACCATATAAAAGGAGCCAGACTATTATAAATAAATATATTCAATCGCCTGATTTCGATAATAAGAGACTTACAAAACAATCCTGGTTAAATGATTTTGATCATTTTAAAAATTTAAAATTTATTAAATATGAAGGGTCTAGTACCTTGTCACAGTATATTAATTTATATATCGAAAAAATTAAAGATTATTATCTTAAATTGAATAAGAAATCTAATTCAATGTTGAATGACAAAATTGTTCAATTTAATAATAAATGGAAAGAAGAACATTCAGACCATGAATTGTCTCAAATGATAGATAATAATAATAATAATATTGAAATTAAAAAGTTGACTAAATCTGATAATCAATCGCCTTTAGATAAACAATATCTTATTAGTCTTTCAAATATTAAAAGGGAACATTACCCTACAGTGTATTGTTCTCCTAAAGAGAATTCGACACAATGGGATTATTTGACAAATTCAATAAAATTAATATCTCAAAGAAACACAATCTGTTTTTCATTTGATATTGAAGCGTTTGAAAGAGATAATAATATCATAACGGAGATTGGAATATCTATATACGATCCAAGAGAAAATTTGCATTCTCTTAATCCGATTTTTAGAAATTATCATCTTATCGTATCTGAATCACTGTCATTAATTAATAAAAATTGGGTACTTGATATGAAAGAATGTTATCTGCTCGGTGAAAGTTTAGTGCTTTCATTAAGACAATGTGTAAATTTCATACAAAATTTGATCAATTTTTACATGATCCCTGATAACAATATATCTGATTCGTGGGAAAGAGCTTTTGTTGGACATAACATTGAAGGCGATTTTAAATGGTTGAAATCAATGGGTGTGATTCTACCAGACACTAAACCTGTATCTCATATCTCACAGGTTGATTGTAATTCAAGCTCTCGTACTACTTTGGTGATAGATACGCATAAGATATATTCTGCTTGTTATGGTAAGGAAGGGTCTAGTCTTGGCAAGATATTAAGGTTGTTTCAGTTGCCACATGCTTTTTTACATAATGCTGGTAATGATGCTTATTATACGTTAAGGTTACTGTTACATCTCTGCGATGTCAATACTAGAGTACAATGTTCCTTGGATGATATTTCCACTTTTCAGAAAAAAATAAAACAAATATTGGAAAGATCAAAACAAGAGGATAAGATTATACCAATGTCCTATTCATTGACCTTGAAATACGGTAATAGTAACGACAATAAAAATAATAATAATCCTAAGAATGTTACCAGTAAAAAAAAGAAAGATCTGGTTCCACAAACAGAATTTGGTGGATCACAATGGTTTTCTGATGCTAAGCAAGCTTTTGAGAGTACTATTGTTTCAAAGAGTAATGTGTTTACAGATTTCTAGAAAAAGTTCAAAGTATTGCATCACTGGGGTATCAAAATATTTATCATGGATGATTTAACAATGAAAATAACCATGTGTTATTATTTGAATAATACATACATATAAATACGTACATATATATATATGTAGAAGTCATTTCAATGCATTTTTGAGCAGGTCACTTAATTGATCCTTATTTTTTAATTCTTGTAACTTATCATTACCACCAATAAATCTATGATTTATATAAATATGTGGGACAGTGGATTGACCATTTATTTGATATAAACCCTTTTGTAATTCTGCACCATATTTCAATTCATCTAAATAAATTATCTTTATTTTATCCTTAGGAACCCTATAATTATGGGTTAATGTGATATACGCTTGCCTACCGTAGGGACAGTAAGATTTGGAAGCAATAAAAATAGGATTTTTTTCTATTAGATTTTGGATAGTACGCAACGTATCTTCCGTGACAATAATGTTATCATATTTATCTTTTTCAAAGATGAAGTATAGAGCAAATAGAATAAACAGACAGGGGACTAATATGGCTACGTATTGTAACTTCATTTGATAACAGCACGTGTCAGTTCTAGATATATAAATGTGTCCTTAGTGTATGTTCCTATTCCACTGTGTATACCTATTTCTTTTGATTTTTTCATGAGAACTTTTTAACCAACCCGGTGCAGAACTTATATCTCATGAGTTTTTCAACTAATATACTGTAACGATTTTTTATCATTCATTGACAAGTTCTAAAGGAATAAAAATAGTCAGAAATATACATCGTTACTATAGCTTTTCTTAATAATAGTTATTGTAGTGGCAAGAGCAATAAAAAGAAAAAACACACTGTAATTTAAATAATATTTATCCTATACCTGATAATTGTGTTTTAAAGATTTGTTTAGGTAATTTAGTCATAAAAAATAAACTAAAGTAAGGGAAGTTCTGTTTTTATATAACATATACAAATCATCAAATTCAGTACTATTTACCTGTATTCAAGCACGAAGAAATAAACTATGTCACAATCAAAATATCCAACTACTATGAGCTGTAGAGAGGCATTTGATCAATTAACAATATGCTATTCTATTGGAGGTCAGTTTAGAAATTACTATAGATATGGACAATTCAATCCTTGCCAAAGACAGTTGGCAAAATTGAATTTTTGTCTGCTACATGGATCAGAACCTATTAAAGTTCAAGAATGGTATAAAGCTGAATTGGAACGAAATAAAGAACTTAAAGGTAGTTCAGATACTATATGGAAGGAGAGATCATAAGAAATTCTAAATAAAGACGAAAAAAAAGGAATAAAAGAGAAGACAGGAAAGGTAAGATAAATAGTTAGAATAGCAGAATATGCAATTTTGATTATCACAAGTTTTTGTATATATGTAAAAGTTTCTCATTTCTGCTATTATCATTAGTTAATATATTCATATCTATATAGCTTTATTATCAGTCAAGATTAGTACAGATAATTCTTTGGGATCATTTTATGTTTATTTTGATAAAAAATATACCCATATATATGTATATATAAGTAAGTTTAGAGAATGCATACTAGTGAAGAAAGTGACTAAAAAATACAATAAAGTATGAAAATACATATTAATTAGAATAAGAATATTGATTATTTGAAAAAGAAGGAAGAAAGGTGGAAAGAGACTTTTATTAAATGACAGGGTTGGTAATAAAAAAATATAGAAGGATGAAGGAAGGAAAAAATATCAGGATGTACAGTCACATTAAAAGAAAAATTCTTTAACTTTAACCCAAAATGGGGACATTTTCAACCTTTCTTTTTCTTCAAGTTCTTCTTGTTTCAGAACTTCTTCATCAAAAATTCTACGATGTGACACCAAATCGATTTGGTCTGCAGGAATGTAAAGTCTCCATTCTCTTTTCCAAACTTTGTAACCTAAATAAAGAGCGATTAAAATTGGCATAGCCAAATAATTCTCAAAGAATGCTTGAGCATCTAAGTGATCTTCACCAATTGGTTTAATGGCAACCCAAAATTGAGCTACTAAGGCCAATGTCATCATAACAGCGGCATATGCAGATCCATACACACCTACTTGAGACTTAAAACCAACTTCACCCAATGACCTATGTTGAATTTTCATCGCTCTTCTAAACCTTAAATGTGATACACAGATTGCAATCCAAGTGAATAACTGAGATAACCCAGATATTGCCAATAACCAGGTAAATACTTGCTCCTCCTTGGAAGAGGCAGCACAGAATGCAATAATACCAAATAATGCTGAGCAACCCATAGCCCTTGCAGGTCTACCTTCTCTATCGATGTATTCAAAGAATTTTGGAGCTAATCCCTTTTGAGATAAAGAGTACAAAATACGAGAACTGGAATAAAATGCAGAATTTCCAACAGACAAAACAGCTAATAGAATAACAGCATTGATAAAATGTGGCACCACTCTGACACCATGAGATGCAACGGCAATAACATATGGAGACGCTTTTGTAGCTGATCCACTAGACCCCATTAATTGTGGAGAATTATATGGAACCAAAAACCCAATTAAAGTAATAGAAGCTAAGAATACAAATAGAATTCTATATATCATTATTTTAGCGGCCTTTGGAATGGCCTTTCTTGGATTTTCTTGTTCACTTGCAGTAATTGAAATAAACTCTGATGCACCGAATGCAAACGCAGCATTAACAAAAGTAGCCATAATTCCTTTGAAATGATCAATAGGACGATCGCCTCTAAATGCACCTGGGTTATGCCAATACTTGGCCCCAATGTAACCATCATTACCGGCACCACCACATGTAATAATGATACCCAAGATGAAAAACCCAGTAATCATTAAGACTTTACAACTATTAAAGAAAAATTCTGCTTCTGCATAACCTCTAGCCCCAAAAGTGTTAATACCAATGATTAAAATATAAAATATTAAAACAAATATATCTGGGTTAACCTTTGTTGTCCAATATTTTATTGTCATAGAGGCTGTCACCAATTCCAGTGGACAGACACAAAGCCATTGCAAACAATAAACCCACGCCACCGCAAACCCAAATGCCGGTTCTACTAGGAAAGTGGGATAAATATTGAAATTACTTGGTAGGGAACTATAACAAACAGCCATTTCACCACATGCTTGAATAATACAATAAAGACAGGTACCCATGATTGCAAACCCAATAACTAACCCTGCAGGACCTGCATTATGTAAGGCTTGAGCATTACCAACAAGAAGACCAGTACCAATACCTGTCCCTAAAGAGATCAATAAGACATGTCTCTTTTTGATAGTTTTTTTCATATTTTTATCATCTGCAGAAACTATATCATCTTGGTCAATTTTTTCTATATCATCTGGGTCTTGGTTATCAGAGGACTCGGCTTCTCTAAAGGAATCAATAAATTTTGTGAAAATATTATTGGCTTTATTTGTCAGGCTGCCATTTTTATTACTAGGATCTATTTCATTTATTGAAGAATTTGTCGTAGAACATACATAATATCTATCTGCTTTTGCAGAATTCTTTTTATGTAAAATTATATTTGAATCTTCTAAATCAAAATTTTCGACATCATCACTAGAAGTAGATTCCAAAAACTTATTTAGTCGTACTCCTGATCCGGTCTTAGAATCACTGATAATTTGTTTGTCATCAAATGACATATTTTTTCGTACAAGTTATTTTACTTTTGTCTTAATAGGATGTTGCATATTATTATAAGAGGAAGATGTTTCACTCTAATTTAATAATCGAGCGATAACAAGTATATGCATATGTAAGCAAATATATACTTATATATAAAAATGATAATGAAAAAAAAAAAAACAGAAAAAAAAGTATTGTCCCGGATTGAATTTTATTCTTTTTTTATTAACAAAATGAAATTATGTAAATGTCTGAATAAGGGATCATGCAATTTGATTGATTAATTTCATTGCTGAATTTCTCTCTATGTGTTATCACTTTCTTTTCTCAGATAATACTAACCTTGTCGACAGTTTTATATAAATATTAAAAAGGTTGATAATAGAGTAGAAAAAAAACTTCTATTCATTTTTCTCGCTAGCTTTTTTATTGATGGGATGTTTCGAGACAAAAACGATAAAATGAGCCTTATTAGAAATTCTCGAGCAAAAAACAATTGTTTTCATCTTCCATCTTTTTTTTTTTTTGAGGGATCAAATTGTATATATGTTTTTGGACATCGCATGAATAAGATTAGTCTTTTTATTATATAAAATTTATTTTAGGGTTAAATTTCTGTTTTACTGAATTTTTGATGTATGATAGGTTGTTTAGTTAGGGTTATTATGTGGTTAAAAAATATAAAGGAAAGTTTTTTTTATTTTTGACGTCTTCTTTATACAAATAATATGTTGATCATATTTGAGAATACAAAAAAATACACACTGCATATATAGTAGTAATATGCGTGAAAAGACTGCGAAGTATACAAATAGTGATGCTTTTGTAACACATATAATCATTGTAGCTATATCGCAGTAGGGTTTATTGCCATGATAAGATTTAATATTGTATTTTGGTACTAGGGTTTTGCAGATTTTTTTAAAAAAAATTTGTTCAGAGGGTTTCTTGGACTTAGCCCCCACCTGAGCACAAGAAAAATAATGTCGAATTAGCAACTTTTTTTATGTCAACTGCCTAATCAAGACATAAAGCGGCAATGATAATTTATGGTTAACAATAGAAAGGTCAAAGTGATATTGTCATAATATTTTGTAAGGCAAGAAAAATTTCAGTGGACGGAGGTATACTTCCGTTTATTTTCTTTTTCTTTAAATATCGGTCGATAATCGGACATTAAGATTAAAGTGGATTAAAATAAACTTTGGTCTATCTGGTGCGGAAATATAACTCCACTGTTCACATTTGGTATGTAAAGGTTTGTGATATCGTTAGAGGAAGAAGACTTTTCAATATTTATTTTGAAAATGTCTATCAGTGCTATGATCGGATTATTCTCCACATATCTATTCTCTGTTTTATCTATTTTTCTCTGTTATCTTTTGCTTTGGATTTCCAGAAACGTAATTAGCAATCATTAGTAACAACAGTTATCAGATTTCTTTATCAAAGCAGTATGTTTTCTTATTAACATTTGTTAACCGTTTCTTTGTAGGAAGGTATCTTGTCTGTAGTCCTTTTTCTTAGTATTACTTTTATGTAAAATAAAGAAACTCTAAGAATATAATGATCATGTGTTGATCAATAGATTGTATATAAATAGTGTCAATAAATATCGTCTAGGTAATATTGTCTGTTATATATATCTTCTTTATCTTGGGGTGTATGAATTATAGACTATTATGAGAGTGATGTTAAGCATATTAAAGTTTATATCTGTTAACTGTAATAAAAGAATTTTATATCTTGACTTTCCTTTCAGAAAATGTGAAAGTCTGGAAATATTTGAAGAAGTAGATTAAAATTATATGAGTAACTTGGCTTATTTATATATTTCTAATTTTACATAGGAATGTTACAATATTTGTTTTTTTTATTTTTTTGCTCTTGGATCTTTATGATAGAGGGTGAAATATTCTTCTAACAGTAAATTGTAGTCTATATAATTTTTTTCATCGATGAAGTAGCTCGTTTTAGAAAAATCAAATAGGGAGGTTTGACTCTATTTTATTAGATGGATACAGTTCAGTTAAATTTCTTTTATGCATAAAATAATGATTATTAAGAAAATAGTATGTAGAAAGGAATAATTAATTTAGCCATGCCTTTGGGTTGCATTCAAAGTATTTTATTTTCTTTATTTTTTCTATTTTTTCTTATTAGTGTATTTTTTTTTTTTTTCAGCTATTTGATTTGAAAATATCATTAGGAATATCTAATTCCAAATTCTTTATTTATTTATTTATTTCTTTGATATATCATTTGGAAAGTTTAAAAGTTTCAATTGAGATTATATAGTAAATTACAAAAAAAAAACAACTGAAAAAAAAAAAAAAAAAAAAAAAAAAAAAAAAAAACAAATTTTGAAAGCATATTAAAATATATTAAGATACAATATAACATTAAATAAGTGTAAATCTTTTTGTTGGGAATGAGCGCCTTTATTCATTGGATATATAGTAAACATTCTCAATATTATATTAAACAGATTTAGTATACAAAATTATAATAAAGTTCTTCACTTTCTTTCTCTATATACAACATAGAAATAATAATATAGAAAGATTGTAAATAAGATAAAAATAATGTATGATGAAATCCTTGGCTTTATATATGTTAACATTCAGCCATTTTCCTCTACGAACAGTAAGATATTTAATAAATAAACTCAACAACTTTTGGTGACCTCTCAACAACTATTACTCAACAATTTATCGTTTATTGTCTGCTAAAATCTTATTGTTCTATCTATTTTATCATAGAACATTCTATTTCAACACTTTTTTTGTTAGATTTAATAAACTCTACCATGCATTTTTTGTTTCTTTAACAAATTAATTATTTCCACTCCTTGTATCATTTTAGTAAATCAATATGTATTCGAATCTTATTTCATACTATTTTCTTAACTAAGGTATACAGAAAACATGGGAATTTAAAGATATTTTGATTAATAATATATACTATGATTGTTTTGTCAGGATGGTCTTAAAACATTAAAAAGTAAAAAGTGTCAAGTAATTAAAAGTGATAATTTAAGTTACTTTCCCTTGAGATACAAGTGTTTTTTTCATAGGTGTGGTTCCTTTTTCTTGTGTCTTTATCGTTTTGTTAAGACTTTTACAGTTTTAAGAACTTTCCAAGTCAAAAAACAAAAAGATAAAAACGCAAAAAAAAAAAAAAGTGAAACAAGAACATTTCAAAAGTTAGTCCATAGAAAACACATAATTACAAAGCATTGACAAATATTAAATTTATTTAATGAATATTCTCTATTTCAAGAAAATAAAAGGGGTATTACGAGTGAACAAAAAGTTTTTTTGTTATTTGTTTTTTTATTAAATGAGATTTTGGGGTTAGAAAACTCAAAGCAGATCCAAGATTACTGGAATGAGTCGTTCCTCTAATCAGAAATATATATAACACAACAATACACAATAAATGCGATATATCATACAAAGTTCATTCATTGAGAATAGGAAATCTCTATATATGAGTAACTCTACTCGTATATTTCCAATCTAGATAAAAAAGTCGCTAATATGCAATAGGAAAAATAAGACTTATACAAAACTTCTTCATTTAAAAGAAAAGCAATTACATTCTTGTTATCAAACTCAAACATACACAAACAAATACATATAACACACACATTCATATACATATGTATATTTGTTGAAACAATGTAAAAAAAAAAAATTTTTAAACATATAATTATTCATTAAAACTCGTAAGTCATAAATATTGTATATTAATTTGTACATAACAATATATAGGTAAATAAGCATCAACTTCCAAAAGAGAGAAAAAGGAAATTAAAAAAAAAAAGATAGTAAAAATAACAATAAGCGACTAAAGTGTAAAAAAAAACAAAGATAGAATCAAAAAAGAGACAGATAAATGATACATAAACATGCAAACAGGTAGAGATAGATAGATAAATAGATGAATAACATTCTATTCTCTTTTCTCCCTTATTCATGCTACTAATGCACACAATGCTGCACCAACACCGGAACCATCTTTAGCAATTCTCAAATGAATCTTTCTTTCACCTTCATGACCAAGTGGGGATAAAGCTAAAGCATGTCTTAACATAGATCTGAAACCTGGGTAGTATTCAATAACAGAACCATCACAACCAATCTCGACTTCACCATGGTATCTTTGTTCCAAGGCGTTAGTCTTAATTAGAATTGCAGCAATTGGTACAGAGGCTAAGTAGGCAGATCTTCTAGTTATGGCTCTAACCAAATTTTGGATAGCCTTTCTTTCAGCCAAAGTGGTCGGTAGTCTCAAGCTTTGTAAGAAGGATAATTCAGTTTCACGTAGAGTGGAGGAATCATCAATTTCGATACGTGCTAGTACTTCACTTTGTAGCTGGAATGGTGTCTTTAAACGGTGTGGCAATTGATCGTGGGTTCTATATTGTTGCAATAGAAGTTTCTTGGAATGTAGATCTACCAAGATTGTTCTTAAGATTTCACCAAGGTACATACCAGATACTCTTTTTTCGAACAGATGGAATCCTGGGTTTGGAGAGAATTCTTGATCGATTTGTTGATCCCACTTAGTGTTTGGCAAGTGTTTCAATTCGTTGTCAAAGGACCCCCATTCAGTGTTGATACACATCTTTGTCTTGCCTTGGGCCAACAAATGGTCTCTTAGATCCTTTGGCAGTTTGTGGATATTCTCGATATTTTCCATGTAACAACCGTTAGTACCACTACCGAAGATACAGCCGATGACGGGTTCAGAGATTTCACCGGAATTATTCAAACCACCACATGTATAACAGTGGGACAAGAAAGTACCTGTGGTGTCATTAGTCAAAGCAACGACGTTGATCATGTCCAACCCATAGTTCAACAATTGTTCCTGATACAATTCAACAACGTCTTTACCGACAGCATCTGGGATGTTGAACCCTTTGGTCCATCTGATCAATTTACCAGAGTTTAAAGAGGTTTGTGCTATAGGGTAAGAGAAAGTGAAACCCATTTTCAAAGAGCCGATTTTTCCTGTCTCTGGGTTTGGTTTCAAAAGTTCAGGATGATTACGTGTTAAAAAGGCCTTTGTACGTCTTGCCAAATAACCGAAAAGGTCATCACATGTGACACCTGTTTCTTCTAGTAATTCTTCTGGGATCTTTGATTTCAATTGTTCGATATGGTAGGTGTGGTCCCCATTCAAAGTGACGGAACAGACTCTGAAATGGGAACCACCCAGATCAGCGGCTAAGAGAACACCACTCTCTGTACCGTTTGGTTTACCTGTGACGAAAGTTGGTATCATGGGCAAACCTTTATTGTCTGCACTATCAGCATCTGTAGAGTTCAAACCCAATTCCATCTGTTCGATAAAATAAGCGGTCAATTCGTCTAATTTTTCAGGGGTGACCACAAATTGTTGACATATCTGGTCTACTTCTTCCAATAGTGTCTTTTCAGTTGCCTTATGTAATTGATCAAACGACATTTTATTTTATTTTATTTTATTTATGCTTTCTCTGTATTTTCTTTTCTTTTTATGTATAAAATGCAGTAATATGCAATAATGCTATGAATTATAATGCTATAGATATTATAAGAAATATTATCAATTAATAATATTAGTCTTGTTGTTGTTACTGTTGTTGTTGTTGTTTTGTGTGGATATGTAAGAGAAACGAAAAGGTCACACGGACAAGCAAGAAATCGATCGAAGAGTACTAAAGGAAGCCGAGCAAGGAGAAAATATATATATGCGTACGTACGAACACACACACATATGTATATATATATATATATACATATGTATTACAGAACAAATGAATTAACCGCCCATGAAGGTGTGCTTTTGACCAAAAATAAAAGTAAAAAAAGAAAGAAAGAAAAAAAAAAATAAAAACGGGATGAAATTCTGTAGAACGCCAACTTTGTTAAGTCACGCTTCTCGCATTCTTTTCTCATTTACTGCCGCTGTCGTTGTTGTCGTTGTTTCTTGTTTGTTACGATTTGCCACTACTACTACCAACTTGCAGTTTAACAAGGGGAAGGGGGGGAGGAGAGCGAAGAGCGGAGAGTGAAGAGCGGAGCGAGAAGCAAAGGAAAAAGCAAAAAGAAACATGTGATGGAGATCAAGCTGGTGTGGGTGTGTGGGTGTCACACACGTTTCCTACAGATATAGAGAATACATAGGTGGGGTGTGTGGATGTTGGTTCAACGTACCCCCTGCTTCCCCTTATTTTTATTCTAACCCCCCCCCTTGCTCCCCCTCCCCCTTGGCATTGTCAAAAAGAAAGGGGAGAGAAAAGATAAGGGGGCGAAAACGAGGCGGGAAACTGAAGAAAAGAGTAGAAAAGTAAGAAAAAGGGCCAGATCTAAAACAGTCGTTTACCGCCCACATTTTCCTCGTTATTAGCGACAAGAACAGCTGTTTATTTACTTCCTCCCCCTCCTCCTACAGACACAAATACACACACATACACACACACACTCTCTCTTTCTCTTTCTCTTTCTCTTGTTCTGGGCCTCTTACCCTCTTCTAATGCAAAAAAAATGTTCTCACTGTTTGTTGCCTTGTGAATTTTCAACAGACAAAGGACCTTCTCGTCTAGTATGACTAATTTCAACTACACAGAAAAACTAGAATCACCCCACTTTCTTTTTCTTCTTCCCCTTGACCCGCCGAGAATTCTTTTTTTTCTTTTTTTCTTTCTTTGAATCAGATGATTAACTTAAAACAAATAGCAGTTTGCCTAACAATAATCAATCATTCTAATTACGTTATTGTTACAGCTTATTCTATTCGTTGTCCTTTACTACTCGATTTAATAATAATAACAACAACAAACAACATTGCCAACTGCAATATTAAACTTTCTTCTATTTCAATTTGGGAAAAACACATGCAAGATATATATATAATATATATATAAGAGAAGGTAACAAGAAAAGAAAAGATACTGCTTATATATATATATATATATATGCATATATATGTGCGTGTGCGTATACGTTCATATTTATTTATCTACCTATTCATTTGTTCATGTACGCAAAGGGTTACACCAGAGACGATAAGTAGATCTTAATATCCTCTAATGAACTCTCGAAAGATTGGAAGGTCGGAAAAAACAGATCGAAATGTTTTCCTCTCTTCAGAAAAAAAATTCTAATATCTCTTTTCAGTTGTCAATATTAACAAACTAGACTGAGAACTGTACAACCCCTTCCATTTCACCATCTTTGTTTTATATCTCTTGAAATATTGTAGTTATATATCTGCTTACACGTGTATATGTTGACATTTCAATAACTTCCTCTGGCACTAACATCTTAGTATCTTTCTTTTTTTTTTTAACTACTTACTATTTTGTTTCTCTTTGTACGACGTTTTTATTTCCTCTTTTTTCTTTTCTTTTCTTTTTCTTTTTTTTTTTTTTTGGATTCTCTCTCTATATCTCAATTTGAAAAATAATAATAATAATAATACTTATTATTATTATTATTATTATTAAAATATTTGTTTTGTGTTCAATAACTAATCATATTTTAATAAAGAATTCAAAATATCGAGGAATAAAGAACAGCAAAGAACCAGAAAAGAACCAAAGAAGAAAAAGGAAAAGAAAACACACACACACACACACACAAATAACAAATAACAAAGAGATATACTTTAATTTACTTCCTCCCCCTTCTGTCACTCAACATTATCTATCATGTTCAGAATTGCTAAAAATCTGGTTAAAACCCTTGAACAAACCGTGTCAGACACCGTTGCAAGAAACAACAACAAACTAGACGTGTTCTTCCAGTCTATCCCACCAAATCTAATCGCATCACAATTCAACCAAGATTCAAACAACGACTTCACCCTACCCAACAACGCAAACGAACTCATATCAGGTCTGAGAATCCTTTACGTCGAAGAATGGCAACTACAGCTACAATCCTTTTTCGACTATATTGTCGGTGTCAACGATTTCCCATTACCCATGTATATCAACAACTACGGATTCATGTATCCAGATTATAACGCCATATTGAACCTTATCAACGATTCAATCGGGACCGGGTTCGTCAAGTTGAATATCTGGTCTGCTAAAGGTGGTAGGTTCAGAGATGAATATATTAATTTGGCCCAGAGAGACGAAAATGATATGGACTCAATCTCTTTGGATATTAAACCTTCTATAGATAATGATCAGGATCCAAATTCTACATCACAACAGCATCAACAACAACAACAACAACAACTGTACTCATCGTCTACCGGAATCACCGTTCCTATACTATTCAAATCCCTTGGGTTTAAAGTTCAGTGGACTCCATTGATTGCAGCCACTTTCACTTACCATATCTTACAATTGAACATTGACAACGGACCAGCACAAGTGGCTGGTTTGATCCCGGACGAGGACTATATTATTGGCTGCCAAGATGGTTTATTAGCTACTGGTGGAAATGAACTGTTAGCTGATGTAGTCAGGTCAAGAGCCAACCAATCCTTGGTCTTGTACATCTACAACAAGGTCTCTGATTCAGTTAGACCAGTCACTGTTAATATTGGTCCCGATGGTAGATTGGGTTGTAATATCGGTTATGGGTTTTTACACAGGATCCCCACGACAAAGAATTTCGAACAAATTAACAGCAACATAACCACAACCACAACACTAAACACTGGTGTGTCTATCACTAATCCAACTAATATGAATAATGATCAAACTTTTATACCTAATACTATCAATACTGCATCTGCTGCACCTCTACCATCACCAACATCAACAACTTCCAGAACAAATAAGAAGAAGAAGCATACTCATTCTACTACAACTGCAGATATGAATGACTATTTCAATGAAGGTAAGGATCCAAGAACGTCTCAAAACAATGAGAACACCTCATCTATTCCTCCACCGCCCATAATCCCACATTAAATATAATATAATATGATATAATGTAACATATATACATATGTACGTATATGTAAGCATTTTTTAGTATTGTAAGTATTATTCTATCATATTGTTTTCACCAGTCTGTTCCTTTGAACCACCTTCTACTCTTCTTTTTTTCCCTCGTATATATTTCTATTTGACATATTATATAATTTTTCCAAATCTGTTTTCTTTTTCTTTTTCTTTTTTTTCTTTTCCATCTCTAAACGTTCGACTTCTTTTAATGAAATGAAACTTTTCAAATACGCATTAAATGTAATACTCGTTTACATTGAAGTACACCCGTCCTAATTAATATGTGCCTATTAATTACATATATAAATTACTTTGCTATTAATTTATACTTAAAAATATACAAATAAACCAACGCGCAAATTATAAAGGTATCTCTATTCGACTCTTACTCAGTTTTTTTTTTTTGTTACTACTCAAATAGCTGCCTCACTGGCTTTCTAAAAATATGGCTTCACTATTTATTATCTGGATATCTCTTCTATGGACTAATGTTTTGGGTCAATATGCTGCGCTAATTGACGAAAATAATACAAACATCACCAAGATTACTACTGATACATTTGCTGAATGCATTACCTCTAAAGATTTAATCCTGGCTGAATTCACAGTCCCCAACTGCCCTCACTCTAAAATGTTATTACCTGATTTAGAACAGGTGGCCACAATATTAAAACCTCGTGGCATCGAAGTTATTCAAATTAATTGTGAGGAAGATGATTATATCTGTTCTGAGTTAAAAGTTACATATTTCCCAACTTTGAGAGTCTTTAAAAATCACCGTTTAGTACACTCAATGGACGTGGAGAAAGATAAGTCTGTCGATGGGTTGGTCTCTTACATGCTGGCTCAGGATGAATGTAGTATACTTACAGCTAACAATAGAGATGAATTGAATCAAATTTTAATTGATCCAGATATTTCCGATGAATATGTTGTAGTCAATAACGGGCTCTATGAACTTAACGAAACAGTATCATACTTAGCTAACCAATTGTTTAATTCCCATATCTTTGTCAATTATAGAGTGGATTCAATGAATAATAACACCAATACTCATGATAACAACACATTTTTACCCTACAAAGTTGGGTTGTATAAACCATTCAATCCTGCTAACGTTACATCTAGAGGAGAACCAATTGTATTCGAGGGTAATTTAACCGCAATAGTGGAAGATTCCTCTGAATTTAAAAGTTGGTTACAATACTCTATATTACCACCATTTGCTGATGTCGAACCAGAGACTTTTAAAAATTATATCGATTCTAAGTTACCACTAGGCTATTATTTCTATTTAACAAACAAAGAATTAGAGGAATTGACACCATTTTTCACTCAGTTAGGCCAAAAATATAGAGGTAAGATTAATTTTATTGGTCTAGATGCCAAAGTTTATCACAGCCATGTTAAATATTTGAACATGAGGGAACAGTTCCCATTGTTTGGTATCCATGATATGATTAATAACAGAAAATACGGTATTAAACAGATGCCTGCAGAAGAATATAAATTAATAACAAGTCTACCAATCTTAAATCAAACTGAAGTGGCAATATTAGTAGAAGATTTTATTAATGGCGTCGCTGAACCAATAATAAAATCTGAAGAAATCCCAACTGAACAGAATTCTAATGTTTTTAAACTAGTAGCAAAAACCCATGATGATATTGTATTGAACAACAGTAAAGACGTTATTGTCAGATACTATGCACCATTTGATATCCGTAACAAGAAAGGTAATGATAATTTCCATAAAGTAGCTGATGTATTTGCATCTGATGAAAAATTAAAGTCTAAAGTTTTATTTGCGGATATCAATATGCAAGCTAATGATATTGCATCATTTGCCATATATTCTTATCCAACAATTATTTTATACCCTTCGGGTAACGACACTGTTCCAATTACATTATCTGGACCAAAAACACCAATAAAACTTATGAAATTTTTGAAAAACAATGGTACTCACCATGCAGATGGGCTTAAGCTATATTTTAAGACTTACCCAGCTGAAAATGTAGATATTGATATAGATGAGGAGGAACAAGAGCCAAAATTGAATTCTCTTTTTGATTCTAATGAGCAAAAAACTGTCAAATCTCAAGAAACTATCGTAAAGAAGGCCGAATCTACCTCAGATAATCACCCAGATGATAAACCAGTAGCACACGATGAATTATAGATTTGCTTATCTATATATACATATCTATATTTATATTAATCTCTATATGTAAGTTATAACAAAATAGAATACTGAATTATAGAAATTTTACGCGCAAAGAAAAAAGGTGATCGAAAATGTGAAAAATAATAAATCAGAAAAAAAAAGTATGATATAAAAAAGAGAACAAGTTCTAACACCCCTTAGCTTTGCACTTACGACCACCAAGCTATCGTTGCTAGTTTAGCAAAATACCAAGTTACAGGATGCACACTACAACCACAGGGTTAAGTTCAGTACGTTAAATAATTTTATTTCATATACATTCTATTTCAATATTGAGATGAAGTTTAGTCTAATCTGTTTCATATCTTCTTTAGTAGGTGTTTCCGTAGCTGGAACATTAAAAGAATTAGAAATTGATATTACAAAGAGAATTCCCGTTGATAAATGCACCAATAAAGCATTAGTTGGCGATGCAGTTCAAGTTCATTACACTGGTAAACTATTAGAAAATGATAAAAAATTTGATTCTAGTTACGACAGAGGCAAACCTATTTCATTTAAATTAGGAAGTGGTATGGTCATTAAAGGTTGGGATGAAGGTATTGTCGGGATGTGTGTTGGTGAAGAACGTACTTTAAAAATCCCTAGCAATCTTGCATATGGTGCTAATGGTATTCCAGGTGTTATACCACCAGCTGCTGATTTGGTTTTTGATGTTAAACTGGTCAAAGCTATTCATCAATAACATCATCTTTATATATCTAATAGTTATAAGCTAAGAATAGTATATATACATAATTATAAGTAATTAAGGAAACTAATATACTAATATTAACCACGCGTATATTATAAATAAATGTTTCCTATTTAGACCCACTAGTGAATAAACATTATTATATTACAAACTGTTCATATCCCCCATCTTTACATAAGAATGTTTATCCATATATTTTTAGCAGAATAAATTTAAATACAATAAATTATTATGTCAGCATTCACTATTTGTGACATTTTTCTATGATTATCAATACTACAAAATTTCATAACGTATACATCTTTTCGTGTGACTTATTTCTTCTCTATCTTCTTCAATTGTAGTACATCATTTTAATATAATTTTTTAATGAATATAATTGTTCTTTTCAATCGATTAAAACACGATTATCCTTCAGACTTGTGTCCCTTTCCCCATTATTTTTTTGATTAGTTATATTATAACTTTTGTATACAAATAGTTGACAAATTAACAATCTTTTATTTAGCAAAACAACCATCAAAGGAAAATTAATAAAGACAATTACATATTTTTAAACAACGTGCATATGTATATGCATATATATATAAATAATGTGAAATTAAGTACACTAATGAAACTGGTAGTAAAGAATGGGCAATACCATAAAATGGCATAATATCATCCCGCATCAATGGGATATGATGAAATGAAATTAGTGTAGTTCATAGAATAATATATTCCCATCCAAATTATTTCATTTAAATGTTGATGGATAAATGAATTCAATAAAACAGGATCAGTACTTGTATATTTTTCAAATTGATGACAATTTTCGATTAATTGTAGTTTTGATAACAGGGGTGGTAATAAGTTTGAAAACTCAGCTATTGATGGCAGCAATTTAAATTTCTTGTCTGGGCTAACCTTATTTTTTAAAGAATTTATTTCTTCATTATGTTCTTCCAATATGATTGGATATTTCACATCTATACCTATCCCTGTCATCAGTGCAAGTTTTGAATATGGTGTTAAATTCATGTCACAATCAACATCTTTGAATATTTTAGAGGTTAAGCTATTAGCAGAAAAACGAGATGATCCATTATATTGTCCTGACGCAGCTACAAGTTTTTCTAGTTTAGTGTTTAACAAAACTGATAAACCATGTTCATTTGTTTCCACATCCTTATGCTTACTAACAGAAGGAACAACGACACCAAAGAGATCATTTGCCTTTGTAGAAGGAATTGTTTTGCTTTTAGCTTCCTTCATCATTTTCTGATATTTTGCATCTTCTCTTTTAGATAAGTAACTAGCAGTGGCCATCAATGGTAATACTACTAACGCCAGCATACTTCTATGATTGTAGTTCCTTCTTTGTCTGACCGTATTAAATATGTATATTCAAATAGCTATTAATTAAGAATAGACTAAAAACAAACTGATAAAGAGATATCTCAATTAAGCTATTTTAAAAGAGTATTCTATTCCACTTATATATGTTTACTTCAGCTCTCATTTAACTAAATGTCATTAAAAATGTTTGCCTTACTTTTAGCAAAGAGCTTTCAGTAAGCCGATTTTAGCCTACAATATCAAAGAAGCAATAAGACACAAGACTAAATTTTAACTTAATGGTACATAAATTAGCACAAATATATATACATATTAATATATAGCAAAAAAATCATAATTTTTGTATTCTTCAATAATTATATATTTGTTTAAGACAAATAAAAGTCGTATTGTAAAAGTGTACTGTAATTAATTTCATGATAATAATATAATTTTTTGTTGATATTATTAATAAAGAAGTGGGCCATGTTGCTTTGTAGATGTTTTGTCATATTATATAACCTATAAAATTACTAATACAAACAAAAGAATGAGTGTCAGTTATAAAGCTTCACTATTCTTGGAACAAATTTACTAATCGAATTAAATAGATGCATGTTGCTAATTCTTGTATATATTAATGAAGTTTCTCCATATTCCCCCCTTTTTGATAACGTTTAAACAAATGAGAAAGTATAAATATAAATTAATTTAACATAGGCATTGCCTATGTAAAATTATTACAAAACTAAGCAAAAAAATTAAAATAAAAACATTTGTATGAAAATTAAAATTAATATTTCTATATTACTTTTTGTATTGCATTTTTTGCAATATCTGTGTTATTAGCAAAATATCACTTTTTTTATTTAAGAATACTAAAAAAAACCAATAATATTCAGCATTGTGTTAAGATAACACTTGATTACTGCTCTCTTGAATTTTTTTCACCCAGTAAATATTCATTTTATTAAATGTCTTGCGTAATTTCATGATGTAAAAAAGGATTGCGTCTAGTTATAAAATCTTTCAACTAAGGTAAATTACCTGTTACCTACTTCCACCAAGATTGAAATGAATTTGCAGGAAGTAAAATATAAAAAAATTAACAAAAAATTAAAAGAAACAAAGCAAGTTATTGTTACACATCATCATTTAATGTATTACATATTTATACTACTACAATTGCGCGATTCTAAAAAACTATTTTTCATTTCTAACCTATTCATAAATTCTTCCACAAACACGTCTGCAAAGCCAGGGATTTCATTTTCAATAGCAAGAAATGTCTGCCATAAAGTATTAACGTAAGCTTTAGTCTCTTCTTCATTAGCTCTTATTTCCATCTGTTTAAAACAATAGCCGATCACATCATTTATACAATCGATCTCTTCATTTTGATTAATTCTTAAAGATTTACTTAAAGATTTTGACTTCGTATCTATCTCCATTCCCGATCCTAAATCATACTTAATTATTTTATTCTGAGATACACCTTGGATTACTCGATGAGCTGGTTGTGATGCTACTACTGGTATTAAAGGTGAACAAGGATAATTCTTCTTTAAAGATGATGTATCATGGATTGTCAATGGAGTTACAGTCATATTATTATGATTACAATTATTAAATGATCCATCCCTGTCTCTTAACACATTTGATGATATAGCACTTGAATAGTAGACTGATTCTGTTTGAGAAGGCTTGATTCTTTGATATTCAAAAGTTTCCCTATTATTAACATTAAAGTCCCAAGTGTCACTGCATCCAAACGATTGTGATTTGTTCGATAAGGCATCACCAACATGGTGATAGAGAGGTTTCTTTTTATTTAATTCTCTAAATTTTTGATATTGTCTTTTCAAATTATTACAAACCATGACATCTTCTTTTAAGTTAGCAATAATATCAGCATTTACAACAATAAAAGAATGAATTAATAATTCTGATGGTTTAGCCCTATCTTCAGGTTTTCTTTGTAAACAGTTAATGATGAATCCCTTGATATCCTGCGAATAGATATCATCTAACAACCTTGGTGGGCTCTTGTTTATTATTGAGATCATAACTTGCATTGGATCTTCTTTACTCAAAGGAGGCGCTCCCGTCACCAATTCATAAACAGTAATACCTAACGACCAAATGTCCGCCATCTCATTATAACCATCTCCTGGATAATTATCATTTGAATCATGATAAACAATAATTTCAGGAGCCATCCAATATGGTGTTCCAACGAAAGTATTCCTTTTCAAAGTTGTTTGAATTTGTCCACTCACTCCAAAATCACCTATTTTAATATGTCCATCTAAAGTCAATAAAATGTTAGCAGCTTTTATATCTCTATGAATAATCTTTTGATTGTGTAAATATACTAACCCATTAAGAACATTTCTAGTGATAAATGCCACCTTATCCTCTGATAACCCATGCCTATAACAATATTTCAACAAATCGGAGCAGGACCCACCTCCACAAAACTCCATGATGATCCACAACATTGAATCGTCTAATAAAGATGTAATATAATGTGTAATATATTCATTTTTTAATCTTGCTAAGAAAAAGATTTCTTGAGTAATTGTAGTGATATCATCATCTGTATTCTCCAAATCAATGACTTTAATTGCCACCGTACTGTTAGTCAAATTGTTGGTGGCTTTGTATACGTTACCGAAATTACCTTTACCCACGCATTCATGAATTTGATACAACATTGTTGGTTGTAAGGCATTATTTAAAGAATCTATATTCATTATTATATTTTGACCACTCCTCTTTATTATTGCTTTCTTTACTCTTGTCTGTATACTTTTTTACAGTATATATTTACAGTTCCTTCCCATATAATATAGACAAAAGCACAGTCTTAACAATTCCTACTTACATTACTTGCTAAAATTCACTTGTTTCTATCAATTCAATAGCCAAATCAAATCAACATCATTTTGTGACACTTTAGCATCAAAATAAAGAAAAGAGTCATAATGTGTTTTTTTTTTTAAAAAGAAAAACCGAAAAATAAATAAATAATGCTAATAGAAGCAACAACAAAAAGGAAAGATTAAAGGGTCAGGGATGAGAAAGCAATATGAAGAAGGAAGACAGACAAGAGAGGGCATAACCTGTTTAGTAACTTGTTAAAATAAGTCATATACAACCAGAGGCAATGATAAAGAAGTATCTTACTTTATTTCTTAATAGTACTATCTTTAATAGTCTTCAATGCATTGTGTAATGTTATAATATTTTGCGTTGGTGATTTCGGTATATAACTTAGACTCCATCTTTTCTTTGATTTACTACGTAACAATGACGTGTTATTGCTTGATGCAGAAGAGTTTGCAGTAGTGTTATTACTAATGGTGGTAGTAATATGCATATTACTCTTATTTGACGAAATTGGCTTGTATGATAATTGTGATGAATCGTAAAGACCAAATGTTTTAATTTTTAACGCCCAATATTTAGACAGTTCGGTGGAACCTATTTGGTGATTAGCCATAATATTTGAATTGATAGCAAGATCATCTCTATTACTGTCTATGATCATATCATTCCATAGCAAATACTCCGTTATTATGTATAACCTTTGATCATTGTTGCTCTGTACACGATAATAATTTAAACTAACTTGGAATAAAGTTGAATCGAAAGAGTTTCTATAACTGATGGACAGCTGTTTCAAATTAGTATTAATTAACTTCGATAAAAACTTGTACAACCTTCTAACATTGTTCAATTTCAAAACATCCAAAAACTTATTTAGAACCTCATTATGATCTAAATCAATATCAATTGCTCTTTTGATGAATTTCTTAGTTTTATATTTCAAATTAATGAAATTGGACCTTTGTAAATCTGTACAATTGGGCTTTAGCTTTTGGTTTTCATTCAAATTATATTCGTAGATATCATTAACAAAACTGTTTGCAGTGAAGTTGGTGATCAAGAACTTCAGTTCCAAGTTATCCTCAAATTTGTCCAATTTCAAAGATCTGATCTTTGAGATATGTGACCCTAGAGAACGGTGTATACCGGAACACTTGATACATAAAACACATAACAGGTTTACCGATATCCAGTCTACATCAACGGTTGACTTACAGTCACAACATTTCACATTTTCCTTGTCTAAAGATTGTATTTTAAATAGAAGTTTATTGTTATAATTCTTAAATTTTAGTTCATTAAAGTGTTGTTTATGGTTTATCTTGTCTGACATCCCTCAGTTGGTAAAGCAAAGCAAAGCAAAGTGCAAAGTGCAAAAGCAAAAGCAAAAGCAAACGAATAAATAAACAAATAAAAGAAAAAAGACAGAAAACAAAGAGAAGAAAAAGATGGATGAAAAGTAAATAAATGTATTAATATGAATAAGTGGTTGTTACAGTTTATGTGCTGAGTGAATATGTACGAATTGAATTGATTATTCTCTATAAAACATAATCACACTAAATGACCAATATTCTATTTTACTTCTTCTCTTTTCATATATATATATATACATATGTTTGTATATAATATGGTATAGCATGGTTTGGTATGTATATTTTTCACATCGCTTTTTAAATCTAATTCCGAGATTATTTGAAACAAGATTGTGTGAAATGAATATGTATTCAATAAAAAAAACAAAATAAAAGGAAGACCCAAGAGATTCATCATCACAAACGAAGACTACCTAAAAAGAAAAAAAAAAATCAATAAATACATACACACTATTCATTAGAACATTATATATATATATATATATACATATATATATATGGAGAAAGAAGAAACATAACCTAAATCTTTTTATAATAAGTATTATTATTATTATTATTATACGTATAGTTAAATAAAGTGTCTATTTATGTTATATATAGAAGTATACTTATATATTAGTAAACAATGTCATAATACAATAATAATTTAAAATACTTAGAATAAGAAGGCAACACCAGCAGCAACAGCGGCACCGAAAATACCAGCGTTCAAGGTGTTAGAAGCAGCAGCACCAGTAGAGACGGAAGAGTGAGTACGGTTGGTGGCGTTGGTGGCGTTGGTAGCGTTGGAAGCGTTAGAAGCTTGGACAGCAGCAACAGCAGCGAAAGTAGCTAAAACAGTCTTGAATTGCATTGTATACGGATTAATAGTAGTCTGTTGAGCGAGTGATTGACTTCTTGCTTGGATCTATACGTAAGCAAAGAGAACAAGAAGAAGAAGTAAAGAGAAGAAAGGAAAAAGAAAAGGGAAAGGAAGTAGAAAAAGATTAAATATACAAGAGAAATTATGAGAAGAAGAGCTTTACACCTCACGTACATGTACAAATGAACACGTACACACGTACACACACATATATATATATATATATATAGTCATGCTTAGGTGTAATGCATGAAAACAGAAGAAATAATAAATTGAAGCAAGATTGAAAAATCTGGAAAAATTCAGTTTCCAAGACTTCGAGAAAAACCGCGAAAGAAAAAGAAGAAATATAGAAAAAAGAAAAGAGCAAGAAAGACGCGAAAAGACAACAGCATCGATTCAAAACACCAAAAGCTTTGGAAATGAAGAAAGAGACGGAAGTGAGTCAAACAAAATTAGACAATTTTCGATTCTTTTGTACAGTACAATATTTCCTTCCACTGGACAAATAATTTCTCGAACCTGGAAAAAGAAATAAAGCAATAAAAATTTTTTTCTTATTCTCCCGCCGTTTTTTCCCAGCCCTTCGAAAACGAGGACTCTGCCACCGTAAAACAAAACAAAACAAAACAAAACAAAAGTTTGAAAGTAAACACTTTTTAGAAATCGGTAGAATGGAAAAAAAAGGTCCATGGTGTATGGGTGTTAACCATGGAAAGTTGCAATCTTCCATTAATTTTCTCTCTTCCTCTTATAATGTATAATGACTATATACACCTTGTAAATACTTCGCTATCCTCATTACTGCTTGTTATTTTTATTCTTCAGATACACACACACACACTGATACCTACATATATACATACATATGTATATCGATATACACATTATTTGTATGAATTTTCCGTATTTTACCGTTATGTAGAGTAATTGTCTATGAATTCAACATACACTATATATATAAAATGCATACCCGCGACTGGTTTCTGGTGTTTGTATCCATCTTTGTACCACCTGTTGCTGTTTGGTTAAAAAGAGGGTTTTTCACTAAGGATTTCTTAATCAATGTTTTATTATTTTTCTTTGGATTTATCCCTAGTTTAATACATTCTTTATATGTTATTAGTAAACATCCGTACGATGGACATACCGTAGACTCATCTAATATCAATAATCACAATCATATCACTTCCTCTTCTTCTTCTATTGATACAAATACCGATCCTGCTAATATCACTGTAGATCCTACTGGTAGTGGGTATGGCTCAATAGTTTAATCTGTTATATCCGTGCATACATTTGATAATATTCTTTATATACACGTACGTATTATACATATTTATATATCCAAATTGTTCTTTTCGTATCGAATGATATCGCCTATAGGGCCACTTTTTCAATCCATATAATAATTTTATATGACGAAATTAAAGACATTTGATTACTAAAGTGTAAGTCATCGCTACTTTTAACATACACACACACATATATATATATTGCTTTTTGTTATACGTTTTGCCCTTCCTCCAGATTAAACATATTTTTTTTTAATAAGGTAATCAGTAAAGGTTATACCACATATACACACATATATATAAGGCTATTTACTAAAATATGGATCTTATAGGTGATATTATAGAAAAAGAAGTCCATACAAGCATTGCCAATAATTCTAACAATAATGACGATTTGCTGAATTTTGATATCGTAGAGAAAACTATCGATCCATCTGTACAAAATACTGGTTTTCCTGAATTATATAAACCTAAAAAAATATCTTCTTGGAAACAAAGATTAAAAGAAAAGAAAAAACAACAGCAACTACAACAACAACAGGAAAAGTCAAACACTACTACTACTACCACCACTACTACTAGAATATCTGGTAATAAAAATAAATCAACAAATTCAATTAATGATGTAGACGCCATCCACTTTGAAAATTTAAATGTTTTGAAAAGTATGTCAAATGAAGAAATCCTTAATGAACAAAAAGAATTATTAGCAACATTATCACCAAAGTTGATACAGAACCTTTTGAAAAATATTAAAAGTAGACAAAATATCCAGGATTCAGAAAATCCTCCTTTATTTGCCGAGATTGAAGGTGCTTCTGGAACCTGGGTTGGTGGAATTAATGAAAATCTACCTAAATTAGATCCAAAACAAGTTGGGTGGGCTTTGCACGGCAAAGATCGTAATGAAACTTTTGAAGAGAAGCAAGCAAACGAAAAGGAAAAAATAATCACAAACAAAACAAAACATGTTAGTTTTAATACAGCTCTACAAGCTGAACATGTCGAAAAAGAAGAAGAAGAAGAAGAAGAAGAAGAATTTAATGACTTGGATGATATTGCACCTTTAGATTATCAAATGGCCCAAAGTATTGATCATATGACAAACGAAGATTTATTGAAAGATGTCCATTTCATGAAAAAATTGTCTCTTAATGAATCTGATAATGAAGAAGATTTAATATCATTAGACATAAATGATCCAAATTTTAATGAAAGATTACATGAGAAATTTTTCCCTGATTTACCAAAGGATATTGAAAAATTGAAATGGATGCAACAAGTGCCTGACCTACCGGGTAACGATGACCCATCTAAATTTATTATCGATGATGTATCAATGGTCAGATTCGATTTTAACGGAAATCTGGTACCTCCAACGAGAAAGATCGATAACACTATCCGTTCAGGACTTCATCATCATTCAACAGATCCTCAATTGGCAGGGTATACATTGTTAGAGTTGAACCGATTGGCTAAATCTACGTTTGCACCACAAAGATGTATCGCTATCCAGACTCTTGGTCGTATACTCTATAAGCTGGGGAAACAATCATATTATCAATTGATCCCAGAAATAGACTCTGACACTTACAAAGAAGATGGTAGTATACAAAATGTTATGAATAAAATATACGCAATGTTTTGGGATCTAATTAAATCTGAAGAAATAATATTGACTCTAGAAGTTGCATCTGATGAGAAATTTACTAAAAATTTATCTGTTAGAACATATGGGATAGACGCATTATGGTTGTGGAAAAAAGGTGGTGGTGATTTTAGAAAGAAGACCAATAATTCAGATACTAAATATAAGTAATAAATCTTCTAGACTATATAAATATAAAATGTCAGATTATAAGCACTCATTCTCAATTTTTCTTGGAGTTGAATGTTAAAAAAATACATATAGTCACTGAATGAGTAAACGATGTACGTTATCATATTCATGCCCATATTCCAATCAAATCCAGAAAAAAAAAATAACCACAGAAAAAAAATATTACAAGAATATCCATTAACTGTAATTGAATAAGTGTTATTCATTTGATAAAACATCAACTGAACATAAACTGGTAAAAAAGAACCAGAACAGAAAAAAAATCTTATTTATTTATTCTTTGCATATAGACACATTCGTTAAATGTTTGAAAGCACATATATATCATGTACAGATTTAACAAACTTAAGTTATGCAATATAGACAAGCTGACTATTCAATAACAACCAAAGAAAAAGTTAAACAATTTAAGATCTTCTCAAATATATTAAACTTTAAACATCGTTTAGCTATCTTGTTATTAGTCTTATCTTATTAGTCCCAGTTTCACTCACACCTATTCCCTCCAACAATAAACCATATTTAAGCCATTCTTCTCCAGAATATAATTAGTTTATCAATGAAAAGTTAGAGAGAGGAAGAAAGACACAAGCAAAACGCAGTAGGTTGGGTTGTTCTTAAGATATAGCCTATCAAAAACCGCTTGTATTAAAATAATCAATCCTTTTTAACAGTATAAGAAACAAATTTTATCTTTTATTTTTTTTTCGTTTAACTCAATTTTTGGATCTTAAAAAATAAACACATGAATTAAAAAACTTTGTACAATTTAGAAAAATTTGGAAATTTCTTTTAGGGCATCGCTGAAGATAACAACAAAAGTAAAGGGAAAAAAGAACAGTTATAAAATAGAAGAAAGATATTCTATAGCACTGTGATTACTGTTCTCTTTCTGCTATATACTTAGAGCAACTACTTAGGTAATAGCTATTCAACTCCGAATATTTAGTTAATACATTCTTAATGTTACAAGAAGGGACAAACCGTATAACACATTATAACGATGAAATACACACTCTCAAAAGAGATGTTGAAAAGATAATATCAGAAAGCAGCACTGAAGATAAAGAACAAAATAATTCCATTTTACATGAAATAAATGATAATCTAAATGTAATATCTCAAGGGAATAAGTTATTACAAATTGATAATCTGCTCGAAGGCAACTCTAATAAGGACTCTGAATTGGTTATTGATCTGGAATCACTACCAGATAAGATTGATGAGTTTAAATCACTGTTGAATTCTTTAGTCCAATTATATTTAGGACAAGAATCACTTGATCAATTTTTAAGGATCACAATTAGTGATAATAAAGAACAATTATTGAATATTAAGTCAGTAAAGGATCCGCGTTATAAAAATCTAGAGAATCAAGTTCAAATTTTAAAAGAAGACAATGTTGATGAACGGGAAATCGAGATTGAAAATTTACGAAATAATATCAATTCAATTTGTCAAGAAATTCTAAATAAGGAAGACCAACTAAATGATTTAACAGCAAAATTCGAAACCGAATTAACTCAGTGTTCTGATTTATTAAAAGAATTGAATGAAATTGATGAGGTTAGAAACAAAAAAGTAATTAACTTAGAGAATAAGGAAACTAATGAAATTCAACAATACGAACAATGCATTGCAAATAGTGATGATATCAAGAAATTAACACAGGAAAAAGGTTTACTTCAAAATGAGATTGATGATTGGCATAATGGCCATAAATCGCAGGGCAATATCAATAGTATAAGTAAAAACTTTGGTTCAGAGTTAAACAATTTAAAACAAAATGATAAAGTAATAAAAAAGTTAATCAAAATACAAGAAAAACACCTACTAACTTGTTTGAACACTAGTATAACTGAGTTTAAATTTCTGTACCAAGATTCCAAGAAAGGGATCACTTTCCGATGTCATGAGCAATACAATATTAAAATCAAAATAAATATACAGGACAATTCTTTTGAAGAGATTACCATACATAACATAAATAACCGCACCAATTTTCAAACCATAAATCAGTTAAAAAAAGATATTAATGATAAATTCTATCATAATAAGAATATTTTCCATATAATAGATTATGTAAATAACAAACTTATTAATACCTGATTCTAAAAAAAAAAAATAAAATGTAATCAAAATAACTAAATTTATCATTATGGTTGCATGCATATATTTTTGCGCAGTTCACCAAAAAAAAAGTAAAAAGAACTTAACATTCTATGTATTGTTGTGTATCATAAGGGTCATTACTATATATATAAGCAGAGACATACATAACCATTGTTATTACTTTTCTAAGCCTTTTAACAGAGCCCCCATAGCTCCTAAATAGCCTTCATGTTTCAAAAAGAATGCTTTCTTTGAGCCTTCTGACCAAAAGTTGATTGCATAACTTAATGTATTCATTGTTGTTAAATGTCCTCTAATGTATGATCCACCAAAATATATGGTTTTCACATTATGAATCTTTGCTTGTAAGTATGCAATCTGTCCAATATTATTTGATATAGCATAAAGCAAACTTTTACAAATATCTTCATTCTTAAAAAATTTATTTCTGTTTTGAATTATTTCAGTAGATGTAAATTGTTGGTTATCATTATCATCTTTCTTTAATTTATTTGACGAAGCTAGCGCAGGTTTCCTATTTTGAAATGCTTTAGCAAAAGAACTGGCAATTGATGATGATTTCAACCCAATCTTATTGTAATCAGCACCGTATATATCGCCAACCAACATATCGACATTATTGTTATCACCATTCTGTGCCCATGTCAACATTTGGTCGTATGTTTTAGCACCTGTAATTAAAGATAGAAGTCCCCATAGAGTGCCACCTCCGAGTGATGATCCTCCAACTCTAGTGAAAACGTTTGGTTCATCAACTTTCAAAATTGACACACCTGAACCAATGTTGACTAACATATATGGATAGATACCATTGGACTCACTTTTAACCAATTGATCAATCTCTCGTATCCCATCTTGATCATTATATGTAAACACCTCAGAATGCACTTCATGTATAAAAAAATCAAGCCCTTTAATCAAACATTCCATTTCATCCACTTGACCTATCTTGTTATAAAGGATCGGAAATTCTTTGTTTAATAAATCGTAGAATTTGAATGCACCACCACCAGTGGCAATGATCTGTGTTGTTTCATAGTTGCTCTGGTTCCATGCTTCTATAATATTGTGTAACAATTTAATGAACACATCTATCCTTTCCGTCTCGATCGAATAAAACATTAATTTATTGCTATCTATTGGAGAGAACACAATTTTTGCTAAAGTTCCACCTATGTCTAGTGCAATTGTGAAAACTCTTCGAGAATAGTCACATTTATAATCAATTTCTTGTCTAGTTTCTGTGGCCATCGTCATTTATTGAAAAAAACGAATATATGTATTTATTTTAGATCAAACTTTAATAAATTATTTCAAAACAACAAAAAAAACACACCACCCCAAAAGGTACGTTCTATTCTTCTGTGATATAAACTTTTATTGATTAATCAAATGAATGAGCGAGCAAATAGAATATTCAAAAGTATCTATATGTAAATTATTGTTAATTGCTATATACTTTTCTTGAAAATAAAATAAAATAAAATAAAAAACTTATTTATACTTATTAAAGATAGACAGTTAAACCACTTAAACCATTGTACTATTCTAATTATGCTAGCCAAAAGTCAAACTAAATGGTAGGAGAATTTGAAATCAATATATGCCAGTTAATTAGTTTATTACAAGAGCAACTAAAAAAAATAGAAGGACAACGTTTAAAGACAAGTGGCATAAAAAGGATGTGTCAATTCACAAGATTTATTCAATTGATTTTTTTTTTTTTGAATATGGATACTAATCTCCAAACTTTTATTAGTTGTTGATGTTTGTTTATTAAAAAGATTGAAGATACACATGACGAGTTGTTATTGATGAAGATGAGTGCAAGCAATCCGCGGAATTTGCTCTCTATGGTGGCGGAGAAGCGGGAAAAGACAGAAGAGAACGACCGAAAGACGCACAAGCCGTGTATTTGGGATACAAAGAATAAGATGGAGAGAACATAACAGATACATGAATGTTTGTATGTTTGTATGTTTGTATGTTTGTATGCATATATATATTGTTAGGCGTCTAATTTGTGCATACTTGTAGATCTCAAATCCACTTCTACTAGGATGTTATTCCTATCATTGAAAACACGAATCAAGGATACTAGTACTTGTGAATTTCATCATTTCTTTAAAGTACCCGTTAAATACATTGAGGGTGTAAGGTATAGACCAAGAAAATAGTTCAAGTTATTTTTTTCAGAAGAACTCTAGTTTCAAATAAACAGTTTAAGCACACTAATTTTCAATGAACAAAAGCATCTCTGATTTACTCGGATTATTAACACAAATAGTTTTCTTCTCTTTTAGTATACCAGAAAATAGAGTAAAAAACAGTCTCTATCGACTTCCTTAGATTTTGATCTATGAAGAAATTGTTATATTTAGATACATTAAACAAAATAATTAATCAATTAATGCAAGCAAAGCTACGAATCAATCGATCGATCAATCAATCAATGGCAAAACACAGCAGCAGCCATCTCTTCCAAGTAACGGAAACTCAATGAACTCTTTTCAGCTGCGCTGCCAAAAAAGATAAAGCAGAAAATATAAAAAAATGAAAAAATGAAAAAAGACGGATATACATGTCCGTTACACCCAAACACCTGTTTAGTTACCCTCCTAGAGAATAAAATTTTTTCTTTCCTTTTTTCTTTCTTTCTTCTCAATGCTGTTGGAAAATAATAGTGACAATGATTGGTAAAACTTGTCAATGCTAGAGTATTATTCATTTATTTATGGGTATATTAAATTATAGAGGTAATTAGGGAACTACTCTGTTTCGTATGTGTTTGAATAAGTCAGATTGTTATCGATATTGAATATAGCAATTAACATAACACCTGTGCTAAACCTCTTCTCCCCTTCTTTGCCCTGCTAATTGATACTCATTTTTTGAAAATGATTGATTCAAATATCTCCGAACTTATCCATCAAAAGTACGAAAATGCCATTGCTAATGGTTCTTTGAAATTAACCAAATCTAGCTCCAAAAAATTGAAGGATTCATTAACTGGCATGCCATATTTGGTCCATTTTGCTCCAGTCCTAGCTGAAAAACCAAAATCCAATGGCGAACAGAGTGACAACAAAGAAGATCCATTTGAAAATCCAGACGAAGATCTATTGATTACCCCAGATCTAAATGGTGATGGTGCTTACAAATTGCTTCTAAACAAATACCCCATAGTCCCAGAACATACCCTTTTGGTAACCAACAATTATCAACACCAATCCTCTGCATTGACTCCACAGGATTTAATGATTGCTTACAAATATCTTTGTAAGATGGACGATGAAGATGAAAATATCAGACACTTGGTGTTTTACAACTCTGGTCCACAATCTGGTTCATCTCAAAATCATAAACATTTACAATCTTTTAGGATTCCTTCAAATTTCAAAATGTTCCAAGACAAATTGTGTAGTGGTAAAGAACATTTCCTACCAAACATTAAGGATGAACCATTGCAAGATGATAAAGTAGCATTTGCCCATTTTGTCTTACCACTACCAGAGGACTGTAACTCTGTTGATGAGGATCTCTTGGCTATGTGCTATTTTTCATTATTGCAGAGAACTTTGACATTCTTCCAAGACTGGTTGAATGAAACACCAAACATGGTTAGAAGTTATAACGTTTTGTTAACCAAGAATTGGATATGTTTGGTTCCAAGATCCCACGCCAAGACCACGGACGTCAAACATGAACCAAAGGCAAAAGATAATGACAATGACGATAAAAAAACTAATGATAACAATGATGATGATAATGACGACGATGATGATTCAATGAATGTTGACCTTTCCATTAACGCCACTGGATATGCTGGTATGGTGTTAGTTAAAGACCAAGAATCCTATGACAAAATCTTAGCTAACCCAGATTTAATTGACAAATCTTTATTTGAATGTGGTTTCCCAAACACCTCCGGTAAGAGACCAACCGAATACCACTATTAAGGAAAAAAAGCAAACAAAGAGGAAAAAAAATGAATGAATAGATGAATAATTATATCATTTTTATATGATCTCAAGGCCTCTTGGAAATTTTTTTTTGTTCTTGCTTTTATCAAATGTAAAATAGAATAGAAGTATGATTATTGATCCTCTGATGAACCTATCTCTATTTATCACTTTACTCATTGATAGACCAACTGATATATATATATATGTATGTATATGTATATATTATGACATATGTACGAAAGAAAAGTTGATTTACTGTTTACTTCCCCTATTTATCCCACTCCACACTAAACTATTACAACAGCTAATACGCGCATATCTATCTATCTATCTATATAGATGTACATAGCTGAATAGAGACCACAACAAACTCCCTACATAATGTCTGTGTACATAAAAACTTTGGTTCCTTTCTAAGACATAGACGAGAGAGTATACAATAACAAAATAGTCCTCATTTAGCCCATTACTCAACAACAACCTTCCACCACTACCGCTATCAAACACTCACAAAATGCAGGAAGAATTCTACTGTTTGGTTTTGTCAACATTTGAACCAATCACGTTTTTTCAAAGAGGGAAGAAATTTTGCTGTTCTGTTCGTCTCTCCTCGCCGTCCTTCCCAGAGTGAAAGAAAAAACAAAAAAAAAAAACAGAAAGCAGAGAGGCGGAAAACACCGAAAAATATTCTTCTTCTTCTTTTCTCTCTCCATTCTTTGTTTTATTTTTTGTTTTTTTGTTTTTTCTTTCTCTCTTTTTTTTTCTTCCCCCCCCCCAATATGACTTCGAAGATAGAGTAGACCGAAAAAAGCCGTCAAATTACAAAGAGATAAATAAATCCTGGGCCTATACAAAATGTATCAACTAGTCTTCTTTCCAGTAGTCAATAATCCATCTTTTCCGTTTTATTCAATTGAGATTTTGTTACATCTCCTACACTTATCTATTTATTTTTCTTATTATTTTTTTTTAATACAGACCTCCTCCTAACTGAAGAAGAAGAAAAAGAAATTAGTTTCTACTACTAAGTCATTTATTACATCCCTCAACTCTTCTGTTATTGACTAGTTTCATATAGTTCTAGAAAAAGGGAAGAACGACCTTCAGAAATCACATTCTTAATTATTTGATAATAATATAAATATACGTACGTATATATATTAGAAAATAGAGAAAAAATAAATAAACTTGAGTAACCATCACTGCAGAACCAAAAATACATATATTACATATAATATAAGATGCCACAATCCTTTACATCCATCGTGAAAGTTGGTGATTATATCCTCAAATCTCCAGTCTTATCTAAACTTTGTATTCCAGTTGCCAACAAATTTGTCAATTTATCTGGTTACAGAAAGTTAGGTTTAAGATATAATGATCTATTCTCTGAAGAAAATCCAATCCTGCAAACTGCGTTAAGGAGATTGCCAGAAGATGAATCTTATAGCAGAAATTATAGAATTATTAGAGCTCACCAACAAGAGTTAACACATCATCTATTACCAAGAAATGAATGGATTAAGGCCAAAGATGATGTTAACTATCTGTTACCTTACATTTTAGAGGCTGAAGCTGAAGCTATAGAAAAGGATCAATTAGATCATTTGGAAATTAAGAAGAACTGATAACAAAAAATAATACCTTATATTCATTTACTTTTTTCTCCTTTTTTTTTGTTTGCTTTCCCCACTTTTTGAACATACTATTACCATTAATCATCTCACTTACTACTATTATTTAAATATTCCTTGTACTTAAAAAAACAAATAAATCTTCTTTTCTGTTTAACAATATATTTCTTCTATAATATTTATATTTATACATCTATACTTATTTATTCTAATTTTAATTCAATTTCATTAGTGTTAAACATTGCTTTTATTTCTATTACAAGTATTTGTGATTTAATTAAAAATAAAGAAAACATGACACATCATTTTATTATTTATTCCACATAACTTTAAGTGGCCAACTATGAAGGGATTATTAAGATATTAACACCGAGATAGTTAATTTAAAGCCACATCTTAATTATCATCATGTAACATCTTTTCTTTGTTTCCTCCTTCCATTTATATTGAATAAATATGTATATTAATTGCTATAAGGACCATGAAAATACATAGAACTTGATTCTCCCCCCTTTCTTTTTTCCTCTAACTTTACTGATAACCAACCCTAAGAAAGAGCTGTACTTCTATTTTTATTTTTTTTCAATAATGAGGTGAACATTTTAAGGTTTAAGTATCAATTTTTCTTTTTTCTTTCCTTTTCATTTCTTTCACTTTTAGGGCTTCTTTATCTGTCCACACAATTGTATGATAATATTTTATTTACTTTTTGACAGGAATAAAAATAGAAAATTTGTCGAAAAATATTATGTTCTGGTATTTTAAGAAAGAATTTAGTTTATAAAGAAAAATTCTTCCTGATATCAGAGACAATATATAACATACATCCACACACACGTAATGCTTCGAAACAGCCTATTCCAAAGCAATCGTGAACCAACACTGTAAGAGTCTTAGGAAGTTACAATAGAAGAAGTGCTTAATACTTTTTCACAGTAACACTTGTTTCCACTTAAACCTCTCTTACAATAACTTTTTATATTCTTTAGTTAATCCTCGGACCGAAATTTTTGACGCAGGTGTTACTATTGACTGGTTTTGTATTATTTATTCCAGACAAAGATCCAAACCAATAAGAAATCATGTAAACCCAGGCCCAAGCCTTTTCAGATCCAGTAGCAGTACTTTTAGCAGAAGTGAAGAGATCACCTACATCACCAGCTAAATGAATTAAATAAATGGTCATACCCATCATGGAAAAACATGTGGCGAGACATGAAGCGATTAAGATGTAATTTATTTGATGAGGTTTTAATAGGTAAAAAAAAGAGAGTTATGATATGGAATAAGAAAAAATCAATTATCCCTTTAGTTTGCATAGCAACATTTTTGGACAAGGTATTTGGTAAGTGAAGATAATGACGTGACCATGAATTTAATATCATGTTCAAACAGATACCACCCATCCATGTATGGTGAGAATAACTTACAATGCTCATTAACACTCTGATTAAAATACCAACAACGGATCCATAAATACCAAAGACAAATCTTTGAGATAAAGTATAACCAACTTTCCAGTCCCAACCTGGATAACAGTTGGCTAAAGTAAACATGATAGTAACTACGTTACCTATTATAAAGTTTCCAATAGTCTCTGGATAAAATAAACTGTACGATAAAACTGAAGCAGCAGACATCCAAGTACCTACAGAAAAGGACATAATTCCCCAATAACCAAAATTGGACCAAAATCCCCAAGTTTGTCTATCTTTACGAATCGGTAAAAGGTCAGGATTTCTTAAAAAAGATAAAGTTTGTCTTTCTTCAACAGGAATTTCTAGTTTAGATAATGCTTTTGAAAAAAATCTTCCATATTTATTAGCAGTTTTTGGGTTGTTTATCTCAGACATCTTCAACTATTGAACAAATGAGTAAAAATTACCTCTTGTCATTTTTTGTTTTCTTGAATATACTAATTCAAAAAGAAACAAAAAACACTACATATTGTGGAAACAAAGTCGAAAATGTCAATTAACACAATCCATATCCATTACATGTTTATATATATTTACAGAAAAAAAATATTCCATAAACTAAAAGACAGAGAGCCACACTAGAAATCAATATCTTAAATAGCTATATTTTTAAGGTATTGACAACTTTGAAAAAAAAAATAGTACTTTAGTTAGTGTTTGATCAATCAAAGAAGGTAACAGAACCAAGCATACCAAAAAAATATCAAATATTTTAAGCTGAAAATTGAGAAAAGAAATAATTAGAGAAAAGATAAAACCAAAACAAAAGCGGCTGTCTTAATGTTTAGACATAGAGTAGAGCTAAATGGAGGAAATATTATGACAAAGTTCTTATAGTTTCCAAACTTGTTGCCAAGCTTTTTTTTAAATGACAATTAAATTTGATAGGGGACATTTATGAATTTAAAAAAATGCAATAAGAAGTCAGAAAAAAAAATAAAAAAAAGACAGAAATTTAGTCCGAAAAATGAAGCACCAATTGCTACAACTTTTTCATAATTTTATTTGATTCTGACACTTTTTTAATTTTTTTTTCTGTTGGATTGTCAAAGACTTAGTATAATTTATTAAGGTTTGAAAGTATTGCTTGAATGACTAATAAGCTTGATGATATGTCTTTATAAATGTTAAATTTCTTTGAAAATAGTTCCTCAGATCAGAAGAGTTTTAAATACCACAATTGATAAACATAAAACTGGACATGATAAACGTTATATAGTATTTCTTCTTCTTCTTCTTCTTTTCTAATATAAATCAGAACATATTATTTATTACAAATATATACGTGTACAATAGTATATTTCTTGCTCATCTTGGTGAATAATCTAAAATAATTTTTCCAATATTATTCTCAAAAAAAAATTAATATGTTTAATTATATGTTAAGCAATTATTCCTTTGAGTAACATTAATTTGTAATTCACTGGAAATTACTGCATCAGTGAATGTAATATTCTAGTTTCTAAAATCAAACAAAATTTACTAAAAATATGGTGACTATGGTAATATTATTAATAAAGCAACAAGTTTTCTAATTTTAAATTCTAAAAATGGTCAAGCACCCTCAGCAATCAGTTGCTAATCGTAACTCCATAAATATAGATTATGCCCTATTCATTCATCTCTAAAGAAAGAATAGTATTAAATAACACTACTTGAGTTAGAAGTTCAAAAAGAAAAAAGTGTACAAGTAGCCCTCTTCTCTATCTGTTATATTTTTAAAAAAGGATAATTAAATTTAAATGAAATTATGAAATTATAATGAGATACTTCGAGAATTATTTCAAGACAAATCATGGGTAAATATTCTTGAATTGTTTTTTCCATTTATTTATCTTTTTTTACAAAAGGTACTTTATGGCTTGAAAATATGTTTATTGTATATAAAGGTAGTGTATTAATCCTCCATTATATTAAAACAATAACATTTCTAAATTTAAATTCTTACCAATAACTAGTTTTTAATCTTAGAAAAAAACATTAGTTAAGTCAATATACTTTTAGCCGAAAGAACACTTCTATTAAAGAGCATTTGCCTTGAGTTTTCAAGTAAGTCTTAGTTTTGAACATTAATTTTGAATATATATAGCAAACATACCTTAATTATAACTTCCATTAATTAAAAAATATGGATTCATACGGTTTGAAAATATCGATAACGGAAAATAAATGTATTAACAGTTAACAAATGATTCAAAAATCAACATACTACAAGGATGTTTTCTTTGCAATACTAAGATATTGCAAATTAAAAAAAAAAAGTTATCTAAAATTATTAAAATGTCTGTGACATAAGTGTTTTAATTAGAGGATGTATAGGAATTATAGAACAATAATTATATATGAAACCTTCTTTTAAATTGTAATTCATGATCTACATCATACAAGTCCGTCTTCTATTTTGTTGGAGGTTTTTCAAACTTAATTGTAAATGAAAATGAAAATATGACATTCCATTTTTCTATATCTTGTTTTAGGAAAAATCTCAAAATATTTAAACATTCTTAACAAATATTTACTTTGGATTAAAATACAAATTATTTCCCAAAACTTCGACTGAAATAAGTTATGGTTGCTGAAATCGAACGTTTTAGAATAAATAATAGACCAATTAGATTTTAGTAAACATTAATTGATAAGCAAAAAGTAGAACATGTATTGATTGCATGTCAGTAGATGTAAACAAACTTCATCATAAATTTAGTGCCATACATAGACAAGATAGAGGAGATATGAAAATATATAAAGCCAACATTTTTTTTTTTCATATCATGTTTCTTCCATTGCTCATCTTCTGTATTTTATCATTATACATTATATACATAAATAAAAAACCGAAGGAGTCTATTATAATATTGTATACTAAATCTGCTGAGAATGTG